TTGCTCATTCCTTCTCGGGCGGATGATCTGACCGACTGACGAGACCCTCTCTACCTCCCAATCTTCACAACCCCCTCGCCATTGGGTACTCACCTTTTACTATTCACTGCCAGCTATCTTGCCATGGTAGGACACTGTTCCTCGGAGAGAATTCGGAGCAGGGTCCGACTTTTAGTTGGAAAACCAGCCCCGTGACGTTGAAACATTAGGCACATTTGCTGTCCTGCCTAGCGTGCCACGAAAGGGGGATTTAGCGGCCAGAAACCCCACGAAATGACCTCCGGCCAGCACTAAAGACGTTCCTCTTTTCGGACTCCCGAGTTGGCTCTTTTACAGCAAGGAAGGCGTGCCGGTTTTTGCGCGGTGGGGGTTCCCGGAAGGAGGGGTCAAGTTTGGTCCTCGGTTCCCCGTGAACGAGTATTTGGTGCGCCGGGCGACGCCCGCTGGAACTTGGCTTCTGGAAAAGTGGGTGTGAGCGCATTAATATCGCTCGTTATAGTATAATACGGGCATCCGATACGCAAAAGTGTTGGTCGGAAAATCGGCGTTCGTCGGTGTGTGCTTGTTCAGCTACGCTTCTCTCTCTGTCCCAGTTTATGACGTGCCGTGTTTCAACGTTCCAAATCACTTAGCTTGGGACTGGACTTGGGAATCCCAAGCCGTCAAGAGGGTGTGGAGCCCCAAGTTAGGTTGACGCTACTGGAAGCGAAGGAAGGAAATGCAGCATCTCAAGTTGGTTGTAATGGTTCGCATTCCCCACGTGCTCATCAATGACGTTTGATCAATATTAAAATATTAACCGTGAACCCGCTTCAAGTTTATCATTGCATCCGTGGTCGTTGCGTTGTCTTATCTCTTCCACCAAGGTATTATAAATATGAAAGTCTTTCGGGCCGGGTGACTCGGATTTAATACTACCCAAAGTTGGGGATTGTCATTAATCAAGGGTGATTCCGTTTCTACATAGATTGTCCTTTCTATTAATACTAGGCCGGTTTTGTCAGCTTCCACCTTTACAGCGCTGCGGGCCGGGCGTCGGTGATCTTCCGGAACATTGTTTATACTAAGATACATATATATATATACATGTGGATTTTTGCGGCGGCTTATTAACTTAGGATACCGTCAGAACCTCAAAGAGCATGACTATTCCCTTCCACAGCCGTTTATCCCCTCCGCCATACCAGAGGAGAGGAGCAGTCCCGGCATGTCGATTCCGCTCAGGCTCTGCAAGGCCAAGTGTGATACCGTCCTCGAGCCTGACGAACTAATGTCCAATGTAAAGCCCTAGCGGAAAACGGTCTGGGCTGGGACACCTAGGATATTTACAAGCATCAGTGATTCTGGCAAATCCTTACTTCGCGGTTGTAGTCTGAATATCGTTTGAATTCTGAGTTGACGGGAAGCTATTTAACACAAGGAGATCCGGTCAAGATTAGCGTTGCAAGCAGAGACAAAAACAATCCCGCCACAATAGTGAAGGGCTCGCCCAAAGATCAGAACTGGGTCAACGAAAGAAGATCGGGGTTATCAGCCCCGCCTGTGAGGGGAAGTATGGGAAACCCAGAGAAGTAAGAAAACAAAGTGATCCGTCCCCGTCGTGGCAACGGGCTAATTGCCCACCTAGCCAAGCCAATAACTACAACGAATAGCTGGATTTGCTGCCTCGAGTCTTTAACGACAGGACTTCCTTAAGCCGTGTTGTTGCGAGCAGCCTCGAGACTGTTCTTTTGAACGTGCCCCATGCACTTCCTATCCTTGCATGGGGGGTGGAGCAAGAACCTCTTCTTATTCTCCTCATCAGGAACTACTCTGTCGCAAGCCCAACCGCATTTTGTGAAATCTTCATCGGTCTCATACAGGCAGCGGAACAGTTGGACAGCCGAGAGCACATGGAACAGAGCCCACGGGCTAGGTTGGACATCTTTGGCTTCCGGTGCGGGATTCCCATCCCCACCAGCGTTGGTTGATGTCTCTTCTTCGTTTCCAAGCGTCGATTTTCCTGTTTTCTCCATTTCATTATTGGGACTACCACCGCCATGGCGCCCATGATGGAACCGAACCAGGATCTTGGCCGCTGAGTTTGCCAGAAGCAACGCAAGTAGGATTGCCGCGAGAGTAACGATCCCCGTGAGAGAAAAAGTCTGTATGTTCGGACTCGACACGACAAAGTTCCCAGCTCCATCCCTCGGCTCTCCGTTCGCTCCCACCATGACGTTTTCATAGTTATCCGGCTGGCCGAACATGGTGGCATCGGTGAAGATGCTCCTCGTCGCCACGAAGCTGGCCAAGATCAGACGCTCCATGTCGTCGTGCATGCTAGATACCCCTGCGTTGATGACGCCGTTGGGGCTGGTAGTCCGGGACCTGAGCGCCGAGTCTCCACTGGCATTACCGAGCCTGACAAGCATTGGGCCACCGCCCAAGGTCGCCTCGAGCACGTTGAGCAAAACCTCTGGGACCTTGATCCCGGGTATCGTTTTCAGGTCGAACACGGAATCCGCCGTGTGCTCCCCGTAGCTCCACTTGGCTTGCTCCCAGCATGAGAGAGCCGGCCTTCTCCGCTTCATCCAAAATTGGGCCTCGAACGGGGCCGGGGTCGCGTTTACAGGCCTAGGTTCAGTTGCATACCAAGGGTCACCTCCGGCTGTTATGCTCGATCGATGAGCGGAGTGAACGAGAACGGCGAAAGACACATTGGAATTCGAGATTAATTGCTTGCTCGCGTCCGCATGCGGGATGAAACTTGCTGTCGGGGCATGCATAATATCGTTTTCGTTGACGAGGACAAACTCAGCCCGCCTGTCATCGTTCCATAATTTATACTCGTCATATTCCCCCCCATCTGGTTCGACGAGCCACCCATACTCGGTTACACAGTGCCCCTCCACCGCTAGCTTGAGGTCGGTTCCCCCCTGGAGGCCGAGGTCGATCCCCGAGAGGGAGTATCCGTAGTCCAAACTCATGATACGTTCGCCGTCATCCCTCGGTGCGTAGCTCTGATCTATCTCCACGGAGACCCTTGAGCGCAAGGTAACTTTTGCTGCCTCTACACTGCCCAGAGCGCGCATGACGGAAGGAGCCCTCAATCCGAAATCTTGAAGTCGCTGTGCGGGATCGGCCGCCGGAATCGCTGGATAAAACAGGGCGCTGGGCCTCACGGGGGCGACGTTGCCAATCTCCACCAAGGATGGAGCGACTATACCCATGGCTATGCTCGCGCCAAACACGGCCAGAGCCAGGAGGCAGAAGGCAAGGCCGTACAAGAAGTCGGGCCAGTGATGGCCGGATTTCGAGCCCTGCCATGTCTGCCATGTATAACTCAGCATCGCTGTGAAGGCAAACCAAGAGTCGTTGGAGTTCCACAGCGTGACGAGCGCTGCGTAGCGCTGGAGCAAGCCGTTGCCGCGGAAGAACATTGCCACGAAAACGATGAGGTTCCAAAGGCAGAGGAACGAGACGGTGACGACGACCGATAGGGCTGCCGCCACCAGTGCGGCGTTGTTTCCGGTGAAGGATACGGCCCACCTGTCTCCTCGGTCGCTCGGCATGGAGAAAGGGGTAACCAGTAGATAGGCAAAGTCTGGCGGGGGAGTGTAGACGTCCGCCATGCTGTTAGTCGACGCAGACAATAGACTGGGTAGAATATAGTTGCTGGCCGTGGGAGATGCCCGAGAACTTGGGCGTCTAGTGGTGTTTTTCAGTCGAGAACTTTGTGTTTCCTTGTTTGAGTGTATCTAAGGCTTTTCTTGTCTTCAAATGGAGGTGCCTTCGACAAGGAGAATCTGCCACAAAGAGAGAAGACCCAGGTATAATAAAGAACAGTAGGTGAGGGGGGGGGGGGATTCTGTGCCCTTTGCGTGCTCCCTCCCCCAGTTCATCTCGAGAAGGCCAGGCTGTGGGCCTCAGTGCTCGTTCGACGACATAAACTTATGGGTAAGGGGGTTGGGGTAACCCAACTTGACACCCAACGGCTGGGCGAAGCTGGCGGCTCCAAGCAGGGCGAGTATTTCGTATCCATCACATCTTGTCCCGACATATCAACAACCAGCTCCGGAAAAGCCAGGTCACCGTTTAGATGTTAATGCACAACAAGGAGCCTGTCACTTTTGGATGGCATCCGTAGATGGATTCTATTTGCTAAAACTCTAAGATGAGAGTGTTTGACAGCATTATATTGCCAATACTAAAGGCAGGCTGTGGAGTGGCGTCCTGTACATTTGCTTCCTCCCTGAGCTGGACCGAGATCTTCACTTTCCCAAGGTCGTCAATGGTGGGATTGGACCGAATACGAAAGCACTTCTAGCCAACACCGCGATGTTTCTGGTCAATAACTTCGGTTGTGGATCTGCATCAAGCCACTCAGGAGGGTTGCTTAGCTCTCTTCACTTGGCGGTTTCGGTCGACCAACCCGGAGCCAACATCATCTCTGCTGCCTGTCTATCGTTGTATTCATTGGCATGGAGTTTTGAGATTGGTTGATGGGTACTCTCATGTACACTTACTACACGCATAAGTCACGGAAATGATCCCCTCAAGGTGTGGAGCAGTGAGATGCACGCTTTACGACCTCATCAGAAACGAGGAAGCCATACATGCCCTGCAAGCAGAACGCCATAAGCAAGGATGCGTTCCAGCACCTAGCCTGGTCCTGAATAATACCGGTGGGCGGAGTCTTGAAGGTGATATCCCATGGTGGTGATTTAATCCTTCGCCAAGAGATGTAACCCTCTGGCAGCCTTGCTATTCATTAGGTAGTTTTCTTTGGCAACAGTGAGCACCAGGAAGACGATGGGTTGCTGAGCTGCTCGACTTGATCCCTTCGACGGCAGCAGTGGGCCAAGAGCTATAAATTCATCTACACTAACCTGCTGTCCTTCACTTTCGTCCACTCTTCTCACATCCAACCTTGTCCTTTGACTATATTCCTCTTCTGTTAGACTTCAAGGAAGCGTTCATCACTTATTTCCTCTTACATCCCAACCTTTAGGCCAGACATCATGCGTTGGCAACATCTAATCAACCTCCAGGCTCTCTGTGCCCCAGCTCTCGCGCAGTCTCTTAAGGAGGCCCTCGAGGCCAACGGGTTCACGCTCTGGGCCCAACGGATCTCAACGGACAATCTCCTCCTCAACGCGGGACCTGGCATCATTATCTATGCCCCAACAAACGCTGCTCTGGAATCCAGCGACGATGCCAACTCCCCCATTACTCGCCGGGCCGACGATAAAGATAAACAAGAGGCGGAAAATGCTGCCAGCGCCGTGGACTCAACCGCTCCGCGTCCGCCGAAGCCCGAGAAGCCTTCCCAGAACAATACTGCTACTCGAAGACAACTAGTGAATACCGCCGGATCTGCCCAGGTGACCTTGCTGGACAATCCCGAGTTTGTGAACCTTGGTCCCGGGCGAAACCAAGTCATCGTCGAGAAGAACGTAGCTTCTTGGTCTCTGCCACTTGTATTCTCCGGCCTCGGACGAGCCGTGAAAGTTACAGGGGATGATATCCCCTATGACAACGGTGTCATCCGCCCCATTGATGGGTTCGTTTCCGCCCCCTTGTTCTCCGCGCAAAGCTTAATGAACATGCTGTACTAAATGTCTGAAGAATGGTTACTCTGCCGGAAAACGTCTCTACTACGCTCCCATACCTCGGAGTCGACACATTCCAAGATCTAGTCACGCAGTCGGGTATCCTAAATGAGTTGGACAACAGAGCCAGTATCACCCTTCTGGTGCCCGACGACAACGCCTTCAAGAGCATTGCCAAGCGGTCTAAGACGGGCTTCGAGGATCTAATCAGGCAGCACATCCTCGTTGACTTCCCCGCATACACACCGCTGCTCGAAAACGGAGACGTCTATCCCACCCTTGCTGGGGGCAATGTAACCGTTTTGATCCGGGACGGCCTGATCTACCTCAACGGCGCGCAGATCCTGGCTGGCGACGCCATTGTTACGAACGGAGTTGTTCATGTCATTGACAAGGTAGGTTTATTGGCTTCGCCTTTCTTACTCTTCCCACTGTTTCTCAGAAAAGCCCATGTTAACTAGAGGCTCCCGTAATAGGTCCTAGGCGGATCGCCAGTTGCGCCGCCGGCCACAGTGACTGGAGCTGCATCGGCGGTGATGGGGCCTATGCTTTGGGAAGTATTGGTGGGCGGCTTTGGCGTGGTAGCAGCTACTCGATACTTCAACCTCGTGTAACTGGATAGAACCCTACTGATCCAAAAACCGCGGGGCTTGGAGCTAAGGAGAAGTGCCGGGAGGCTAAGGAGGGAACGAAAGGGGAAGGGAGGTAGTTTGTGGTGTGTGTTAGGAAAGATGGCGTGCTTCTCGGGTTAATGGGGTTAGGTTTACTTCGTACCGGATTTGAGTAATTTGCTGCTTTCTGATTAGTTCCAGGAAGTCGGATAATTTTAATCACTTTCTTATTTCCTTCGGGCGACTTGTTTCCATTGGTCAAGCCCTTGACACCAGATGCAAGGTGCATATTCTCCGCGGTCCGGCTCTGGGGGCGGCAGCACCGTGGCATCTCCAGAAGTCGGTGCGGTGTTTAGTGTAAGTTTACGAGACGCAGGTTTGGCCCACAGCTGAGAGGAGCGACAAGCTGCATGAGGGGGGCATGTATCGAGAGTGTCCCAACGGGTAGGTAAGGCTGTCTTACTTAGTCGTCGTTTCCGCTCGGGTGGATGTAGGTTCCCTGTCGTTCTGCTTGGCGCATGCGTTGGGTCTGCATTGCAACGGTGACAGCCTGCTTCTTATTGCAGTTCAGTTATTATTAGTCTGGCCGTGAACCCTTGCTACTCAATCATGGATGGTGATTCGGCAGCCTGCTCACCCCGGTCCGGCCTCAAGAGTAGACGGGTTGCACATCCTGACCTCTGTGGGCTCTGAGATCACGGATAGGAAGCCAGTCGTAGTCTACTATTACCGCCTTGTTGGGGCAATAACCGAATCGCTTCAACTCTCCGTTCGGTCGGGAAAGGAAAATATAGCATCAGCGGCCGGAGGAAGTGCCATCGCCAAGGAAGTCGTCCTGCATTGGGGCCGCTTGGACTCGATATTGATGTGTAGGATGAGGGGGAAGTAGTTTATTCCCTTTCTAAGACTGGGAGTGGTTAAGACTTCTCGGCCATGAGAGGTTGAAAATGTCAACCCCGCTCGGGTTATGCTGTGATTGGTGAAAGTGTTTGAAATACGCTTCCCTCCATTGATATGCACTGCTTATTGTTGACCGTTTGTGGCGTTCCTGCAGCTCCCAGCTCTCCTCGTTCCGCCCCGGCCGTTAGATGTCGAGTTTGGAAACTCATGCAACGAGCACCAATGAAAACGAGACACAATGTCGCGAAGTTGGTACCTGTCGTCTACACGACAAGGGCTAGAAGCAGTCGCGTCGGGGCTGAGCTGAAAACCGTTGACGGAGGATTTGTGATATTGCCAAGAAGTGACAGCCTTGCGTCTGTTTCTGAAGCTCTGCTGCCCAACCTAACCTAACTCGGTCCAAACTCGAGGAATTTGATGTATCCCTTCGTCAAGCTAGGCTTGTAATCCTAGGATTTCCCTCATCTTATCCAATCTTCGCGTTACGAATGCCTCTTGGTGAAGCTGGTTCTGCGGCCGCCGGCCCGATTCGAAGTCTACTCCGCTCGACTCGCAATTCATTCGCCAGGTATAATCTTAATGAGGTTCGTCTTATTTTGTCTTGGTATGTGATGGTGTGGGCAGGGTACATCATAAGGACCCTGGTCGCCCCTCCAGATGCCTTCAGTCTCAGTGCGAATGAATCAGGAGTCCGACAGAGTAGGCTCGTCCTTTAGCAGATAAAAATTGGTCACCTGGTCGTGCTTTCTCTCGCTTCTTGGCGGCCTCAATTACATAGGATTTGGCCCCGGGCTGGCTTCGAGGAACTGGATCGGTCGGCCATGGCGTCGCGGAGAAGGTGTATACTCTATCCTTGTGACGTCCCAACGTAAGGCTCGGATTGCTTAGTCGTGTCATTGTGCACGTACGTGGAAATGGAACTTGCGCTTATTCCGGCTCTTTAGTCGGAGCTTGTTCATGTTCGCGCTGGGTTGTTTGTAGTTGGAACCTATCAGTCTGGTTTATTGGCATGTGTTTGAAGAAGCACATCACCGAATCAGTTCTCAAACGCCTTAAACGGCGGAGTCATGCATTAGCTGATGCCACAAATGTTGGGTGGAAGTAATTGGGACGAGTCAACTTGTCTGGCCACCTCATAACGTCACTCATCTGCGTATGAACAAGTTAAATCTCTGGTGAACTATCCTAGCGTATCACACTTGGTCTCTCTGTCATTATACTCTCCAACCTTGGTTTGCAGCAGATGGCTTCTGCAGGAGGCTCCGAAATAGCTCCTGGTGCAAGACTGGCCAGAGCACACTATGAAGCCAAGCCCCGAAGACTTCTCCAATAGGAGCTTTCACGGATGAGATTAAGGCCTGGTCTAAAAAGGCATGGAACCCTCTTTTAACATCGCTGTCTGGCGCAGTTGTTTAAAGAGCACTTCAAGTGAGGCAATGGGAGCCTATGGATTATCACTTCGACGGCTACAAGGAGGAGATGTTAACTTATGTGTGGTTTTCAGTGAATCTTAAACGTACCTTCATTGTTATCGGCGTTAATGTCTTCTCCTTCTCGCACTTGATGAGTTAGAACTTCAGTTCCGTCCATGGAACCATTTTTATAGCTATTTGCAAAATCGGTGTCCCTTCTACTCTATTGAAAATTTTTGAGCACGGACCAAGGCTACTTTAGGAAACTTGGAAGTACACCATGATCACCTTGTTCAACAAACTCTTTGAAGAATTGAGGGGCAAGAACATTTACCCCCACAGTATTTTAAAAGTTTTAACACGTTGTACCTCAACTGGTACCTCATCTCGTGTCCTGGATATACGTTTTGCCGTTACACTACCTCAGCAAGCTCAGGCCCGTGCGTCCGATGCCAAGGCGCAACATATTTGGCGGGATGAGACGTCACTTGGGCCCCGCGATTTCAGAACCATTTTGCGTGCATACATTCCCTCTACCGCCTAGAAGAACTGCTACTTATGACCTATAATGAACCCATTCTCTGAAAAAAAATACCTTGAAGCTTTTATCTTGTAGCCGTGCCATCGCTGTGCTCCAGCCGAGATCATGGAATGCTCCCATACTCGGGATGATGAAGACAGCGGCGAGATAACCCAGAGGACCGGTGTCTGCGCAGCATGCACCTCTTGGGCTCTGGGCGCCGTTTTTGATTACCATGAGTGAGATAGAGCTGGGACCTTGTCTTCTCAATCTATATTCAAGGCTAACACCAAAGAAGGTCGAGGCTCTTGGATTATAATGTCCGTCCCCGGAAGCTGGTCTACCATTCAGATGAGTACAAAGATCGCCCCGTCCTGTGCTGTCCATACTTTCCACGGGCATGGCCACGGGCCCTCTCTCTAACAACATAACAACCATAGCTTCAATCCATCATGTCTGTCAAGTTTATGCACGCCATGCCAATCCATCTTCCTCCAGCCGCCCGAGATCTGGCTCCGGATTCCAGCCTACCACGAGAACGACTGGCCGAACCGCGGCCGACGACATTGGAATCATCATCACCAAAGCGTCCAAGACATACAAAAGTGTGGCTCCGACCCGGAGTCTTCTTGCCAGCTTTGTTTTCTGCTCGCGACATTGGTTAGCCTGACTCCACAGCTCCAGGGGCTCCTGAACACGACAACTGGAGAACATGCTGTTGCAGACCACCAGGGCGTCGTAGCAGAGAAGCAAGAGGTTAGAGTCGCGATAGAGCGTCGTCTTCGCGCCAATCTGGAACAAGGTCTTTTGACGCTAGACTTTGATTTTGCTGACCCTCTTCCTGGGCTGCAACTTCGGGTGCTACCTCTCGAATGTAAAAAAATTTCCCCTCGTCCTCCTAATAATCGAAAAGCCTCCAGCACGCTAATTTCCCTAACCTGACATACAGCAGATGAGCCCCTATCTCTATCTAGTCAGTCTCTGGGCGTAGATACGTGCACAGAACCCACCTTAACCCTCGCCAGGCGATGGCTTGGAGATTGTCTCGAACATCACTCCAGGTGTGGTCATCACGGCACCCATCCCACCGAGAACAGTGGCAGCTCAAGTTGGCTCCCTACCAGACTGATAGAAGTTGGGCCAAAGGACTCTTCCAATGTCAGGTTAGTCCTGTCCAAGGACCTACCGTCATCCACCCCGGGAATAACCCCTGGCTACGCTGCCCTCAGCCACTGCTGGGGAGGAGCCGACGACATCCTCAAGCTGAAGCTCCAAAACATAGCCCAGCTCCTCCAAACCGGAGTCAAGCAAGACGACCTAGCCAAGACGTTTCAACACGCCATCACTATCTGCCGCGAGCTCAACATTCCTTACATATGGATCGACAGCCTGTGCATCATCCAGGATTCGAAGGAAGACTGGGCCCGCGAATCCTCCTCCATGGGCAACGTGTACAGGAAGGCCACCTGCACCATCGCCGCCACCGCGTCGACAACCTCCCACGATGGCATCTTCTTCCCACGCGGGCAAGAGCCGAAGCTGGAATGCCAGATCGGTGGGAACCCCCTCGTTAAGGAGCATGCGTACCGCCGGAGCAAGGCCCTAGCACTCGTCCCAACAAACTGGGAACGTACCTGGCACCTGAACCTAGATCACGCTTCGCCCCTGAACCAGCGGGGCTGGACTTTGCAGGAACGACTCCTTTCGAGACGTATCCTCCACTTTGGCCGTCTGGGCATTGCCTGGGAGTGCGAAACTCTCTGCGCCAGCGAGTTCTGCCAGGGTGGGTATCCCCCCGGTGACGACCTTTACTTGGAAGGATGTCCGAAGAAGCCCACCTGCACCATGGATCCTGTGATGAGACACGTGGAACTCGAGGCCTGGGATGCATGGATCGGCTTCGTAGAGACTTACTCGCAGCGAAGCCTGACCTTCGCATCCGACAGGCTCGTGGCCATTTCCGCCGTGGCCAAGGAAATGCAACCTCAACTGGCTGATAACCCCAGCTACCACGCCGGCTTATGGGAATCGACCCTACTACCTGAGCTCTGCTGGATGGTAGACTGGCACATGGCATCGCGGGAGGTACTACCCCCGTCGGCCAACAGCGCCCCCGATCCAGGCTCCTCCTCCACCTCCACCGGCCCGCCATCCTGGTCGTGGGCATCGGCCAACCATCCCATCTTCTTCCCCTTCAGAGGCAGAAGCCTCCTCCAGGAGCGCTTCACGCGGCTGCTGGCCCGACTTGTCAACGTCACCACCACGCCCGCCTTCGAAGACCCCTTCGGACAAGTTCACGGCGGGACCGTGTCCCTGAAGGGCCGACCAACGCCAGTCCGCCTCGCCATCGCGGACTCCTCGGACCCGCGCTGCCCCAGAGAGGCCTTGTGGAAGCTGGTGGCCGAGGACGGGGGGCCACTACCGCTGCAGATCTGGGCGTCCCTTGATGATTTTTCCCCGCTTGACAGTGATCCTCTTGTGGTATTCGCTCTTCCTATCCTTCATAGGTTGAACGAGTGCGAGAATTCGCTGGGGATGCGTTTGGGTCATCCAGCCAAGGGCCCCGTTAACGGATTGCTGTTGGAGAAAAAAGAGACGGACCATATTGTTTCGTATAGGAGAATCGGCGCGTTTTTTGTCCTGGATGTGTATACAAATGATGGTTGGTTCGACTTCGAGAGATGTGCATATGGCAGGGTGAGTTCATCGGAAGAGGATGAGAATGGCACGACGCGCAGAAAAGAGCCAGATCAATGCATCGACATCAGATAAGGTGGGCCTATACACGTCTCTAATCACAACTTGTGTGTTAGCAGGACCTACTGCGTTTATGCTGTTTCTATTTTCTAACATAGTGTCAGAAATGAAGTGTCAGGAATGACGGGCGTCATTTCGGTGGTTGGATTTAGGGTTAGGATTGTAGGAAGGGCGTGTGCGGGAGTGGTGGGTCTGCAGGACGAGATAAAAGGTGGATTCGCAACACGGAGATCATGATCGAGGACGGAGACAGAACGGAATTGAGACAACTTTTCAGACCGTCATCTTGAAGACTTAATTGCGACACTCATTTTGCGTGCCCGAAGTATTACTGAAGCATTTTTCGACCTGCATTTCTTACATAAGGTGCTGCCGCTGCATGACAGCTGTAGTCAGCTGTCATCCAGCTGCCCACTAATCAGGGCAATGACGTCTGTAAAGCAAACGGACGAGCCAAAGAATTAGCATCTTCATCTTCAAAGAGTTTGAACAAACAGGACACCGATTTTGCAAACAGCTGTATCAAGTCGCTTCACACAATCATCCCGTTTGCTATGAGCACGATCGGGGCAGCCATCAGTATTGTAATGGTCATGGACACGCAATTTCTTACAGATAGGACCGGCCGAGCGTCAGTATTGGGGAAAAATACCGGAAAGAGGGTAATGCTCTTGATCCTCCATCAGAGCCGTTTGCTAACTACAAGCTTCTTCTTCCAAACTTCTCATGACCTGTGACGCTGCTATTCAATGCGCAGCCCTCACCACCATCTCTCGATGTCAAGAAGGCTCATCACACCCATCTTTTTCTCGCTGGGACCAGATACTGGGGACACCTCGCGTTCGATGACATCACCGTTGGCTGGTGCTTTCTAGGTCTAGTATTCTCGAATCAGGCGGGAACTATATTAGAATTTGAATTATAATGGAAAGCAACTTGTTTTTCGAGTTTCCGTGTAGAATTTCTTTGTTTCTCCGTTATTGGGGTTGTTTATCCGGCCCAAACGGCTCTTGGTGGATGTAGTTGGTGGGGTGTCCCAAGAACATCAATCAAGGTTGGTTAGTCTCTTTTTTCGCCACCCCCTGGGCGACAGATCAAGCCCCGATTAGGCACGTTCGCGTTGCCGGTTGGCTGGCCGGTATCGCTAATCTATTGATTGATATGATGGCTCGTCCGGCAGTGTGGGTGGGGACAGTTGCCTGCGCCGTAGATCTCGAAACACACCAATACTTGTTTCAGTACGGCGCCCGGGGGTCGTCTTTGTGGGCTGAATTCGCCACCACCTAGTGATCTCCCTAATTTCGCCGAAGCCTTCCTTTTTGATGGAGGGTCACTGTGGCAATAGCTTCAATAGTTGGATGAGCGGCCGCTGAGACATTCTCGCTTATAAGCGAGGCAATGTAGATATCTCGGGCAGATACTTATGGACGTGGTAGCGTTTGTCGTGCTTGCGCTGATAAGATATGTCAGCGGCGCACGGTCTAAATGTGCGTGCGGGATCGTCGGAACTTCCTGATCGTTCCGTGATACGATGCATCGGATGTTCTCGTCCATCATAATGGGAATGGAGGGTAGGAGTCGTTACGCAAGCAGGGGCACGCCATTCTAAACCATGTGGATCCGAGACACTGACGGGAGGGTGAAAGGGTTGCCAGGGCTGATTCTGGACTCATGTCTTGACCTTCCTTGCATGTTAACGACCCGTCTCTGGTTCGTCTTCCATCCCTAACGGCACCTGCGTTGAGCTGATCCAGTTCTCCATCATGGCTTGACCTGTGGGGTGGGTGCTGCTCGAGGTCGCGGGGCCAGTGCGCGCGGTCCTGCCGATTCCCGCGCTGGTATCCCGCTTCTTGACAACAAGGCAGAGCACCATGCCGTAGATTGCGAAACCTTCGTACGAGATGTCCATGGCCATCTTTTTCTTGTCGTCCGGCTCTTCATCATCGCCGAGCAGTGTGTTTTGCCTGACGCGCTTCGTGGGGGGCGCGGACTCCGAGTCCGAGTCTACTATCTCCTGTACTTCGACGTCATCTCCGGCCTCGGCTTCGGAAGGCTCGAAGTCGGAGCCGGACTCTTCCTTCCCGTCTCGATGTCTTTTCCTCCGAAGCGCACCGCCAGACTCCTTTTCTCGAATAGATGGTACGTTTTCGAGGTGGACTTCGTCATCCTCTTCCCGTAGAAGTGCGGGGCTCTCTGGGGCATTGTCGACATCGATGGGCTCCTCCCGGGTCTCACCCATGAGTTTGCTGGAATTTGACTGAAGCCTCTTCGGAACTTTGTCCCTAAAGTGTTTATGTTTCGTCAAGATGGAATGCCTCGTAGCGGTTTCGGTCAAGAACATGGCCACCTCGAAATCCTCTTTTCATGGTCAGCCTTCCAGTGTTATCGTTGCACGCACGGGTCAAGTGGTATGTACGAACCTGCAGTGATAATATCCTTGACAGCCTTCTTCTTGGTGCCTCTCTTCATAACGCGCTCCCTCTCCTCCCTCAGCTTGGGAAGCACGAGAGGTCGGATGCATTCAATGATGCGGGGAAGTACGGGATCGCGGGGATTAAGCAGCCAGCTCTGCGCCAGTGCAGGGTTGTCGAGGTAAATGCGGCATTCGAGCACCGAGTATTTCGTGATTCGTAAGTACCTGCGGATGGGTGGCATGTTGGCCGATGAGTTTGGTCGGCGTGCGACAATTTAGAGACGAATTGCAGGCTGGACCTTGTGTCGTGAGCGGTGGTAGAATACAGACGAAGTTGTCTAGCAATGTTCAAGCTTAGGATCGATGACGGCGTGCAGCCTTGCAGCGTTGGCGGCATTGGTCTTAATTAGTGGCTTCCGACGCGCTGTAATTGGCTACCCCCAAAGTGCCAAAACCGCGTTGGGAACAGCCTCGCATCTAAAAATTTCCCAGTCACCTCATCCGATCGCAACCGTCCTCCTCAGGCCCTTCACGGATCGCCGAATACGATGAAACCCCGGTAACATGTCAAAATCATGGTCATCAACGCTTAGGCTTCCCAAATCTGCGTTTCCGTACGTGCTGCTTCCCTTAGCACCCTTTCCACATTTATTCTTGGTCTAGTAGCTAAGAATGTAAGCCTCGTGCTCTAGTCCGCGACCGCTGCCGGCCCTCCGAGACCAATACCTTCGAAGATGCACCGACGACTTTTATAAGTGGCAGGCGGCGAACCGCCCCGAGGGGAAGCCCTTTGTTCTTCACGATGGGCCGCCGTATGCCAATGGTGACCTCCATGTCGGTCACGCGCTCAACAAGATCCTCAAGGATATGATTTTGCGGGTCAAGGTGCAGCAAGGTGCGAGATACATACGGTCTTTCCGCCTCGAGCAGGCTATTTGACTTATTTCTGTTTGTTTCCTTAGGTTATCGAGTTACATATCGACCGGGATGGGACTGCCATGGCCTCCCAATTGAGCTCAAGGCTCTCGGCGCAGCCGGTGCAAAGAATCTTACCGCTAGCGAAATCCGTACAACTGCCCGAAAGCTTGCCTCCGACACGATCTTGAAGCAAATGGCCGGATTTAAATCGTTCGCTGTCATGAGTGACTGGGACGCGCGTTGGGCGACGATGGACCCCGAGTTCGAGATCCAGCAGCTCCGGCTGTTCCAGCGCCTAGTCCGTCAGGGCCTAATATATCGGAGACATAAGCCCGTATACTGGTCACCTTCTTCCGGAACAGCCTTGGCAGAAGCAGAACTTGAGTATAAGGACGACCACATCTCTACGTCGGCCTTTGTCAAATTCCCGATTGTGGGAGACTGGGCTTCTGTGCTGGAATTGGATAATTTTATTGGGCAACTCTATGCTGTGGTTTGGACGACGACCCCTTGGACGCTGCCTGCGAACAGGGCGATTGCAGTCCATGACGATTTGGAATACTCGATTGTAAAGCATGGTTCCGATGCACTCATCATTGCGAGCAGCCGCTTGGAAGTTGTTGAGTCATGGTCTTCTGAGCCTGTGGATGTCTTGGTCCCATCTATTAAAGGGTCTGTCCTCAAGCAGCTCCAGTACTCCAATCGTCTCCATGGTAGCGGAGCGAAGACGTCCCCCGTCATTCATGCTGATCTGGTTTCTGCTACTTCGGGTACTGGTATGGTTCATCTCGCGCCTGCGCACGGTTTTGAGGACTACGACGCCTGCCTTGCTCTTGGACTCGACGTTTCCGCCCCGATAACCGATGAGGGATACTTTACTGCGGATGCCTATCCCGATGACCCAGCGCGACTTACATCGGCGCCGTCAATCCTAGAGGGTGGTAGCAAGGCAGTGCTGGAGATTCTCGGTGACGACGTGATCCACGTTCATCGGTACGAGCACAAGTACCCCTATGACTGGAGAACAAAGAAACCCGTTGTTATCCGCGCCACTGCGCAATGGTTCGCTGATGTCGAAAGCATCAAAGGAGACGCTCTCTCTGCACTTGAGCCGGTCAAGTTCATTCCGGCGACTGGTAGGACCCGCCTTGAGAGCTTCGTCCAAGGCCGAAGTGAGTGGTGTATCTCGAGACAGAGGGCTTGGGGTGTTCCGATCCCTGTATTGTATGATCGCGACGATAACGCTATCTACGCCGATGAGGTCATCGAGCACATTATCTCGACTATCAAAACGAGAGGTATCGATGCTTGGTTCTCCGACAGCCCTGACGAACCCGCTTGGATAGCCCCTGGACTATCTGGAGAGTTCCGTCGTGGAATGGATACCATGGACGTCTGGTTTGACAGTGGTAGCAGCTGGAGTCAGACTAAGGGGCAAGCAGATGTTTACCTCGAAGGCTCTGACCAGCACCGAGGCTGGTTCCAGTCAAGCCTTTTGACTTGGATTGCTGCCTCCAGGGACAAGGATGCTGCAAATGCAGTTTCAAGTGAGCAGCGGACCGCGCCCTTCAAGACCTTGATTACACATGGCTTCACCCTTGACACCGAAGGCAAGAAGATGTCAAAGTCGCTTGGCAACATCATCTCCCCAACTCAGGTCATGGACGGCACACTCCTTCCGCCTATTAAAATGAAGGGCAAGGCCGCCAAGGGCCTTCCGCCTACCTTCAACGCACTTGGTGCCGATATGCTCCGGCTGTGGACGGCGAGTTCCGAGTATACACGGGACGTTGCCATTGGAGAGTCCGTTCTGAAGAATATCCAGTCTGCGCTTATCAAGTATCGAACTATCATGAAGATGCTTTTGGGGTCGATGCACGAATCCGCACGAACAAGCCCACTCACCGCGGTGGATCACATTGCATTGATCCATCTTAAGGACACGATGCAAGAGGTATCGGCGGCATACGACAATCACGAGTTTTACAAGGCGTTCTCGGCCCTGAACAACTGGGTCAGCACTGGGCTGTCTGCCTTTTATCTCGAGGCCCTTAAGGATAGACTGTATTGCGGTGATGGAGGTGGTGTCCTGGAGCCCCTATTTTTTGGCTTTTCCCGGATGCTTTCACCCATGACGCCGATGCTTGTTGAAGAAGCATGGGACAACCGGCCGGAGTGGATGAAGGCTGATACGTAAGTACCCTATTTAACCTTTTCGCCATTCAAGGAGAAATCTGTGTTGTACTAATCAATTTCTCAGTTCCCTCGTTCACCCTCTCCAACAACTCTACGATGCGCCCCTCTATCCCGCGTCTAGGTTCAGCATGAATGAAGAGGAGCTTAGGAAGGATATTCCTGTCATATTGGCTACCCATGCTGCTGTGAAGTCGGCGCTTGAAGCAGCCCGACTTGCCAAGGCCCTCGGTTCTTCGCTACAAAGTTCAGTCGTCATCTCCGTTCCCGAGGGAGATGTAGCTGCTGCTTTGAAGAAGTATTCTGCGGAGCTTGACGGCATGTTTGTCGTCTCCTCAGTAGACATTAATGGTGAGGTTCCCGAGTCTCCTTGGGCGTACGAAGAGATCTTTGAGGTCAACGGTGTTCAGGGCAAGGTCCACGTCCTACCACCGAAACAGCACAAGTGTGGGAGGTGCTGGCGGTATTTGGCCGAGAAGGAGGATAGTCTTTGCGGGAGGTGCGAGGATGTAGTCCATTCCGTGTAAAATAATGTACATTTATAGAATCTAGACGCAGATAGACTTTTGTATCATTAAATGAGGTCCTCACTCAAAGCCCAAAGGTCTAGACGCCAGGCTCATCCCGCGTGTAATTATCGAGAGTTTGGTTATTCGATTATCGGTGTTGTTTAGTAATCGGTTAAATTCCACCAATGAATCTTGATTCCTGCATGTGACGACGACATCAACCTGCAGATGCCATCCAATTCCCAAGATCGACGACCGCCAAACCACTTCAAACTTCCCAAAAGACCTCAGACTCGAATACGCTGAGGCTACCGACTGCGATTTCAAATTTCAAAAGGAGAATCTCCATCGTTGCCATGTTTTAGGCCCCGCCCATATCTTCACAATAGAATAGGGGCCGTGGCCTAGTCGGGTTTCGATAGCACGCCACACCAACGGAATGCAAAGAGGGCCCTGCGATGCCATGCATGTGAAAATAACTTTGCAGTTTCCGTTGCAATGACGGGTAATAATGATAGGTTATCTGCGAGCATGCAAGCAGAGCGGCAGGGCCGTGTGTCGATAGTCGGTGAGGGGAAGTTTTGGACCAACGAGCCGAATACTGCGAGAGATACGATGAACGAGCCTAGTGAGGCGGCGGTGGCGGGATCCCCCTCGTCTTCAAAGGCTGGGGGGAGCTCGACGGGTGAAGGAGTCCCCGTCACGACTACGACGTCCAGGCTATCGCGAACCAGCCAGCGAGCGCAGAAACCACGAAGGAGTGGGGGATTTTTATTACAGGATACCGTCGTAGAACAACCAGACCGAGCCGAGGAGAGTCCGCCGCAGAAAAAAAAGCATTCCAGGAGGCTTTTGCAGAGCATAAGACCGAAGAGTTCGAAGGCGCATGAGAAGACCACCTCTGCGATCAGCCGCGAGGCACCTGCAACAATCGCCGAGCAGGACACAACGCACACTCATCCATCCTCTCCGCCAAAAGCCGAGTTAAAGGTCAAGAAGACAAGAGACCGCTCGCAGGATCGACCGACTTCTGCCGAGCAGCCGAAACCTGAGCGGTCTGGCCTGGACGTCGAGTCGGCGCAGATTGTGGATATGGCGCTGCGAGTCAGCCAGTCGAGAAGGCTGGCTACGCAACGACCGCCCTCCCAACAAGTCCCGCCTCGCCTTAGCCCGATTCCCGATACTACGGCAGTGAGCAGTTTACGACAGCACCTGCTCCAGCAAAGAAAGATATCTAGGAACGGGTCCCCTCGACCGGAACGCGCAACGTCGCGGAACGCGCCAGGCCTGCGACACGCTCTCGAATCCTTCGATGTTACAGCTCCTGATGGAGGATTTCGCTACCATGTTTCGCGGTCAACTCTTGCTCGGGTACAGAAAGCCAAAGATTATATTGAGCTCATGGCTCAGTATCGTCGGTTAATCGACTACATGCCCCCTCTCAGAGCCACCGGCGGGACCCATCCACCTCCGACGCCGGCATCGATGCGATCCTCCCCCCAGACCTCGACAACATACAATGCCCTCGGTCGCCCGTATAATCCCCTCCAATATATTCGAAACCGCAAGGTGAGAGCACGAGAGCGGCAGGTAATCGATGGAAATGCACAGGGATTCAACGACGTGGCACAAGTCACAGCTTGGATTGACGAGATTGAACACATATCGACGAGTGGCGAACAGCCTTCGGCAGCTGAGGCCACGCCACCGCTTCCACTGTACCTGGGAGCGGAGCTGCAGGCGGCCGATACAACGGCAGCGTTAGCAACTTCGAGCACCTCTGCGAAGCCCAACCGGCCGCGGGTGGATTGGTTCGTTGAACCTGCAGACATGATTGCAGATGCTTACTGGCTCGAGCAAGGCAGCAATAAGCTCCTAATTGAAGACAGGCATTGGAGTCGGTTATATCCTCGAGGCTCGGAGCTGGAGGTGTCTCTTCGGAACAGCCTTCAGCATAGCGGCGAGCCCTCAAGTGCCGGCGTATCTCGGCCCGCAACGGGAGAACGGGTGGAAGACTCAGGACTGGACAAACAGCCTGAAGCAAAGGCCCCGAAGGCGGAGGTGGCAGAACCCTTTTCTGGCAGCCCGCGCGAAAGATCTCGCCTTCATCCCAGGGGCCAGCACCATCACCGCCACAATAGCTCGCTGCATCTCAATCACGACTTCCTTCGGCCTCAACGGGGATCGCTGTCGGATCTGTCCGACAGCGATCATGATTTCAAAGACAGCAGCCGGTTTAGGAGTGGGACTATCACGACAACATCAAAGGATATACTAGCAAAACAGATGATGGAAATGATCGCGAAGGAAGAAAGAGAGGGCGACGTGAGGCCTACCACGCGACCAGAGCCTTTGAAATCCCCGCCTCCGGTTTCTTACCGTACGCCGGAGAAGGCGAAGAATGTATCGTCGAAGCCGCCTAGCCGTCTCCACAGCCGTCAAAATTCGTTCAACAACGCCAGCGATTGGGAGGAGAAAATTCAGGAATTGTCTTCGTCCCTCCGTCATCGCCGGCCACAACACGCGAAATTGGATATTCCAATCGATAGTGCTCGGGAGTCACTTGAAGCTGTCCGAACGGCTCCCAACTCTCCTGAGCCCGGACCTTCTAGGGATACCCATCTCCAGATATCCCCCTTGCCTAGTCGCGGAGGTTCACCGACGCGTAATCCCTTTGCCAAAGTAAAGCAGATATTCAGGGACCAGGGCAGGGATAGGTACACCGTTAATATCGACGACAAGATCCGCGAAATGGACGTCGATACTGACCTTTCTAGGTGGACGGCCCCAGATCCCTTCATGAGCCAAGCCGACGCAAGCAGGTCGTCGGTTGAGGGCAGGCTGTCTAGTAGTTCCAATCGCCCTCAGATTGGAAGACCACCGCAGGATCTCGGCAAGGGCCATCGTCGCTTGTCTAGTCTCAAGACAAAGACGGATGACGCCGGCGGGATCCGAGGATTGCTCAAGGCGCCTAGTGCACGTATTGACACGGTCCTCCGAAACTCAGTGTCGAAACTGGGAGACATAATATGGCGGAAGGAAACCGACCAGACTGACATGGTTCTATCCGAAGGAAGCATCTCGTCTGATTCGGATGGCGAAGGTCGGGGCCGAGGAAGACGGGGACCTCGTCGTAGCAGGGATGACTCTACGGCGGACAGATCTAAGTCCTATCTTAGCCAGATGCCGGAGTTCCATCACACTGGGCGGCCGCCAACCGCTGCTCCGGGAAGCGGCCGTGGCACGCTGAGTGATATCAACGATTCGCGTCGGCAAAGTATCCAGTCTCGCGGTGGGTTGAGTGACGCCAAGGCTCAGCAAGCCAGCAGCCAGGCCGTGAGCAAACTCTCACTTGATGAGTGCACGGAGTCGTTCCTCGAGTCCGTCGCGAAGGACAAGGCAGCACGAACTCACGATAAGCGACTGACGGCGATGTTGTCCGTCCCGCCTTCTTTCAACAGCTCGAGGCACTACTCTTCCATGTCTCGGCACTCCGACCATCGCTGGTCCACGACGACGAGAAGTCGCTCGCCGGAGCAGCACGCGCCCCTTTCGCGACGCGAGATTGCTCGGCTCCGCGCTCTGCTCCTGAGCTCCGGCGTCATGGCCATGGAGATCGCCCGTCGCGCGAACCACGCCCGTCATCTCTCCATAGAACAGCCACGGCGCACACCCAGACGAGAGGAAGGAGACTCGGACGGGGACGCCAGCGACACGTCGTGCGGCATAAACTGGCGCGAGATCGCGGACCTCAGCGCAGACAGGAAGGCCTTATGCGCGCAGGCCGTATCTCCCGCGGACACGCTGCCCTTCGTCGGCGGTATCCTCAACGACTCGGTCAAGACCTCGACGGATAGATGGCAAGCCTCGGCTGATAAATTCGCCCACGAGACGAGTCCCGGCCTGCACGCCGACCTCGAAGCCCTCCGCATAAGACTCGGCGTGGACCTCTCGTCGATGGCGCGCGCGGCTTGCGACGACGCCGACGAGACGAACCGCCAGGTCGCGCAGACGCAGAGGTTGCAGGTCAAGGTCGTGGTGGACGTCATTGAGAAGATGCTGCGTAGGAGACGGCGGCGGTTCAGATGGGTTAGGAGGGGTCTGTGGCTGGGGGTTGAGTGGGTGCTTGTGGGGTTTATGTGGTATGTGTGGTTCGTAGTGATGATTCTCAGGGGTATCTTGGGTATTGGGACGGGAGCTGTCAGGGCTGTTAGATGGCTCTTGTGGCTGTAGAAGTAGGACTTGATTTTTGGCATCCATCCACCTCATTCATCTTTCATTTTTTATTTCCTTTTTCTTTCCGTTTTTACTAGCCCATATTACCCCTTCTTTTGCTTCGTCTTTTTCGAGGAGTGCGGAGTGTGTTTTTGTTTTAATTATACCAATGGAAACAATGCATCAGAGGAGTTGTGCAATATGAAGCTATCGAGTCTTTTTGGATGAGGATAGAGATATTCGAACGAAGTTCATTCGGGATCCATAGTCCATATATCCTTTTCAAGTCGGTAATACCAAGTTACTTACTCTATTATCTTTCTCAGCCTTGTGCGGTGACAATCTAGCTCTTATTTCTCCATCTCAACGACCAAGTAAAGTTTTGACAGCCAAGAAGGTATCCGTCACCTTCAAGAGCATCACTCTAACCCTCCATGAAGTTATGTTGGTTCAGGAATATGTACCGTTGCTTCAGTATTAGACAGGTAAGATTATAAACATGGAAGATATAAAAGACGACTGGAAAGCCCTCAGCCGCACTGATCCGCCGCAAACAGATCCTACACTCATCATTTTCATCGACCCATCCTCCCTTTCACTTAGAGTGTCAACCAAGCAAGAACACCCACAACAGCAACAACCCACGAAACACCACCCAACCTCGCCGCAGAACTCTTCTCCTCCTCCTCCGCAGTAAGGGCACTCTTCACACCCCCAACCACATTCGGCGCATCCCTAAAACTAGTCCCGTTCCTCTCCCCAACATTATCTCTCCCAACGAGGAACGACTCCGGCGGGCCGAGGTACGAAGGCCGCAAGCCGCCGAGATCGACGACGATCTTCTGGACGATGATGCTAGGGAGAAGCGACCAGATGCGCAGGACGTACTCACCCTCCTTCTCTACCTCGAAGGACGAGGTAGTAATGTTGGAGCGGAGACCCCAGACGGCGTCGGCGACGGAATAGCCCCAGAAGGCGGGCATCTGCGTACCTTCGGTCTTGCCGACGGGGGTGACGATCGTAGGTTCGACGTCCTCGGAGCCCTTGGGGAAGAGAGCGATGGCGTACTGCAGAGGGTCGAAGTCACCGAGGTAGTTGTGCGAAGGGGAGAGGTGAAGCGTGACGTTGGCGGTGGTGTTGGTGTAGAGATATAGGTTGTACTCGAGCGCGGGGCCCTCGCCGACCTTGAGCTTCTCGATACCGAGGGGCACGAGACCCACGCCAGAGGAGGTGCGGCCGTAGTTTTTGAAGGTGTGGTACGTGAGGGCTTTGTCGTCCTTAGTGCCGGGGACGATGGACTGGTAGTGCTCGCCCTCGATGGAGACGACGCGGTCGGACTCGACGAAACCCTTGAATTCCTCGGGAGGTGGGGATCTCTTGATGACGGGGACCATGACGCGGGGCTCCTGGTAGGCGAACCTGTCGAAATTACGACAAGGAGTAGTGACGTTGATGTACAGCGTCTTCTCCGTAAAGTCCTCGGGCACACTCTCCCAATCAACGGAAACAAGCACGCGAACATCCTCACCTCCATCGGAACCGACCTTGCCACTATCCTGGGACAGCTTGAGCCACGACACTTCAGGGGCGGCGCTCCACTCGCAGGTATCGGTGCCCCGCCAGAAGACGTCGAAGTAGCGGGAGGCGGGGCCGTGGGGTTCCAGGGGCGGGAGGACGAGGTCGCTGACGGTGTTGCCGTGCCATTTGTCGTCGCCGGGGACTGTGGCGTTGGAGCCTTCGACGCCGACGCCGACGTGGCCGGCGAGGGAGTTGACGGTATTTTGGACGAAGGAGAGGGCGGGGAGGGTGTTTCGCATGGGCTGTTGCCAGTAACCGTCATAGTTGATGTGGGTTTCTAAGTCAAGGTTTAGTTTCAATGTCTTGAAAGAATATCCATAGTAAAAAGGGGGGAAACTTACGGTCGAGCATGTGTGCCCATTTGCCATCGAGGAGCTTATCCCACTCCTGAGTAAGGTTGCCATCTGCATACAAGAGATCAATGCTATACTGAAGCAAGCCGTTGGCGGAGTTCCTCTTCTGACCCGCGTACAAATTGTTGCGAGCGGCGGCAACGTTGATCTGATGGACAATCTCACCACCACGAATAGGGTGAAGGACGACCTGGAAATAAGCGGGCTGGAATTCCTTGTCGAGCTTGTCATAGATAGACTGAGCATCCCGACGTAGCTCGGCCCACTGAGCAAGGACAGACTCGGCCTCGTAGTAGTTGATGACGCTGTATACATGGGGCTCGAGGAGCTCAAACTTGCGGCGAGCGGCGTAGAGGCCATATCGGTTCACGACGTGGGCAATATCCTTGGCGAACTTGGGTCCGAACTCACGCTCAGCCCAGGCCTCAAGCCACTCAGACGTGCTGTCGACGTCCCAGCGGTCAGTGTCATACGCGAGGTCGAGGAAATGGGTGATGGGGATCTCGAGGGGCTTGAGATCGCCGACGTTTACGATCCAGATGCGGTCGGCGCCGCGGGACTTGGCTAGATGCATCTGCTCGGCGGTCTTTTGGAGCTGGATGGTGTTGATCCACTTGTAGTCGCGCGGGTCACCGACGTAGTCGAAGTGGTAGTAGACACCCGCGCCGCCGGAGCGTTCAGTCTCGTTGGCCAGAGGGAGGCGGCGAACGTTGCCCCAGTTGTCGTCGGACCAGAGGAGGGTAATGTCCTCGGGGACATGGAGGCCCTTTTCTTGGTAGGTCTGGACTTCCTTGTAGAGACACCAGGTCTGCGGGACGGTGGTTATGTTAACCTCGAGTGCGTCTTCGATGATGGATCGCTGATTGGCGACAAGCTCTTCGAGCATCTCCAGAAGGGCGCTGAGGCCAAGGCCACCCTCGATCTCGGTATCGCCAGTTCCTCTCATCGCCATGGTGAACAAGCTATTCTTGGCATAGGGCTTGGCACGAAGAGCACCGACACGGAAGTAATCATCGATCGTCTCGTTGTTGAGGTTGTAAGCCCACGGGCCCTCGTAGTAAGTCCGGAACTCGTTCTGACCACGCATGAGCGGCTCGGTGTGGGACGAGCCGAGGACAACTTCGTAGGCATCGGCGAGCGGTTGGTTCTTGGGATCATCAGTGTAGTAGATGGATCCCCAGAGAGTGGGCCAGAAGTAGTTGGCGCGGAGACGGAGAAGCAGCTCGCAGACGAGACTCCAGAATTCGTGTGTGTAACCAGCCGCGCCGTTCCAGGCATCGGGGAAGTTGGAGCTGTTATTTGAAAACGTGAGTAATAGAAACGCTTTTATGAAGATGAGGCACTTTGTGACTTACGCAACCCAGTTCGTGAGACCCGGCTGTTCATCGTTTAAGAAGAAGCCCCGGTACTTGACCGAAGGTGACTGCTGCACCTTGCCCTTGGAGAGGACGTAGATGTCCTTGTGCTTCTTGGTCGGGACATCAGTCCAGAAATACCAAGGACTCACACCAATCTGCTCGCTAACATCGTAGATACCGAAAATCGTACCACGGGGATCGGCGCCGGCAATGACGAGAGCCTTCTCGACACCCTCGATAGGGTTCTCGACGACCACACTGAGAAACGCCTCCCATTCGCCTTTGATCTCAGAGACATCGATCTTACCGCCCTCGACGAGGCCGTCGATGAGGGAAGACTTGCCGATAGTTCCCGCGAGAATGATGGTCTTGGCCGGATTGGGGTCAGAGTATGCGGGGCCGGCGAAGGATTCCTCGTCTAATACCTTGTACTGTTAAAGCGGAAGCGGGATATGTTAGCTTCGTTCTGCCTTTTTCGCATGTCTTGGCTTGTTCTCAAGAACGGAAAGGTCAAGCTTGAGTTTGACTTTAGCCGAAAGGGGAGGGATTCGGGTGGAGGACAGCGTGTGGGTGACGCTCCATTGACTCGGGATATGCACCCTCCCCTTCTCGGAAAGGAAAGCGGGAATCCGCTCCCGTGTGTTTGTGGATGTGCTTGATTGTTGTAAGTGAGGGAGAGGGCGTCGTGGTGGGGAGATCATCCTGGGCCAACACCAACAGTCGACATCACATTCCCTCACACCCACACAGGCGGAAGCATATGCACGGCAGATTCGATATGAATGAAGCAAAGGGAGCGGATGGACAGTTAACAGCACGACTCCCCCAATGCCCCCAAGGAAAGATAGTAGAATAGAAAACGTTGCGGGGTGCAGGTGCAAAAATAAGAATTGCCAAGAAATCACCTGTGTAGACTTACAACCGTGTTATCCGACACATCAGCCGGCTTAAACTTGTACTCGGCAGGGGACGCGTCCGCCTCTCCATTGCTAAGCGTGTAGTTTGTGCCCGTAACGCGACCAAAGTCGATAGCGAGATCGCCCGCGGCGCGGACAACGCCCCAGTATTCGTCCTTAGACACGCGGATCTGACCGGCCCCGATGTCGCCGCCGGCGATCTGGAAAGTGTCGTCCGAAGACTCGAACGTGATGATCTGCTTCTGGCCAATGGCGGAGACTAACGGAGCTAGACCCGCGAGGGCTGCCACCGTGAGGGCTTTGAGGCTCAAGGGAGCCATGGTGTAAGTGGGAGACGGACAGAAGGGGCTACAGTTAAGGTGGCAATTAGCGGACGGGGGGATACCGGGGGAGATCGTCAATGGGCTCTCCGTACAAGCCTCACCAGAGTCTATGAGAGAAGCAACCTTGATACCCTTCCTTTCGGCGGATATGGCTTCACATCAAAAAGAAGGGAGGTGCCAGTTGAAGGGATGGGAGAAGCAAAAGGGGGGAAAAAAAAAACCTCCCCATGGGCAAGGGAACCGGGAGGCTTTCCGGTCCCTTTATAGCGAACATAGAGCTTCCGTGGTATGGTTCCATTTCCAGCTACGACAATTGTTGTTATATGCATGGTGGCATCACGGTGTACTATACCCGGAGAGCTGGATATATTGACTGGTCCTCAACCAGAGAAGCAAAGCAAATGGCCTACCGGGAACGCGAGCGGCGCGCAATTAACGGCCAGAGATTCGCGGGGGATGGACGCGAATAGATGAGTTTGACATGATGGATCAATGGTTCCCTGTCGTCGGCCGCTACGACGCTGTCGTACCGGATCATTCTTCCCGTTTCCCTGCCTCCAAACTGACGACTGCGACTGTAGATTGGCACTATCCCCATGGAAAGGATAAACATATTTGATCAGGCGTGATGGCGTCGTATTGATGAACCGCCAAGACCTGTCGACGCATTGTTACACTTGATCAAGTCAGTTTCTGTTTTCTTCTTTATATTCTTTTTCTTGGAGCGGCTCCGATTGAGGGAGGGAAACATTCCCCAGGGTAATTCGGGATGAGCGGCCGATTCTAGGGCAGAACGCGGAGCTCGACACAGAAATCAAAGTCGTGTTCTTAGGCGATGATACATTCATCTCTCCCGAAAGGACCAGTGGCACGACCGAGAGAGTGTGGGTAATAGCATAACTCCCGTTGCCTATTCCAGCAGGGTTTTAAGTCGGGGAATGGAGATGGAGAGAGGGCTGTTTTCCTTTTCCTTTCCGAGTGGGCGATTATTTTCCCTTCCCGGACATGCGAGCAGCGGGTAAAATGGTTGGACCGGGGGTCAAGGGACAAGGGTGTTTCCTGCGTATGAAGGAGAGGTCATCGGTGTTCCCTTTCAGGAGCTTGGCGATGACACTTCACGATGAAGGCATTAATGAAGGAAAATTGAATATGGGCTGTTGGCAGGAGGCTTGTTGGGGAAGTGGGCGGGGGGCCTGAGAAGTTAAAGCCGACAAGAGTTGAGGTTGTTGATATCTCGTCATCTTGGTCATTGGGCAGGAGCGACAAGTCCTTGTGCCTTCCATGAGTTGATACTGCTCAAGCATTCCCAATTTCCAGTGTTGAACTATCCTCCTTTAAGAGCTCGCACCTGCATTTTCATCACCTAGAAAATAGCACATGAAGCCTAGTTTATCATTATAGTGCCCCAGATTACACAGCACCGCCTGACCGGGGCGGCATCGACCTTTAACCTCCAGCGAGGAGAACAATTAGAACACGCTCCTCTATCGGCCGTTGACAGACGGGACCCAAATAGGTACAGCGAATGCACACAGGCGCTACGTGCGGGGTAAATTCAGAAGCCTGGGCTCCGGGTAAGAGTACAGAGAAGAGAAGAAGACGGGTGTCGGGGTAATCGGAAGAACCAGGATGGCGTGGACCGAATAACAGCCAAATCTGGGCCCGGGAGTGGTCCTGATTCGTGGGGAATCTCTCGCCAGGGACCAATGCTTTTGAGGTCAAGGTATACAGGAAACTGGGATCATGGACGTGGATTATCAGATCAAAATGGCAGGGTCTCGACTGCGGGGGAGGAGGAGAGGTTCGAACTGAAAGTTGGAGGAACTGTCAAAAGGGTCGGATTGGCATTGGCATTGGGGGATCGTGGGAAGATTGTCTGGACCAGACGGAGCCCTTTGCATTTAGCCGCGAACAACCTCGCCGAGTTGAGTCGTCGGCTTCTCTAATTAAGGTACCAGAGACTGGAAATTGATGAAAAACTGTGCTGGGATATTGGGATATTACACTACGTCCTGTTTCTGATGGCACGGTACGCTGCAACCCAAATATCTGGATACCTCTACCCGCCACTTTCATGAGAAGGGCGAGCTCATGCGTATGATATATGCTAGCAGTCGAGCTTGTTTGTGATCGTGAAGAGAGAGAGCCACATGGCATGGCCCGGGGTCCAAATCAACGTTGGCCCATGGGTGATGGGGAATCTAAATGGGTTGCTTGTGGTTTCGCTTACATGAATTCAACTGTGATTAGATGTAAGTGTGCCTAGTAGCTTGGGGCACGAACCGCTCCGGTCCACTCATGCCTTTCCCCTCACCTTCAATCAGTCCTATCGTGCGAATACGGGCAATGATGAGCAAGCCTGTTGAAGGCGACACCAGTTACGCGTTCACACGTCTCACTTCTTCTCAGCACACGATTTTGATATTGCAATTGTAGTGTACATGGAACTATTAATAGGTTCCCTCTTAGCATTTGTCCCTTCCTATACCCTCCCATCCACCATAATCGCTCTGGTACCATCATCTATATCGCAAGAGGCTATCACCCAGGCTATTGCAACTGGTGCCCAACCTTCCCCTGCTCGTAGATTTCCGGGCACCGCCTGAGTTTTCGGCCCGGAAGTCCTTTTGCCTTGTCTTGTCCCGGCGCATATGAGCAAAATCATAAAACCGTACTCTGCATTGGGCCGGTCGCAAACTTCATCACAGCTTCAGGAATTTCCGTCCCAGACTCATAGCTAGTGGGGCGTTTCGATGCCATAATACTGGATTATTTTCTTCCTTCGAACCACAACCTCACCTCCAAACTCACTGAACCAAAGCGTATCTTGGTAACGCAGCCATCCTCTCCTCCGGACTGATATCTGCATCCGAGTAAAACATCCGAGATTTCTCCTTCTTCGACTTCTTCTCCGGAACTGCCCCTTCATCCTCGGCCTTCTTGGCGGGTTTAACACCCGCCTCGGCCATGCGGATGAGTCGGTCAATATCGTCTCCATGCTGCGCAGCTCCGGAGACAAGCTCGTCTACCGTAGAGGCAGCGCCGGAATAGCCCGGAGGTGGTGCCCCAGGACCACTCCAGTAACTTCCGGGGTAGGCCGGGCGTTGGGGGAGACCCGGAGGAGCGGGAGATGTTCCGGTCGGCCTAGCTGGAAGCGATGACGGAGGATAACTTCCAGGATATCCGGGCTGTGCGTAAGCGGCGCCTGGAGCTCCGTACTGTCCCTCTGCGGGATATTGTTGTTGACCTGCGGGATAAGGTTGAGTCTGTAAAAGGAAAAGAAGTTAGCTTCATGTTGCGCAGCATCCGAAGTATGATGCCAACAACTCACGTATGCACCTGGCGCGGCGCTCGCCGCGCCGTTCGATGGAGATCCACTCGTCCCAGCGGCCTTCTCCGCAGCCCTCTTCGCCCGCCACTCTGCAAGCCTCTTCTTGAGCTCCTCGGCCGTCTCTATCTTAATCTTCTTCTGAGGTTTGCCGCTCTGACCCGGCGTGGGGTTGCCCGTCGCGATCCGCCGATCCTCTTGCTCCTGATAGAAAGTCTGAATGATTCTGTTCCGGTGCTGTTCGAGGATATCTTGGGGAATGCCCTCCATTCCAAAGATTTCGACATCGAGGCCTTGCCTGTTAGGCAGTGCATTTTCGACTTGCGTTAATGTCTCCTTGTGGACTTGGTTCATATGAACTGAGAGACCTGGTTGGGAGTCACCCCCTCGTTAGCTCCGTGCATCTGAAAATTCTCGGTACTACAAATTGTATAGAGGCTGAGAGAGAAGAACATACCTCCTGCTGTGTTGAGGCGGCGACCGCATTCCTCGCATTTGAAATGCTTAGCCTTTTGGTGTGATATCAAGAGCTTGAGATCTTCAAAGTCACGCTCGCCTATCCAAACGCATTAGCAATCTTTGTATATCCCATTTCTGCAAATACACATCTCCAGTGTAGTCCATACAATAATAGCACCATGGTCGGCCCAATACCTCCTCGATATCGGGGTACTTTCTCTTCTTCTTGCCCATCTTGTCGAGGCGGGCCGATCGGGTCGCGCTTCTGGAGTGACGGTCGAGAGTGTAAGGCGATGTGCTTCACGGATGCGGGAAACGAAAGACGCTAAGTAGCAATCCGCCGAACGGCAGCGGATTTCCTAAAGGTGATGGGCAATGCGTGGATGGGGATGGCTGGAGGTGCCAATTGAAATCTGGGCCCTATTACTTCGTGTCGCGATGGCGACTGGCGCAGGTTCAAGCTCGCTCAGCGATGGGTCGGCCGAATAATTTTCCGCTATTAGTTTAAGCGAGTATTATCCGCCACACCTCCTGTGGGCGCAATGCTCCTCATCTCATTTCACATCTTCACGGGTTTAAGGGATATCTCTCCATCAGACCGTCCCAGGTAATTAATTGATTGCACTTCGAAACCAAAGGTGTTTATCGGCCGTCATACCGGCGTCCGCGCTACACCTACGAGTGCACATCTCCGGAATGCAGCTCCCAAGCGGTCGCATGACCCTCCCCAGCTCCATGAAAGGACTGCTGGGTGCATTTTCCATAGAAGCCTCTATTAGTATTGACCGAGCCTGTGCGAAGGAAGCCCGTAACATTTTTATCTGCGAAGCAAGGTGAGGTCATCTTGCATGTTGGAGGGGATGGATATATGAAAGCCCCTACTCCAAGTTGAAGGGGAACTCGACCGTGGAAAGAAAGCTATAGACTACATTTCTAGCGCTGGGGAGGTTTCTCGGTTTCTCGGTGTATTATATTGGGTAAAGCGCATGTGCTCCTTTAAGAGTGCTGCCCAGATCTGTTGGATCAGAGCTAGGTGTTTTGTGAATCTTTTGACCAAGGTTTGTGTTCGACTCCCAATGTCAAGTAGAATCCGATGGCAAAGTGTTGGGGAAGCTCAGTCAAGTTGCTGATGCGCATCTTCCATTCACGATGACGGCATCCGTTCTTGGTTTTGCCCATGATCTTGTAATCTCTTCTGCACCTGAATATGTTTCGAGCTATGCAGACCTCGTGACAGGAGGACTTCGAACGTAACGCTGTGGTGGACACAGTGGTCTGTATCTTAACGCATTTTCGTCCTTTTTTAATTCATTTTTTTATTCCTTTTCCCCTTCTTCTTTTCCCCCTTTCTTGGAAATATACTTTTAATAGCCTTATCCGTTGGTATTTGCGTGGACTAGAGAATGCTTTAATGGAGGTAGCTGCTCAGCGAGATCATGTCACAACCTGTCGCCAAAATCCGAGTAGAATCAAGGAGCGATGTACGTTTCACAGGATTTGCTGGAGTGGTGATAATCTTGATGTTGAAGGTCTGTATTTTCATGGCATTCGACAAAGCAGCTCCATCTACCGAGGTCGCTTCCCAGATATTATGTGAAAATAGGCTTGGAACTTTCTAATCCTGCCGGATGACGTTGAATCTTCCGGGTTGACTTCAAAGATTACACGTGGGGCCCGGGCCGGGGACGGAATTAGAGATCAAGACAAAAGGAAAAGGAACGGGTGACGTCATAGTCGGAGCTGCGCCAATAGGCAATGTTGGAGCCTCTGCATGCAAAGTATGAGAAACCCTCCATTCCGGGTAGTCCAAACCATCGATCGCACAGCCGGGGGTAGGTCGCCAACAGCTTGCAGGATTTGTTTGACTGGGGTCGGTTGTGGTCACGTCAATTCCGGGGGGGCGACAGAAGGATTACTGGCTCTACGTCATCGGTATCAGGGTGGCAGGCCAAGGCCATTGAACTGACAGATTGATGTACAAAGTACGAGGTAAGTTTAAACTAGATTACTCCGTACTCTGAATTCGCAATTCGAAACACTTGCCAATTGTTGACCCTTCCTGGCTGCATCAATTGATCTGCGGGGAGGATGGAAAAAGCAAGTTGCAACATCCTGGGTCGGATATCGACCAGTTGCAAGGAACACCTCCAGCCGATTTGAATCTGCCGGGTCGTCATCCATGTCTCCCCCACAACTCCAGGCGGGGGAGAAAAAAAACCTGCAGTAAGGGTCTCATTTACTTGGGTATGACAGAGGCCTAGAATTTCAAGCATGGCATTGAATCTTGCTTGGGGATGTATGCTGGCATTTATTGGCTTGCAGTATCTCTTGAGGGGTTAATCAAAACCCGAGAGCTGCGACCTACAAAGTAGGGTACCCAGGTACTTACTCCAAGAAAAACATGGTAAATTGCGGAAGGGTCTTGGGCGACGTCATTGATAACAGGGATCCGACGGTGCGAATGTATTTGCTCAAGGTTCTAGACTCACCGAACTCGCACTTGAATGCCGCCATTATCCTCTGTATTTCTTGGTTCTCGTGCGTCTGTCTTGAAGTGATGGATACAATGCAATCCGAGCCAAGGACAGACCAGCAGATAGCAGATGATTATCCGCTTCTAGGAAAATCCCACATAAAATGTTCGTCAAGGTCCCTCCTTGTTTCTTACAGGTAGAGTCTGGGTTGTTGCCACTTGTGGTGAGATGGTCCTCGTGCATTCGCAATCACAAAGACCTGGTGATCTCCGGAACTCTTGGCCAAGTCTCACTACGGCCGGTTGGTCCGGGCGAGAACCAACAGAGAGAGGCAAGGCTGCGGAATAGAATATGAAAAGCAAATCAGATGAAATTCTACATAAGATAGAACATATATGAAGGAAAATAATAAGAGAGTAGGTGGCTGTAAAAGCGGAACCAGTTCCTTAGCGTCCTTGGGCTGAACCCAGTTATCAGCAATTGCTTTTTTGTTCTTTGTTGCGCAGTCTCTGATTTGGCTAGTGCCATGGCAATCGAGGGAGCGAGGCAGGTACCCGTAGACCTGACCTTGCTTGTAATTGTATCCCCCAACCTGGTTTGAGCATGTGCCCATGCTCATATTGTTCTGCGACCCATCTTCCCACGACTGGTAACACATTCGGCAGCAATAACATGGTTTAATCGATGAGCTCTAGTCTTACTCCGTGGTCTGCCTCCTACAGCCCGCTTGCGAGCCTGCCTGCCACTATTGAATGTCTCTCCTGCATTGTGATTAACGCTACCTATTTGAGGTAGTGGCGCCCCGCGGGAGGTGCGCCGCCGATGAAGAAGTAGCGAAATGTGCCTTTCCCTGGTTTGGTGTCACAGGCCAGGATACTCTGGGGTCTGGATACTTGGACCTTCCGGCGAAGCGTACCGAAGTCTACAGCTGGATGGTCACGACTTCGTCTGAAGTAGCTAAGCAGGCAGCGACTGGTACCAAGGCGCTAAGTTGATCAATTCAATGACGACACTAACCTTGCCTTCGTTCCCTACAAAGTCTACAATACGGATGCCCCGATCAATGTCACTTTGGTCGCCGAACACTGTGACGTTGGTGGATGCTACAAGTTGACTCGCTCAGTGCAGTCAACTGTACTTCGAAGTGGGCGTTGATCCCCCTCGCCTTTCGCGCTTGTGATTTCTAAGGCAGTGGTCAAAGGTAGGTTTTGTTACTTCACAAGTGGTTCCCCATGGTCCCGCTTTCCCAAATTTTGTCAGAACGTCAGTCTGATGCGAATGTATTTGATCCCACGGCAACTCTGCGATCTCCACCTTCCCCCAGGCCGTCTGCTCTCTGTTCCTTCCCCCTCGAGACTGCTTCTCCATCCCAAGCTTGAAGCTTGAACCGATTCTTTATTCCCATCCCCCTTTGGCAATTCTCAATCTATCATCTCTCCTCCTCAACATCACGATCCGTTCCTAAAGGTTTACACCTCTCTCTCTATATTTGTTATATCACTAGCGGTTGCCAGTATAGCGAACTTTGCTACCCTGGATCAAGCGCAATTCCCGACTGGACCGGCATCTACACCAGGGTACTCTGCAACCTTCCAAGGTCGATTTCTTGGCCGTCCTTTTCCGCCCCTCTTGCATGCGACAGGCAAGGCGACGACACCCTTTTCCTCAGTTCGTATGCTTATTACCCAACCAACGCCCAGCCCCTAATTCTGCTTGTTTTTTCTTCCCTTCTCTCGCTCTCTAGTTTTCTGTTCTCGCCTTTCTCGCGTATCTATTGGCGTTCTATTAGTGTGTATTTCTTTTTCTCGAGCCTCCAAGGCTTTTCTTTTTACTCAGCCCTTTCCGTTCCATTTTCAGACCACTGCCGTCATCGCCCCTAGCGGTTAGATCATTATTGTCACTGTTCCTATCCTCGGCCTGACGATTACGTCCTACAGCCCTCACTCGGCCTGCAATTTGATACACTGGTTCGCCAAAATTAACCTCACTATTAGACCCATTTCCACAACCCCGGTTCGGCCATTGTCTCCTTAAACGTCATCGACTCCAACATCGGCGCTTAATAAGACGCTCCAGCTCCTTCCCCCCGCCCGCATCTCTGGTCCCGCCAAACAATTAAATACGTGGGAGGAAAAGAAGAGGGAAAAGGGCTTAAAACAAGGAAGACTGGAAAAACAGGTTTTCAACCTTCTTGTCCGCGTAATACAGAAAGGAGGCCCGATCGATTCCTGCTTGATCGCACTTGCTCTCGTCGTCTCCAAGGGAAAGAGAGAGCGCGAGATCATTGAATCTTCTTTTTTTGCTTCCCGCTGTCCGCGCGACGACGTAAAGGGCATCGAGATCAAAGCTCGCCGAGACGAGCGAGCGAGATCCCATGAACGCCATGTCTACGATACAACAACTCAAAAATTTCATCCGTCATGGTATGGCTTCCTTTTCTTCCGTTTTCCTCCAGCGGGCTTTTCTCTACTTACTTGAGAGTCTTGGAGCGCGCTTTCGCTGGGACGCATCTTTGCCGAAGACATTCTCATTGTCTTCTTTGAGACTTGATTGCACAAAATATAGAAACGCAATTTTCCGCGGAAATACTAACTCATCTCAAATCTGCGCAGGCAAGCAAGCTCGTGTTGCCGCCGATGACGCCTCCAAAAACCCGGAGGCACCCCCCACTGGGCAGGCAGCCAAAATTATCCACCATCACGCTGTCTCAGATCCAGCCGTAGTCAACGCCAAGTCTAAACGGATAGACGAGTCTAAGATTGCCAAGCTGGTAGCCGAGGAAAATGAGAGCAAATCCAAGTTTCCGAAGTATCCCGCGCTTGAGCGATGGCAATTACTCGAGAAAATGGGTGATGGTGCCTTCAGCAATGTCTACCGCGCCAAAGACCGACACGAAATTCATGGCGAGGTGGCTATCAAGGTCGTGAGAAAGTATGAGATGAACAGTCTGCAGGTAAGTTTTCAGCCGGAGGTGCCTACCTATAGATATAATCACTCTATAGGGACGGTCTCTCAGGTCTCGTTTTCCTCATGTCCAAGAAAAATAGAATGGAAGAAGGCATCTTCTTCCTTTCCTACCGTCCCACCTCTTATCCCTTTCTATTTCATTTCGGTTTTACCAACCAGAAGGGTTTCTTCAATGGAATAGGGCAACAGGCATCTCCACCCTGACTTCAAGAAGGAGCCCAAAGCTGCAGAGGTGCGGATATATTTCATTAGCTGTTTATTTCTACTCGGAATTTTTTTTCTCGCTCTTTTCGCACATCCTGAGACCACTCTCTGCTCTTTTTGTCGAGTGACGGGACCTTTCATCCTTTTGTTCCTTGCTTCTTCTCCCCTCCGCTTCGTCCTTGAAAGGCGGCGCCACAACGATGATGTTATCAGACCAACAGCAACGTTGATGACCTGGAATACTTACATTGTCGTTTACATAGCGCGCCAACATCCTGAAAGAGGTCCAAATCATGCGGCAGCTGGACCATCCCAACATCGTCAAACTCATCGAGTTTTCCGAGTCGAAGGAATTCTATTACATCGTCCTCGAGCTTGCGCCGGGCGGCGAGCTTTTCCATCAGATTGTCCGACTTACCTACTTTAGCGAGGATCTGTCTCGCCATGTCATCACTCAAGTAGCCAAGGCTCTTGAATATCTTCATGAAGAAAAGGGCGTCGTTCACAGGTATGTTAGATATGCCGTTGCCGCCCTGCTTTTGTGTGTCGACATGTTGCCATCGTGGGAAGAGTGTCCCAGCTTCGTGCGCAGTGCAGGAATTGCCTTCACTCGCTACAGTTACCGGCTTCACCTCATCCCAAAGGCGATCGTCTGATTGTGTTGCTTACCATGTATTATGTAGGGACATCAAGCCGGAGAATATCCTTTTTAGCCCCATTCCGTTTGTACCAGCGAAGCACCCACGTCCGAAACAACCGGGGGACGAGGACAAGGTTGACGAGGGCGAGTTTATCAGGGGTGTTGGTGCTGGAGGCATTGGTCGGATCAAAATCGCCGATTTCGGACTCTCCAAAGTTGTGTGGGAAAGCCAGACTATGACCCCTTGCGGTACCGTCGGGTATACAGCCCCCGAAATCGTCAAGGATGAGCGTTACTCAAAGTCGGTAGACATGTGGGCTCTGGGTTGTGTTCTGTACACTCTCCTATGCGGATTTCCACCATTCTATGACGAAAGCATCGAAACGCTTACAGAAAAAGTAGCGAAGGGCCAGTACACTTTCCTCTCTCCGTGGTGGGACGACATTTCCAAATCTGCTCAGGAACTCATCCGCCATCTCTTGACCGTTGATCCTGACAAGCGCTACACCATCAAGGAGTTCCTCGCTCACCCGTGGATCAGGCAAGCAGGGCCCACGCCAAGGGAAGAAAAGAAGAACATCCTGCTCGAGAGTGTGGCTGCATATGAAGTCGGTAAAGTTGTGGACGGCGAAAACAAATATGACTTTAGGTCACCAGCGGCGGTAAATCTTCGAGAAGTCTTCGATGTCAGCTACGCGGTGCACAGGCAAGAAGAGGAGGCCAAAATGAGGAAACAGCTTGGTATAAAGGTTGGAGGGCCCGAACACCTTAGCGAAGTGACCGAGGCAGACGAGGAGCAAGAGGGTGCGGATGTTATTCAGGGCCAAGCGGGCACAAAATCCCTCGAAACGAGCATGCGCAACACCAATATCCGAGACCAAGACACCCAGCATGAGAGGGGAAGAGAAAGGACACAAGCCCCTGCCCATCAACAGGAGAAAGGCTACGGCCAACACTCTGCTGCCGTCGCGGCTGCCGCCCGTCAGCAAGTTAGGGAAAGGCAAAAACAGAAGGGTGCGTTCGAGCTAAGCTTGGACGGCGCAACGCTTCTGGGCCGGAGAGGCATGAAGCCCGCGACGAGGGTTGGTGGAGCGTAGGCATTCTCCTCCTCCTCCCTTGGGTGTTTTGGTTGCCCGTCAAGAGGAGGAATGTTGGGCAAATGGTATTATAGGAGATTATCATAAATCACCTACACCTGAAGGCCGAATGCGTGCTGGAGTACACTGGACGTGTACGACGGCAATTGCGCCGATATCCCTTGCGCTCGGCGCGGGTGCTTGTCCGCATCTTCTTCTTTCTTCTTTCTTCTTTCTCTTTCTTTGGTTTTATTGGCTTATGAATTCTGGGATGGCGTGGTCGTTTCAAGGCATATATAACTTTTCTTTTCTCACCTTTAGTGCGAGGCATCTCGTGGTTTCTCGCGGAGCAAATCATTGGCGCGGAGTTGTTTTTATAGGAAACCGGGGAACAGTGTGTTTCGTGTTCGCTCTCTCTATCATGTTTGTTTACCTGTCGCAATTTGTTTACTCAATCATTGTGCTTTTGTCGACTCTTCCATTAGTTAGCTAGTTCTAATTGGGGGCATTTACTCCCGTCCTTGCTGGTGCGTCTCGCGAGTTGCTACAATTGGTTCTTCGGAGCGAGTGTAGTGTAATCCTCCATTGTAGTCTGCGTCTTCTGAGCTGCTTTACACCAAGAGTGTTTGTATGAACGGGCTGACGTTGGGTGGATATGGAGTTGAAATAGTTTGATTGCTTCGTTTTCCATACATTAAAAACAACCAGATATATGTATATATCACGAGTAGACAAGAAATCTAGATTGCCCTCCTCAAACATGCTGGTCATTCTATCAGTCCGTTCCACCGAACTCCTGTTCTCCCTCCATGGGGTTCCCCCATTCTCCTTCCAGTCAAATATACACTAAAAGCTTTCCGTTTCTTTTCCTCTTTGATTTTTCTCCCTTTTCACCACTCAGCGATCTCGCCGGCCTTAGGCTTCTGCATCCTGATTACCTTGTCGCAGTTGAGGAGGCAGAGGGGGTCCAAGGCTTGTTTGATCTGTTTCGCGCCAGCGGCGAATTAGCTTAGCCGCGCAAATGACAAGCTGAGGAGGTGTCTGGTTTGTTAGGGGGTAAGATTTTTTTTTTTCCCCTTTGGAGCTTACCTTTCTCATGGTGTCTACAGTGGATTCTCCGAGTTCGTGGGGGAGGTAGTCTCTCTTTACGAGGCCGACGCCGTGCTCACCCTAGAGGCGGTGTGTGTTAGCATACTTGGATCGATATTGAGTGATAAATTGGGTTGTTTGAAGGGGGGAAAACAAACCGTTACAGTTCCTTCGAGCTCGATAGCTCGCTTGACCATCTTGTGGACGACGTGTTCGGCCTTTAGCCTCTCCTTGTCGCCGTACATTAGAATGACTAGAAAGCCAGTTAGCAAAAAAACCTGAACCGAACACACCCGGGTCACGATAAGACATACTGTGGAAGTTGCCATCCCCAACATGTCCGACAATGGTACCAAACAATCCACTCTTGACCATGTCCTGCTTCGTCTCCTCAATAATCTGCGGCAACCGACTCATAGGCACGGCCACATCCCCCGTCCAAACATGATCCCCCTCCTTCCTCACAGCCATAGCGCTCCAAAGAGCCTCCTTCCTCGCACTCCAAAGATCATGCTGCTCCTCCTCGCTCCTCGCAAACTCAAACGTGGCGCTGCCCGTGTCCCGCGCCAACTTCTTCACCTGGCCCACCTGCTCCTTGACGCCGTCGGGCGTCCCCGCGAACTTGAAGAAGAGCGTGGGCGCCTCGGTCCACCGGCGCTGCGTCATGCCGGCGTCGTTGATGCACTTCATCTGATTGTCGTCGAGGATCTCGATGGCCTCGATGGGGATGCCCTTGCCGACGACTTGGGCGACGCAGTTGGCCGCGTGGCCGATGGAGGGGAAGGAGGCGACGGCTACGGAGGTGTGGGGGGGTTTGACGGTTACTTTGAGGGTGGCTTCGGTGACCAGGCCGAGGGTTCCTTCGGAGCCGATGAAGAGCTTGGTGAGGTCGTAGCCCGCTGAGCTCTTACGGGGGCGCTGGCGCGTCTTGATGATGGTGCCGTCGGCGAGGACGACCGTCAGCGAGAGAACCCACTCGCGCATGGTTCCGTAGCGGTAGGCGTTCGTCCCGCTGCACCCCGTGCCGATCATCCCGCCGATCATGGCGCCCGGGCCCGGATCGGGCGGGAAGAACAAGTTACTCTCGGCGAGTTGATCGTTGAGGCTCTCCCACCCGACGGCGGGCTGCACGACGACGTCAAGGTCATCCTTATGCAAGGCAACGACCTTGTTCATGCGTGCGAAATCGACGCACACGCCGCCGCGCGTCGGCGTAAAGTGGCCCTCGAGGCTGGTGCCGCCGCTAAACCCCACGACGGGCAGGCGGCGCTGGTGGCAGATCTTCATGATCTCGGAGACCTCCTCGGTCGAAGACGGGTAGACGACGAGGAAGGGCTTCTCGTCGGGCTTGGCCGGGTGCGAGGACCAGACGGAGGTGGCGTGGTGCTGGAGGTCGTTCTCGGCGGTGCTCACGTGTTCTTTGCCGAGGATGGCGACGAAGTCGGCCCAGGCGGCTTGGAGGTTTTCGACGTTGGCTTGGTGCTTGGGGGGTTGGGTCTTTTCGAGGGGGAGGGTTGAGTCTGATTCGGGTTCGCGGGGGTAGAGGGTGCCTAGGTAGTACGAGAGTCCGGTTGTGAAGAGGAGGGCTAAGGAAGGGAAGTAGCAGCCCATTGTTAGCAGGCACGAACTTCTTCCTTTTCCAATTGAGATGCTAACGAGTTCGATTTGCTCAACTCACCAAAGGTAAAGCTCCACCTCGAGCTATCAGCCGTCTTCTGCCTATGCTCCGACCACCTCTCCATCTCCTCCTTCTCCCTCTTCAACCGGTGCGAGATGCTCCCCATCATCTGGCCGCGGAACGACCGGCCCGTCTTCTCCTCGTGGGACGGCGGCCGGTCCTTGCCCTCCATGTCGGACATGAAGCGCGCTTGTTGTTGCGCCGCTCGGAGCGCCGCAGCGGTGCCGGAGCGCGCGGGTGGCGCTAGGGGCGTGCGGAAGCGGCGCAGGGCCATCTGGGCGGGGCGGTTTCGGAGGGTCATTGTTGGGGTTGCGAAGGAGAGAGTGGGAGAAAGGGGAGGGTAGGCAGGAGGGATCTCTCCCCCGTTTTCGAAGGACGGTTTGGACTGGGTAAGGAAGAAGGCTCGAGTGTTTGACTGCGGGAAAAATCTGTCGGAGCTAGATCCCCCGGTACGAACGAAAAGAACAAGACCGGACAAGCAAGGAAATGAAAAGAAGAAAAATACAACACACCCAGAGGTCGGGTGGAGGAACACAATTGAAAGGAAATGAAGGGAAAAAAAGCTAAACCCGCCTTCGGTGGGAGAAGCGAAGCAATTATTATATCAGAGGCAGGAAAGAAGTTGCTGAGGATTTTGGGATTTTGGGGGAGGAGCAACGGGCGCAATTGGATCCAATTGGGTTTCCCCAGTTTGAGCTTAACTTACATGTCAGATTCTTAGGTAATCACAAGTACAGGTATACTTCGCAGGCAACAGATCTCAACCAAGGATTTTGAGCCATTGCACCACCGAACCACCCCGGCAGCCACGGCAAGATTCGAGGGATTTTCTGCAAGCACGAGGGCAAAAAGGGAAGGACGTAGAAGAAAAAGCAACGTCGGCCAGGCGCGCCGACAACACACACATAAACCCCCAACTCACGCCAGGTCTCGACGGCCGCTTCCGAGCCCGAGAAAGGCCCGTATTGGCCAGCTAGGCCCGGCAAAGACGTGATTGCAGTAGGGCTGTAAACTGGAGTGCCGGGCGAGGTATCTATCTGCGGATTATTATTGGAGCGCCTAACTGCGGCGATCCTGATCCTGATCCTCGGGAGGCGGGGGACCCTGAGATCTCGAGGACCTCGGCGTGAGTTTACCGCCGTTAGGCGGAAAGGAATGCTACTCTGTGATAAGATCTGGCTAGTGCCAAATGGCTAAGGACGCGGGGAAACATTTAATGGACTTTGACTTAGGCATAGCAAAGAGACTTATCAAATATTACGTGTGAATGGAGTTCATATTGCCTCTAGTCTGGGGGAATAACCGTAGCTTAAAATCAAGAAAGGAGAAAAAGGGGAAAAAATCTCATGAACAAGCATTGCCCGAATACCGAAACCCTCAGTCCAGTCCTGCCTGCCTGCCTACGTGTGTGTATGATGCGAACCAACCCATCACGGCCCTTCAACAGCCTCAGCCTCTTCGCTGCCTACGAAGGGCGAAACTTCCACAATTTCGGATCGAAAACCACATCAAACGAAACATGGTTAAACGTCCCAATCGCACAGCTCAAATCATGATACCCCTCCAACCCCGTAACAGGCAACACAACATCCGAATCCTGCTCCTCATGCAAGCTCCACTCCCCATCAAGAACGCCATCCCTCGTAAAGAAGCATGTAGTCTCAATACCGCCATCAACACGCTCAAACGTCATTCCGACACCGTAGGTCTCGCCCCTCTTAAACGGCGCCGTAAACGACTGTCCACCCCACGTATCGTTGACGTACCTATGGCCATCGTCGCCGTGAATGGCCATACTCCCACGATGCCAACCCGGCAATCTGAAATTCGGATACGGCAACGCTGTGAACCCCAACGCCAACGAAGTCTCCTCGCGCCGACTATCATTCTTCACAAACACCTCGTAATACAGCGTATGCTTCCTCCCCGTAGCCAAAGGCGAATGCAGCGTCACGGCATAAAGCGGCGGATACCCAATAATACAGCTATCCGGCGCCGTCCTCGGCGTGCGACACTCCCAATGCCCCGTCGTCTTCTCGACCAACTCGCCCGTGAATCCCCACGGCTGCATGAGCCGGATGTTGTGCACCTGGAGGGCCGCGAGCGCGGGGGGGTCGAGCGTGATGGGCGGCGTTAGGGGATACTGCTGGCACCACTGCGCGCCGCGCTCGGCTTCCTCCTCGGTGGCATTGTTGGCGGGGCTGCGGTCCCAGCCGCTGAAGAAGGCGGGCGGAGGGGGGAAGAGCGCGGTGTCGGGGACGGCGTTTTGCCAGTCGTGGGCCGTCTTGGGCTCGGGGTCTTGTTGGCCCGGCGGGGGGCCTGGGGGAGGCGCGTAGTGGTCGGGCGGGGGAGGGCCGGGCGGGGGAGAGGCGTAGGTCGGTTGTTGGGAGTGGGAGGGGGGAGGGCCGGGGGGAGGTGCGTAGGTTTGGGATTGCCGCGCCGGCGGTGCGTACTGGGGAAAGGTGGCGCTGGGCTTGATCTCGTTGGCGGGCCTCGGGGCGAGGTTCTCGCCGGAATCCCGTTCCTTGGAGCCGAAGCCGAAGCACATGGTTATGGCTGCTCTTCTCTGGAGATCGAAGGTTTTTTAACTCTCTTTTTTTTTCCTGTGGCGAATGAGAGTGATCGCTTGCTGCGATCCTTGGTGCGTGAGATGGGCCTTGGGCCTAGCTATATTCAGAGTCGATCAATGATGATTGTCCTTTTTTGGCGCTCGGAATGGATGAGAAGTAGAAGGTGCAATGAAACGCAGCGAAGGTTGCACAAGAGAAGCGATCAATGCCTGGTTGGTGTTTCAACTTTGTTTGCACCAAGAGTTCAAGGACGGAGAGAATTGGAATGGGAATGGGAATGGGAGAAGGAGAAACAGAAGAGAAAGGAGAAAGGACAGGCCAACATCAATAGTCTTGGTGCTCAAGCAATTTGATGTTATCATACGGTGGCTGTGCTAGTGCGAAGCAGCCAGAATCCAGCAGCCAGTAGCTACTTCGTACACTACATGCGCTATAGCAAACGTGCCATGTGCTGTGCTAAGCTAAGGTTTGTGGTCCGTTCCGTTTTTGAGGGTCTCGCACCCGCTATGAATAACAAACACAAAGTAACATTGAACATAGCAAACTTGATTTCAGTGCATACGTCAAGTGCAGGCGGAGCAATCAGCAATCAAACGGGGGGGTTTACGAAGTACAGATCAATCAAATTGGAGCACCACAGTAAGCTCGCGCATCTCAGCCAATCTCAGGGGTCCTCAATTCCAGCTCAGCTGCGGGATCCACTGGAATGCGCCATTGTGCTTAGTGCATGCCACACGTGAGGCGGGTTTCTCCAGTTCCTGGTCGACGCCAACTTGTTTGGTACAAGCGCAAGCCACAGATGTTCTTGGCTGCATCTGAAGTATCCTCAAAGCATGCTAGTCTGGGCTCCTTGATATTATCGGCTCCGCGAAGGATTGCTTCGTACGATGTGGATGTGAGAAGGATGAACTGATTATCCGAGGTATTCCATTGATCTCCGAGGCGAGCGTCTAGTTGCTTCTAAGAAACGCTCTGGAAACTCAGCCATGGCTCATGGTCGATATTGACCTCTATGAAAGTTACATTGAATATAAGTTTACAAAAGTTAACTTTTCCCCGCCCAAGTCTTATTGTCTTGGAGGTGACGTCACGGCGCTGAGCCACGCCAAACATCAAGACCCTCAATGTTACACACCCCCAAGGCACCAAACGTCAATGTGCCAGCTCGAACGCCCAGTTGTGCCAAACATAGCCTCAAGGCATCCGTAACTTCTATCCGTAGAACCCCCGTACCTTCTATCAAAAATCTAGAAAATTCCAAATAAAATGAAACCGGGGGGGGAGACCAGTCTCACAGACCCGTCTCACTCACTCACAGCCTCCCCAACATTCGGATAATAAAACGCCACAACCCCAATAATCGCATACGTACACATCAACAACGCCCCCTCCAAATAATTGCTCCTCCCATCCAACACCAAGAAATTCACAATAAACGCCGAAACGAACAAACATACCGTCTCGAAGAGCGTGAAATAAAGCGTCATCTCCTTGTCGAGGATCCACCCCAGGATCACCACCAAGGGGGTGACGAACAGCGCGATCTGGATCGAGCTGCCCACGGCCACGCCGATCGCCAGGTCCATCTTGTTCTTCATCGCCACCGTGATGGCTGTTACGTGTTCGGCCGCGTTGCCGACGACGGGGAGGATGATGAGGCCGATGAAGGCTTCGCGGAGGCCGTCGGCTTGGACTACTTCCTCGATGGAGCCGACGACGTATTCGGCGCAGAGGGCTACGAGGCCCGTTGAGATGAGGAGGAGGACGACGGCTGCGGGCGTCGAGAGCCGGTCGTGCGGGTATTCCTCGTGCTGGAGGGACTCGGCCGCGTTGCCTCCCGTGAGCGCCATGAGGGGCACGTGGGGTGGGAAAAGCGCGCCGGGCGCGCGGTGCGGGGGGGGATAGGGCTGGTTGAGGCGGTCGGGGAGAGAGTTCGTGCGTCGGATGCCGTAGCGCACGCGTGGGACGGGTCCGGGAACGGGTCCAGGGGAAATTTCACTGGGGTCGGGGTTTTGCGCGAAGACGGGAGGGGCGAGATTGCGCACGTTCCTGACAGATACTCCGCGGATCGCAAAGGGGCGGCGCGGGGGCTCGGGATTAGACGTAGATGGGTTACCACCCTCGCTGGCCCTGCGCGGAGGGACTTCCTCGTCCTGGTTGGCAAAGTCGACTCGGCGAACGTCTGCATCCGGCACCTGATCCAAGACGATTGCCGGAGTAGCTTCGTTGGACGCGTCCCCGGCAGCATTGCCCGCTTCATCATGCGCCGCATGCTTCTTGTGATGTTTGTGATGTCTATGGTGTTTTCTCCTCCCAATATGTCTCTTTCGTCTCTTGGGCGCTTCATCATCGTCGTAGCTCTCATTGCCATCGTTAGACTTGGCCTTGGCGCGCTTCGAACTCGATCCCTCAAAGCCTTCGCCGTCTACTGCCTTCTTGCCGTTTGCCGTTCCATCCGAACCAGATAAGCTAGAGCCCGAGCTCGGCCGACGCGCCCTTCGAAGAACCTTTTTCATCTTCTTGCGAACCGTGTGGCTCGAGCCATCCGACTCGTCAGAGGAAGAGGATGACGAAGAGGAAGAGCTGTCGTCGGAACTCGACGTGTCCAGCCAAGCGGCTGCGGGGCCGGGGGTGGACTGGGCATCGACGATGTGCTGAGGCGTGGATTCGTACATGTAGGCGTGGGATTTAAGCTGGAAGAGGAGGTAGATTAGATACACGATGAGTAGGACCTATAGGACCTGTTAGCTTGTACGAGATACGGGAAAGAAGGGGGTAAAGCGGGGACGGGGAAGTGTGGAAACATACGATGCTGCAGATGCGGCTGATCTTGAGGGATTCCGAGTCCGCGAGGTCCTGGTCACGGAATGACGCGTGAAAGGCCGTCTACAAGCCATTAGCAATGAGCTCACCTCCACTCCAAGCTCAGGAAAACTTGGAAAACGTACCGGCAGGACGAGACTGATGACGCTCAAACTGAGCAGGCAAGCGCTCATCTGAGTGACAGTAGCATTGTAAATCTACAATCCCGTATCGTCAGCTCCGAGGTAGATTCAATGGAAGCTCAATGATTTGCCCACCTGTTCCCGGAAACGCAGACCTCCGAGGAAGAAACACATGCCAAGGATAAGCAACAAGTTGGACAAGATCGAGCCTAGAAGCGATGCCTGCACAATGCGAATTTGTCCCTAAACGACGTTGAGCAAGACCCGTTAGTACTGAGTCTCCCAGAGAATGGGCCGTTCCGTCCCCCGGCTTCATGCGGTTCATGGAACATACCTTTGTAAGGGCAATGCTATATGCAGTCAAGACAGCCACCTTGTCAGCCAAGCCTCCATCACCTCAGTCCAGGGAACTGCCTTCACTTCTATTGGCGATAACTTACATGCTATGTCCGAAAAAGTCAGTAAATTCCTCCCAATCATCAACGCCTACAATCCCAGTTCAAGCTTACAAAATAATCAACTCAACCGCATTCCCAAATGTAACATTCAACAAAGCTCCAACCGTGTCCCCCAGCTTAACAGCCACCGACTCGGTCGCATGGCTCAGCAACCCGGCAAGCGGCACGATGGCAATGCAATTAATGGCAAAGACCACGCCTCCGTGGATGCCCGGCACGTACTCGACAATGATGCCGACGGGCACGAACACGAGGAGCAGGTTGACCCAGCTGTGTAGGAGGACGTTCTTGACGTTGCGCAGGAAGCGCTGAATCAGGGTCGGCTTTGGGCCTTGGGGCGGGGAGCTTTCCGGGGAGTCGTCCGACGGTTCGGGCTCCTGGGCGATGGTGGAGCGGGTATTGGTTACCGCGGCACCGGCCAGTTCCTTTTCGTCTGCGCCATGAGGAGCACCGGAGGATGTCTTCGTGGAGGAGCTAGTCACATCGGGCTGGTCGCGATAGCGAGGGAGGACGGGTTGGTCGCGAGATTGGCCAAAAAGGCCGTGTGCTTTGGAGAAGAGACTCGGCTCGGCGCGAGAATCAGTCGCGTCGCCGGAGGCTTCCTTCATCGAATTTAAGGCGCGTTTCTGGGGATCTTCGACTTTCGGTTCGGGTAGAGGCTCAAACTAGACGCGTATTTCTCGATAACTTGGGCGGATTGAAAACACGAAACCAACGCTGAGCTACGTGAGTGAGTGCGCGACGAGGCAAATGTGTGTGAGGTCGAAGAGATGTCGCACTTTGGGGGGAAGATTTGAGTCTTCAGGCGGGAGTCAGAAAAACGAAGACCAAAAATAGAAAGAGAGCCAGGCGACTTTCACGTCATATGAACCCGATTGATGCTTCAAACTGATGAATTGGCTGGATTTAGCGTGTTTCAACTACAAAGGAAAAAACCGAGGAAGGCACGTAAATAATCTACTTTTACACAAACGACCTTGATCTTTCGAACCTTCCCTTGTTGCGCCTGACCAATTATCGCCACTGCACTAATCCCGGCCAGGAAGACCAGGAACCTTTAAAGTAGGGAGTGCTGACAGGACGAGTCTAGATCACCCCTTCAGCGCACGATGCTGAAGATCAGTGATAAGATCAACCGAGGGCTAAACCGACACTAACACCACAGGAGACGAAAGAGTGTGCGAAAGAAGTTGCAGGGAGAAGTTTGAGCTGCAGTGGCGCTCAAGCTTGCTCAGCCTTGATGGAGCTGGTGGAGCACTGGAGCCAGGCTAAGGACAGCTGAAGCTGAGGTTTCTCACAATAGTGTACTTACGAAGTAAACTAGAATACAACGAGAGCTTATTGCAGGTTTTTATTGGGGAAATAACCTAATTATTTTTTTCGAATTAAGAAAAACACCGTCTTCTTGACATGAATTCTAGGTTGTTGAAGTGAATGTACATGACAATCGATGGCGACCGAATCAGCTTGACATCATCAATTGATGATGAAGGCGTGTACAGACAATGAAGGATCATCGGAACTTTGGCTTGGCAGAGTGAGCCACAGCTGGCGTATGTGTACGTAGCCTTACCGCCCTGAAACGATCGACCGTAAACCCGCTCGCCACCGAAGACGCGGTGCGTGCGATGGCTGGCCGAACGAGCCCAGATCCAGATCACATCGCGTTGCTCCGTTCCTCCCAAAGCTCTCGAATCATAGCCTCTGGTGACAACTCGACAAGGAGCCAATGCGGTCCATTTGTTAGCAGCCCCTTCTTCGAGGGCCCTCGTTGTCTTGAGCCCCCGGTGAATTCCAAGGACAGGATTCAAACGACAGGTCAAATTTCTGGATTCTTCAAGCAACTCTCAATTCAGACAACTCTCGATGTACCCCAGAACTATGAATCCCAACACCAACCTTGAGTAGAAAATAAAAGAGTCAAAGTCTACACCGTAGCCTCTCTCCTGGCGCATTTATCATGACACGTTACTCCCGCATAGTCTTCTCTATCCTAAGAAACCCCCGTATCACACTCAATTCCCATCCTCGCCGAATACCCAAGGCATCACCGCGCTCAAGATGCTTCTCAACGCGCCCACCGCTCGCCACCCCAGGCGATCAAGAAGAATGGCAGCCAACATATAACTGGATCCCGGACGTCGAATCCCTCGAAAACTATATCCCCGGCGGCTACCACCCCATAATGATCGGAGACGTCTTGCACGACCGCTACCGCATCGTCGACAAGATTGGATATGGGGGCTATTCCACGGTGTGGCTCTCGTACGACACCCGCCAGAAGTGCTACGTGGCTCTCAAAGTTGGAACAGCAGACTCAACCCTCCGCGAAACGGAGACCCTACGAGCCATCTCTTCACAGACATCTATGCCTTTCCCTATCTGCTTGGGCCGTGACTCGATTCCTTCACTGCTGGATGAGTTTGAAGTCCATGGCCCGAATGGAACCCACCAGTGCTATACAATGACTCTCGCGCAAGGCGACCTTAGAGCCATTTCCTTCAGCCGGCTCTTCCCTATCGATGTTGCGAGAGCATTGTCCGGAAGAGTTGCGCTAGCTGTTGCTTATATCCACTCACGGGGCTATGTACACGGAGGTATGTAAACTATAGTCTGTCGTCTATAGTCTGTCTGTCGGCAAAGTTGATTCAGTCTCTCATGGAACGCTACACAGATGTTCACCTCAAGAACGTACTCCTCAAGCTCTCATCAAGTATCAATGAGCTCTCAATCGATGAACTCTATAAAAAATACGGAGACCCAGAAACCGTTCCTATTACCCGGTGCGACGGGCAGCCTCTGACGCCAAATGTCCCCAGCGAAGCAGTCGTTCCTCTGAGTCTCGGAGGGAGGGAGGATATACGCAAGTTCTCGCTATCTGACACGTCTATACTTCTCACCGATTTTGGTGAGGCCTTTGCACCAGGTTCAGAATCCCGCCTCGGAAAGGACTGCCATACTCCGTACGGCTCCCGGGCCCCCGAGGCTCGTTTTGAGCCGGACGCACCCCTGTCATACCCGTCGGACATATGGAGCCTGGCTACTACAATTTGGGAAATCATTGGCATGAAGGCCGTATTCAGCAACGAGTATGTGCCCGCGGACGAGATTACCGCCCAACACGTAGATGTGTTGGGGCCTATGCCCCAAAGTTGGTGGGAGCGTTGGGAAGCGCGCGCTCAGTTTTTCACCGATGACGGTCGTCCGTGCGGACGAAGCGAGCCATGGCCTACTCTCGAAACCTGCTTTGAAGACTATATCCAGAAGTATAGACGAGAGGAGGAGGCTCTCGGAGTATTCGACGAAAAGGAGAAGGCTACGATTCTGGACTTGATGCGTAGGATGCTAGCCTACCGCCCGGAAGACCGTCCGACGGCTGATGAGGTTCTGAAGTCGGAGTGGATGGTGAAGTGGGTGTTGCCCGCCGTTGAGCGGAGCCAAGAGACAGTGGAATGATTGCTGTCCTATCTCCTAGTCCTCACAGGACAGAATTCTAAGCTAAATAGCTCACGATAGGCGTATGTACAAGCGGGGAATCTAGGCTCTCTCTACATGTATAATACCATTTTGGGGTTCATGACGTCGCTCAAGGGGAAACGAGAAAACTCAAAGCCCGTTGATCAGTCGAAACAACATCAAACTCGAGACAACCGAGGCAACTTTCACAAAAGCCAAGACACGGATGGGCTTTGTCTATTAATAGTTACATCGCATCCAACATTGGCCTGTTGTTCATCATGACCCAACAGCATTGACGACTCCAATAGTCTAGGAACGAATCGAATATTCAACACCTAGTTCTTTCTCAACACCTCAAAAGCTCTCCCAATGCCTCTATTAAATAAATAGTTGAAAAAAAGCCTGTGACCAACCTAACGAACCTCTTCGCAAACCAGATCACGCCCCGCAAACATCGAAATGAGATTAATTGATGCATGTTATATGCCTATTATTTTGCAGCTTCCGGATCCTCACCCTAAATAATACTTCCATGTACATCAATTCCTCTTGACATCGGCCTCGCCCCTGTAGTAAAGTTGACTACTTTCCTTCCCTCCTCGCTATGTCTCCAAATATTCCTCTGGCGAATCTTGACAGCCCAGCAGAGGGAAGTTAGCATTATAAGGAATGCGATCCCTATGCCCAAAAGGGCCGACAGGCTCGCCAAAATGTCGATTTTCGAATCAAAGGCACGAGAGAAGGGGTTTGGAAGTAATGCGGCGAGGAATGTCGCGGGGAGGAATACAAGAGTGACGATTGTGAGAGAAGCTAAATCTCTGCTGCCTGTCTTGGCGCTCTTGGCTATGCGGCTGCTCGCGCTCGTCATTGCAACACTCATTTTGGCCTCTGTCTCTAATAAGAGAACATCCAACTTAAAGGGGGAAAGAAAACAATCAGCAAAATAATCCACACATTTCTGGTCTTTGTGAGAAGAAACCTACTGCTTTGGCCTGGATTTCGAGCCGGTCCTTGGTGTCCTGAGCGTAGCTCTCGATACCAGCCAGTCGCGCCTTGATGAAACCTATTCGCCTCTCGATTGACTGATGAAGTTTTACCATCGACGCCTTGTCCTCGAGCGGCAGTTCGTCCCAGAAAAGACCCAACGAAGTCTTCACACTCTCCAAGACTTGTTTCCATGTTTCCGGCCGCTCCCACAGCATATGGCCACGGGCATCGGCTAACATGCAAGAGATCCCGTTGATATCGGCATTCTTGGCCGAACGGCCTTCATAGCGCCCGCTCGGCTTCCTAGACCACCCGCTCAAGCTGTTCTCTATAGCTTGAAGGCTATCGCGGACCCGCCGTTGGACCTCTTCCATGTTGGTACATAGCTCGCGGTTCAACACTAGGAGGGGAAGCAAGAATGGATGGGCGGTGGGCTCGGCACAGGGCAGCAGCTCTTCGACCAGATGTTTGAGGTCAGTTGACGCCGCAGCCTTTACGTATCCCGACGTAATATGGGTCTTGAAAGAATAGGAAAGCGTCATTTCCCAGTTTTGCGCGGCACCGCGATGTTGGGAGTCCGATTTCCGAAGCACAAACTCTACAGGACGAAAGCCCCGATCGATTTTCCCGTTAGCTCCCGCTCTTCAACAACTTCAACTACTCGCCAGTATGTGGGAATTCTGCAGGCTAGGGCCCGATCATGTGTGCGGGTGACAAGACTTACGGAAATATCGATCCCCAACTTCGCCCACGACGTCGAACCAGAAGAACGACCCCACAATGCTAGATGTCTCGATGGCCCATCGAGGAAGTCGCATGTCGTCAACTAGGAACTCGTACGCGTTATTCGATAGTGATATCGTCTAGGGGGAGAAGGCATTCGGATCCTGAGCGTCGATGTGGAGACTGCATCACGGTAGGCAGGCGGGTCAGAATCCCTCTCCAAGCAAAGTAAGTACAATTTGATGTGAGGTCTCAGCATTTCCCGCGATTGATGTACATCAAGGGTTAGAGAAAAGAGTGAAGTGAGCTTACAGCAGCCTCAAACCGTTCGAGAGAAGGGCTTCATGCCGTGGCGCAAATATACCCTGGATATAAACGTTTCAGTCAGTCTGGCGGTGGACGCCAAAAAACACTGAGGTCGTGTGATAGAACATGGACGGGAATATCGTACGCTTCTGCTTAGAAACTTATTGTACGCGTTGTCGGCCAACGCGTCGAATTTCCGAGTGTTCAGGCGGCTGTCCTGTTTCGTTGTGTAAGACTCAACATCAGCAACACAGACGGACTGGGCCTCACGTACCGAGTAGTTTAGGATCTCCACGAAATGCATCGATTCTAGCGTGGTTTGACATGAAGTCAGACGACGCTTGAAGAACAACTCGTCCATGCGGTTCGTCATCGTCGTCGTCAAAATCTCCAAAGAGAAAGCGAGGTATAAGGGACTGGAGAACTTAGTAGATGAGGATTAAAGCGAGAGGGAAGCGAATACAGGTGCAGCATATAGAGGAAAAACGCAAACGCAAACGCAAACGCAAACGCAAACGCAAACGGAATTACTCGTTGGATTTTGATCCGAGACGAAGACGAGGCGACGGGACCGATTGGCCCTCGATGATTGCAACATATGCATCACCGCCACAAATCGTTGCTCTCAAGCCTCTGCCCGCAGGAGGCCGCTCACTTGTACGCCGGACAGCCTTGGACAAACATGGGCACAGGTAGCTGGTGCGGGATCTCCCTGTTAGCTACAGGACCATGCGTGTTAGATGTTTCTCCCGCCACGATACCAACTCACATCCCATCTACCATCTTCCCACAGTTCGCCCGGTACCTTTCTCTTCCGATCCTCCACATTGAAAAGAATGCGTCTTCTTGACACAGCTACCCTCCAGATTCGAGAATTTTCATCCTTGGAGATACCCCCCTACTGTATCCTCTCCCATACGTGGGAACACGACGAGGTCTCTTTCTGGGAATGGGAAAGGCACCAGGAGCAGCCTCGCACCCGCGAAAAAGCCGGCTTCAAGAAAATCGTGAGTTTCTGCGAGGTCGCTCGTCAACATGGGATAAGGTGGGCATGGGCCGACACATGCTGCATCGACAAGTCAAGCTCCGCCGAGCTGACGGAAGCCATCAATTCCATGTTTTCGTGGTACGGAGACGCCGTTGTTTGTTTCACGTACCTCAGCGACTTTGGAGGCGAGTCGAAAGCAAGCTTCGGGACTGAGGGCTTCGAGTGTCGCTGGTTCACTCGCGGATGGACGCTGCAGGAGCTCCTGGCACCCGAGAATGTCGTCTTCTGCAACCGTGACTGGAAAGACTTCGGGACGAAAAAGTCCCTGGCCCCCACCCTGGCGGAAATCACGAATACCGACGTCAAGCTGCTGCGGGGCGAGCGCGGCATTTTCGATTACAGCGTTGCTCAGCGCATGAGCTGGGCGGCTCTGCGGAAGACGACGCGTGTCGAGGACGTTGCGTATTGCTTGCTGGGCATTTTCGACGTTTACATGCCACTACTCTATGGCGAGGGAGGCCGGGCGTTCGCACGACTTCAGCAAGAAATACTGAGACATCACGCCGACCAGAGCCTGCTCGCATGGAAGGCATTGCCCGAAGTCTTCTCCGGCGAAGCGGCGACGAATGCCCGAGGCGTGCTGGCCCAATCCCCCTTCGATTTTCGCGATTCGTCCCGGATTGTCCCGGCCCGGCTCCCCGAACAACTCCCAAAGGACGGCGATATCACGGTGACGACCAAGGGGTTGCTTCTGCGCGTCCAACTGCGGGTCACCGGGGGCCGAACTCTGGGTGTCTTGAATTGTTCATCCACCGACCACCCACGCAGCAGGGTCGCCATCTTTCTCAAACCGATGGGCGAGGACGACACAGCACCATCGAAAAATCTCTTCCGGCGAGAATCACCCGCGCTTCTAAGAAACGTGGAGACCTCGGACAACGCGAGCAACTTTACCGAAGTCCTTATCGGACCGGTTTGGGTGAGCCCGTCCGAGCCCGCCACAAGGTTCCAACAGATTGACATCTCAGTCCACCAACACTTCGGAATCCACAAATGCTCTCTTCAGAAGTCGAAGTTCACAGTGTCTCGGGACAGATCTCAAAGACTCATGACTTACATTTACCGAATGGATTCCGGGACGGCCTTTGCCGTGAAGGCGCAGTGGGCGGAGTTTGGGGCGAAGGTGGCCGCCAAGGCGGAGATGAAGTGCACCGACGAGGAAAATCTTCAACAATGGGCTGCCGAATTCATCGACGCAACCAGCGACGAGGCTGAGGTGGTGATACACGCGGAATATCCCTTCCTCAGGGCTTGGGCGACCATTCGCTATGGTGTTCAGGATAACGCGAGCCAAGGCCACAGTCTCAATCTGGTTTTGCGCGTTGGTCTAGATGACGGCAACACGTCCCAGTCTGATCATTAGCATTGATTTGTCTATTTGTTTTGGGTAAACTAAGGTAAGTATCTTGTTCGCCACCCCGTTCAACTCCGGCGCCATATGAACAGCTCAGAAACAGCCAGTTCGGATGCATTCATTGAAAATGAGAGTGTGGTTTCAATCTAACCCATGTCAACTCAATGCTTCAATGTTGTATTAACTACCTTTGTAGCGAGCCTTCACTCATATCCCTAAACACCACCGAAACGAGGCCTCTACAACCGTAAAGTACCACGCTCGGCTTCACGATATCTCAAGGGGAAGTGAGAAAACTCAAGTACATTGATCGATCAAATATGACATCGGACTTGAGACAGTCGATGAAACCTTATAAAGTCGAGACACGGATAGGTGTTGTCTATTAATAGCTACATAGCATAGTATCCAATGTTGGACCGTTGTTCATCCTGGCCCAATGTTGACGACCCCCAGCAGTCTAGGAACAGATCAATATCAAATCCAGTTAAATCTCAACACCTCAAAAAGCTCTCAATGCCTCTATTAAATAGTTGAAAAAGAAAAGCCTGTATACTCTCTCTCTCTGTGACTCTGCGGGAAAATGTATTGGAATGGGATCCCTTTCACTTCGTTTCAAACTTTCGTCCAAGTTGCAACATGAACCAAATACTCCCCTCCTCCGTAATCCGTGAAAAGAACAACACTAGAAACAATGCAATTGAGGAAGTGTAAAATACCAAGGTATCAGAAATGAAGAGTTTGGGCCGGAGATATCGTATTAGAAGAAGAGACGACGCAAAAAACAAAACCGCAAACGGAAAATAGCCTTCCCCTTCGTCTCGTTAGGCGGGAAAGTAGGAAAGAGAGAAAAAAATCAAGGGAAAACGAAAAGAACCAAGCCAGAAGTCCAGATACAACAAACACAGCATGAGGCACAATACGTCCAGGTACGCCAGAAAACGCCACAGCTGTGTTCCCTCCGGAAGGTGAAAATAAAAAAACGTTCCGTTGCCTCCTGTTCGGTCTGGCCGCATTCTATGGCCCTGTGAGATGAGAATTTCAATGTTACGCCGCCAATCTGTGCAAATCCAACCTCCTCTTTCTTTTGCCTTCTCCTCTATCTCCCTTTCACCAAGAGGGGCTCGAGACTCGAGACTCGCCTGTGATGAACTAGACCTTATAACTCAGGTTCAGGCCAGCTAGGCGAGGCTATTATTATTACTCATCGATCATCGCCAGACCTGGCCTTTCCACGCCTTCGGAAAATGTCCATTACCCTGCGTGCGGCTCCGCTAGAGCCCTTGTGGCCGCCGGGATAGTCATCGTACGCATCGGCAAATCGCTTGTTCTTCTGAAGTACCTTGCCGCCCTTGGCTCCGGCGCCAAATCGTCGTCCGTCGAAGCCTTCTGACTCCGAGAAGCCGCCCTGGTAAGGGGACCCGACACCCTGGGCGTTATTTTGGTTACGGTGGATATCAATGGATGATTCGGATCCCGTGTTGAGGACTGACGAGTGCTGCTGGATGTAGGGAGGGATGGCATTAGGTCGTCGGTCGTACTGCTCTGGGATATAGCGTGGGTTCTGAACCGGGGCTTGAGCATGCGAGGAGGCCGAGACTTGGCCTTGCGATTGGTTTCGGTAAGCCGCCTCGGTCGCCGCAGACTCCGGTTGACGCTTCGCTAGCATCTCGTTATAGATGGGCGTGTTGGGCTGTGCTCCTCCGGTCTCCGCCTGGCCTTGGCGATCCGGGCCATGGTGAATCGGGAGAGATTGCTGCGAATTGCGATCGGACCCGAGTCCGATAGCTCGGGTAAGAGATGGAATAAGCGAAAACCTCCGCGATTGCTTCTCCTGTGAATGATGCGAGCCGTTGATGCTGCCGCTGCGCTTCTTGCCAAGGCCAAGCGAGAATGACCTTCGCGACTGCCTCGAATCCATCGACTGCCGCACCTCTTCGCCGCCTACAGCCATCGAATTGGCCATGCTGATAGGAGGGTATTTCCTGTTATTCTTCTCTGGCCCAGAGGATGTCGCTGGGGCACCAAGCGCCGTAGCAGTGTCCGTTCGCTTGCGGCTCTTGCCGAAGAGCGAACCGCTACGTCCGAGCAACTTCGAGCTGATCTCCCCGATGGTACTAGATCTCTTGTGTCCCTTGACCTCACTTGTCTGGGGCGGTGCGCCCTCGGTGAATCCAGACACCCTAGCAAATTTCGATGGAACGCTCGGTCGGCCGACACCCTCTACGTCATCGCCACCGGCCGAAGCTGGCTGCTGGATGCGTCCATGAACATTTGTTCCAGCAACCGCGGGAGGCGCCGGTTGCCCATACGTATTTCGTCCACCCGCTGTAAACCCAAGCGAGGCTGCCGACTGGATAGAACCTTGCGTCTGTGGACGTGCTGAACCATGACCATGATCCACGGCAGCATTTGCCGTGTAGATGTCGTCCGATCGGGGATCGCGGGGAGGTCGCGTTGGGGCCACGCCGGCCTGCTGTCGGTGTGAGCTTGGGGGTCCTCCCCTCGAGGATGTAGGCTTGGAGTACGCGTCTCGGGATACGGGCGGATCGCGTGGGAGTGGCTTGTCCTTGGACGAGGAAGCATTGGCTTGGGCCGCATCTGCGGTCGGCTGCGCACGAGTCTTGCTCGAAACAATGTATTCGCCGCGCTGAGTCTGGGTTGTGGGCGCAACATACTCGACTTGCACCGTACGACGCTTGGCATCCTTCTGAGCCTTGGCTGCCGCCGCTGCCGCGTCGTCTGTATCGATATGACCGTGCTTGGGAGTCAAGCCACCAACAGTGGAAGCAGCAGCAGATGTCTTGGGTTTTGCCGCTTCGCGCAGGGAAGCGCTCCTTGCGATTCCCGGGGCGTCGGCTTCCTCCTCGGCTGGTACTGTCGTATTTTTGATGTCGTCGGGGGTTGTCGTGCTGCTCGTGATGATCCTGACGACGTGGGCGTACTCGCTCAACCAGCTATGACGCGCCACCTCGAAGAGGTCCGCCCGTCTTCGGGGGTTGGCAACAAGTATTCGCTTGAGAAGATCACGGGCGTGTGGGGACACGTATTCGGGGAAGGTAAGAGGTGTGTTGACGATGTATTTGTACAAGAGGTTGATGTTATCTCCCTCTGGGTTGGCCGGATCGTCGTCAAAAGGAAGATATCCCGCAAGCATGGCATACTGAGATGAATCATAGAGGTTAGCATAAGCTCATGTGCCAGCATCATGGGAGAGAGTGAAGAGACAGAGAAAAAGAACCAAGACTTACCAAGATGACACCGCAGCTCCACACGTCAACTTTCCTGCCGGTATACAAGGAATCACTGACCACGAGCTCAGGGGCAGCGTAGCAGGGACTACCACAGCTCGTCTGCATCAAATCACCCCGGCGAGTCCCGTTGCCCTTAATCTTATCCAGGCCCAGCCTCTTCACAAACTCCCGGTCACTCAGGTTCAACTCTTCCTCTTCGGTGAGTTCGTCTTTGGGGTCGAAGATGTTTGCAAAGCCAAAATCGGTGATGATGATATTTCGATGGCGGTCGAGCAAGAGGTTCTCCAGCTTCAGGTCCCGGTGCACGATGCCCTTCTTGTGAAGGTAGCCCACGCCCGAGATGAGCTGGGCAAATAACCTCCGCGCAGCGTTGTCCTTGAGATACCGATGGTTCAAAATGTAATCAAACAGTTCGCCTCCGGAAGCGTACTCGAGCACGATACCTATTCGTGTGTCGTCGCCGATCATATCATGGAGGTGGACGATGTTGGGATGGGTCAGTCCCCGAAGGATATTGACCTCTCGGTGAATCTTTGCTAATCTCGAAGGGTTGTTGCCGAGGCTTTCTTTTTTGATAATTTTGATGGCGACCTAGGAGACATGATAGTTAGTAAAAGTCTGCCCATCAGGAACGCCGAAAATCTAAAGCAGCGGCAGTCGACGAGACTGTTGGAAGCAACTCACCTGAACTCTGTCATCCTGCTTCCAACCGAGTCGCACTTTGCCAAACTCTCCCTCGCCGATAACATTTCCCAGAATATAGTCGCCAAATTTTGTGTTCTTATCACGCTTGTTTGAGCGCCCATCGTGTCGACTCCGCCCTCCACGACGTGACTGATCGGCATAGTCACCCATCGCGACAACGGGGGGAGGAGCCGCTTCGTCGTAGGTTTCCGTTGCATCGGGCTGTTCTTGGGATGCAGCTGGTTTTGAAGGGATCGTGACTATGGCGCCGGTACGGCCGTCGCGATTACTGCTTACGCGCTCAGGAGGTTCCTCGGCCATCTGTTGATGTCTCCGGCGGCTTGACGATCCCCTCGATTCTTCGGCGGGATCGGCGCCACCGTTGCCGTTGGCAGCGCGAGAGGATTCACCGTGACGACCGTTCCTAGGGGATGCGGTTGCACGGTCATTCGGCGCCGTGGCCCGTTTTTGGCTTTCGGAGGCGCCGGGAGGGTTAGATGAAGAGGTTCGCGGGGGGGCAACAGGAGCCGCGTTTCGTTTTCGGTCGGAGCCACCTTGGGACTGGTAGTCTGCAACTGCCGCATTGGCGACAGCAGCACGCGACGCCATCATCGGGGAGTCAAGCGCCGATTGGGAGTGATTGGGGGAAACTGTCACGTTTGCCGCGCCAGCTCCGGGATTGTTGCCACTACGGGCACGAGAAGGTCGTTTCGAAGATGAAGGTGAAGCAGAGGATACGGTTTGCTGATTTGCATTGTAGACCTCCCGAGAATGGGTGGGCATGTAATGATGACTCGCGGTCGAGGCTGGGATCAATGGTGGAGACGCAAGGCTCGCCGGTTGATGAGGCGTTTGCAGAGCTGTGGACATCCTCCTTCAGGAATTATCGCGTCCTTACGGCTCCCTCGAGACGTGAATGTTAATCTGATCTGCCGGGCTGGCGGTTCTCCAAATCTCGTGATGGATTTGCCGTGACGGATTCGTTTGGAAATGTCGTTCCTCTCGCAAAAGGGGGGAAGTAAGGGTTCGAAAGTAGATAGAGAGCTCGGCGATGGACCTAGGGAAAATGGCAACCAACTTCCCCGATTGATCAAGACTCAAGTCTACCTTCGTCAAGCAACAAGAGTGTGCAGATGGAAATTATTGTTCGGATATGCAGTCTTCTTGATACTGTGGAATAGGAGAGGAATCCCCAGTCAGTTTTCGTTCGTGCTGCGAGCTTTCGATTGAGAATCAAGCACTGCAGTGCTTGATAAAAGAAAAGGCCACGCGGAGATGAAGGGGCTGATGGAAAACTCATACCAATCAGATTGAATGACCTATACCATGGTGCGGACTATTTCTTTGGCTGGGACGAGTCCACGCTGATACCTCGTGAGTTCGGGCACTAGAGGAAGGGGGGAAAGCCTGTCGGGGGATTTCTGGCGAGCCTCCACGCGAATTGAGGCAAGGAGGAACGTTGAAATGAACCTTGCCGGACGTCCAAGGTCTAGGGAAGGCCGAAAAAGGAAAGCGATAAAATATCGACAAGACCGGAGGGCGAAAGGTCGACTCGAAAATTTGCTTCGCGTACGGTCTCCTAGGATCTTCCCCAAGCTCGAGCTGCAGATTTGGCGATTCAGTCGATTGTGGCTGGGGTGCTAGGGGTCTGGGGGAGGATCAGCGAGCGTCGCAGATGGTGTCGTGTTGTCGGCGGTGAGAAATGGCGGGAGGTGATAGGGTAATAGTGGCGCGGTTCTTTCACTTCTGTGGAGGCAGGTCGCGTTCGACGCCAACTGCAGATGCGAACGGTTTGAATGTGCTGATTTGCCGTGGCTGTTCGAAATGCCTCGTTCCAAACGATGCGAAATGACGAGAAAAAGCAGGAAATGAGCCGGAAAAGGGCGCTCACAGAATCCAACTCTCTCCACCAAACCGGAATTTGATGGGGAAAGGGAAGATAATTTCGACCTGGGACGCCGAGCAGACCTGGAGATTATAGGACAGGGAGCCCGAGGAAGAGTGTGTGAGGACAGGAGAAAGGAGCGGAAATGGGCAGGAGTGGAATCGGCCCAGTCAGCGACGACAATGATTGCCCAGGAGCATCCAATTGGAGAGGGGAGGGAGAAGCAGGACTGGGAGAAGCACCATTCTGCGCATTGGGCATTTGATTTGGGACACTGCACAATCAGGAATTGATGCACCGTTCACACTGACCAGACGGTGGGTGTTCTCGGTCCCAAGCCTGGCCTGGACTGGACAGTTGCTGAAATTGAGAGCCCGTCAGCGAGGTGGCACTGAAGCGGCAAACGAGATTGGACCTGCTCGGCCATGGGATAAAAGGGACTGGCGGCTTGGATGTGGTGGACCCGTGGACCCGTCCAAGAGCGATATTCCAGAGACTTTCCTAGTGCGATACTGTCCAGTGATTATTTAGCAGCGCATGTTTTGGAGCTACCTTGTACCTTCCAATTGTCATGCATGGAGGTGAGTACATTGTACTCAGTACGACATGAACCCTGGGCACTTTCCCTCCCTGCACGCCGGGTGGTACCTTGTCGGACGTACGTCGAGCAAGTACGAATCTTGTACCGCTCAAGGTTCCTCCACGAAGGACTTCACTTTACCTTGGGGTCCCCTGCTCTGTCTCATACCAAGAGGAGGGTTCAATTGGTCTAGAAGGGATCGAGAATGTAACTGGTACGAAATCTGTAGGTTGGAAATTGTCATTTTGGTAGGTATTCTATACAGTTCCCCTTTCGTCACCTTCATTTTCTACCAACTTCGTATGCAGCCTTCCTCGGGGGTACCGACAGCAACGCAAAATAAGAACAAGGGAACCATGGGGACCTGCCATCGGGACTACGAAGTAGCATCATAGCATGCAAAGGGACTCGTCCTTTAATTCCTCTGCGGTATTATATTCTTATATTAGGCCAAGCGGAGGGGATAGAACTGAGTCCATTATTATGGTGATGCTGCCCGTAGGCAGCGGAAGGTTGTGATTTTCAGACGTCTGATGAGATCGGCTGATACAATTGATAAAGTCCACAGGGACGCTGCGCTGCGAGGTTTTTACGTTCTACTTCGTTGCTTGGGCTATCAGAAAAAGGAATCGAAAGGCAATTTAAGTTGAATTAATGGGTCTCATAGCTGAATCTGGGTGCTCTCTACGTATGGACTTCGTAATAATCAACTAAGAAAGAAGACGCGTGGGGTAAGGCGCGTCAGAGGACCTGAAGCCACATGGAGGGAAGGAACAGGCAGGTACAGAGTATGGCGGTGCCTGACAGAGATATTGAGGTGTTTCTCCCACCCCTTCCACCCTTCCCTACATCAATTGTAAACTGGAGTGTTCATGTCCAGAAAGTCAATGGTGCCTAGCTGAACCGGTTCGGTTGCCGAATGTAGCAAGGGTAGGGACACATAACATGGGACTTGAGGACGGGGTACAAGGTTATTCTTGCGTTCACCCACCTCTAGAAAGTACCTTATACTCTCCTGTTGCAAAATCGGAAGGAGCTATGGATCGATCAATCAATTAAAATACATTTGACATTTGATCAAATTCTGAAGCGAAGCATGTGCCTCGAATATTTCGTACGGTTCCATTATCGGAATCGGAAATAGCACCTTGAGATTTGCTTGGGGGAAAGGAAGGAAGGAACGGATACGCCTCGGTTTCTCCCATCTATAACCTACTTTATATTAACAACTTCGATAGCTCGTGCCACTGTTTCAAACCCTCCACTGTTCCTTCGATTTATGGCGTGAGATGGGCTGAAGCTGGCTACCTTCTGGCGGGTCCTCAATCATATTTGGACGCGAGACCTGGGAACAATCTCCACGTCCACTTCTTTGTATGATCCGACGCATCGCAGAAATCTGGGGATCCCAAGTGTATGATGCCTTATTATCCGCCCTTCCCGTTGTCCCAGTTCGACTTTTGCGAAACTGTCGTTCAGATCACGGAATGGCTTTATCAACGTCTGCCTTTGCCAACCTTATCCTTAGCAACCTGTAACTCAGGCTGGATCAATGCGGTTGCGGCGGCTCACTTACACTGACTTTTGGACTTGCGAGCAAGCTTCCAACGGCGATGCCCACCGCTAGTAGAGAATACCCACCTATCCTCAATAGGTTGCGTATCCTCTAGGTAAGTACTCACACAGCCAGTGGTCTCAGTGATGCCACCGCTCTGCGAGGAACACAGCGTCTCAAACCTACGTGGAAAAGGAGAACCTTTCGTTTTTCTGACAAGACACTCGCATTTTACATGAAGCAAGACATGACTAGCTTAGGAAGAAACCAGTCCAGACTGACAGGGCAGATTGTCTAAGACGTTGCAAACTCCTAATAGTCAGGATCTGCCTGACACGCAGACTACAGGTATTCCACCAACACGTTCTGCGGCTGGAAAGTTGGAGCGCCAAGCCATCAAATTCTCAACATTTCCCGACCTCTGACTGCCACTGCGGCATACACACGGACGGCTCAAGTCTGGCGGAGAACGTGTTCCCAGGCGCACTTCGTCTGTTTGCTAAGACATGGCACATGGCTCCTACAAAACGTGCACCGCGACACAGCAAGTCCAACCGAGGTCAGAGCCAAGAGACTTCTCTCCACGACGATGTATTCGAGAGAGCTATCAGGATGGCGAAGGAGGGTCGGGCCCCAATAGCCACGACGTCGGAGATACAGTCTCATTTTACCCAACATCATGAGTTCTTTCCGCCCGCTACACCCCCGCACCGAATTCCCGGTCCTGTTCCTTTTCGTCCCAAGTGGCTAGCCTTCCGGCGTTACAGCGAAGCGAGAGGGAACAGGCGAGTACGCAGTTACTGGACACAAGTATAGGCTTGGGGTTACGATGACGATCAAGCCGTAAATCTATTGATCCTTCGAGAATACCGAACTTCCGGCAGGTTACATCGCTCGCGAATGCTGAACAGCGAATTTCAATTCTCGCTACGAACTATACACGAGTGGACACCGGTCACCATCGCGGCCTCACTGATTACATTTTTGGCCCCGTTTTGAACCTCGTAAACACATCTTTTAATGTCGCGGATTCTTGGGCCTGTTGAAGTTTCACCAACACAACACTATGATCCAGTTTCCATGTCTATGCATCCCTCTTCCCGATTCTGGGACAACTGCCACTATCATGACCATGGTTGCGGTGCATAGATGATATGCAGTTGAGGCCATCTGGCATTTTTATATCTGGAGCACAACAAGAGCTTTCTGGTTGGTGACAGACAACTGAGGTATTATTGAAGTGGGCCATCCAAGGCGCGACCTTTTTTCTCAAGGCATAAACTTCATCAAACGAACCTCCACTCTGGTCCGGTTTGTTTACCACAGCTCTCCAACCAAAACGACGAAGCCGTCTGCAGTCATCGTTCCGTGCTCCTCCAACCCCCAGATCTTCTTTGCATTGAAGGGAGAACAAACTCTTGGCCCCCGTCTTCATCGAACCAGCTCACACAGTCGTTTGTTGATGTCTTGCTCATTTCTTGTTTTACACACCACACCTATCACCTTCAGGCTTCTTCCCTGTTTCTCTCTTGCATATTTTTTCCCTCTATTTTTGTTCCACATTTTCTCTTTTATTTTTCCCCTCTTCCCTGTGCCAGTTGCTTTACCACGGCTCTTTGAGTTTCCGTCGAGTCACGAACGCGACGCGTCACTTCACCTCAATTTATTCTCATCCGAATGCCAAAATTGCATCACCAATCTAGGAAGATCTATCATTGAACTTTTTCCCTTCCCTCCCTCCCCGTTCCGCTCCGACCCCAAACATGCTTGATCCTGATCTCCCATACATGTGGACATCGTAGATGTACATGGTGATCAGTGAAGGCAAGGGAGACTTAGATCGGAGCAGATCGTCATTTTGCCATCCCCCGCCTAGGACCCTTGCTTGAAACACTGGCAAAAACCTCATCTGATGCCAAAGGCTCGGATGACTTCATTCCACACAGCCCTATGCCTGGACCCTTTTAAAGCCGCCGTCGTGATTTCCTAAGCCCGCATGGGAAGCTGGGTAATCGCCTGGCCCTCCTCTACTCTTTAGCCTTCGCTTGGCTGTAAAACTTGCACCGCCAGTTTTTTGAGTCTTGTACTTCGTATGTAGGTACATGTTGTGGATCAGCATCGACGAGTGTCGTTGGAGGACATGCGCTAGAGCCTAGCTAGCATTGACGCCGGAGATTGTCCCGACTAGAATTCATGCAGGGATCAGCCTAAGTCCCAACTCCCGTCCAACTCTGCGCACTAAAACAGAATTTTGTTTTCTCATTCTTAGCCAGTGCCACTGGTATAAGGATGTGCACCCTTTTCCTCAGTGTATGATTCCGCAATGCGTTCCTGAGTAACACAACCCTTGGGCGAGCATTCCGTGGTGAATGCCCCAGAGAGCCAACTATAGTGTCTAAATTGGCCACTCTACAACATTGCGAGGGTTCCCCCCCCCCCCCCCCACCCTTTTTTTTTTTTTTTTTTTTTTTTACCGGCTCTACGTTTCGATGACGAGGATCACCCATTCCACATGTAACGCCGGAAACACGACGCTTCGAAGGGGTGGTGGGTATATCACAAAGACCATTAAGAATCGGGACTTTCAAACAGGACAGCAACAATGACACCCCTTTACGAAGTGCATGCTCCACATCTCTTTCTGGAGCCTCCAATATCTCCGCATCAGAGAGAACGAGAACACAACCCTGAGAATCGTTATGCTACCTAAATCCTGAATGACTTGGAGTCATCAAGGGCCACTTAAAAGAACAGAAGGTCAACGACTTGTTTAGTATTCCCGCCAGCGGAGTCACAGATCCCCCATTTCAGCTCAGGGTTCTTCATCACCCCCAGCCCGGATGAATACTCTACTCTCTTTTCGTCCAAACACTCCTTTTATGCCCTCGGACTTGGCCGTCAACTTTTCTTTTCAAGATCTGCCCTTGTCTGTCCTCCCGTTGGTTCACTCCGTCTCGCGGGGTAAGGTAATAAGATATGGCATTATGCCGGCTGCCTATTGTCGACATGGCGCGACGCCCACTGGTGTCGGTGTCGAATCGTTGTTCGACTTCATGATGTTAGGAGCCGAATGGAATCGAAGGCCACGCTAGACCCGCCTTCATCCTCGCCACGACGTAATTGGCTCCTAGTCTGTCCTGCCATACTTACGCCTTGTATAAGCAACAGATTTTACTCCCGATCCCCGTGTCCGGCGACATTTACCCGTCTACAGAAGAACCACTTCGTAGCATCAATTTCGCCTGGTTTGGATTCGGAAGTGGCGTCCACACCGACCGGGATCGCGCTGTTAATCGTCACTTTGCGCCTGTCTTTGCCTGTGGCACTTGTATATATGGTTTTGTTTGCGAGCTGGTGCGCTAAGTAGAGAAGGAGCCATTTCGTGGAATCCCTTTCTGAATCTCTCGATAACCCTGGATAACTGCAACAAACAGAAAGAAGTTCGAAAGGACAGGTCAAAGAAGGAACCAACAAGGGCTGCCCTCCCCTGAAGGGAGGCACCTTCCTGAAGCTATCCACCTAGAATAAGGAATCTGTGAGTTCTGGAGAAGATCTCGCCCTCGGACGCCGCCCGTGGCCGTAATGGTTGAAGCGATTGCCGCGTGGAAAAGACAAAAGCCCATCGCCAGGCGCCGAGGGCCTTAACCCCAAAGCATGTAGATTGACCTGAATATGCGCTTACTCGTCTGCGCACTCGGCAAGAGAACTCCTTCAGAGTATAAATACAAATTTCTAGAATATTGTTCTTTGATTATTCTCTACGATTCAGCTGTGGCTCTAAAGAGACGCACCTCCCTCCTCACTCTGAGCCTCTCTCGACACGACCTGACGCAACGATGCAGCTTCTCTGCCTCATCAATCCATCCCTCATTTTCAGGTTGTTCATGAACAGGCACTATATGAGAGGGCAGCCCCTCATTCCCCTGCACTTTACCCCACAGGCCGCACGGTATCAATGAAGTATTCCTCTGGGTCTAATCTAAATATATCCCGTGGCCGACCGGCTATATCGGGTGCCCATGACACTGCCTGGGCAAAAGCCCCCGAAAGTGCCTGTGTCTTCGCCCGGAAGCAATGAAAGAATTAATATGCACTCTGTCTTCAGCTATTCAGTCATGGATATATGTTTCCACCTCCACATTCAAGAATACGGCAACCGAGTCCTTCTCTAGCTTTTGGCTAAAGCCCAGTACCAGAACCGCCAATATTAAACTGCGGACAAACTGAATCCGTCCACTAGAGATGGCCGATTGGGTTTCTCCAAGTATTTTTTTTTTTTTAAATCGAGATCGGGTCGTCGGCCATGTGGTCATGTTTAGATGTGTATGAGGGCCTTCCTTTTAATGGGAAGGTTCCTCAGCCGCCTGTTGTTCCTCGACTTCAGGTGATTGTTCTCTCTAGATCGTGTATTCACGCTTCCTGATAGCCACCGATCCTTCTCGATTGTCATATTTATCGGTGGTGATATCGATCTTCCCGGCGCCTCTGTAGTTAACGACGAGATCGGTTGTGTAAGACGATCCTCGGGCAGCTTTCAAGCATGCGGTTCTTCAGTGCCGCCTTGAAGGGCCTGACCTTCTTGACGCTCGGTAGCTCTGTGTTCGCCGCTCCTTCGAATCAGAAGCGCCAGAATGATACTGACGCCGGCGCCGATGGCCATTGGGTCCCGACTTGGGTTTCTATGCCTCAGCTCGTTGAGCCTAACAATCTTCCCCCGGCGCCATTCGTAGGTTTCCCGGCTCGCAGCAAGCTGTCTTAGAAGGCTTGATCGCTAACTCTGCTACTGGCAAACAGACAGGAGGCAGCCAATTCCAAGGCGCAACTCTCCGCCAGACCCTCCGCATGACAGTAGGCGCCGAGAGACTCCGGGTCCAATTCTCCAACACCTTCGGCACCAGCCCTCTGCCCATCACAGCTGCCACCCTCGCACTGCCCACTGGTGGAAAGGCCGGTGTCGGCGGCATCGACACGGCGACTCTTGCCGAGCTCAAGTTCGATGGACAGGCTTCGGTCAGCGTACCCGCGGGCCAGGTCGTGTATTCGGATCCCATCGACTACAAGGTTGAGTCCCGATCGATGCTTACCGTTTCCATGTACCTCCAGAGCGGCCAACAGGGTTCTAGCATCACCGGTCACCCGGGAAGCCGGACGACTTCGTGGATGGCGAATGGGAATGCAGTTAGCGAGGCTAACGTTGCCGGTGGAAACACTAACCATTGGTAAGGATATCCGGATATCCAGGTGGAAGAACGATAGGGAAAGGTGATATAAGATGGAACGCGTACTAATGAAGGGTTGGACACCAGGTACTTTGTTAGCGGTGTTGAGATCTGGGCCCCCACCGACACCAGTGCCTTGATCATCCTAGGCGACAGCATCACCGATGGCCGTGGCAGCGAAGATAACAACAACAACCGGTACGTAGACCTCATCACGCAAGTGGCACCCAGTAACTTGGATCACTTAAGAAACTAACACACGTTCCCCTTCCCCCCAGCTGGCCCGACCTGCTCCTCGACCGCATGCAAGAAGAAGGCATCACCAACGTCGCAATCGGCAATCAAGCAGCAGGAGGCAATGCCGTCCTCTCAGGTGGCCTCGGCCCCACTCTCCTCACGCGCTACAAGCGCGACGCCATCGACCAGCCCGGCGTCAAGTACGTCATGATCTTCGAGGGTGTCAATGACATCGGCAACGGACCCCAAGATCAAGGCGGCGCCACGCAGCTCGCCGACCGCCTTATCACGGCCTACAAGCAGATCATCGCCGACTCCAAGGCCAAGGGTTACGTGACCATCGGCGCTACCATCACCCCGTTTACGGGCCAGGGTCAGTCGTACGGCGGGCCGGGACGCGAGGCGGCCAGGAAGAGGGTCAATGAGTGGATCATGACCTCGGGGGAGTTTGATCACTCGGTGGACTTTGCGGGGTTCATTGGGCAGGGGGACGCGTTGAAGGCGCAGTTTGATGGGGGGGATCATTTGCATCCTAATGTTGCTGGGTATCAGGAGATTGCTAACCAGTTCCCGATCGATATCTTTAAGTCTTAGGATGAGCAGCAGTCCGAGCTACCAATACAGGTGGTTTGTATATAGACGGAGGAGCGGCTGCCTGACGTGTTTCCTCGTAAAAGCGAAGGTCCGGATATCTTTTGTATCGGGCCAGATGTTGGAGAATTCTTGAAGGTTTAGAACCTTAATAGGCATCGCCTTCGTAATTGAAGACAATAGTTCGCCAAGAATATATGTCTCGAAGATCTTGTCACAAAGTTGTCGGGGATGAAAGTGTGCGCTTCGGGTGCGGAGCTGGTCGCACAATTGATGTCTTCACGCACAGACCATTTTCGATAAGATAACATGTACCCATGTACCTATGTACCCAGGTAGACTCGGACGCTCTGTCCTCGTGTGCAAGTTCGTGACTCTCCCAGCCCAAGCTAAGCTTCAACTAAACCCCCTCCATGGGCTGGGATCCTTACCAGCAACTCCTCCATATCACACAACACCACAAAGCAATACAACGCCAATGGCGCCGCATGCGCCGGGCTGAGTGAACCCCCAGCAATGTATAATCGCGACAATCGCATCATGCGCAAGCTCCTCGGCCGCGTCGCAGCTGACAGCACCACCGACACCTCGACCGGCGCCATCGGCATCACGAGCGCCCCCGCCATCGCCGCCCCCGCCTATCGATCGGCCGTGTCCCAAAACGCGGAATACAAGGCTGGTGTTCCTATATTATGTCTCGACGCGTCGCCCGATCGCCGTACTGTCGTGCTCGCCGGTAGGCATATCCTCAAGACCGTCACGGTGGACGGGCTGGAGATAAATGATGGCTTCGATCTTCGCGTCCTGATTTCGGCGCAGCCTGCGCTGGCGAAGACGGGAGGGGCGTCGGCCATTTCTGATCAGTTGTCCATTAAGGACGTCAAGTGGCATGGCGACTCGACCATTTTTACGGCTTGCTCGAATGGCAAGATCTTCTCGTATGATCTTAATCGGCTCGGGTCTGGAGGCTCGACATTTGAATATGTGCAGACGGTGGAGGATACTCGACAAGTTAACACCTTGGACATTAATCCCCATCGAGGGACCTACCTACTCTCGGGGAGTCGGGACGGACTAGTGCGATGCTTCGATATCAGGACACCCCAGACTAGCTGGACGGGTGGTTTGACGTTCAGAGCCGTACAAGCCTTCAAGTGCAACGCTGATAGCGTGCGACACGTGAAGTGGTCACCGACGGAAGGCTTTTGCTTCGCCTGCGGAACGGAATCGGGCGTCATTATGAAGTGGGATCTTCGCAAGGCGAGTAGCCCTTTGCTTCGGCTGTCGGCGCACGATAAGGCGTGCTCGACGATATCGTGGCATCCGGACGGAGATCATCTGATGAGCGCAGGCGGGGATAGCAAGTGCCATGTTTGGAATCTTAGCAAGAATGCCGACAAGCGACAAAAGGCGAAGTGGACCATCTCTACGCCTGCTCCGGTCGCCACCGTGTCTTGGAGACCGGGTCTCTGGTCTGCTACCGCCCAGGGGAAACGCGTTGCGCAGGTCGCCGTCTCGTATGATGAATCCAGCCAGAAGCGATTTGGAATCAATGCTGTGCACATCTGGGATCTTGCGCGGCCGACGATGCCCTTTAAGGAAATTGACAGATTCGACGCTCCGCCTTCTGGTCTACTGTGGAAGGACCAGGACTTGCTCTGGACGGCCGGTAGGGATGGACGTTTTAGCCAGTGCGATGTGGCATTTGCGCCGAGGGTCATTGACAGACAGTCGCTTTCGAGCATGGCGTTCTCGCCGAGGGGGGATGTGATGGTTTTCCTTGATGAAAGGCCAGATGCCCTTCGACCGCGGGCACCCCAACCGCCTACGCAATCTACGGCTAAGGCCCATCGGACAACGGCCTTCGGGTCGACCCCCACCGCACCGATGCTGAGCATTAGCAGGAGTGATTCTGAGGAAGACGTGGTAGGAAGTTTTGTCGGGCCTCGACGGAGAATACATCGGAACCAGCAGCGTAGGAGCAGTCGATCGATTACAAATGCGAGCGCCAGCTCGACACCCCCTTCAGCTCCCACCCCACCCGACGATCATAACCTGACACTTGAGCAGTCACTCAAGGTAACGGGCCTCTTCAGGTCGCAGCAAACCATGGCTTTCGGACATGTACCCGCCGCGACAAGGGTCGAAGTTTATGACTACTTAGCCGCCAACTATCTAAAGATTCTAGAACAAGAATTACCCCATCGCAAAGGCGGCAAATCCCTTGTTGATCGAGTTGGCGGCATCATGGAACTTTATGCTAGGACGGCTGAGAGTGCGAGGCTGTTCCGACTTGGTCAGACCTGGCGGATTCTCGCCTACGTGGTCAATCTCCTTCTCATCCAACGTGGCCAGTACCACCTGGAGAGGAGGCTCGGTATTTCTCCGAGCATGCCCAAGGACGAGCCCGCCGTCAAGACAAAGGAGGTCACTGTCTTAGTACCCCAAGGTAATGGTAACGGCGAAGACACTCCTCGGAGACTGCCTTCACGGGGTGGCCTGGCCCCCGAAAACCGAAATCGTTCGGTTCGCTCCTTATTATCCGAAGAAATCGAAAGCACTTCCAACGTTCCCACTCCCATTGCACGACCAGTCCGCGACGCAGATGTGCACGACGGCTTCGTGCCGGGCAAGCGGCTGACGCCAGTAATTGAGCCAGAGAGCTTTACGTTAGGCCCGGCTGCTCATCCAGGGTTGGCCGAGAGTCCCCGGCGCCGTCTCGACTCTGTGACGCTCTCCGTTGAAAGCAACGGAAGCGGCGAGACGGAGCAGTCTATCACGGAAGGTTATGATTTTTACGATGCGCAGGCCCTGGCAAAAGCTATTGATGTGCCCAAGGCGAGTAAGCCGGAATCAGTCCCACTCAAACTTGACTATGGGCCGCAGACGCCCAACGGCAGAGCGCCGACCGCCGTCCCCAGAGACTCTAGCGATACTTTCCCGCACACATTCTCGGTATCCGAGTCCACAGATACCAGAGTGTCTGGTTCGGAGCTGCCGTCGCTGGACAGCGAACGAATGAAGCACGCGGCTCGAATCCGGGACCTCGTAGCCGAGAGAGAAGAGAAGCGGGCGGCGCAGAGCGAGACCACGGAGGGTGAATACGAGAGTCGGATAAGAGGGAGGGAGCTTGAAGAATCCCCGAAGACGACGCCGGCCCGCGCGCAGACAAGGCCGAAGAATGTGCCGACGTCCGAGTCGCCGGACGACATCTTCCTCATCTCGCAAACCACGATGGGGACGGATCCGTATTCGCAGGGATCACTGCAGTCGAATACGCAGTCTAATCCGCGATCGGAATACGATAACCTGGGTACCACCGCGAGCGAGCCCCACTCTCTCGAGTTGCGTATCGAGAAACTTAAAACGCCGACGGCGCCACCACACCCTTCTGAAGACGAGAGCCAAGTCGTCACTGAGCACGACTATCTCTACTGGCCCGGCGACCATCCCTATCCATACCCCCTAAAGACCGACTCTTCCTCCCCAGCGAAAACACCCAGCATCACCACCACCGCCACCCCCATCGACCCCTACACCATCATCTCCCGCGCCATCCACTTCGAATCCCGCACCTCCGCCCTCTCCGCCTCCGCCATGGTCCTCCTCCTAGCCCCCTTCGTGCCCCCCTCAGTCATCGACCCCTTCCACGCCATGTCTATCCTGCGCCAACACCACTCCCGTCTCACGGGCATGAAATCCTTCGTGGAAGCTGCGCAGCTCCGTAACCTCTGCGTCAAAGGCTGGCCCGCGGGCCTCCCGCACTGGGGTTCCGACTCATACACCTCAATCTTCGCCCCCGCACAACAGAATGTCAAAGTAGCGTTCTACTGCGCAACGTGTCGCAAACCGCGCGACGTTGATCCGCGCGATGGCGAGCCTGCTGTTTGGCGGTGCGCGAGGTGTAAAGTTCACATGGCACCCTGCGCTGTGTGCGGACATCGCGTTGCGCCGGAAGTTGATCTTGATGAACCTTCGCTTTGTACGTGGTGGTATTGTCCTGCCTGTGCGCATGGGGGGCATGCCTCGTGTTTGCAGGCTTGGCATGGTGATGAGGATACGGATGGGTGTTGTCCACTTGACGGGTGTGGCCACGCGTGTTTGCCTGGTCGGTATAGAGCCGAAGCTGGCGCCGCGAGATCAGACGAGTTGGGGCGGTACGTCGTCGCCGAGAAGGCCGGGTCGAAGGGCAGAGTCGCTAGCGTTAGCGTCAGCGGCCCTGTCGCTGTCAGTGCTAATGGCGGTAGTCCTGCTCCCGCTGCGGGGACAGGTGCTGGGGTTGCAAGCTCCGCGGGCGGCGCGGCCCCGGCTGGGTCGGCGTCGACTGTGAGGAGTGATAGTAATGACGTGCCGCAGAGTAGGGCAGTCGAGAGTGTTAGGGAGGCGTTGGGGAGAGGGGGCATGGCGCAAGCGAGTCCTGCGCGGGCGAGGGAGAGGAGGAAGAGTGTCAAGTTTGTGGGGGGCGGTGGATGAAGTTTTAATTTGTGCCAGGTATCTTTTGGGATGTATTCTTTTTTCTTCTTTCAGAAAGTAAGGGGTTTCTCTTTCCGTGTCTTCTTCCTCTTGTTTCTTGTTTCTTCATTCTTGTAAACGGCCTTCAGAGTGTATTACCTATTAGGAGCATACAGAGATGAGGAGATGGCGCATACGAGTCTTTGAAGTCAGGAGGGAGAGTGCTGTCGTTCGGACACGGGGTAATCGGATGTACACATTTTGTATTATTATTATTATTATTATCATCGGGTATCTCGTTGCATTTATTTGGGGCATTGGCAAATGTTCAATCGACTGTCTCTGTCTGTTCCCGTATGTGTCAACCAGTGTACAGAACTTTTTGGTGGAAGAAACGCCACCGCCATCACCCAACAAAATAAGTAACAGAGAAAAGAAAGAAAAGCCAATGGCTAACCCCGACCCGCATGCAATCCCTTCCTCCTCAAACTCAACTTCAACTCGGCTTCCCCAAACGGCAAGCCCTTCTGCGCCCCAATGCCCCCGGCCTCCCCCTCCCCATCCACGCTGGGACTCTCGCTACCAACGCCATCCACCGAAGCCACCGTCGGCGAAGCCCTGCTATTCTTCGCCCCACCCATCCAAAGGCCCCTCACGCCGCCCTTCTTCCGCTCGGGGACTTCGTCCGTGCCGGCGCTGCACACGTAGAGAAGGTATTTCAGGTTCGGCAGCGTCTGGCGGATATCCATGATGCGGAGGTGCTGGGAGGCGCAGAGGGCTTCGATGTCCTTGTTAAGGAGGAACCAGGCGTATTCGAAGCGGAAGTGCGCGGCGGTTGAGCCTCCTTTCGGGAGGTAGAGTGGGAACTCTCGTCCACGGGTTTGATATTTCGCTGTTAGGTCTGTTAGGAGGGAGATGTCGTCGCGGATGGTCGCGCGGGAGCCGAAGGTCGTGATGGGGTACGGTAGCGGCGTAGATAGGTAGTACTGGAGGGAGTCAGTAAGGGCGGCGGCATATCCTAGCGCCGCCGATAGAGCGTTCTCGTCCGTGCCGCGGGAGGTAGCGGCGTCGAAGGTAGTGTTAGGTAAGGGGATGCCGCATATCTGAAAAGACAATGGCGGGCCGTCGGGTACCGGCCGAATGTCGAATATATCACTGAGATCGGAGCAGATGCGTCGTCTCTGACCGTGGATCTGCTCTTTCGTCGTCGCGACAGCCTCTCGCGAGGAACTGAGCTTTCCTTGAGCATCAGCGACATCCCGCTCTGCCTTTTCCTGCATAGCTCGACCTTCTCGAATCGCCGCACGCCGGGCTTGGATCGACTGCTTCAGTTCCTTCTTGCGTTTCTCCGATGCGGCTAGCGCACGCTGCTCTTGGGCCACGTATTTCTTCGCGAGATCAAGACGATCCTTAGCTACGGGGCCTTTGTCGGGCGGTCGCTTGTCGAGTATGTCGTTGATCTGCGCCGCGATGGCCTGTTGCGTCGCGATCGCGTCCTGGATGGAGGTATCGAGAGTAGCGAGCTTCATCAGAGCGTTATACGATGACGTCGGCACGGCGGGAGCAGACTTGGGCCTCCTTGGCGGGCCTGCGATGTCGGCCGAATACATACCGTCGGTGAGGTGGAATACGAGGCCGTTGGGAGGAAAGTGTTGGTTCTCTAGGGTGTCGATGAATTGGAGCTTCTTAAGGTCCACAGATTCTTCAAGGAGGAAGGTCCAGACGCCTTGTCGGCAGGTGTAGAATCGGAATGTGAGTTCTGCCGTTCTCGTAATTCCGGGGTGGAGGTTTGTAAGGTCGAAAAATTGAAAGTTGAAGTTCTAGGTCATGATGCGCATATTCAATGAGTAAACGCCCTTTCCATTTTAGAATTGTCGTTGGGTATGGGGAGAGAAAACTCACTGAGGACCTCTCAACAACTTCGCTGATATAGATGGGCTCCTCTTCTCCCTCACAGTGCAAAGAGAAGAACCCATCCGCGACCTTCTCGTCCACAGTTCCTTCCAATTTCTTCTGCCGCTCCACCGCGTTCACCATCGCCAGCATCGAGCCCCTCCTCGCCGTTGCCTTTCCCGAACCAGAGCTCTCCGAGGACCTTGCATTGTACAGCTCCTTGACCGAAGGCCTCCTAGTCGCCGAGTTGGATCCGTTAAGCGCTGCGTCGTCGACCGTGCGGTCCTCGGGACGGGAGAAGGTGAGGTTGCGAAGGTAGATTCCCTTGAGATGCCGCAGCTTGCGGTTCTGCGGCATCAGGAGCGGTCGGGTTTCCGACAGCATTGTGTACTGGCTGTCAATGCGCAGCACATAAAACGAGACAGATTAAAGAAAATGGGGTGGTAAACGAGACTGATCATAGGGGTTCGTGATGGAGGGGTTTGTGTCGGGGTGGAGTTTGGGCTGCCAGGGGCAGCAATTCTAGAGAGCTGTGCTGTTGTGCTTGTGTGCTTGTAGCTATTATGAGGCTGCAGCGGGCAGCTTGGAAGATATTTTTCGTGTCATCGGGAGGGTAAGGAGGAAGAAAGAAAGAAAGAATAAACAAAAGAGGGAGCCCTGAAGTGGTTTGCAAGAAATCCCTTTGTTGTGCCTTGTCTGGCCTTGTCTGTCTGGTGTGGTTGTGAAGCTGACGTGTGGGTTGACCCTGCTGCCATTCCTAGTATTCTTAGTGCAGTAATGAGGACATTGCAATTGGAGCACAGCTCAAGCTTCATGCTACATTCAATTGTATGCTTAAGAACATACTCGGTTACTAGAATAATCAATTGAAACGCAGGCTCCACTATCACCATTACCATCACCAATTTCCTCAAACTCATATCCTTATACTTCGTAATGTCCTCAGGAACAGGACAGGAAGGAACCAGCATAGTACTCCTATTAAATCCATCCTCAAGTCTCAACGGAAACAAAACGGTAATAATCATACACGACTTATAAACCTTACAATTGATTATCCAGATGGCAGCCCGAGTCCTGCCAGTGCCACATCAAGAACCATCGCATCACTCCTACTGCGGCCTTTATCGCTTGCGAATTCCCATTTTGCCAGTTTTTCCCGTCTCATAGCGCTTTCGCTGGCGCGGGTGCGATTTGGTTAGGGCTCTCGACCCCCGCACACCGTAGACCCTAAATCTGAAGAAAAGGGCACCTGTGTATTAGCACATTACTCGGAAAACGCGCACTGACCCGGACACACTTACCGCTGTATCTCTGCTCTTGTATCCATTACTTCCTGTCCAAAGAAGGGTGGAGCGCCAAGACCGTCCTCATTTGAATCGACACTCAACTTATCAGAAGGTGGTGACTGTTGGACGCCTGCCGGTGACGGCGCTGAGAGAGATATGGACTCGTCCGAGCAGGGTGAGGCTGCTTGCTCAGGTGCTGCATTAGTATCACCATATCGAAGTCCGAGAGCCACTATCTCGTGAGGCTCCTTCGTGTAGATGTATCTCTCCATAGGGCTAGCCGGGAAATCCACCTCGGCAGCGGCTGACCAACTGTCATCGTCACTCAGCTTTGGAGAACAAACGCTGATGTCGAGATGAGAGGAATCCGCATAGCGGAGGTAATTCCTCAAGTCGGATGGAAGCTTCGGACGATTATTAACAGCGTCGGTGAGAAGACCGAGGGCTCTCATCTCATCCCGGCGAGGCTCCGTCAGATATCGGTGGAGGCTCGCACAGTGGTTGGTGGAATACGAGCCCAGCGTTGCACCCGTCAGGGTGGCTGCGCCGCAGCCACCAAGGGACCGGGCCAGCCCGTCGACGCCATTGAGTCGGTTGTCAAGGCTGACGGACAAAGACGGCGAGCCGAATCGTGAATAGTCAATCTCGAACTCCGGATCACGAGGCATCGGTACAAGGAAACTATTTAACACGCTCCCAGTCAGTTGCCATTCTGATGTGGCGCAAGAGCTTTGGTCAGAGACTAACCTTGAGTCGTCGGGCCAGTACAGTCCGATTGAGTTTGGCTGAGGATCCATTGTTCAGAGAATGATGGGGTATGGGATATTACGAGGAGTCGGGGATACTATTGTGGGAAGGGGAGGGCCTCCTCCACTTATACCATCGACGTGGACAGCACTAGCCCCAAGCCGTCTATAGTATCCAAATAAGGAAACAGAATGGAGGTTTCGTTGATTTTGTTTTACTCCCGGCCCCCCGTCTTAGGGTCATGGGGATTTAAAAAATGGAAATGAGATTCTGGGACTCTAAGTACAACTAACTACCTAAGTAAGACCATCAATGGGCTGGCTCGCCTCTATCCATCTTCGTACACTTCAGTACCTCGTTTTGTACCTTCACTTCCCCAAAACCCAGCGGAGCGGGTAGGCATCCTTGACGGAACCGGGAAGCAGGATCATACCTCCATGGCAGGAGTTAGAATGCCCTCCCGGTTCCAAGATAATCCACTTCCCAACACGATGGGTCTTCCGTTGTTAAATTAGTACAAATGCAGGTAGATACGTAACCTAGTGTGGCCCGAGCTAAATCGGGTTAGGAACCCAGGGGTGGAAAGGATGAATAGACCAACGAGGTTCTGAGTGATGCGCCTCAAAAGCAGGCCTATGCAAGGTAGGATATGGAGGGTCGGGGACCATATCACAGGCGAATCCCAGCCCGGCGGGATGGGTCAGCCAGGAGGAAGACGCCCTGGCACTCGTCGAAACATGACACGGAGATCGAAGAGCAATGGTCCTGTTAATCTGCAGCGACCCGGAAAAAGTTCCACCACTTCTGCAGCAGCAGCAGCAGTAAGTTCGGTTCGGTTCGTTTTACACTGCTTGTACGAAGTAAATTGTCGGCCGGGATGTCCCACTCTCAGTCATTTTACTCAGGTCGCACAAATACAACCCACTCTCCTGTCATTCTGACAGCTGAGACCAGCCCAGGACGTCAGATCATATGTGTACCTATATTCAATACTTCTAACAAAGAGATCCAGTGCCACAATCCCGGGGTTGTCTCTCATCTCTCTCAAACACTCGAGGGCGCTAAGGAAGGACACCATACTAGTCCGAGGAATGGGATGCCAACATGGCGTCCCGACCGGGGAACAAAAAGGTGCAGCTCCTGCGGGCCATTATTATGGAACCTCGCGTAAAGGACTTGCCCGAAAAGGGACAGATGTGCCCATTGTCCCGAGTAGTCGGGTAGCGCTTAGTACAAAGTACCTACCTTTTTGATAGATATGATTGAGAATTTCATTTCGTAAGTGTCTGCAAGTGTGGTGCGAGATGCTGCAGTCTTAATGCGTCCTTGGCCGGACGACACGTCCCTAGTCGTTCCAAATCATTGGGAGAGTACCTGTTTAGACAGGGGTAGGAGATAAGGCATTGTCACAGGCTGTCGCCGGCTCTTTTTTTTTTTTTTTTTTTTTTTTTTTTTTTTTTTCCTTGAAGATGGAGTGATTGACAGCAAATTTCACGCGAGATGCCGTCGGAGTTGACAAGTAAAATAATTTCCCTTTGTTGAGAACCCGGCTGTTGGTGATCGATTCCCCCCCCCCCCTCCGATCTGAAGGTCCCCCTAGCGCAAGCATCTCGGTAATTGCAGTACACTGTTCTCCGTTCCTGATTGCAGATAATGCCGAAAACTTGCAAATCTTCAGCTCAAGACCAGGCCAAGAATGGAGGTTTTGGGTCGCGAAACACCACATGTCCTTCTCCTCTCCCGAGTACGAAGTCCCTCGTTGTCTCGTCCATGGGGTTTGAAGGATTGCCGCCTGCATTAGTGCCCCTGGCCATCATATTAATAGCAAGGCGAACCGCCTCGTTGGTTCTGTCTAAGACTAAACAAGACAGGTCGACCAGGGTTACCTAGCACGCTAGATGTCGCTGATGCCCTCGGGAGCGAGGGATGATGGGAACATTCATTTGTTATGAGCAGGCCTATTATACTAATAGCATAACCTTGTCGGTTGCGTCAGGATCCTGGCCGGCTTGGCAGTCACGTCGTGCGAAAACTTTTCCTTTACACCAGCTGTAATGGCGGTTAACATGGGGTACAACAAACAGAAAAAATAAGAAGGCGGAGCAGGTCATACGCTCCCTCCTCCCTCCTCAGAGCAAGCTAAAACTAACCCCACTAATCTCCCGCGGAGCGGACCGTCAGCGCTATTGTTGATGACCCAATCAAAATCGAGGTCGTGGCCTAGTGTCAAACCAGCGTGGTTCGAAACTAGAACTCACCCTACCGTCACCCAGGATATGGAGGGCTAGAGACGCGTGCGAGGACTGTAAACCTCGGATTGTACTTCGTAGAGGCGGCCAGAGACTCGGGACGAAGAGAGTCAGCGTCCCAGCCAACCACTGAGACAGGTGGTTTTTGCGCCACTTCTCCAAGTTGAAAGAGGCATCGTGCAGATCGTCAAGCATGAAAGCGGAGACAAATAATGCAGTTGGTTGATGTTTGAGGAACTCTTGCAACTGTTTCTCGGGCGATAATGACTGAGATGGAGTGTGGGGGGCGATATTTTGTGCGATTTGCAGGGAAGACTCCCGGATGCAAATGACCTCTGGCCCAGTGTAACGGTCATAGGTCGGTCCATCTGCATCCTCATATTCATCACAGGCAGGAAAAAAAAAAAAAAAAAAAAAAAAAAGGGGGGGGGGGGGGGGTTGGGTTCGGTTTCTTCGATGACCGGATTTCCTCCAACCCTCTCTGAATGGAGAAAAATGGAGAAAACTTGGGCAAAGTACCTCGACTCCTCCCTTTCCGCTGTTCTCCTCCGAACCTGCCGTTGCAGCCTCCACCGTTACTTCGTGCCATCTTGAGGCAGATAAGACAATGGTGTGGGTTCGAGCGTGGACAATTAGTCTCGGGTGAGCATTCAACGTTCAATGTGTAAACTCCGGCGCTCTGTGGACCCAGCGAGGAGAGCAACGGCTGATGCTGATCATCAAGATTGAACATCAACCGACAATATTGATGAATACCCCTCAACAATATGTACGAATTGGGAAGGACCGGGCTGCCCCTGACCCTCGCGTCTGCGAGTATTATGCTCCCAGGCTCTCGGTTCTCAATACCATGCCAAGCGTAAACTACTTCACAACCTTGACGGCAAGTACAGTCCGTCGACTAGGGCAGAGATAGACAGACTAATTCAAAACACACCTTGGACTTTCATTTAAAGCTGCCATTGTTACGGAGTACTTCGTACTTCGTGGGGTCTAGTCTCTTTCCAAAGTATCAATTGGAGGTACATTACCCCTGTCTACGCAGAATTCTCTATCCTAGCTTCATGCCTGTGTACTTCGTATTAACATCATGAAGTTTACTGAGGTACTTTGTAGATTACTTCGTATGTACTTCATAGAAACAGTGCGAAGTCGAGGTGGCTGGCGCTGGGCGGAGGGGGGACTGGGGTACCTCGCGCAGTGACCGAATTGCCGGAAACTGAATTGCCAGAACCTGAATTTCTAGAATCTGAGATTTGCCTTTTACGGACGAGATAGCCACCGCCGTTCGCCTGGTCTCCAGGACCAGGAACATTCCTGCGGCAGGCGCTCATCCCCTGCGAGCGCACTAGTTTATTTCGTAATATTAATTTGATTCGTGTTTGGCCCCAAAATGAAGGTGGGAAGGAACTAGTCTGTACACACCAGCGTCTTCATGACTTGATCCCTTCGATGCTGTGGACCAGGGACAAAGGTCCAGAATTACATAGTTGTCGACTCATCAGCTGCCGTGCTCTCGGTGCCAATAACCACGCTTGCACTTGCACTTGCACGAATGTGCAAACGATGAGACCACGACGACGGGTCGCAATCTTAAGAATCCAAATTACGAGATCATATTTACACTACAGCGACCTAGTTACTAGTGCAATTGATTGATCTACTTCGTCCTTCGTGCATGCAGCGTACTTCGTAACTTCCTCAACCAGCTAGGATAGTGCAGTGTACTTCGTACTCTAGGTGGATCAACGTGGTCAGCACCTTCTCTTCGTTTAGCACAGCCTGGTGGTGTTTTGCATGTGGTGCTTTCTTACAATCATGGACCAAACGAAGCTTGTCGTCGTATCCCCTAGTACGCTGCTTGATCTCTGCTGTCTAATTTCGTCGCCATCGCAAATGTCAAGCTCCCTGGCTCCCTCATTCCCTCATGCATCTAGGCGACGAGTCAAAGACCTTAGTCTTGGTGCTGCTTGGTAGTACCCTCGGCCAAATAAATCAATAGTTCATCATTCATCAATCTTTCCCAGCATATGTACTCCCACTCCCCTTATTGATGACACATCATCAGTGCATTCCAAATTCAAATCTTCCAAGTAACTATCACGCCGACCAACTTGCAGGAAGGGCCAGTTGCCGCCTGGCCTATCTTCACCGGCTCCAACCCTCTGCCTCACCGCCACCGGATGGCTCGCCGTTTGATGACTCCTTCTCCTTGGCTGGCGGGGAGTTCAATTCAGGCAAATATCACCTCACTTCTTCCATTTTGCTGAATGGATAGCCATCCTCTTAGCGTTGTGAGAGGATCCTCAACAAGATGAGAGGAATGAGCACCAAAGCAGCTCTCGATCTCTCTGGGAGGGTCGCTTTTCAAGGAGGTTAGTGTACGAAGGTGGGCGACCCTTGATTGGCCCGGATAAAGTCAATGGTTAAATTCAGCTCTGAGCCTCCAGGTCTAACAGTGTCACCAGGTCCCCGGCCGTTGGTGTGGGTTCGATAGTATCCGCACAAATCCCACCTCGCCCTTGGAGCCCGAGCAGATGGGGCTGCGAGGGCATTTGACCAACTCAGGCTTAAGCGCGGGTCTGAGAGCAATACTGGATTTACTTCGAATGTCCACCCGCAATTGCAAGCTTCCCATGTCAATCTTCGACGGAGGCCGTTGGCCAAGGCAGTCAGCGGAGATTGATGCTTTGATATGCTGTACTATGTATGACACAAGGAAGGGAGCCCTTGACTAGTCAGGAATCCAGGGTTCGTTCTCGCTCGACTTCGGTATCTATTCAGCCGAGAGATTTCGTTTCGTCCCCCACTCTCTCAGTTCCGACATCGACCTAGGCCCTGCACTACTTCGAGTCATGGATTCTTAGTGCGGACACAACGTGAGGGGGAGATGGGACTGGAGTTCTCAGTTCTCAGCATTGACAAGATTGACTAATAACCGCAGGTCTCCTTCCCCGCGCACCACTCACTTACAGCGTCGCGGCATTGCGTGTCTAGTCAATATGTTGCACTGCGGTCGGTTTTTGGTATGGCTGGATTTGTTCTGAAGCGCCACCATATAGTGGGATTTTCCCCTGCGAAGGGATTTCCCCCTGCAAAGGGATTTCCCTCTGCAATGGGATTTCCCCTCACTAGCACCCTCCAAACCACATTAGGTATTCAGCAGGACTAACCTTGCTAGGATTCGAAGGGGGGAAGAAGAAAATTTTCTTCACCCATGAGCAGAAGGTGCCTGGCTTGCCCTGTTGTCACTCTCAGTTACTGGGAAGGGGGAGGGGGAGTGCAAGCTATCTATCACCGAGAAGGCCAGCCTACACATCATGATAAACAAGGTCGAATTAAATAAGAGAAAACAAAAATAGGCAAGACCGATGGCCAATGCCATCACTGCCGCCACTCAATACTCACGCACTTGCAGGTTGTGCAGACGCTATCCCCCGCATCTTTATCCGAAGTCGTTCATGTAAGTCTTCAATGTTGTCTGTTGGACAGAATGCATTGGTCAATTGGGCGAGCAGGAAGGGGAGAGCTTAGGGTGTGCCTACTTCGTAGTTGCATCACGGCCATAGATTGGTAGAAACTTGGTCATGTGTTGTGCTTGTTATTTTCCCAGCCGAAAACCAGCCGTCGTCCGCTGTCTTGGTTTGGGAGGCAAAGTTTGGTTGAATGCTAACCAAAGACTGGGAATCAGATTCCATCACCAATGGGGCCGTTGAGCAACAATGACGATCGTGCGCATTCCGTCCATCCCGTCCACATCCACATGGACGCCCTCCCCCACCTTGAGACCTCCACACCCCTCCTTCCTTGCCCCGCCATCATGTTCTTTGCCGCATTTTGCGGAAATTGAGAGCTTAGCTTCGATGCTCCTATGGATTCTCAACCAGAGTTCTCCACATTTTCGCTAGCTTGTGCATGGGATTTAAGCGTGCCCATTGAATTTCGCGATCTGACCACGGACTAAGCTTCGGGGTATTTAAATCGCCTCGTCCTCTGTTTCTGTTGGTACAGCAAAACGAGAGCTCGTGTCCCTCGATTCTCCCGGTGCCCAAGAGCAACTTGCTCTTCTCCTCTGTTCCTCAGTCCTCGAATAATAGCCAACATTTCAGCGGCTCTTCTTTCTCCTTGTCACCTCCTTCCCACTCTATCCCTACCTTCTAAGACAATTGCGTCACTCTCTTCCCCCGTAACTCGCCAACCTTCCAAGTATTCCCTAGCCATTGTAAACCGGCCCTCGCAACTAACATCCTCGACGCCATGGCCGCTCCTACAGAAAATTCCACTGCTACCCTCGAGCAGACCTCCATTCCCGCACCAACCGAAGCCCAGGAGCCCGCGATGACTACGTCTACCGTGGAACAGCCCGTGGCCGTCCCCGATGCCCCAGCTCCCGAGCCGGTAGCCAGCGAGGTAGAGGCCGGCCGAGCCCAGGCGCCTGAGACATCGGCGGAGGAGACCCCGACCACAGAGGAGACCAAGCCGACGGAGGCATCAGCTCCGGTCCAAGCGCCGGAGCCAGCCGAGGATTCGAAACCCGCCAACGAACTTTCTGAGATCCCCCTTCCTGCCGTCGCTGAACCTGACCCAGCCGGTGACGCACCGACTGCCGCAGAAGTTGAACGAGATGCGAAGCAAGAGACCTCGGGCCCTAATGAGCAGAAGAGCGTGAGTAGCCTATTCCCTTGGCCTTCCTCCAGACCATCCCTTTCATTTTAGTTTCAAAATTTGAAGGCCACCCGACACGGGAATGACGTTCCCCCCCTCCTGAAAGCCCAAACCTAATTTGGCCCTTTAGAATCTATCCTTCATCCTCAACAAGCCCGAAGACTTGACTTTCGAAGAGCGACCCATCCCCAAGCTCAAGAACGACCACGAAGTTCTAGTAGCTGTCAATTACACCGGTATCTGCGGCTCCGATGTCCACTACTGGCTTCACGGTGCCATTGGTCACTTTGTCGTTAAGGATCCCATGGTTCTCGGCCATGAATCTGCAGGAACTGTCGTCGAGACTGGGAGTGCCGTCAAGTCGCTCAAGGTGGGTGACAGGGTGGCACTCGAACCCGGTTACCCCTGTAGACATTGCCTCAACTGCTTGGGTGGCAGGTATAACCTCTGCCCGGAGATGAGGTTTGCGGCGACCCCCCCTTACGACGGCACTCTGACAGGCTTCTGGGTTGCCCCGGCCGACTTCTGCTACAAGCTTCCCGACAATGTTTCACTTCAGGAGGGAGCCATGGTGGAGCCCCTCGCCGTCGGTGTCCATATCGTTAAGCAGGGTGGCGTGAAGCCTGGTGACAGCGTTGTCATCATGGGTGCCGGTCCGGTCGGTCTTCTTTGTGCGGCCGTCGCCCGAGCCTTTGGCGCCAGCAAGGTGGTCAGTGTAGATATTGTTCCCTCGAAGCTCGAGGTAGCCAAGGAGATTGCGGCCACACACACCTACATTAGCCAGAGGCTACCCGCGCAGGAGAATGCCAAGGCATTGATCGAGCAGTGCGACCTCGGCGAGGGTGCTGACGTAGTTATCGATGCCAGCGGTGCCGAGCCTTCGATCCAGGCCAGTCTGCACGTTGTCAAGACGGGCGGTACCTATGTGCAGGGTGGCATGGGCAAGTCGGATATTACTTTCCCTATCATGGCGCTGTGCATCAAGGAGGTGACGATGAAGGGAAGCTTCCGGTATAGCAGCGGTGACTATAGGCTCGCCGTGCAGCTCCTCGGTTCGGGTCTAGTCGACGTCAAGAAGTTTATCAGCGGTGTTGTGCCATTCAAGGATGCCGAGAAGGCATTTGAAAAGGTGAAAGAGGGCCAGGTAATCAAGATTTTGATTGCTGGCCCCAACGAGAAGCTCGAGTAGAAGTCCTGGACGGTTGGCTTCCGAACATTGAAGGTGCCTACCGCGTTTTTGTCATTCTGGGGAACTTGGTTTTAACCCTCTTTGTTCTTTTTCTTTTTTGTTTCCTTTTTGTTTCTCGTCTTTCTCGCCCTTCATTCCGCGGTCATGGCAGTTCGAGCATCATTTTGGGAGCGATTAACATGAAGAAGAAAAATAATTGTATGCGAATGGACGTTTGGGGGTTACTCTTCTTATTCTTATTCAACTGTAAGCTTGGACAGGGTATCCTGGATTTGGATGGAAATGTTTGTTGTTTAATATCACAGAACGTACGATCACAATGCAAACCCCTCGCTGAGATGAGGCCATGTTTCTTTGATACCCTGCGTTCTATCCCGTTTTCTACGCATAGACGAGTTGCTTCCGCGTCTCCACTTTTGATACGATACTAACCACAACTGAAGTCGACGGTCGTCAACGGTAGTCAATGGTCTTGCATGGCAGCGAAGTCTATAAAAGGCACAGAGAAAGGCCAGGTTCTCTCCTTTGTGGCAAGTGGACGGGACACTTCCGTCGCAGGACAGTGACCAATCCCGCATTGGTCTGCGGATATTTTCCGGCAAGGTGACGGCATTCTTCTCGGACAACTGGAGTAACGTCCGGCTTCTGTGATCCGTCGCACAGTAATTCGTATCGCACCGGGCTGTCGAGGACTGATGCTCCGGCGACAAGATTTGGGGACCTTGCATTGGCGCTATAATCTCTCAATACACACCCGGGAGGGTCCTAGGTTCTCTATTTGGGCTGCATCTAGGGCATTCCCTGGATGCTTAGCTCCACGTCGTTTAATCGTCCAGCGCCAGGAGCTAAGGAGATGACGCTCTTATGGATCCCGTCCGAGCTTTGAAAATTCAGTTGTTTACAGCCTTAATTTTCCATGTGCTCTAATGCGGTCTTCCAGCCGGTTCTTACTCAAAATACCAAAAATCGCGATATCCACCAAAAACGGGTTGCGTCAAGTCGCAAGGTTGTTGGCCCTCTGAAGCGCGATTTGACAATTGATGTCTCCCACGCTTGGCATTGGCCTCATCGCCAAGAAACCCCAGTCAAGCCAAACCCGGGCCGGGCAAGACGCTCAATTTGTCTTGGCGGTGAATCTTGTACGACTCCTCTCCCCTCTGGAGAACCGCTAGCATTTTTTTCGTCTTCCACGAGGCTCCAGACGCTCATCTCGTCTTCATTCACCCTTCCTCAATCAATTGCGACTCTTGTCTGGATTCCTCTCCTCGTCTTTTCCGGGCCATGCTGAGCAGGTAAGAGCCGTTGTGCTCCCTAGGAGGCTTGCCGTCTTCAATTTCTGGCCCCCACGCAGAACTCCACACAAGTCGCGCTGACACTGGGGACAATCGTCGCTCGCACCATCTCGACTAAGCGGGCCGTTCCCCCTTCACCGAAGGGGGAAAGAAATGATGGATGTGGCGGCCAAAATGTATTAAATATCTCCTTTTCCATCCGCTTTGACGCTTACCACGCTCTCCTTCCCCCTTTTTTTTTTCTTTGCAAATATTCATAGGCCCCATGAATTTACTCAGTTATTTGGGCCAAAGAAATCCGAGACTGACGCGTCGGCAGGAAAACCTTCCTCGGCCTCCGCCGTACGGAAAGCAATCACGGCCCAGGAATACCTCTATCGCCGCTCACCTCCGTGACGGCCTTGGAACAGGAACGGGCTATACCCGCGGCATCGGTTCCTGCGAGACAGTCTTATTATTCTCATGATGAGACGCAACGGGATGAGTCCCCCCTACGGAGAAATCGCGGGAATGCCCATCCCCGGAGAGAGAGGGGAGTGGGCGGTGTTCACGAGGGCGACTATCCGAATCATCCAGGACAGCGGCGCGTCTGCCGTGTCTGCGTGCCACCTACGTTTTCACTAGTCTTGGTGGTGTGTGCAATGGCGCTTCCGTATCTCGGTGCAATTGCCATTGGAGTCTTGGCCGTCTATCGAATCCCCGCCAAGTCTCTACTGCAGAGGTAATTTTCTTGGGGAGTATCCCGTGATTTAAGGAGCTGGTAGAGGCTAACTTTTTTCTCCTCCTTTAAAGCTCTGCTTTTATTGTCCTCCTTACTACTACGGCTGAAGTTGTCCTTTCCCTCCCTGTGGTAACTCTTCTCTCCCGCCTGCCGTGGACCCAATCACGAAGTCTAGAATGGACTCTCGGCTGGCTTGGTGTTGTGTCCACGAGCGCGTTGGCGTCCGGCGTGTATGCATTGCTTAACGTCGAGATGCTGAGGGCCATAAAGGCATGCGCTGGGACGGTCGTGACGTCCACGACGGCGGACGGCGTGTTGCGGAGTCGGCCTGTGGATTGCGGGAGTGGGAAGAAGGGCGCGGGGTTGAAGGTTTTGGAGGCCATGGCGGGCTTGAGGGTGCTTGTTATGTGAGTTTCGACTGACGCATGCGCTTGCTGGGCTGTGAAGACGAAGGGGACGAGGAAAGGTTACTGACTTGAATGTAGGATCACATATACGATGGCCCTGTTGTGGTTTTGGGCCTGGAAAGTAAGCGTGAGGTGGTATACTTGAGAAGCTCGAGTACGTCGGGACTGAGCATTCCGGCGAAACGAATCAGCCCGCATTGATCCCATCTTCGGAGCCTCATGAACCCGCCATTCTTAATGACCCCATCCTTCATAGCGCATTAGATACCCACGGTACCAACACCGATACCGATACGACAGACATGCATGCATACATTAATAGATCCCACCACTTTAGCAAATAATATTCACTTACATCACGAGAAAGCCATCTCGCCCTCTAATCACGAAGATGAACCAATCCATCCATTACGTCTGCAGCTGACAAGTCTCTCTACAAAAGAATACAAGATAGCCACCGTCCCTCTCCTCGTCCTCCTCCTCCAATCGCAGCGATCTACCCCAACCTGTTCATGGAGGTGATAGTGTGCACGAACCTCAGCTTGCCCTTCTCCACACGGAACTGATGGCTATCCGGAATGCCATTTTCCCCGTTAAAGTCCATAAAGATATCCACCGACCCCACAGTCTCATCAATCACATACCTCCTATTCACAAGCTCGACATTATCAGGAATGCCCACGGCGCAAGAATCAGTCGGCGCGCCCCGCCCCGTATACGAACCGCCCTCCAGCCTAGCGCACGGCTGACCCCACGGTACGACGGTACTCTTGTCCTTGAAAATATCACAGTAGGCATCGCCCGCAGCCTGGATCACCTCCCTCGTATCCCTATCCGCCTCGGGGATCTCGCCCCAGTCCTCAGCCGTGGCGTACTTGAGGGTATTCGCAGCATTGAACAACCAATCCCCCTCCGTGGTCACAATGCTCTCAATCTTGGCAATAACCCCATCCTCGAACCAAATCTGCGTCCCGATAACATACGGCGTAGCCCCCGTCGCCGAAATGACCTCCGTGTACGTCGCGCACTGCGTCGTGTCGTACAGGCTCGCGTCGTGGTCGATTGTCAGGGCCTTGGTGAGGACCCCCTTGGTGATGTCGGCGGGCTTGAAGTTCTCCGTGTAGACGACCGAGTCGGAGGTTAGGGCGACGAGCTCGGCGGGGTCTCCGGCTTTTTGGGAGGCGAGGTAGGTCGTGGTGGCGGCTTTGAGGAAGTCGCGCGTGCAGTCGTCGGCGCGGCGAGTTGGGCGGCTCGCTAGGGAGAGCCCGGCGGCGAAAGATACGATGGTGAGAGCTCGCATGGTGAGAGTAGCCACTTTGTTTCTTTTATCGTTTTCTTTTTGGTTTGGTAGGATGGGCTTCTTGTATAGACAAGATGGCGTTGAAGCAGAGGCGCAGGTGTATATATACAAGCTCTCACCTGGAAGTTTCAAAGCCAAGAAGGGAGGGCCGTCCCAGGAACAAGACGGCGGACTAAGGTACCCTATATACTCCCCCGTTTCCATCCGTCGATCTCTCTGATATTGATTGCTGCCCCCGTCTCCTCACTGCCTATTCCCGGTCGCTCACTGTATAAGGCCAATATGCGAAATAGTCACTACTATCGGCACTGACAGCCGAGAAGTATACACAGAAAGAGCCGACCACCATTCACCGAGTGAACGAGCTCGTACTATAATGCAGTATAGCGGGAGACATACGTATTTCATTTAATATCAATACATGAATGTCTCTTTTCGTCTGCCCATACGCTTCTATAAAGACTGATATATATATATACATCTATGATCTCCGCATAGGCAAAATCTCCTCGAGGAGATAAAAAGACGTTTAAATTAACTCGTTTTCCTCCGATTCGATGGGGTAACCCGGCCGCGACGGCGAAAAACAAATTCCCCACCCCCGCCTTTCCTCGTTTCTTTCCGTTTTCTCGAACACCCGAGAACAGGATTCGTCGTACTGCTTTTCTTCGGGCCTAGAGGCTTTGTTAGTGGGAGATTGCCTGGGCGGAGGTGGCGTGCGTTACGGCAGTGTCATCTCGGCATGTGTGGGGCCTCAATTGTTCGTCCTCGCCGGCGAAGAAGATATTCCGCCATTGTTTTTCTTACTTTCTTCTCTTGCTTCCAATTGTGGCCAGCTCAATTGCAACTTTTTCTTATTATTATCATGGAATCCCTGGACTACTCAGAAAGGTCTTCTCGGCTGTACTTCGTAGGCCATGGTGAAACTGGGCTACATAATTTGGAATAATTCCAATAAACCTGCATCAATTGGTAAGATGGCCGAGCGGTCATTCCTGGTCCAGGAAACTGGGCGTGAGTTCGAATCTCACTCTTATCAAATTTCTTTTTTTGATTTTTCTATCTTTCAATTGGTTATTACTTTCTTTTCTTCTCTATTCTTCCCCTTCCATTTTATTTCTTTTCGCACCTTGAGGAACGTGTCTTGATTTTCTCTAGGGTGGACTTCTGTTGGCTTAGAAATGCTTCTTCTCGACATGCATGAGGCGGTCGATGACTGTGCGTCGGGCGGTTCTTGATTCCTTTCGCGAGGCAGTTTCAAATGATGGGGTCGCACTATCAGAATCTAGTAAGGCCCTCAAGGACCGGGGGGAAATCGGATGAGGGGGTCAGTCATCAAGACAGGCGCAACTCTGAATGACCCCCTCTATTACAGTCTTGTTACCTGAGATTGTACTCCGTACTTCGTACATCTCCTGTATATGCCTCTATGGAAGTACGATATATGGTGTACGGTGTTACACAAACCTGACAAGGCATACGGGATTTACCTGGGATTTACTTCGTACCTGCGCTATTGTTCTTTACTGATTAATCAGACTCGAGAGAGCAGAATGTGAGAGGGAGCAATCAAGGCCCCACACCCCCACCAAGGCCCCTGCTGTTCCCTTGCATGTAGTACAAAGGAAAGCACGAGATGTTTTTCGGTGATGATTCAAATCGCTTGCCGTCATTGGTCCCTTGCTGCCCTGCAGCCTGCAACGACACCCTCTTTCGGGAGACCAGGCTGAGATGTTCCAAGATGTTCCAAGAATACACCTTCCTCTACCCCTGTGCTACTTTTCTACAAGTAGCTTGGTTCGCGGCGGCTCCCAAAATCCTTTTGCCGAATTCCGCTCTCTGGAGAGAGAGAAGGGGCAGGGGGGGGGGAAGCAGCCGGACGCGAGAACCAAGCCCCCGGGCCGGCCATTTCAGCGTTCGATGCGCTCTGCGAAGCTTAGTTGTAGATGTGATATATCATAATCCGTCGCATCGGTGGTCTTCTCAGCCGACACCCCCCGGCCCAAAACGAAGACATTGGGGACTTCGAAGATGAGGGTTATCGCCGATATATTTCGTACTCCCCCAGTGCTGTAACACTGATAATTTTCGCATGAAAACCACGAAGTACGGCTTTCCTGGCGTTTTGAACATCTTTGAAATTCTTATAGAGTTCATCAAGTCCGAATCTTTTCGGGCTACCTAAATGTAGATGATGTATGATAACGGAGTCTAACTGCGAAGTAATTGGGGAGAGTTGATCGTGTTTCCAGGGCCAAGTACCTGGCGCCATTTGAGAATAGCAATGCCGCATTGAGATTTGCAGGGAATTGCAGAGGACAGCATGATCGCGACTTCCCCCCAAGGCCGACCACGCTTGCTGCCCAATCACTCCTGACGCGTATTCGTAGAAGCCACAGGCTTTCCGGAGAAGTAGAATACATCAATTGTATACATCGCATGAGGCACCCGCGGCGGTTGATTTCCCTCAGTATTCCTACTCCTTACTTCGTATGTAGCATTGATCAATTTGATTGGTACGTTTGTATCAACCACCATCACCCTGACTTCCCTGTACATTCCGTCCGTTTGTATCAACCACCATCACCATGACTTCCCTGTACATTCCATGTCGCCGCGCCAAATTTGTCACTGAGACTCCACATTGAATCTCACGGCTCCATCGAATCGGCCCAATCAATGATCTAAGTGTACTCATAAATCGGGCGCCCTGTTTCTTTTTCTTCCTCCGTTGGCTTACCATTTTATTGTGCCGTAGGATACCTCCTCACAACCATGTTAGTTCGTGGAGAAGAATTCCGGGAAAATGATGGGTAAAAGGCAACAAGAGAGAGAAAGAAGAAAAGCCTCTGCAAAGTTGTTCTGGATGCTACGCGTGTCCTCTACTGGGTGTAAAAACACAGGACCGGAAAAGAGAGAGTTATTATTATTGGGCTGATTTTCAGTTTTTGACCGACGTCGACGTCAGGAGAGCTGAGGCACCATCCAGAGTTATTAGCACAATTACTGATTGGCCTGACACCTTTGACCTACGTTGCCTTCGTTGTGAGTTATTTAAATATAATACCAGACGGCGGATGGAAAAGCGGGAGGATGAAGATGAGATTTGATCTTCTTGGCCTTACAAAGTACTGCGGTAGGGTGTGGGGCGACTACGTCCGGATGAGGAGGGGTAAGAAAGGAAGTGGTGGCGGCAGGGGTGGCCCATGTTGATGTTGACTTGGAAAAGATGCTGGCGCCGGGAGATGAGCAGTTGTAACTGTTAGAAATTCCGACTGAAGTCCTGTATCAACCCCAAGGCGAACGGGGAGGTTCCAGGGGGGAGGCATGTGTCAAGGGTGGGTGGGTGTACGAAGTATCTGGATACTTCGTAGCTTCGGCTTGGATCAAGCCAACAATCTACGAAGTACCTGTGTACAAGTATATTTATGAGGTGTGTGCGACCTCTGCTAGCTTGTTGTGCGAAGTGGGCGTTAACGAGACGCCCCCCAGGGGGGTGGGTGCAGCTATATATGTTTTTACTACCACACGTCTCCCACTTTCCTTTGATATCCCTGCCATACGGCTAGAGAGAAGGAGGAGAAGAGGAAGAAGGAAAAAACAACCAATAAGGCACTGCTGAATGGCTCTCCGAGGTTTCCGTAGACCTCCCTCCTTGAAACAATGACATGAGTTACTGCAGCCAAGTCAGGATGGCCGATCAAATGTTTGCCAGCTCTTCCCAAGGCTGCCAAGGGAGTCATTGGAGTCATGGAGCCATGCCGCTCCGAAACGGGGTCAAGAGGATCTAGAACCTAGCAATGTCATATGTATATTATGATTGCTGGAGAGTAAGGCGCATATGGAGTAATGCAAGCAGACAGGATAAGAGACTAGAGCAAGTCATGAGGGTTTGAGCCTGGTCGCAAGTTTGGGCTAGGACGTAATCCATGGACATGATGGGAGTTATGGGGCGGATGTGTCGAAAGCAGAGCACGGAGTAGGAACGACGACAAACTGGACGGAGGAGTCAGGGCCACCTCTCTACAGGAGCCTGGTCACTCGACGAGGGCAGTGGACAAATGTGAGCGGGATGTGGTATAGGAGGAATACGCAGGAAGGTGGTGAGACATCGCATTATGCACACTCGTGCTACTCATATGCTGGTCCAAAGGGGCGGTAGGAAAGACGACAAAATGAGATAGATGCAAGGTGATATCTGAGTACGTAGAAGAGGTGAGGAGTGAGTGGGAGGAGGGAGGAGGGGAGGAAACGTATGTTGGAAGGAGGATGGTTGCCGAGCTCTCATTGGCTGCAGCGTGTAAGTCGTGCATCAGACCGGGGTACTTCCACAACCATAAAGGGTCCGTCCCCCGCCGTCCGATGCCCCCGACCTCTGATCCTCCTCTCTCCCTCTTCATTTCCATATTATCAAGTTGAAAATCACAAATCCCTCCAAACCTCTTCCTACCACCGCATTCCCCCTCATATAAAACCCCCAGGCCTTCCGAGAAGCGTCTCACTATCACTCGACCGCGCTTGCGAGTCAAACACTCCTCTGCCCAGCCAACGTTAGGAAACATATCAAACTTACCCACTTACACCTTCCCATCGCTTCATACCTCACCATCTTAACATCCACTTACCCTTTCGCACTTGGTCGCACTTGATCGCATCGCACCTCATCGCACCCCATCGCACTCCATCTCACTCCATCTCACTCCATCTCTCCCCATCCCGCTTGGCCTTTTTACGAAAAGGGAAAAGAAGAAAAATGTCCACTGCGCACCACCACTCGGCCGGCATGGAGTTCCCCTTCTCACCGAGGAGTAACCCCTCCAACAGCGCATGCCACGCCACCAACACCAGCACCACCAAGGCCCGCCAGGGAACCACCCAAAACACCTCGTCGTACTCCAAGTCGAAGCGGAAGCTTTCCTCGACCAGGACGTCCACCATCCCTTCATCTCATCATAAGGATGACACCACCAAGTACGGCGACGATCTTCGTGGCGGTGGCAGCTCAAGCAAGAAGGCCCGTCGTCCTCCTTCCGAGACCGGCTTTCTCTCCATGGGCGCCTGGTGCGAGCCCCGCCCGGCTCGAGACGAAGCTCTAGTCCTAGACGGATATGCCCGCGGCGCCGACGGTACGAGCGCCTGGACGCCGCCTGCAACGCCCTACATCGGCCGACTGAACACTCCCCCCTTGTCGCCCATGGCGTATGACACCGAGTTCCAGCCACGCCGCCACGAAGAGCAGCAGGAAGACAGCATCAACGAGAACTGGTACCTCGCCAGAAAGTCCAAGATGGATATGAAATGTAAGCGACACTTCATCCCCCCGCCTTTCTCCTTCTTTCGCTCTTCCACTTTTCGTAAACTCGTATTAGTCAACGCAACCCCCCCCCCCCCCCCCCCCCCCCCCAAACCCAATTCGAAGAGTCTGCGCTCTTGCGCAGTTTCTCTCGGTTGGGTGAACTGCACTCCAGATGGGTCATCTGCTAATGGGCAATTCTCAAAATAAAGTGGATGCAGCGAAGGCGTACATGGCGCAAAGGAAAGGTGGCAATCATCCACGCATGGAATAACGAAACCTGCGGTGGTTTTTTTTTTTTTTTTTTTTTTTTTTTTTTTTGGATTTCGGAATTCCTAAAATCACAAAAATCAAGGGCGTTTGGAGTTCGGACGGAGGACTGGGATTAAATATAGTGGGAAAAGGAAAGTTTTGGGTGGGGGAGGGACTATTTTTGGAATTTTCATTTTCTCTGCGGTTGCTTGGGGTGTAAGTGAGAACGGCGGGATGAAGTCGAGAAGTTTAGGAATCTCGCGTTCCGGGGGGTCAAGGGGACGCGGCTTCCGTCTCTTTTCGGTCAGATGTCGTCCTTTGCTTATATAATTAGCCAGGCACAGCCAATCACACAAAGTTACATTCAATGAGTATTACAATATCCATAAAATACTTTATTTCAACCCGATTAATGTATTGTTTCACACTCGCGTGCAAGCATTTTCCATTGGTATGTCTAAAACCAATACCATGTGTAATGCAATAAACCAGTAATGAGTGAACCAACCCCTGCCAATGCAATGCATGAAACCACCCAACTCCGTTCCCATTTTAAGTACCGTGCAGACTCCTGACTCCCTCGTCTTTTGTGCCCCTCCTATCGAGTTACACCGTCTCTCCATGCCGGCTGTCTGGCGAGGGAAGCCCGCCAATACTCGCCGCGATCAACCCGGGTATACCCACGGCGGGATGCACAGGCGAGCTCGACGCGTTCGACCCCCTCCTGCTCTTACTCTTGCTCCTGCTCTTCTGCAACCGCTTCTGGATAAACTTGGGATCGCACAGGAACGCCATCCTCCCACCCCTTATCCTATTGAAGAAGGCGAGATCATCCCGCACATCTAGCATCGCCGCTGCGAGATCGTACGACTCGGCTCGCCGAGGGGCCTTCTTCTCTCGGAATCGGCGCGGGACGATGGTTTCTATGGCCTTGCGGATCCACGAATCGGGGAATAGTCGGATGAGGACACCGACGGGGATGGAGAAGAACCCAAGAACGAGAGAGATGCCCCATTGCGCCCCGTTTAGCGGTGTGACTACAAATGCCGCTCCGCCGAACCACACGATGATAATTTGACCGGCGACCATGATGGTTGCCATTAACATAAAGAGGTGATTCTTGTGTAGTCCCTCGAAGATGTTGAGTTTGTTGTCAATACGTCTGCTGTTGACCAGCTTGAAGATTTGCATAAAGACGAAGGTATTGAAAATGAGGGTCTTCTGTTCGTCCTCGGGGTAATGGAGGAAACTGGGACCTGCGAAGTGTAGTATGAAGATGACGATGAGCTGGTAAATGGATTGACCAATAATCATCTTCCACATCGTGAGAGTGATGAGCGGCGCCGTCTTTGCCTCTGGCTTCCTGTCTAGCAAGCTATCATTCGGGGGGTCGGTTGCAAGTGCCAAAGCCGCGAATGTATCCATGATGAGGTTGACCCAGAGCAGCTGGACGGCATTCAGCACCGAGGACTCGTTCTCGTCGGCAACAGCGGAGACGAAGGTAATCATCACAGCAGTGATGTTGACCGTAATCTGGAACTGGAGAAACTTCTTTACGGCATCGTTGATTGCCCGTCCCCAAGCAAGCGCCTTGACGATGGACGAGAAGTTGTCGTCCAGCAGGATAATGTCCGACGCCTCTTTCGCAACCTCTGTTCCGGTAATACCCATCGAGAAACCGACATCTGCGGCCTTGAGGGCAGGCGCGTCGTTGGTTCCGTCTCCGGTCACAGCCACAATCTGGCCCCGACTTTGCAAGGCTTTCACCAGGATCCGTTTATCCTCGGGGCTAGACCTGGCTAGTACACGAAGGTCATCGACGATGGCTTCCCTCTCAAAGTTGCTTAAGCGACGGAATTCAAGGCCTTCCATAATCCTACCACCATCCTTCAAAAGGCCGCAAGACTTGGCAATCGCTGTCGCCGTCGCGACGTTATCCCCAGTGACCATCTTGACTCCGACAGACGCCCTATGGCAGTCCTCAACCGCAGCTGGGACCCCGCCTCGCACCGGATCTTGGATTCCGACGGCGCCGATCCAAATCATTTCGCGAAAGACGTCGCTAAGTTCAACTTGCGACGGGTCGTCGTGAGCCTTGGATCGTGGGGGGGGCCACTGGTCGCAGTCCCTGAAGCATAGACCTAGAGTTCTCAAAGATGCAGAAGCAAACCTTGAAATATCTCCCTTGATTTGATCCAGATGAGTTTGCTCCAGAGTCGACGAATGTATGCCCTCGGTCGGCAAATCGATCACCTTGTGGCACTGAGCTAACAAGATTTCCGGCGCACCCTTGACGAAGATCCGGTATTTCCTGTCTGACAATTTTATCACTGCCGCCATGCACTTCCGGCTAGAGTTGAACGGATACATTTCGACCACCGTGTGATTCGATCGCATAATCTCGAGTGATTCCAATGCAAAGTTATTCCTGGCCCAGTCGAGAAGAGCGGTTTCCGTCTTGGTTCCGACAAAGATCGCCTTCCCTTTCTCAGTACCCTCGAAAGCCGTTGTGTTGATGGCGATGGACTGGTTAAGGAGCACGCGCAGATCCTCATGAATGGTCGACGAGAGCTTGCTTGGTTGGATAAACTTGCTGTAAAAGAGGCTGGCGTCGGTTTCGGTCGTTCCCGCACCGGTGGAATCGTTCGATTTTATTGCATTCAGGACGCTGTCCTCGGCGAAGCAGAGTGAGCCGTCGCCCAACGAGCCAGCCACGACAGTCATGATATTCTCGGTTAAGGTGCCTGTCTTGTCAGAGCAAATCACAGTTGCATTTCCCATAGTCTCGCAAGACTGCAAGTGGCGGACGAGGTTATTCTCTTTCGTCATTTTCTTCGTAGCAAAGGCCAACGCGAGCGTAACCGCTAGCGGGAGACCCTCCGGGACGGCGACGACAATAATGGTAATGGCGGTGATGAGGATTCGCATGAAACCTTGACCCTTTTCTTCCGAAGTCTCATCGCTGCCCTTAAGACGGACGAGAAACTCTATGAACAGGACCGCGAAGAGGAGGACACCGGCGGTGCATCCAAGCTTCGCGATGTAACCTAAGAGAAGAAGTGTTAGTAGGATAGTTCGGCTTCGAACGAGGGGAGCATACCAGCAAGAATATTCAGCTTCAACTGCAGAGGCGTCAATTCGCTGTCATCGCGAAGCGATAACATGGTCCTGCCATGGCTCGAATAAGGCCCAACCGCTGTGACGAGACACGATCCGACGCCATCAAGCACCTTGGCGCCCGAAATAATGAAGGGATCCAACTTCTTAACCTCGATCGGGCCGGTCTTCTCGAGGACACGCATCACTGCTTCTGCAGGGGTCTTCTTTATCAAATCCGACTCCCCCGTGGCGGACGACTCATCACAGCTGATATTGTGTCCGTCAATGTAAATACCATCGACAGGGATTACGTCGCCTTGTTCCAACATGAGAACGTCTCCGACAAGAAGATCTTCAATGGATATGACCGTAGGCTTCCCCGACCGAATAACCTTCACTTCCCTGTCCTCGTTCTTCTTGTTCAACTTCCGGAATTGACGTTCCTTCTGCCAGTCGTTCAAGGCGCCGACGAGTGAGACGATGGCAATCGCAACTATGATAGCCACACCTTCAACCCACTCAACCCTGGCGCCTTGATGCTCGTCGTTTCCAAAGGTTTGGTACAAGCCAAGCGCCAACGATACCACGGCCGCCACGCTCAGCAAGATGAGAACCTTATCTTGCAAGGCGATCCAAACTAGTTGGAGAAATGACTTCGACTTCCTTTCGGGTAAGGAGTTCTTTCCGTAAACTCTCTTTCGGTCGCTGTACAATCCCCCGGTCTCCTTGTGTGTGGTTACACGCTTCATTTTTTGGCCCGTTTTCGTCCGTTGAATCCCTTGCGATAAATCGGGAGGGTGCTCCGGTAATTGAAGTCCTGTCGCATCCTCAAATGACACGGATCCAGTAAGACCCGCCTCATCTAGACTGAGTCCCGACTTGGCATCAGTCCTTAACCCTTTCTCTATGCCACGCAGGCCGCCCAAGGCGTGGAAAGCCTTTAGACTCTTGGGGTTTAAGAGTCGTGATAAGTGACCGGGAGAAAATGCAAAGGGATTCTCGGCGACTGTGAACAAATCCTCGTCCTGAGGTAGTGGCCTCCAGAGATCTTCTAGAGATTCTCTCGACGGTAGTTGAAAGCATTTTTGCGACGTAGCGTCAGAGGCGCCATCTGTTGACGGCCGTAGTGTATCTAACGAAGCTGGACTAGCCGCGGACGATGAGCTGGCAGCGCGGCCGAAGGCCGGGGTGGTGAGCTTTGTGCCATCTTGGGATCCCGAACTAGCGCTCGAGTGAGGGTCTAATTTCATGGGTTAGATCGTGAGGGTCTAAGCTTAGTGTGCCAACAAACAGGCAGGGCGGGGGCAGATATCGTCAATAATGCTAGGCAGCAGAAGGAGATATCTTGGTAAGATAATCTTCCGAGATACAACCGCGCATCGTAGCGGAATCCATAGAAACGTACCTATGTGGTCTGTCACGGCCGACGTGTCGAGATGTATGCTCGGGGCTCTGGGGCGTCTCTTGTCCGAGGATTTGTCTGAGGGTGGTTTAGAGTCCATGACAGGTAGGCAACTGTTCTAAGTGGTAAAACTGCCGCGAGGAATTCAGAGGAGAACCTGCCTCGAGGAGCTTTGGCTTTGGAGATGCGGGAGTTTTAAATCAAGTTGGGGGAGTAGGGTTCGGGTAGGGTAGGCTTCAACGACGTGGAGCCAGGCAGGGGGTTGATTGGAAAACGCCTTGCCTCAAACGGAGTGCTGCCGCTAGGGATTGTGGGAGTCGGTGAGATCGTGAATGTGTCGAACTACTCCTCGGGCAGGGTCTCCTCATGCTAGAATAACAATGGCGATGGAATGAAGAAGATATGGATCATCGCTTGAATTCTGGACTTGCTCGAAGAAAAGCATTAAAACACTGTTTCATTGGGCCAAGACGAGTTTGGGAGTGGAAAAAGTATCGAGGACTCGCCGCCCTTTATCCCGGATCCTCAGAAACTGGAGCGAGGCGTGCATCAACAAAGGAAGCGACGGGCATAACGTGACAACGCTGCGGTGTCTGGCTCATCAGATAGGTTGCTAAATTGCACTGCCACACGCCAAGTGCTGGTACCCGACATGTATCCCTCGCGACTGCCAAAACTTAATCAAACCATTAAAAAAATGCGAATAGGTAATATCAATTTCTTTATCAGTTACTTGAAGGAGGAAAGTGCGAATTTGCTGGGATTTGTAAGTTTGAGCATCATTCCTTTCAGAGGAAAATGCGTTTTTCGTGGTGTCTTACACGTGAACATAGCAAATGCCAGAACGTGGTTTCCTTCCTAGATCCCCCACGCCCAAGTTCACACGAGGTATACTTCGTCGGTATAAATTGATCCTTCGGACGGCCCAATGCAGATTGGACGAAATGAGCCGGGCCTTTCCAAACCGGTTGTGTCCGCCCCATTGACCGAATCAGATGTGTCTCCTCGCCATTGCACATTTCCTAACTTCTACTCAAAAGAGCATCAGTATCCGCCCAGCTGGAACTTGGGTCTCCCCAGCACGGAGGGGGTCGATATAAGGTACCAAAGTGCACAATATCACAAATCTTCAATATTGACGTCAACATCTGCAAAGGTAGACTAAGCTATTAGCTGGACACCTCTGACCGAAACATCAATTATGTTCACTGATGTTTCCTACAAAAGACCTTGCATCGCCGCTTTGGTCGCAGCTAATCTCCTGCCTTTTGTTGTAAGATATTATGAATCCTCAGCCACCCCGACCTTCCCGTTCAATCCGACGACCGTCGACGTCCTGCGAAATGTGCGAAGGCGAATCTGCTTCGTAAACCACTCCTCTCCGGGGATGTGAAATTCCCCGACCCCGTCACCTGGGACCTGTTGCCACCGTAGTGATGACGACAGTGAGGGCAGTGCTCTTCATAGGGAACCTACGAAGAAATAAGACAGGCTGGCTGTCTAGGCACAATCTGCCCTCCAAGCATCGAGCTGCCAAATTGGCCTTGGTGTAAAGCGCAACCTGACGAAGAGCTCAGGCGAGGATAGGATCATGCTGATGACATGGGTATCTTAAACTAGCACACGCTAGCGATTTCAGGCAGACTTCACCAGCAGGCTCATTAGTCGGATTTGATACTCCATACAGTTTAATCCTGAATTTTTTAAATTTGCGAAGTCAAGCATTGAAATGTGTTTTACATGTCAGCAAAGTTGGCGAAGGCTGGTGGGGGGTGAAGCTCTCCAAGTCTGAACTCCATACTTTGTGTGGGAAGAAGAAAAAAACTTGAAGCTCCCAATAGACTAGTTTAGCTTGGCTCGGTAGCGCAGATCTCCATCCTCTATCCGGAGAGCTTAATCCATGAGCAGCCTAATGGCTCGGCATTGGGCAACACTGATGTATCGCGTGTTAGTGTAGCATTTAACAGGTGGTGGGTTCTCATATCGGAGAGGACCCACGTGAGTTTGGGGGTGGATTCCACGGATCGACGTCATCATTGGCTTCGGTGTCACTTGACTAATTGAGAGCGCGATTTCCCAATGCAGTGGCCCCATCTCGTCCCGGACGTATCGCCGGCGTGCTTTTTAATGATTGATCTGTCCATCGCCCCATGGTCTCACAGCAGTTAAACGCCGAAAGCAGGAGGCGGGATCTAATCAGATCAGGGCCACTAAAAAGCATACCGCAAAATGTTTTAGCACTTCTTGCACTGCCTCTTCTCCCCCCACATGGGGCGAAACAACGATTTGGGATTTTTTGGCGGTTGCCAAGGATGGGAAGAAGAACATCAATTCTGCGTTGTGACGGGCGAGGCGAAAGGAGCTCTGGAAGAAAAGAAAAGGAAAAAAAAAAATTGTCACCGAAGGTTGTTCAACGGCATTAATCCACCAATTGTTGGCTTGATTTCCAGTATTGAAGTTTGGCGAGAATTTGTCGCTCGCGGATACTCGAAAATTGGCGGTAACCCGCCCAAAAAGACTCGCCACATCCGAACTCATTACCGTCGACTGAGCCGGCGCCATCGCCGGTCCAATTCCCGGGTCCCTCCGACCGGTCCCCTGCCGACCCCCTCCACACCTGGCAGCAACCGGGCAACGAAATCCAACTGCATCAACCACAACAAGAAATACTCGAACCATTGGGATACCCGACACCATCGCCCGGCGCATATTTTGCATCGCCCGAGAAATGACCAGACTCTGTTAGACGATGCCTCATGGAAACTACTCCAAATTTTTTTTCGGGTCTCTTCTCCCTACATAATATCTTTTTGCCCTTTCTCTTCCGCATCTTCAGTTTTCCCAGCTCCCGCACACCTTTTCCCTCGTTTATGGGCACATCAATTACACACAAAATTTTAATTTTCTTCATCCCAAATCCTCACCCCACATCACCTTTGCACAGCCTCAACTAGAACCCACAAGATTGATATTTCCCCTCAATTCTCATGTGAAATGCTGTTTGCCTTGCCTTTTTGGGTCATTGTCAACTTCCGCGTATTAATTGCGTCTTTACTAGTTGGATTAATAAGAACGCCCCAAGATGAAACTGATCTGTATCCGAAGCTATCTGCCTTTCCCTCGCAGGATCACTGGGGTGCTGCTCCAGAAAGAGGAAAAAGAAGGGAAAATAAAAAGAACGGAAGGCAAAAATTTCCCAAGAGCTCGTTCAGTTGAGCTGATCCCGATAGCTATCTTCTTTTACAATCCTGCCTGATCAGCACCGAAGAGATCCTGATAGGAGAAGTGAGGGTGCATATCTCCACCGAGGCATATGCTCATATAAAAAGGCAAAAAGGAATATGTACACCGAGGCAGGCTCCTTGGCCTCCTCGTATTAAAAGCTTGAATGGGAATAGAGAAAAAGGAAACTGTGTGCCTCGTAGTCAATACCTACTTCGTACAGGGCGTTGCCCTCTACGGATAGCAACATTGTGCAAAGGAGTCTCGGGACAATTTCCTTCTTCTCCCAGCATTTCTGTGACACGAAGGCCGATGAGCGAAATGGTTTCCCCGGTCGACGTTACCAACCCCTCTCTCCAAGAAGCACAGCCTCCGTGCTATACCTTCCGAGAATCAATAAAAGGAGAAAGGTCATTTTCGATGGGGGAAAAAAAAGTTCGCATCTGCAACGTTCGGACGTCGTTGAGCTTTTGCTCAACTAGCTTCGAGCATGCATGCAACGGTATCCAAGCTTCCCTGTCTCCAACACCCACCCCTGCCAAGTTCTGCCTTCGCCAGACCGAAAGTAGAAGAAAAAAGTAAGAAAATGCATGTGTGCCCGTCACAAGAAACTTTCCCAAGTTAAGAGGTCACAGTCTCCACCTCCATAAGCTACTCCTACCCCTAATACCTTAGAACAACTTTCTATCTAAGCAGTAAACGGGGGACAAACTGGACTAAAACGTGGTAGATTCTAAGTCAAACCCACTTCGTATAACTCTGACAATGTCAAACGGACTGCGGGGGCTGGGTCTAAGCCACGATCTTGCCATTCTGCTCATTAGACCTGAGTATATGGCGATATATGGCGATTCACACAATGGGGAGACTCGAGAGAGAAAAAGAAAACCGGCTTTTCTCCTCGTTTGCTCGGCCCGCGCTCGTCCCAGATCATCGAGAGTGCCCTGCCCAATAAGCATCCCGGCTATATTTTGATGTGGACCCTTGCATGTGCCTGGAATGAGAGGGAGATAGAAAACACACGAAGAAACGGAGAATCATTGAAAATGAAACAAAGAGAAGAATTATCTGTAATGGTTTAGAGTATCCTAACCATCCGCTGTAGAACTACCCCTACATAGGGGCAGCAGATCTCTAAAGCTCTCTACTTACACGAGTCCAAATGTATGTGAGAAAAGAGTAATGATGTAACAGAATATGTTGACAAAACGGATGTTCAGTTACGAGGCGACCCCTTGTGCGTCACCTCCCTCAGACCAATGTACATTGACGGCCTGTCAAATTTTTCCACCTTGGTATCCCAGAACGCGACCACGTCAAGCATTACAAAGGCCTTGGTCGTCTCCACGTGCATCAACCCGTACATCTTGACACAGCCCCGCGGTGGCTGGCGCCGTCCCCTCGCCCAGATGCTCCTGACCGAGGAAACGAGCTGATCCCACGCGCTTGGCGACAACTCCCGCATCAAGTCCGCGGGGGCGCGAGCGAGGTCGAAGATCTTGGAATGTACAGGGCCTAAGGCCTTCCTGCTCTCGGACATGAAGTCGGTCTCTTTGCGGGTGCTTGTGGATCGAGAAGTGTTGTTTTGGTTGACTGGCTGGCTCGGAACCTCTTTCCCTTGCTCCGCAGGGGGCGTTCCCGCTGCGGTCGAGTCGGGAATCTGCTTCTTAACAGGTAGAGTTACTTGAGACCTCTTCTCGTCCGCGCCCGCGATTATTATGACACCCCCGGGTCTCGAAGGTGTCATCTGCTCACTGCTAATCCCAACCAGCTTGCTATAGCTCTGCCCCACCACGGTCTTCGTATACTGCCACACAGCCGATGCCAGCGGAGCAGGCCAAAGAACCTTGTGGAGCATATTTATCACATAGGGATCGACGGGCTGCTTCGCCCCCCACGAGATTCCGTCATTTTTAATGAGCAAACTGTTGAAATTTTCGTTAGACAACAATGAAGCTTATAAAATGGACTATTGCTCGGATGAGCCACAATCTGCTGACGTACCCTTGTTGCAACCACTCAGGAGACGGGGCGGACGGGAATGAGATCTTGAGCCACCCTTGCCAGCCCGTGGGTCGACCCCATTTGTTCACGAGGGCTCTGTTAGAACCCAAAATATCCAACGTGAGCTTTCCCAGATCCTCTGATCCTCATCGTTAGCGAGAGGTGGCCATACAAACTCATATTTTCCAACGACAAGTAAGGTGAGAGTCGAAGAGACTCGGTGGGAAAGGGGAGCTTACTCTTTAATTTCGTCTTCAATTTCTGATCTTTGCTGATCTTTTCGAATGCAGCCCATTCCGGCGTTCCTCTGCGGTAAGGAGGTGGCTGTACTTGTTGTTCCGTGAACGGGAATGGGATGAAAGCCATGACAGATGCGTCTGGCACTCCGCGAGTCCTAGCACCCGGCCTGTCGTGGAAATGGACGTGATCATCTTCATCCTCATCCACGACCTCGATTACGACCGAGCTAGTCATGTATACTCCAAGAATTAGGAAGCTCAGGAACATTGCTCGCCTAATTGCCGGAAACGGGAAAGTCTCGTTAGCAAACGTCCACTTCAAACAAGCTCGGAAGCGCCAGGAAAAAAAGGTGGGGAAAAGCTCGGGAAGTAAGGCGAACAAGGATGTATTCTCTTACCTGAATCCACTGCGCCTTAGTCGGTGAAAGCGCACCCTTTGGACTTGTATTGTCTGGGAACTCGTGTTCATGTTCGCCGCATGTTTGGCAACTTCGAAGGTAGGCCGTAACCTCGTAAGCCTCGCAAAGCGCTGCATTGTGTCTAGGATCTGGAGGAACGCGAATTCGGCGCGCCCGGCGGCGGCCTAGATGGGTAGACAGGGCCGGATCGTCGGGGATGGTTCGTTGGGGTGGGTGTTTTGAAGCCTCGCCCGGTCCTCGATGGGATGTGAGCTCTAAATGCAGGTTCGAGAGGCTCCGCACTTCGGAGTGACAGAAGATGGATCCGAAAAGCTACACTCCCAAGCGGGAGGAGATGCGCCTATAGGCTGGTGATCCGAACGCGCAGGAACTGGAACAGATGCCTTGGGATCACACGGAGAAGAGAGCGTCGTGGAAGGAGGTGGATAATGGTGGGGTTGTTCCCAAGGCTGTCCGATTGCGCAGGATTGATAATTGAGAAAATGCTCGCATGGGTCGAATGATTCTAGGATCGCGTGGCAAAGTCTGGTCTGGGGTTTGGTTCTGCGGAAATGGTGTTGATGCCGGTTTGATGACTCTAAATCTAATCTTTACAGGTCGAGGTCGCTTCAAACAATCAAGGGTATCGAGACGGTCTGCGGAACTTTAGAAGGCAGGCGACGTCTGGTCTGTCTGGTCTGTTCATCCTGCCAATTTCTGGTCCCCGCAAACCCGTGGATCAATTCGTTTGTTGCGTGATCACGTGTTAAAGCCTTCATGACGCCACCAACGACTTGGTTGAGTCTCGCCCCTGCCAGCGCAATCCAATTATCAACTGACAGCATCTGGTTCGTGCAAGTCAATTGGGAATGATGTGAAGCGCTGAGCCCCTACACGACTCTTTGCCAAAGTCAAAAACACCAATTTACAGAGTACGGAGATGTTGCGATTCAGATAATACTCGAGGGAATCGAGGCTAGAATACGAAGTACCACCTATTCAATTCTTCTCCGGTTCATATTGGGAAATGTTCCGATTAAGTTGGGAATCAAGATCCCAAGCCATCAAATCTTTTGAATCTTGCCTGCCAAGATGACTAACCGCTGGAAGACCTGAGCAATGACATAACGGAGAACCCATCCTTGCATGTGGTCTTCATAATTGCGGCCGCATCCTTTTACCCAAATCGCGGCGCCAACACAGGAGCAATACTGTTGATATGTCCGTCCTCAATCAACAGCAGCACTGCCGGCCAACCTTAACCGAAGAGCAAGAGACGACGGTGGTGGATTGGGTATCGAGGGAGAGGGGCGCTGGAACCGTGGTGACAAACGATACGATTCGCGCATTCGCCAACCGTCTCCTCCAGCGCGATGGGGCCAATATCACCATCGACCAAGACTGGGTCCTCTACTTCCTCGGCCGCCATCCCGACACCGCAAACATGCTCACTATCCCATCGCATCCAAGCCACATAAAATTCAAGACAGAGGAGAAGGTGAATCCTATAACAGCAATGATGCGGAAGGACCGCCAACGTGCGCTTTTCGGCGATTCTCCCCCACCGCCGCGCGAACATGCACCTTACCCCGACGGTGAGATCATATATTGCTCAAATGAGCGCTATGTCGTTCGTCACGGCGACAACCTAACGAAGTACACGACATCGTCCAACGGTTTCGGTGCCAGAGACACCCCGAATGAGGCACTTGCGCTGCAATTCATCAAAGCGCACACGACGATCCCGGTGCCCCAAATGTTGAGCAGCAGCTGGGACCGCATCACCATGGAGTTTGTCGAGGGCCAAACGCTACAGCAGGCGTGGCCGGTGCTCACGTCCGATCAGCGCGTCGACGTCCTAGCTCAGCTCACCGGCTATATCGCCCAGCTGCGTAATCTGCGAGGCGTCCACATCGGCCGTCTAAACGGCGAGGGCGCATTGGTCCCAGGCATCATGACACGCTCGGGAGGTCCATTTAATACCCTGGCCGAGTTCCACGACTTTCTTGTCAACCCGCCTAAGCGCTTGGAGGCGCAATCCATGTACTGGCACCAGATCACTACTCAACTAAGCGCCGAGTGTCCCATAGTTTTCACGCATGGTGATATTGCCGCGCGGAACATTATGGTGCGCGATGGGCGTATCGTCGCCCTTCTGGATTGGGAGAATGCGGGATGGTATCCAGAGTACTGGGACTACGTTTTTACCATCCGAGGAATGGACCACATCGATTGGGAAACTCTGGGCCAACATGCCCCATCCCTTTTCGCTAAACGATACGATCTCGAGTACATCCTTCTCCAGTTCGTCATAAACCTCTACTAATGATAGGTCAAGGTCGTCAGCCCAGTGCCCCGTCAACCAGCTTCTCTGCGATTTCCTCCGCGACGACGTCGTACCATTCCTGGGTCTGAAGTCCTTCGGCCACAAGCGCCTGGAGACCCTCGAATACGAAATGTTGACAGTTCCATTCCGGATCACCTTCCCTATTCAGCGGCACGGCGGCAATGGCATCTACCGGCCTCATTTCCTGCCCGTTTGGCACAATGACCGCCCCAGCATTCACGTGGCTGCGGTAGGTGCCCGATAAAACCCAGTCCACCTTCCTGCTGTGGAGTTGGTCTATCTCCCAATTGCTCTTTTCATCGAAGCGTTGCACGTGTATTGTCTCGTAAAATTCGGAGTTGTCGGGCGATGTAAAATAGAGGAGGGTATGGCGTTTATGGTAATAGTCAGGCATCCCTCTAAATATATAGACTTGGATGTAGATTCTTGTGGAACCTGAGCTCGTGATTATGATCTTTTTGTCGTTCGTGTCATTCTGCTTGCTGTTGCCATCCGGTGCCTCTTTAGCACTCTGGCGTATCGTCGCGATGCTGGAAACCATTGCGATTCTCGATTGTTCGGCAGAATAACAACTCTCGGTAGGGAGCTCGCTAGTGAGCACGACATCCCTTTGCTACTTGACATATGCAGGGTTGTATGGGCAGCGAGCACCATGACAGTCGCACCAGAGACTGTTGAATATGCCTGCCCTGATTGTACCCCGCTCATATGGCCGGCGATATGCCTGTATTGAAGTTGGAAGGTTCAAGATTCAATACTCCAACACTATTATCCACATAATGTCAAATTCAATTGGTCAGCAATCTGCGAGCTCTTAAAGGACCTTGAATGATATGCTCCCAATTCAACTTGGAACGGTGTCCCTGTCGCAATTTCTCCAATTTGTATTCTACATACATATGTATATGTAAATGGAATGGGATGCAATGATAGCACGAGAGTTATCTGCTGACATGTAATATCCAATGCGGAACGGTCATTTGCCGCGCTTTCGGTATCGGACATCGTTGTAAGCTGAGCAGGGGAATATAGGTGCATATGATGGTCAGTGGCCCGGCCGCGGTACGCAAACGAGGACAAGCCAGCTCCGGGGCAGTGTCCTGGGGACTTCCACTTAGGTAGGATGGGGGCGAGGAAGTGTGGAAGATATAGGCGCCTCTTGGTTCAGCAGGCCACGGCGGGAATGGAAGGAGCACTCTCAGAGACAGAGGATGCGAACGAAGGGAAGACGCGAACCCGAAGGAAGCAAAGCGGGCCGCCGTGGGAAACGGCACAGGTTGGCGATAGAGAAGAATTTCATAGGGGAAGGAACTAACATGCAGGGGGCCTACATTCCTAGAGCCGGCCAGCTGCTGGATCGTGTTCGGCGAGGTGCTGCGAAACTCTTGCCTGGATCAGCCTGGTGAAATTACGAGGGATTAGAGCAACGGGAACGACCGGGAGGTGGCCGGCAACGGCCCGGGACCGCAGTATATGGATTTTGTCACCTTGGATTCTTTTTTTTTTTACTCTATGGCTTAGCTATGGGAGGACTAAAATAATATCTAGGGTCCCAACTTGTCTAGGAGAGAGGCAAGCAAGAATAGTACGCGAGTGTAAGTAGTCCGGGGAGCATGCCCTACCTCCGGAACCATGAAGTCATCATCTCTGATATTTTTTGACGCCACCCTTTTTGTATCTTGCGCATAACAGCCCAGCCACCATGACCCCCTCGACGAATTCGCAAAGGAGTACCTAGGTCAAACCCATCTTGCCGAACCGGCTTTGGAGTTTCACCGTCTTCCTTTCTATGTTCGCCATGAGCATCGCTCTGTTGGCTCGATTCAGAAGCCCGAATACCGGCTGTAGTAGTGCTACTGGGAGGAGAATCCAGCGTCTGAGGAGGAGGTGGTGGTTGACCGATTTTGTCCGTGGAAGCAAGGAGGTATCTCCGGTCCTGCCGAATCCTATCCCGGATTTCTTGTATGTCATCCCGAAATTCCCGGGCCGTGGCGCGAATACAGGGTGTATTGGAATCCGGACTTATGGGGGTTGTCTGCGGCGAAGATGTGTGATTGTCCACGGTAACTAAATCCTGGTTGGTCGGTGTGAATGCCGCCGGACGAAGGCAGCCTTCTGGTGGCTGATAATCTAGGACGAGAAGCTTATTTTTGACAATGGAGAGAAGATCGCCAACAGCCGAGCCGGGTTGGCATCCAGGATCCTGAGGCAGAACCTCCTCAATCCATCGTTGGACCTCTGAATGGAGAATAGCGCCCGGTAAACCTCCATCGTAAGCGATCTCGAAATACGGCGATAATTGCATGCTATCCCACAACGGCTGCTGCTGCCATTGAATGCTCTTATTAAAGTCTTCCAGGCCTTCATTACCTCGCAAGATCCACACTATGAATTCGAGCGTAATGCATCCCATGGCCCAGACGTCTTCTAGGCGTGATCTAGGTTGGTCGAGCTCCTTTACAAAAGACTCGGGTGCTCGGTACCTCACGGTTCCATAGCTGGTAGCAGATTGAGCAGCTCGGGAGTAAGTATCCATGAGATGATGCTGGGCTAGCCCCATGTCGCCAATCTTTAGTGTACCTAGGTCAAGGTCATGCTCGGCAAAGCGCAGGATATTTTCCGGCTTTAGGTCTCCGTGACGGATATTCTCAAACGGAGCGTGTTTTGGCGGTGCGAGGGTCGAGTATGAACCGGCATTAAGGGTGGCATTTTGGGAGAGATATGTGTTGTAGTTATGCAGCTTATCCAGAGCGTCTGCTAGACCGTATAGCTGATTAACGGTCTGCTCGATAATCTCTGGGTTCCGAGGGCCACGATAGTTCGTCCAGAATTCTCGCAAGTTTCCGTCGGCCCAAGGAAACATGAAGTAGCGATTGTGGGACTTTTGTATGGCTGCAAGACACGGTATAATGTTGGCGTGGTTGAGTTCCCGAAGCTTCTCAAACGTACGAGCTTCTGTGTCCCAAGCAAGGTCGACTTGAGCCTCGCTAGCCTCTGCCCCCATTCGAATTTGTTTGATAGCAACCTAGGGCTGTTTTAGTATAAGATGTTCAATATGAAGTCATGGTCTTCCGTACAGATGAAGGGATTCCCCCTTTGCGGTGCGCATTCTCAATCTCGACGCGGTATACTTTTCCAAAAGAGCCTTGCTTCGATACCCTATCCTTGTAGGTAAAAGGCAGGACGCTGTTTGCATGAAGTTCGTACTTATACTGTAATCCAAAAACCGGGGCGAGGAATTCCCATTGCAGGTTGAAGAAATTATAACGCTTCATATACGAGCCCCAAACGTTCTTCGCAAAAAAGTTGTATCGCTTAGTGAAGTCTTCAAGTGGTAGCCTTTCGTCCGTGTATTGATGTTCGCGGAAGACCTGCATCGATTGTAGAAGATCGGGACCGGCGACACCACAGAGAATGACGATGGCGAATAGCTTCTTCGAGTGCTCGTAGATCCAGTCGACGAGTCTCGGACTCTCGTTGGAACCCAACACTTGTTCAATTATATCGCGAGTGATGAGCTCCTTGATGAAATTCTCGGGAAGGAATTTGTCTAGAGACTCGTCGAACACACTCGTCTTCATATTCGTGAGTATCTGCTTAGTGAGAACCTCGGAGGGTTCGTCTTCATCATCGGAAATGGCATATTCACGAGCTTGCTCTCCTCCCAATTCTTCATCTTCGATTGTCTTCTGAGTAATGGGATTTCCAGAGGGCATTCTTTTAATCTGCATCTGGGAGAATATTGGGTCACGTCAAAGGATGGCAGCATCCCTTCGGGCCGCTCCCGATGGGCGGGCATCAGCCTCCATATATAGTCATTTACCCTTGTGCCTGCATTTATATGCAGGTCTACTTCGTACGGCGCCTATTCGCGAACCAAACCACCAGGCTGCAGGCCAGGGCGGCAACATGGTGGCCCCTGAAAACGCACGCCTTCAGGCTTGAGCCACATTCATCGGCTGGAAACGACGCAAGTGTCGCCGGGAATTAATGCAGACTGTGTTAAGCAGCACGATGCCACGGGTGCCGAGGAGTCGATTAGAGAAGCTGGGGAGTTCGCCCAATAAAAGAGTCGCTTGTCGCGGTGTTCCCTCCAAAGTTCCGAGAGTCATGCTCCCAGCCGGGGGAGGCCGGGAATCAGAGCTGCCCATTACGCTCTTCGGATTCCCCAGAGTTCGTAAACGAGTCTAATCGTTCGAGTCTTCTTCGTTGGTGGAAGTGTGTGGTGACAAGAAGGTGAATGTGGGAGATTGAGGTCCAAGCACGAAGTACAAGGTACAACCAGCACAGGTGGATCCCGATCAATCACGTGACACTGCCTGGAGGCACCAAGATTCGGGCTGCTTGGCAGCTTCATTGAAATCCCAAGCTTATTCCCACCATCCTAGGATCCACCATCCCTTTGAGACCAGGGCAATTATCAACAACCCATCGCCATGAGACTCTCGATAGCAGTTGCCGCCTCCCTCTGCAGCCTTGCCGCTGCACATCCCAAGGCCGATGCCTACGTCTTCCGATCTGGATCTCCCTCTCAACATGACGACCGTGCCCCCGAGCTCTCCAGACAGCTTACCAGGTTGATCCTACAGCAGCGACTCGGCGTCGACCAGCACTTTTCATCGCTCAACGAGCTGTCTTCCCTGCCTAACACTGACGAAGCTGTTTCCTATATTAATACCCTTGGCCGGTCGCAGGCGCCTTTGTTTTCAGAAAGTGGTTCGGAAAGCCCTTCCCAGCTTCTCATTCTCCTCGAGGGATTAGAGGATGGTGGGATGGATGGCATTCTTCCTGGCGTCAAGAAGACCTTCACTATCGATGAAGCCCCCAACTCTGCGGCGATCCGAAAGCTTATAGATGGAGAATTTGGCACCGTCGGTGTTCGGGAGAGCTCCTGCGAGTTTGGACGAGCTATCAATCCACTTGATGAGAACTGCTGGAGTGGCCAGTCCTCCATTATCCGATACGACGTCAAGAAGGTAAATCAGTCGCCTCTGTTTATTTTTTCTACGCCTACGTTCCCCAACTAACCCCTACAACCCTTACACAGCTCCCCGCAATTCTTGAGGCCGTCCAAAAAGCCACCCCTAAGCTCCAGCGGTACGCCGAGTCCGGCGAGATGGAAACCACCATCATCCTCTTCCCCGAATCGAGCCGCAAATCCAAGACCAACAGCTGGTCTTCCCATCCCAGCGAACTCCGCCGCCGCCAAGCCGAGGCCGTCCTCCTATCCGGAGACCCCCTCCCTGAATCCTCCCCCGAGACCGCCAAGCCCAAGGCCCCGTCGTCCTCCCAGGTCTTCCCCGGCACCTTCCAGCGCGGTACGATCCCCAACTGCTTCCAGTCGTGGAACAGCTGCATCACCGCCACCAAGAACTGCTCGGGCCACGGCTTCTGCGTAGACAAGTGGTCCAACGAGAACACCCCCGATGGCTCGGAGCCTCCCAAGACCGACGACGCGGTCTGCTTCGTTTGTTCTTGCAAGCGCACCCTTGATGATCAGAATAAGATTACGCGCTGGGCTGGAGCGACGTGCGAGAAGATTGACGTCAGCACTCCCTTTGCGCTCTTTGCTGGATTCACCATCATCATGGTCGCTGTCGTAGCTGGCGGCATCAGCCTTCTTTTCAGCGTTGGCCAAGAGCCTCTCCCGGGTGTCCTTGGCGCTGGTGTCTCGAAGAGGTAGCGTTTGAAGCTCTTGGAAAAAAGAAGGAAGGCCAGACGTGGGGATGTTTTTCAGGATTTGGGTTTAATTTGTAGTTTGAGTGCTTTGTTCTTTTTCTTTTGTTTTTGTATCATTAACCATGGAACCGACTAAGGAAAGGGGTTCACATGGCGGCGTCAGGGTGGCTTTTGGGCAGTGCATGCCTGCTTTGCGAGATAAGATAATATGCTACTACTAGGTTTCTCTTAACACAGCATTGTGGAATGTTCGTCTTCCTAAATGAGGCTCTATAGTGTGAGCTTTTATGAAAAGGTGGATGGTAAAAATGCAAATCGGGTATATGATATTTGAACGCGTAATCTATTCATACACAGGGCCCCCATCACGGTGTGGCCATATCCTTATCCATATCCCCATTCTTCCTTGTAGGTGTCCCAAAACTCTCCAAGCCCCTCTCCGCGGCAAACTCGCTCAGCACTTCCCCAGGCAAGATCTGTCTCGCCGGCGAATCCGTCACCCTCCCCACCCCAGCCACAGCCGCGCGATACTTCTCACCCGCCTCATCAAGCAACCGCTGCACTTCCACCTCCCTCTGGCCAATCTCCTCCTTCTCCCTCTTCAGATCGGCAACCTCCTTGCTCTTGGCCGCAAGCTCCCGCTCCATGAGCTGGAGGGAGTTTTGTAGATTGGCAAGGCACTCGGACATGGTCGGCAGCGGAGTGATTTTGGGTTTGACTATGAGGTCGGAGGGCTTTTGCGTCGGGCGACGGAGTCCGTCCATTCCGGCGCGAGACTGCGCCGCCTCGAATGCCGCGCGGCGCTCGGCGTCGGACTCTTCTGATTCTTCTTCCGAGTTACCTTCGGCTTCCTGGATGAGGGAGGCCATTTCCATGCGCTTCCGGCGACGTGCTTCGCGCTCCGCTTTTCGACCTAGCGCTACGCCGCCGTCGTCGACGAACTCTTCGAATCCCTCGTAGAGGTTCTCATCTTCGCGCACGAGACGCGTGGCTTCCTTCTCCTTTCTCATAGTGAAGGGCTCCTCGTCGTCTTCGAGGGAGATGAACTCGGCTTCCGCTTCCTGCCGGAGGCGAGCGCGCCGTTCCTTCTTCTCGCGGATTTCGGCGTCCGTTAATATCCTCGTCGCGGAGGATTCGTCGGTCGCTGCTGTTCTACCGATAAGTTCAGCAGAGTCAACTACTACCGCGCCTTCGAGCTCCGATAGGTCCATGTGCATATCTTCGTCTTCTGTCGCGGAACTCCGGGACGTGTCCTTTGGTGTGTTTGGCGTCGAGCTCTGAAGTTCTTGAAGGTATTCTTTGCTGTATCTTGGGCGGTCCTCTTCCTCTCTGGAGCGCATGGCTAGATCTCTCAAGGCGATAGCCTTCTTCAACCCCCCATCTCCCTTTCTCTTCGGCGTAACCGCCTCAGGCGTGCGTGCGCCGCCTCCGACCCCATCCTCGCCTTCTTCCTCAGCTCGGACGCCGAAGGATAATCTCGAGGACGACTTCCGCTTTTTTTGCTTCGTAGAGTCCGCACGACTCAGAAAACCCCGAACGACTACGTTCCCAGTATCCTCATTTTCGTCGTCTGCTAATCTTGTCGTCGCGGTCGCTGTTGTCGTCGTGGTAGTGGCTGACTTTTCCTCGAGGGAAGCTTCTTCGATATTTATACTTTTTCTCAATCCGGACTGTCTGAAAGGTTTCCGAGTCACTTTCGAGAACACTGGTGCTTGCGCAGCTAAATATTATTCATGTCGTGTTAGCTTCTGGAAACCGCAAAAAGGTATCAGCACCAAGGTTGCTTCTCGGGGTGGTGGGGCAAAATACTCACGGGTGGACCCATTCTCCTGGGATGTGGTTTCAGAGCCCGCCTCCGGCTCATCAGCGTCGTCGACTTTGATGACGCGCGCCTTGCGTCTTCCTCCGAAAGAGCTCATTTTGCAAGGCAGAATCGAGGGTGGGGGACGTTTGGGGTTTGTTTCGCGATGAATTGAAGATGAGATGAATGTCTAGGGTGGGTGGTGTTGATTAATTTAGTAGTGACGTTGCTTATCTTATCGGCACGTGATGGCGTGTCGGGAGCTAGCTTTGGGACCAACTCCCACCATTGCCTAATATCATAAATCTCCTTGCAGCAAGGCTGAACTGTAGAAGCATCCTTCCTCAATACCACGAGTAAATCGCCATCTTCGAGCCAATCCAGGAAGCAACAGTCCACCATGGCGCCCGCGCAACCAGAACTCAAGAAGGTACATTAGCCCGGCCGCGGAATCGATGCGATGAACCCACCGCCTCCTCGAGAAGCTCGAGATCCCCCACCTCTTTCCAACGACCCTATTCTCCCATCGGCGCGCTAACATGTACACCGTGACTACAGTACCTCGATAAGAGGCTCTTCGTCCAACTTAACGGAAGCCGCAAGGTTATTGGTGTTCTCCGAGGCTACGATGTGCGCACACCCGAATCTGAGAGGCATGGTTTAGTGGGATCGATTGGCTGACAAGAGTGGTTCCTAGGTCTTCCTAAACATTGTCCTCGACGAGGCGATCGAAGAAAAGGAAGGTGGTGAGAAGGTTCGACTTGGCATGGTTGTACGTTCTTGGATCCTCTTGGCCTGAAGTATTGGGGAGGGGTGCCAGCGTCGGAATGCTAACCAAGGTGCATCTAGGTTGTCCGCGGAAACTCGGTAGTCATGCTCGAAGCGCTTGAAAGGATCGGTGGAGATGAACGAGGTGGTCGGTAGAGAAAATTCTATGGGTTATTTCATTCTTGGCGTTTGATTTCAGAGCGTTCCCGCGCTGCGACCTCCACGAACTAGGAACGGAGCTCCATCGCAAGAGCCGCTCACATATCATGTCGGGCTCACGACTTGGATTTGGATGATTCTCAAAGAGTGCATTCGGCGCAGTGGTCGATTTTTTTTATGAGTTGGTCCGGACCAAGGGGTTCGGGAGAGCCCCTCAAAGGGGAAGAAAAGCTATCACACGGGAAACGAAGGTTGAAGGCGAATAAGAGAAGGGCAAATACCCAGCAAAAGGTGCTCTTCGGGGTTTCTATGTTTCACTAAACAGATTCGAGAGCCATATATAAAACATATAAGAATCTCCCCGTCAGGGCTGGAAGATTATTTCTTCGCCCATGCCTTCTCATCAAAGAATTCCATTCCTCTTGAGCCATATGCTGCGACCCAGCCCTTGATACCGCCTTCGAGATACACGCTCTTGATGTCTTTCTCGCCAACCTCGTCGAGGTAGTCTTGCACCCAGCCAGCAGCCCTTGGTCCCCGTCCTCCGCAGCTTCCTATGATGCGGAGCCGTCGTTAGTAAATGCAAGCTCGCACTATTACATATTATCATGACTCTCCCTCACGACACCATATCAAGGCTCAAAAGATAAAAATACTAAGAAAACTTACCGCAGTAGAAAATAATCTGTTCCACGCCAGCCTGCTTGCAAAGTTGGTATATTATCGCCCTCGTCTGGTAAATCGTATGAGCGGGCAGGTTAATAGACGAGGCAATGGTGCCACCCTCATAATCCGTCCGGCGCACGTCGACAAGAAGGAAGCGCCGTTTGACGTTGGGGCCGCCGAGGGGTTGCGCTTCGAGGTCTGCGAGGACGGTGGAAGCGGGGACGGAGCCGACTTTGGCTTTGGGCTCGCCGAAGGCCGCCCACCAGGGGGCTTCTTTTTCTTGGGTGGTAGCCATTCGAGGTGGAAATGTATGTAGATGTCTGGTTTGAATGGTTTTAAGCGCACGCGATCTTGATGTTGCGGAGTACAGGATCCAGCAATGAGAGTTGGAGGATCCACTGGTGGATTTGTGGTTCGGGTTCGGGACTCGGGTGGTTTTGGTGGTTAGTCTACGGGAGCCCCGCGCAGCAGAACGCAGCATGATATCCGCGGAGGGATGGCGTCAAGAGACTGATTCGCTTCTCCTCCAACAAGGAGCAACTGACAACTTCCCAAACACTCTGATGGTGTTGTCCTGGAGAACGTCGACTCGATATGTCACTGTCACTGGTTCGCTGGACTTGCATTGAGGTCAACAGAGGATACAAATTAGGTTGTAGGTAGAACCTCTCTTAGATTTGATGGCTTATTAGAAACGTAGACTATACAATATTTTTGTCATCTGGTCATCAATTGCCTCTATTCATCTGATCTAAAACCAAATGCTGGCCGCGGAAATGCGGATCAGAAGGCCCTCCACTCAAGTGTCTACCAGCTAGGCTGACCTGGACGTCGGGCGGGGTCATCACTAACCCGGCACCCTGAGAGACTGTGAATTGTGAATGCGTCAAAGCTGCATGGCGAGAAGCAATGGACATGAATGAACCCAATCTCGTCCCCGCAGAGAGTTGATTCGCTGCCATTTAAAGACCTGGACTCGAATCTTCAGGGATGGTGGGGCGGTCTGAGGTACTAATACCCTAATCCGCTATACATAAATCGGAGGGGTTAAAGTATACAATACATACGCGACGGTTATGGATTTTGCCCAGTCAAAGCTTGGAATTTCTCAGCTTCTCCCCGTCCAGGCAGGTCAAGGTGTGTGCTGCAACTGCAGAAGCACAGGCATCAAATCAATCATCTAACATCTCAAGTATGAAGGAATGACAAGTCGAGTCATCTCGATTAATCCCATCTTGTCCGCAGCCAGTCAATCCTCGATCTGAACAAGCAAAGCTAGCCTCGACGGACATGAACTCGCCTGCCTCGACATATGCCTATGCAAGCGGAAATTTTCCCCAGGCACAAACGTAGTGCCGCCTCGACTTAAATCATAAATCTCGGTCGTCGCCAATTTAGCTCCAGACTCCAGATATGCCTCTATAATTTTTTTTTTTCTTCCTAGCCTTATCCTTGTCGTTCTCGATTTAAACATCACTCATCATCACCATCACTTGCCACCTTAGACCCTTGACCTGTCCTTTTATTTCTTCTCATTCATTATAGGAATCAGGACCAGTCTTCTTTTCATTTTATTCTCCAGAGAGACATAGCCTTCATCGTAAAGCGGCCCCTGAACCCTCTCCTCTCATTCTTCCCTGCACCCCGCCATCCTTGCTTCAACCCCTCCAACCGCCTTGGCCACATCTACAGCTCGCACTCATCCTCGCGCTCATCCTCGTCCTCATTATCATCAACACCTAACCCCAGGTAGGGCTTGGCAACTGCCCTTCCCCCGACTATGGCCACCTCAATGGCATCCGCGCCTGTCGATGAAGACTCGAAAATTGAACTCTACAAAGATGCGCTCTACGACGCCTGCCGCGCCAGCGGCACAGATCAGAGGCTCTTTTCTCAGCAAGAGCTTCTCGACCTTGGGGCCATCCCCGCCAACGACCTTATGATTCTCAAGTCGGTACTGCAGCGACTTAACGATGAGCGGTTATTAATCTCGTGCCAAGGGCCCAACGGCCTGGCCTTCAAATGGCGAGAGCAGTCTGAAGCTGAGAAGTACGTACCTCCTTTCCCCCCTTTGCTCAAACGGATCCTCATCTTCCGCCTTGACCCCTTCCAAACCTGCTATCGCGCATACCGTGTCTACGGGGCCTTAGACGACGCGCCATGTTTCTTACCCGCCGAGTTGATGCACTGACATGTTCTTACAGGTACAAGAAGTGTGGTGACCAGGAGCAGGCGATGGTCTACTCCGTGATTGACGATGCAGGCAGTGATGGCATCTGGTCGCAGACAATCATAAGGAGATTGCAGATGCACGAAAATGTCTTTAAGGCGGCCATTAAGCATCTCATCCAGAAGAAGCTCGTCACTCCCTTCAAAAGCGTCGAGCATCCTAATAAGAAGATGTACATCAAGGCCTCTCTTCGCCCCTCAGAGAAAGCCACCGGAGGCCCATGGTTCACAGATCAGAATCTCGACGAGGCCTTCATCGACGCCCTACAGGCTGTCATTTACGATTTCATTAAACGACAGAGCACCTATCGTAAAGGATCCGGTGTGCATCGTCAGCAGCCCAGGAAAGGAACAATTCGAGGAAGCGCCGAGAAGGTGAAGAAGCGCACAGCAGACCAAATGAGCACCGATGACCCATCCACTACTAACACGAAACCTCCCGCTCCTGCCCCCAACGCGGCGAGGGAAAAAGAAATCCTTCTCCCAATGCCCGCGGGCTATCTCGACTACCCCACCGTCAGCGATATCGCCAAGATCCTCTCCAAAACGAACATTACCAAGACCGTCCTAAGCGAGGAGGACGTGCAAAAGCTAGTCGACGTCCTCATTGCCGATGACCTCGTCGAAGAGGCCTTCGTCACGGGGAGGAAAGGTTACCGCATCGTCCGCCCCACGCAGCAGAGTCTCGAAGGCTGGGCTGTAAAACAGGGAACCGCGGGTGAGGACATCGAGGCCGGTCCAGATATGTACCGGAGTGGCTTCAGTCGCATTCCCTGTGGCAACTGTCCCGTCTTTGACTTGTGCGAGCCCGGAGGACCTGTTGCGCCGAGTAATTGTGAGTACTTTCAGACTTGGCTTGGAAAGGACTGACGGATAGGGGGAACTGCCTAACGGGCATGGCAAAGGAAGAGGGGGCGGGGATGGAAGAGAGAGGAGAAGCATTAGTGAAAGTGATATTGCATGACTATTACGACTAGCGTCTGTATTCAAATGTTCAAAAAGCGCGGAACGGTTTATTTTCTGCAGGGCTGGGAGGTCTTGGATCTATTTGGCGGCATTGGTGTGCCCAGATAAGGGCGCACAGAGTACTATTATACACAGCGATTTCTACCAGCCTTCTTTGGACTGTCAGACTACCGCTGTCATCTAACGAAGATGGTCTGACTGAAGACCTTCACGTCATTGATCTTTTCTAAACAAGAAATAAGCAAAGAAAAACAGAAAAAATAACAGATTTGAAAACCCTCGCGTTCCCGCCAAGTTTTAACAGTGTCAAGACCACAATGCTCTCCCCGGAGGCACATCAGGCAAGGCCATGGGATAGACAGACTTGTTCAGTCATGGCTGTCCAGTCATAACATTAGCAGAAGCATCTCTTGCAGAATGACCCCGAAGCGCCACCGAAAGATGGACTGACCGTCATCACATTCCATATTTTTATCCTTATAGCGCCAGATAATGGAAAGGCGCAGGACCTTTCTCTCAAGGCCTACTTTTTGTCCTGTCACCTCGGCGATGAACCGGTTTAAACTGATAGAACCTGCAAAGATAGAAATAGCACATATATCATTACGACGCGCGTCTCAACCCAATATCTTCGCAATCCGTCTGTGGGTGGCGGGCGCTGTAGGAGTTAACCACAATCGGCCTTGGCCTTTAGGCCGCGCAATCCCTCCGCCCTTCTCTGAGCCTGCCCACCACCTCCCAGAGTCATCCGATTATGGATGGGGTTATCCCATGGAATCCATCTAGGGCTTGGTGCAAGAGAAGATTAATGGAGACGAGGGGGTGGACAACCCCCAGTCCCCACTAACAATGTTGGGAGGCCGGAGCAGGTCTATATCTTAGTAGGATTATTCAACAGGACAATAACTCGAGGAATTAGCTTTACCACGCTATAAGGTAGTGTTATTAGTATTTGATTCGACACAGGATGATGGTGGTGGCGGGCGGGATGTTGCCCTGCCGGCTGTTGAATTTATCCCGCGATCCCGCATCTGCGCTTCTTTATCTGCCGAGAAAGGGTGGGTGAAGGGAACCAACCACACGGGTTTGGTGGGGTTCAACCACCTCCTTCGAATGAACTACGGAATATTCTATGCTCTTGTCGAGTGCTTCAGCTGATAGTGCTAAGGGTAGGGCCGAAAGCTGGTGGCGTCTCTGTTGCTGAGGAGACTTTGACAACCTCCTTGGCGGCAGAGCTCCTGTTAACCACTTCTTACCGCTCGATGATTGTTTCTCCACTATACACTTTCCCGATTATTTCTCCTTTTTTTTCTTATTTTCGTTTACACTGGCCTTTGCTAAGGAGATGGCTGGAATCGCCACCGCGGAGAGGAAGAAGCCTCGAGCTCTTATCCCTGTTTCATATCTTCTCGTGGGCCACTCTTCGCCTCTTAACCACCTAGACTATGCTGATTATGATGGGGATATCCACGATAATACTATTCCACCCGTGATACACGGCCTTCCTCCTGGTCATTATTTCGCTCAGGAATCTTGGCTTCCCTCGCTTACACCCACATCCTTCCCCCCCGCTTCTCGGGAAACATCCGCGAGGCTGGAACGAAAGATGGGCCGCGATGGGGGGGCCAGTTTTCCTCTCTCGCCACATGAACAACACTTTCCTATCTAACAGACTAAGCTCGTGGCTGGCCCCATTGGGGAGGTAGAGACAGTTTACAGACTCCGGCATATAGGTCTCGTGAACACATCTGTTGCTCTCAACTTGAAGATAAATAGCAGTCTGATCCGGTCGTGAAAATCATTCTCTCCATTCTTCTCTCATCAACACCAAGCAAACAAGCAAGATTCTTCCTCATATCCAAATATTTACCCCCAGGAAGAAATAGTTGGCATTGTGTTTTCACATCATCAAAATCCCATTTTCTCACACACACACTTCTCTCTGAAGATGCCCCCAAACCGCCACTACCTCCTTCTCCTTCTTACAGGTCTCTCTCAGGCCCAACGCTTGGCCAGCCTACCTAAGGGCCTCTACGACGATGAAGTATCCATCTCGGCACTCACCTACGCCGACGTGCTCCAAGTCCGTCAGGCCCCCGCTGGTTCTGGAGGCTCTGGCGGCGCTGGCGGATCCAGCGGACCTGGTGGTTCCGGCAGTGGTTCCGGTGGCTCCGGGGCCGGTAGCGGCCCTCCAAGCAGTGGCGGAAGCAGCAGTGGAGGCGGCAGCGGTGGAGGCAGCAGTAGTGGAGCTACCAGGTGCGCCTCAAACGAGATAGCCTGCGACTCTACCTGCATCCCTGCAGGTTCGACATGCTGCTACCAGGGAAACAACGCCTTCTGCGGTGCCAACGAATACTGCACCGGCCAGAACACGTGTTGCCCACTAGGCTCGGCGTGTCCCGGCCCCGGGATTTGTGCGCCTGGTACCGTGAGGTGCGGAGTCGGGTGTATTCCCGAGGGATTTGTCTGCTGCTCGAACCATTATTGCAAGTAAGTTTCATCAAGTCCCTTTTCCTTCTACTTAGGAAATTTTTAAGAAAGCAAGAGCCAGAAAAGGTTAACATGTGATGATAGTCCCGGCGACGCTTGTTCTGCTACGGGATGTACGAGGGCCACTGCCTGTTCTGCTAGAACCATTACTGTTACCGTTACGGGAGGTAGCGGAGGCGGAGGCGGCGCCTCTACTTCCCGGGGTGCTGCTCCGACTGGTGGCGCAGGCGGTGGCGCTGGAGGCAGTGGTGGTTCTAGCTCCGCTCGTCCCCCTTCTTCTAGCGGCGGTGCAGGTGCCGGTGCTGGAGGTGGTGCCGGGGGCGGTGCGCCTCCCAGCTCTACTCGTGCAGCTGCTCCCACCGGCGGCTCTGGTGCTGGCTCTGGTGCAGGATCTGGTGGGGGTGCAAGCTCCGGTGGTTCTGGCGGCGACAGGGGAGTGACTCTTACCTCTACTTCTCGTGGTGCTGCGCCTACGGGTGGTGCTGGCGGTGCTGCTCCTGGAGGTAACTCTGGCTCTGGTGGCGGCAGTGGTGGCGCTCCTGGCGGTGGGTCCGGCGGTTCCGGGGGCTCTGGTTCTGGTGGACCTGGCGGCTCTGGAGGTGCAGGCGGTTCCTCTGGCGGTTCAGGCTCTGCTCCTGGCTCTGGCTCTGCTCCGGGTGGTGGCGCAGGAGGTCCTGGAGGCTCCGGAGGCTCGGGTGGTTCCGGTGGCGCGGGTGGCCCTGGTGGATCTGGCGGATCTGGTGCTCCAGGCGGTGCTGGGCCTTCTGGTGGTTCTGGAGCGGGTGGACCTGGTGGGAGCTCTACCCAAACCGCCCGAGGGCCTGGGGCAGCTCCTACATCTGACGCTCCCGGGCCTTCTGGTGGCTCCGGCCCTGGATCTGGTTCCGGAGCTGGCGGACCCCCAACCTCAGCCACTCGAGCTCCCAGTGCGGGCTCCGGAAGCGCTCCTAGCGCTGGTCCCTCAGCTTCGTCGGGGCCCGTCATTGTTAGCTCCGCCTCCTCGGCCTACATCAGGTGGGAAAATGCCATCGTCGCCGTGGTTGTTGGCGCCCTCCCCTACATTATGTGAGAGATCTGCCTGGGCAAGAATCCTCTGGGTTATCGCCGAGGTCGGTAGATGAAAGGTACCACTCTGAAGTGGAATTTGGATGGGTAAATGAGGATTTGGTCGAATGTTCAGTTCTGTCTTTACTTGCTTTGCGTTTTGTTCTTAAGGCCGGGTGCACGAGTAATGAGATCCAAGATAGATAGATGAAAACGAAATTACGAGTTCACGAGTATTGAAAGAACACCTCGCCGCAAGAAACAGTGGGATAAAGTGATCTTCGTTTTGCGTGGAAGTCTTCGGCTTCACTGGTGGGGGAATCGTTAACTCCGGTCGGAGCCAGTCCCGATTGCTTCGGTGGTCGACGTCACTCTGGCTCGGCCGACAGCTCCGTGGGGTCATCAGTGGGGTCGTCAGTTGTGTGCAGTTGCATGTCGAACGCTTTTCCACACCACCTGGACCCCACCTTCCGACTCGCACGGACCAGAGGGGTGCGGGACGAAGCTCTACCGGCTCCGGCCAATCAGCATTGGGAAGCGGAACCATCGAAGGAGCTAGAAAGATGGACAGGATCCATTTGCTGCGTTCAGCCTTCTCATTCCTGGCGTTGGACCATGAACCGTGGTTGCCTTCCTTTTGCGTATTTCTTTCCTTGCAGTTCCCTCCCACTTCTTCCCCCCAAATCTGACTGCAATTATCACTTCTCTCTTCCTTAGGACATTATAAATATCTATTCTCTCTATTCAACTTTACAAACATCAATCTTCAAACTCTCAACCCCGCAGACAGCCACCATCGTCATGGCAACCGCAGACGAGCTCAAGGCTCAAGGCAATCAGGCCATTGCCGCAAAGAACTTTGACGAGGCCATGTGAGTTGTCTGAGTTCTTGAGCAACTGGGTATCTATCTGTAAGATATCGATCTAACCTAGGCATATTCTGTTCCAGCGACAAGTTCACGCAGGCCATTGCCCTCCAGCCCGAAAACCATATCCTCTACAGTAACCGCTCTGCGGCCTACGCCTCCAAGAAGGATTGGACGCGTGCCCTCTACGATGCCGAGAAGACTACAGAGCTTAAGCCCGACTGGGCTAAGGGTTGGGGAAGGAAGGGTGCCGCACTACACGGCAGCGGAGATCTTCTCGGTGCGGGGGACGCGTACGAGGCTGGTCTTAAGGTCGACCCGAACAATGCCCAGCTCAAGAGTGGTCTTGAGTCGGTGAAGAGGGCGATTGAATCTGAAGGTGAGAATTCGAAATGAATTTTGTGCAATTTCTCCATTCGTGGTACGTACACACACAAGTACTGACTCGAGCTGTGATCTCAACAGGTGGCGACCCTGGTGCTCAACTTGGCAATATGTTCAAGGACCCCAACTTGCTGCAGAAGCTTGCTGCCAACCCTAGGACGAGCGCGTACCTCGCCGATCCTTCGTTTGTGCAAAAGATCAACGCTTTGCGCGACAACCCCAAAAACGCGCAAGACATTTTCAACGATCCTCGAATGATTCAAGTCCTTGGTGTCCTGATGGGAGTGGACATGAACGTCGTTCCCCCCGGTGAGGATCCCGAAGCCTATGTCCAGTCCCGAGAAAGGGACAACGACACTGCGATGGAGGACGTCCCGCCTGCTCCTAAGCCCGCGGCGAAGCCTGCGCCCGAGCCCGAGCCGGAACCAGAGGAGCTTGATGAAGATGCTCTGGAGAAGAAGAAGGCCAAGGAGGCCGCCGACAATGAGAAGGCCCTCGGAACTGCGAGCTACAAGAAGCGCCAATTTGACGATGCTATTAAGCATTACAGCAAGGCGTGGGAGCTCCACAAAGATATCACCTACCTCAACAACTTGGGTGCTGCCTACTTCGAGAAGGGCGACTACCAAGCCTGTATCGATACCTGCAGCAAGGCTGTTGAGGAGGGCCGAAGCATCTTTGCTGACTTCAAGATGATTGCCAAGAGCTACGCTCGTATCGGTACTGCGTACGAGAAGCTCGGTGACCTCCCTCATGCCATTGAGAATTTCCAAAAGTCGCTTACCGAGCATCGCACGCCCGACGTCGTCAACAAGCTCAGGTCCGCTGAGCGTAACAAGATCGAGGCCGCTCGAGTGGCGTACATCGATCCCCAGAAGGCCGAGGAGGCCCGCGAGGAGGGCAACAAGAAGTTCAAGGAGACCGACTGGCCCGGCGCCGTAGCCGCCTACAGCGAGATGATCAAGCGCGCCCCCGATGACCCCAGGGGCTACAGCAACCGTGCCGCGGCCTTCCTCAAGCTCTTCGAGCTTCCCAGCGCCCTCGAGGACTGCGAGGCCGCCATTAAGAAGGACCCTAAGTTCATCCGCGCCTACATCCGAAAGGCGCAGGTGTATCACGGTATGCGGGAGTACTCCAAGGCCGTCGATGCCTGCGAGGAGGCGGCAAGGGTGGACCAGGAGAGCCACAATGGTGCCAATGCTAGGGAGATTGAGCAGCAGTTGCAGAAGGCTTATGGCGCTATGTACTCTGCGCGCGAGAACGAGACGGAGGAGCAGACGAGGGAGCGTCTTATGCGCGATCCGGAGGTGAGCCACCTTTTTTTTTTTTTTTTTTTTTTTTTTTTCCCTGTTTTACTAACTACATGTTACTCTAGATCATGGGCATCATGCAAGATCCCGTCATGCAATCCATCCTGCAACAGGCGCAGTCGGATCCCGCTGCTTTGGCCGAACACATGAAGAACCCTGGCGTCAGGTCCAAGATCCAGAAGCTTGTGGCGGCTGGTGTCATCCGCGTTGGACGGTAAATGATGTATGCTATTTGTAGTTCCGTGTTGCTTTTTTTTGTCTCTCTCTTCCTTTGGTTTTTTTTTTTTTTAACCCTGGGGAGAGATAACTCAAGGTGGAAAAGTCATTTCTTGTTTGTAAAAACAGCTTATCGCATAGGGAAGCTTGAATGGAGTAACGTTGATAGTTTGATGATTTGATCACGTCATATTCGAAGATCGAAGCCGTGTGTGATGTTCGAGATGGATGTATTTTGTATTATGTTGGGGACCCATATAAACTTGTTCGTAGTATACCTTCGCGGATCAGGGAGGATATGTCGGAGGGAAATCGTCCCTGAACTTTTATAATTGGGCAAAAAGTGCAATTAACCCGATGTTGACGTGTATTTTCTCAAGCAACTAGGGTTGGGAATTGGCAAGCAACTCAGTAATATAGATAGAGACATGTTCGCTTGGTATTTATAGGTAATAGGTTTCGATTCGTTGTTTCCTTTCACGAATTTAACAAGTACAAGCCCTTCCAAACTCCAGATGACCCGGACCAGACGAGAAAGCGAAAAAAAAAAAAAAAGGAGATATCAAAAACTAAGTGTAGGGGGAGGAGAATACATAACTAATTCGAGTGTAACAATGAGCACCATTTACAGGAGATAATTATAAAAGGAAAAGATAAAAGGGGAGGAAGAACGAGGCATTGCAAAGCTCTAAATCAAGCCAGCCCTAGCAGCCTCACCAGCCCCGTCCTGCACTAACTCCTCCATCCTCTTCTTCCCCCTCCCAATACCGCCCTCACCGACACCCATCCTCCTAGCGACGTAGCGCTGAGCAACGATGCCCGTGGCAAGGGAAAGGGACTCCTCGACCCACTCGGCAACCCACTCGCGAGGGTCAACGCCGCCCGCCTCGACGATCTCCCTAATCTCCTCGGGCGTGGTAGCGGGGAGATAAGAAGCAGCAACAGCCTCAGATTGGGAATCGGTGGTGGTGTCGTCGCCGGATGTAGGGGTCAAGGGGGAGGGGGCATCGAGCCACTTGATCCAGCGGGCGGGGATGGACTGGCTGAGGGTGGAGTACTCGATCTCGTGGACGGGATCGAGGATGAAGACGGCGAAGCAGACGAGTTCGTCGGGGAGCTCTTGGGCTTTGATGGTCGAGTCCTCCTTTTCCTTCTCGACAGCCGCGGTGCGCGCGAACAGGGCGTTATCGGCATCGAGCCCGACGGCCTGCACGGAGAGGAACAGGTCCGACGTACGCACAGGATTCGTAGCGCTCAAGGGTTCCGTAGCGCGCACGCGTGCCTCCTCGATGCCACCGCGCGAGGCGAAGTACTCGTTCGCGTAGCCCTCGGCGTTGGCGCGGCACAGCTTCGTGGCCTCGCTGAGGCCCTTGACGATGCCCATGTCGCGAGGGGGGTCGACGGCTCGCCACCAGGGTCCGTCGCGCCAGCCCGTCGCGTCTTGGCCGGAGGAGCGCTTGCCGGTCATTTCCTGACCGCGCTGGATGACGAGGAGGTCGCCGCCTTCGACCTGGGACATGACGCGGCCGAAAACGTCGTGGATCATGGGGTCGAGGGAGGGGTAGCCGACAAGGTCGTGGGTGATGTGGATGTGGAGACGTTCGTGGGAGCTGATGGGCGGGGCGAGGGTGTGGAGGATGTTGGTGAAGGTGGGCATGGCTCGATGTCGGAGTTCATCGCCTGTTAGAACAGAAGGTTATTCGTATTAGTTGGCTTTTTTCCTTTTCCGTAAAATCAATAGCTTTCAAGCAGTGACGGTGGAAGTTGGGCGAGATGTTAGAGGGGCAGGGGGGGCTGTACCAAAGCCTCTAAGCACACCAACGTTTCCCTTGACCTGTTCCGTCCACTTCTTCGCCTCCTCGCTCTGCTGCAGATCCTTCACAGCAGCCTCCGCAGTCTTCATAGCGGCCGTAGCCGTGCTAAAGATATTCCCCCACCAACCACCCCCTTGCTGAGCTTGCTGCTGCTGCTGCTGTTGTTGGTGCCCAGCAGGTGCCTTCTTCTCCGACTCGTACAAATCCGAGCTCGTAGCACTCGGCGTGAAGCTCGCACGAAGCGAACTCGCGCTCTCCGTCGACTTGCGAGGGACAGACCTATCCTCGACGGATTTCCGTCCGGGGGTCCCCTTGGCGCCGGGGTGGTCCCTGATCCTCGGGGTATGGGGTCGGGAAGGTGGGGTTTGGGCGCTCAGCTCGTTCTCGAGCTCGGCGAGGATGTCCTGGTCGGCGATGGCTTTGGCCGCGGCGGAGGTGGGCTTGGGCTTGGAGGATTTCTTGCTGGCGGTGTCGGGGCCGATGCCTTCGAAGAGCTCGCCGAGCTCGTCGTCGGTTGGGGCAGCTTTGGTGCGTTTGGCGGCGGCCATGGTTGTTGAATTTGGGCTCTTGGTTGTGAAGGGTAGCTCGTTTGAAGGGAGAATGGAAACGGTAATTTAAAGTTGAATGGAGGAGGTGGTTTTAAGCCTTTGTCTGGGCAACAAAAGGTCTGACGTTAATGTTCAAAAGATTGCTAGGATCAGGTCGGTGTTGTTGGAACTGGAGCCTGCATGTATAATGTATGATGAGGATCAAGTCACGGGATGATGATGAGGGGCCCTGTATGAAGTACCATGACGGTTGCGTTCAATTGTTAGTTTGCTGAGTTTAGTGGAATGTACCACATAAGTGGAGTGGACGCTGCGGAGGTACATTCTCGGGTCCCGGTTTAATATTTGATTTGATGCAGGGTCACTTCATGTTGGCTTTAATTCGACATGGTCCGCCTGAACCGCCATCGGGTTTCCTGCATTGAAACATTTGCTGCTTCCAACAAGTCAGTGTGTTGTGGTGCTTGAAACCTGGAAAAGTGTAGAGAGGCTCTGCTGAAAGTCTCTCGTATTTCTTCATTCCATCAAGGACTTGAAAAAGACGCTTTCTTGATTTCCATGTCGTCTTATTTTAGGATGCCCAAGTAATAAATGTCAGGGATTGGCCCGTTTGGCTCTTCTCGGACAAGGTCGAGGGTGTTAGAGCTCAATGAGGTTAACACCGAATACAGTAAATTGGGAAACGCAGCGGACACTGTGGGGGACCGAAATCTACAAGAACTGAACCATTTTTAAGTCCACAGCAGGATTGAAGGAAGATCCAAGAAGATTTCAACACAAAAGCGATTGGGCTCTCTGGCTCCAGAAGATTGTGTTAAAGGCAAGGCTTTTGCTAGCTGGGCCGCTATGAAGTCTGCAGACGCAGATGCCACATTGATCTGTCATAGACCCATACTCCGTATTGCGTATCGTGTGTCTCGTCAGGTGTATTTGGATCTCCAGTCCAATCCACAAATGGCTGAATGGTGCCACGGATAAGATCCATTCCCCATTCCGCATTCCAACCCTAGGAGACACAAGGCACTTCTGTTGTGGGCCAGATTTGCTTCAATGCCCATTGTAAACTTACTGCTATATCCATGTTGATGCATCGAGCCGTAATATGTGTTTACCAGTTCAATCGAAATCTTACAACAGTCCTGCTGTCATACCATCTGCCAGTAGCCCGTTTGCAGTACTTGACTCGGTACGGTACGGAGATAGTCCTACGTGTCAAGCGTCAAGCATCAAGCGTCAAGCGGGTACGAAGGTACGAAAGTACGAAGGTACGTAGAGAGAGACTGCCGGTTTTGGAAGTCGTACAGTACGAGGAACTGTACAATGAAGACCCTGCGTGTTAATGACCAAGGTTTGCAAAGGCGGATGATGGGGAGCGACGTGTTGGGATACCCGGATGGACACTCTCGTGGGCGCTCTACTTTATCGGTTACTGCGCGATTGAATAGAAGAGCTAGATGATTCTCGTGGCCTACATGATCCATCGAGGGTGTAGGGTCGATGCAGCGCTGCCGAATATCCTCGGCCGGGTTCGTCTTCGAAATCAACAAGCAGCAAAGGGGTTACATCACGGGGGGCGTGGGCGCACTGTGCAAGGGTATCGGATGAGAGTGGGCAGCCAATGAGAAAATTCCAGTTTTAAAGTGGCCAAAAAAAAGGGGAGACGCGGAGCCCAAATCAGCTTGTACCGTTAAAGTGTGCGGCCCATACAGCGGGTACTTCGAAGGAGCTTAAAATTCGCTGTTAGTGCACTTGCGAACCCACTGAAGCTAACAGTGCCAGCGCCAAACAGGATGAGGCTCTGGGTCTGGCCAGCCTGACCGGATCTCAGCGACTAAGACTTTTTTGCCCACTTTCACTTGCACTCTCGCTCGCACTTGCACGAGATGAGATGCCGCTTGCAGCCCTTCCTTGATATCACCACTCGCTCCTTCCCGCCAACCCGCTCCGCAAAAACAAAGGCTGCGCTCGTCAATTCACGAGAGCTTTAATTGTTCATCTTTTCGATTTTTTATTCATCGCGCTTCTCTCAATAGACGCGCATTGCCACGCTCCTCTGGTCTTCCCTCTTCTTATTTCGGAAGAGAGAGCCCACAACAGCCACGCGAGAGAAAAGGTCAGTCTAATTTTCTCGCTCATTACCGTCGCCATTCCGGCAAACCTGCACTCTCATACACTGCAACACCTCAACGCTTCATGCTTCCTACACCACATACACGCCGATTCCATCTTCTATCACTTCTCGTTCCCTCACTCTATTCATTGTCATCTCCTTCTTCTGAGTCCGCCCATCCGCCATCCTTTTTCCTGCATCTCTTTATTGCCACTATTACCGGCTCTGCTGGGTCTAGTGATATACATCCCATCCACACCAAACATCCACTCCGTGTCAAATCTCGCCCTCTTTTCATCCTCTTTTACACATCCGCTCATCGACATATCCCTCCTCTAGACACCCTCAAACATCTTCTACTGTCCGAATCCGGATTATCTGGGTGCCAAGGAACATCGCCTTCTATTTTTAAGAGAGCATCTATTTGAGTAAGTCGTCTATTTTCTCCTTTTCCTGGTTCTCCGGTCTGCGGCTTGGGCCTGCCTGGACCGCCGTAGCCTGCAACGATTCCCTACATCCACGTCTGTTCCCGTCCTCGCGCCTATTTTTCTCATGCGAAGGCGCCATCTCCTCGATTCAAGGAATCGAATGCTTCATTTTTCTCGTTTTTCCGCCTTGTTGTCGTTGTTCTGGTGGCCGCCGAGTTCTCCGCTGCCCCCTTCCACGTGTTGCACCACGCCTGGGCGAATTTCCCATTTTTACTGCCTTCCGTGACATTCTCCATCTACACACAGCACAACGTCCACATCCACATCCACCCACACATACACATCATCTCCCTCACCTTTTCCTCCAGCTGTTGCTGCCTTTATTTCTTTACTCCAGCGCCCCGTCCCCCCCTTTCCTATTCTTCTCTCTTCCTCATGGGCACGTCGTCATAAAGAAAGAAAACACCGCCTCATCCTCCCTGGCAAACGTCATCTTACTTTTACCATCTCACCCTCTTCCCCTTTGCCACATCGTTTTAACCGTCTGTCACTTTCCCGAGCCTCGCGCTCTTTCTTTCTACTCAAGCTTACGAAATCTAACCGATCGGATAGTCCTCATTGATATTAGTGACGCATTGCGTTCTTTTTTTTTTTATCATCATGCAGTCGGCCCGCGGAGGAAAGCCCCGGGGAGCCGGTCGCCGTAAGACGCTGCCAGCTCCTGTCGGGTCTGCCTCACAGTCGGCAGAGTATCAACCCATAGATACGGATCCCATTCAGCCACCTGCCTCCCTCCCTCGGAAGAGGTCAAAGACCACTGAGTTCTTTGATGGTGCCAATGATGAGCCTGAAGACACGAATCAAAAGGGTGGCCACTCACTCCGTAGGAGGACTCGGATTGATTACACTTTTGAAGAGGCCAATGAGGAAGCCACTCCAACTCGCGTTAAGTCCCAGGTTGGTCCCGCTTCTGCTTCTACTCGCGGCCGCAAGAGGAGGGCCGACCACGACGACGAGGTAGACTTCGGTCCGCCTGCTAGGCGGCGCGCCACCGCTTATGAAGTTCTTCACTACGATGGCTCTCCAAGGAGGAAGAACCCTTCTCGAAGGACTGCGGAGACTAAGTCTTATACCGAATTCGCCGACGAGAACGATGTCAAGGATACCATCGAAGTCGGCGGACGTCTAAATGAGTCCGACTATCATGAATCGTCTTCGCTGCTCCAGCCTTCCGACGATGGTAACGGCGAGCCTCCCCATTCCCCAGTCCAGGACGCCCTCCCCGAACATTTCGTCATCAAGTTCCCCCTCCCTTCAGAAGCCCTTATCAGGGAGGCCGAGGCTCTAACCTCTCACATTACCAAATCCCCCGAGCCCATTGATATTGATCCTCGCCTACACGCGGACGCCGGCCTTTCCGAAGAGCATGCTGCCATGCCGCCCCAAGTTTTCGAAGAGAAGGAGCCCGTCTCTCACGCCGTGAATGAGACCGACCAGGATCAAGTCCCACCTGCTGAGAGCACCACTACTGGTGCCGAACTCCCTTCTTCAGTTGCTGCAACAAGCGACATCCAAGCTCCATCTGAAGAGCAGGTCAGTAGGCCGCGTGGCCGTTCCATGGCTCCCCGAATTGAGCTGGAGCAACACACCGGGAGTCAAATCCTCGATGATTCATCTGCGACGACCCTTGCAGCCATCGATGCTGGCAGATCCAAGTCCGCACCTCCAATGACAGCTCTTACCGGCTCTTCCATGGCAACCGCAACCCCTACGGTAGTTGATGCTCCGGTCACTGAAGTCACAGAAAATCACCTTGAGAGCGAAAAGACCCAGTCAGAAACCCAACCGGAGATCCAACCAGAAGTCCTCCAGCCCGCTGAGTCTACCAACATTGATTCTGACCAGTCAACCACCGATACAACTGTCGCCATTACTGTCACGCCTCCCACTGACACTGACGACGCGGCTACGAACATCGCCCCGAAGGATGCAATTGTCCCTAAGGAACCATCTCCTTCGGACGCAGTTACGACCGAAGCCAAGACTGTTGGCGAAAGTACTGTTGTCCCCATGGTTAAGGAAATTAAGCCCGAGAGCCATCCTACGGTCATCGAACCTCCTCAAGTCCCCGCTGCCCCTGTCAAGCCTTGGTCGCATTTAACACCCCATCTTGAGGGCCAATGGGTCAAACACCCCGAGAGCCGCCTGCCCCAGATTGGCGAAGCGGAAGTCTCGAACGGCAGCGGAAAGACATTCTCCACGCCTACTACTAAGCCACTTGACGGAGACACTACTATCCAGGCTGACGATGATGCGGAACTTCCTGTTGATGCAGACCAGGAGGATCCTGACGAGCCTGTTGAGTCTGGCGCGGCGTCGCCCGGTCTAGAGCCGTCCACCCTGAACTCCCCCGTTCCCGATCTCAATCACGCCACCGCAGCCAGTAGCCCTGCTGCGAACGAAGATGATGATCCTGATGATGCGGCGACTCAAACCCCTGATGAACTCCAGACGCAAAAGTTCTATGAGTATCCCCGCCTCAGGGATACCGATGAGTTTAAAGAAGTCCTCCAAAATTACAAGGACATGTCGGACGAGGACCTCTATGCCATGTGTGCCCATATCGATGGCGCTCTAGTTGCCTTGCAAGAGGAGTACCTCCAACTTGGCGCCATTGTCGATGATCACGAGAACATCGAACGCCGCAAGGCTCATGATGAAGCCTACGAACAGATGGAGAAGAGATCTGCGAAGGTCACTCGCAAAACTTTTGTTCTTAAGGGCTACCGAGCCAAGATGACTCAAGAAGAGAAGGAGACTGCGTATCAGCGCCATCAGGACCGTATCCAAGCCGCTGCCTACGGCTTCCGGTACGACAGTCATCAAGCAAAGGTTGGAAAGCAAGATCCCATCGCCCAGCGATATCCTGGCGACATGGAAGATGGCGGTGAACCCCGCCGAACTCTACGCAGTGACCCACTTCGATCCGCTAAAGCCACCGAGGCCGCTGATGAAAGCGGCCCGCATATGTCCGGCAAGCGCATCCGGAAGCCGCGCGAATTGTTCGATCCTGCCACCGCCGCTACCAGTCGGAGCGCTACTCCTGTCCCCCAGAGACGCAAGCGTGGCAGTCGGCTCGTCGAAAGTTATACCGAGGATCACGATACACTCGCTTCTGCAGCCCAGGATCCGACTCTTATCAACGGCGTTTCCGCTAACACAACTCCCCACACTGACGGAAGGACCAAGCGAGGTCGGGGCAAGCGAGCTGCCTCACCTACTGAGTCGTTTCTCGCAACCTCATCATCCGCTGCAGGCGATGGAGTTAACCACGCTCCTCTCCACGATGAAACTATGCAACCACCTCCCGCCAAGCGCATTCGTCGTGCTACTAATAAGGCACAGCAAGCTGCAGCCAACGAAGCTGCAGGCTCCCGTCATCCTGCCGTCTCTACAACCAATTCCCACCACCACTCTGGTATCTATCTGAAGGAGGAAGATGATCATGAGGTCGAAAATTCGCCCCCAAGGAAGAATCAACGCATTGTCACTCTCAAGCCGGGCGCCAAGAATATCAGGGCTTTATCCAACGCCCCGTCCGCCGCGAGCACGACCGAGGACTCGCGGCCTGGTACTTCCTCGTCGGTCTCTAGTGAAGGCTCGGCGGATTCATCATACTCATTCCGTCCTAAGCGTCAGCGCAAGTTCCGAGATACGGGTGATGAGTATGCTGAAGACCAGCAGCCCAAGACCAAGAGAGCCAGAAGGGCGACCAAGAAAGCCGAGGAGAGTAGTGCCAACCACACCCTACAGCTCCCTTCGCTCCATGATGGAGTTGTCAGCGGCAGCAGCCAGCACGCTGAGCCCCATCAAGCGCAAGAACAGCGCCCTCGAATCAAGTTCTTGAACTCGGGAGTTGGCCCCTCGATCAACGGAGCACCATCCGGCCCTACCCCTACGATTAGCCTTACGCATCACGCTACCGATGCGACTTCGGGCAGGAAGAAGGCCACTGGGCCGAAGAAGACACCCTCTAAGGCGCCTGCCAAGGGTGCCCGTGCCCAACAACCAGTAGATGCCTCCCCGTCTGCCGATGGCCAGGGTCCCCTCGGAGGCATGAGCGCACAACAATACGCAGCTCTCTCAAAGTCCGAAAAGATGTCGCGCTCCATGAAGAGTAAGTCATTTCCATTGTTGAAGGGAGGAAAAACACTGTTTTTATTATATTCGTCATGCATTTCGTTCAATCATTCGCATACTGACTTTCTTCTTCCTCAATAGGCCGATGGGCGAGCGGGTCGATGCAGCAAGCTGTTGACAAGCGAAAGGCAACACTTGCCCGAAAGAAGGCCGAAAAGGCTGCCGGAACGAACGACGGCGACGATAATAATGCCGAGGCGGGCGAAGATGCCGCCAGCAAGGCACCCAGTGCCACAACCGATGCCACGAACACCCAACCTACGACTGCCGAGCCGAGTCCTACGACCGATACGCATTTTGCGACCGCGAAGGCTTCCAAGGGCCCCAAGCCAATCAAGGCTGCCAAGATGCCCAAGATCGCCGTCAAGGATCATAAGGGAAAGGGCAAGACCTCTCAGTAAACTGAGCAGGCATTACCGTGCACGACCTCACCATGCACATGAATCCCCTAATATACGAGGCCGTTCTCCCGCCACAAGAACGCATCGTTCCACACTTTCATTCCCTCCTCTACCCTTCCTCCCCTTCCGTCTATCTACGGTACTCGAAGAGCCAATTCCGAGGCCGCCAGGAGACGCTGCCACTTAGGACAACTTGGTACAATTCCGAGATTGTATCATATGCTACTATATACCTCTACGAAACGATTTACGATACCGAGGGATGCAACTCGAACCCTCCAATAAGACACACCGACACGATACCAGCATCATTAGACGGACAAATGGAGCTTTGTTTTTCTTTCTTCGACTCCCTCTCCTTTTCCTTGTTGTCTTATTTCTCGTCAAGGATGGACGAGAAGTTGAAATTTCTCGTCAAGGATGGACGAGAAGTTGAAATTTCTCGAGCATCGAAGCACTCACTCGCATACGCATTTCCTCGGCGCGAACACATCATCAGCTCAATGGGGGCTGTTTGGTTACCAAAAAAAGGCAGTTGGCTTTTGTCATTTTATTTTTCTTTCTCGATTAAACTGCTAGTGGTTTCGTCACCGAGGCACTAATGTATTCACTTCTTCTTTTCTGTTTGCTTTTTTTTTCTTCTTCTTTGTTTTGTTTTCTTCTCTTTTTCGTCAAGTCTCCAGTGCAATGGAAGGGGCTCAGGTGCATAATGGCGTTCGGAAAAGGGCTATTGGAAGGGAACGCAGGGATCGATGGATATGAGAAAAAGTGAATGGAAGCGTGATAAAGACTGAGGGCGTATGCTCTGGCTTTTCCCGATTTGCTATTTTTCTTTTTCCCTTCATTTTGAGGTTGTCTTTCTCCTTCTTTTCTTCTAATTAGGTACTCTGGCTAGAGTAGCAGAGAATAGAAAAGTGAAACATCGCAATCGCGCCTCGTAGTTTAAGTAGTCTCTGTCCTGGTCTAAGTAGTCTCCGTCCTGGGTGTAGAATAGTAGACGTTACAGCGATTCATGAAGGACAGGGAAAGGGGGATGAAGGACGTTCTACGGGAAATTCTCGAACAGGGCTGCTACGGCTGGAGTCTGCTTCGTCATTTGGTGACAATATGTTCTATTTCATTTTGTCTACCTCCATCAGCTCAAAACCCAAGGGTCCATTCGAGAAGGAAGGCATAGTTCAGAGGTTCGTTCCGTCGTTCCATATCCACTTCGGTTTCCGCATAGGAGAGAGTATATCCGATATAGGAGTCGATGCGGTTCGGGAGAAGGTTTAGATCGGGTTCAAGGAGATTCGAAAACCAAATAATCGGGACAAAGGAAACACACTTCCAAGAACTTCGTATCAAATGCTCGTGTCTCAAGGATATGCTTGTTCGTTGGCGGGTATGCGAAGGAAAAGAAAAAAAAGAACTTGAACTCCATTTCATGATGAAATTTCCACTACCCTTTAAGTTTATTTCCGCCCTTTGTATCCTCCCTCCCTTCGTGGTTTAGTAGGTTCCCTTTTTGGATTTTTTTCCGGCTTTAGTTTTTTTAAATTTGATTTCCCTTTTTCGCTCCAAACACCATCCATGTACCGAGGGGATTTTACATGACGACACCGGAGTTGGAGGCGATACGCTATGGGAGGAGTCAGTTTCGTTCGACGAGGAGGGGAAGAAGAGGGAAGGGGGGGTTGACGTACGGGCCATAGCTCGGCAGCCTCCTTTCCTACGGGACCGGTGATGGCAGAGCCCTTCATCTCACCCTTGGGGTTGACGATCTGCAAATCACCAACGCGTCAGTAACGAACTTCCAAGCCTCGCCATATTCTTCCTTCCGCCGACAAGAAAGTTTGAGAGGGCGGATACGTACAACACCGGCGTTATCCTCAAAGTAGAGGAAAACACCATCGAACCGCTTCCAGGGCTTGGACTGCCTGACGATGACGGCGGGGTGGACCTTCTTCCGGAGCTCGGGCTTTCCCTTCTTGACGGTGGCCATGACCATGTCGCCGACGCCGCCGGCGGGGAGCCTGTTGAGGCGGGCGCCGATACCCTTGACGGAGATGATGTAGAGGTTTCGGGCGCCGGAGTTGTCAGCGCAGTTCATCACGGCTCCGCTGGGGGTGGTTGTTAGCTCTGTTGGTCTCCTCGAAGAGGGAGTGAAACGCAAAAGCGAGTCAAGGAGTCAGGACGTACACAGGGAGACCGAGAGTCATCTTGAGCTTGCCACCGGGGGCACCACGTCTAGGAACAAGTCAGCCATTTTTTCCACCATGGATTCTTTCGCGATGCAGAGAGAAGATTTCTGTCGGTTGGCAGGGAAAGGTTTCGGCGATAGATTGTTCGGTTACGGCGGGTTCCTCAAGTATTGACGAGGAATGTCGAAATCCAATCGTCCTCCATGTAATTCTCTTTCAAGTATCCCCTCCTCAGACCAAACAGTATCATGAGATCCCTCCTCGTCGCCGTTTCGTCGTAAACCCTCAGTGGGTGCCTCGAAAGTTCGCCTCGCACACGTTTCGTCGATCGATTTATTTTTTTCTTGCTTGTTCGTATCGCAACCCTTCCCTGCCAAACCGTTCCTCGAACGACCGGGCAAATTCGAGCGTCTCCTCCAAGAAAATAAAAACACGAAACATCACTTACCCAGTCTTGGCCATTGTGACTGTAAATCAAGGGATTTCCTGTGTTAAAAGGGGAGGGGGTTGTTTGAAGGGAAATGGGGGTATCGTGGGAAAGGAAAAAAGAAGGCCTTTGAGAAAATTGATAACGTCGAATTCGTCAACACAAAGGTTCGTTCTTCGGGGGGGAGGGGGAATTTTGCCCTTGTGGGGTGAGAAACCCTACAATGGGGAATCGGCGTGGAATTGGCACCAAAGGTACTTTGGTGGGGAGATAAGGGTCACGTGGCGATAAGTGGGATGGAGACTTGTGACTTCTGTCCAAAATATTTTCTGGAGGCTCTCTCCTTTTCCCTTACGAAAATTTCAGGACCGGAGAGTCTAAGAACTCAATCCGAGACCGAGATCCGGATCAACGAGAGAGTCGGGGCCGTCCAGCATTGATGGACCTCATTTCAAGCGAAGTGAATGAACACATCAGCTTCTAATATCGAAGCCTGTATCGTGCCATTTTCTTCCGGGCGTATCGTGACTCGGAACCCTCCGACTCTTCACATCTTCACTTTTTGCTCCGCTCTACGCTCTGAAGCCTCAAGCTACCTCCCATCTCTTATCGTCGATTTCTTTTCTACCCGTTAGCAGCCTCAAAACAGCCTGGCTTACCCCGCCCTCCCACGGGGTCCAACCTCCCTCGACCACGTCCTGTGTCCCGAGACGAAGTTCAAGCCGGTCTGGAAAAGATTCTGAAGGAGACCCCTTCTGGGTTTTTCCTGAACGAATTTTTCTTTTCACTAGAAAGAAGAAAGCTGCAAGATCTAACTGGAGGATCATAGTCCGTATCCGTCTTGAATTTGCCCCTACACGGATAAGGCTCCTAGAGCTCCGATATTTTATTTCATATTACTAGTGTTTTTTTTTTTGTTTGTATTTTTCAAAGTTCATGTAAACTGTTCAATTTGAATATACGGAATGGAATTTATTTGCCTACGTTGAATCGTGTGCTTTGACAAGAAGAAAAGAAGAAAATAGTGAAAATCAAAATCCTTCATTCTATGACATGAGCGAGACTCTACCAACCACTCTTCCCCTGACCTTGTCTAATTCAACATGCTCAAATACCTCGTCGTGAGAACCGTCTCCTCCGTCGCTCCCCTAACGGGAATACTGACAACCTCCCCAGGCACAACATCCACAAGATTATCCCCGAAAACCACACCATCATCCTCACACTCAAGCGCAACCCCCTTAACCGGCACCTCAGCACTAACCTCCACCCTCTCACCCCCATCAACAAGCACAGCCTTCAACGCCTCCGGCTTCCTCAAGTGCAAATACTTCAACGGCTCAGGCCAATTAACATACCGCGCCAACTTCTCCTCCCCGCGATACAAATACGCCGCAACCACCGTGCGCGCCTCGTCGCCGGGATTCCTCACGGGCACATCCAGCGCCGCGATCTCCGTGGACCTGTTGGCGGGGAGCAGCAAGGACCCGCGCACCGTCTGCGAAAACGTCCGCTCGGCCGTCTCGACGTCCCACGCTTTCACGACGCAGTCGACCGTGACGTCCTCGAGCGCGAGGTTAGATCCCCAGATCTCCACGCGGGTTTTCGTGTCGATGTGCACGCGCGTGTGCTTATCCCGCGGATGGCGGTGCTCGCGGCGCGTGATGCCGATGCTGAGGGGCGCCATCTCGCGCTTGACGGTGTAGTACGCGTGCTTCGGTCTAAGGTAGTAGTCACACATGGACCAGCTCGTCACGGGCCAGCAATCGTTGATCTGCCACACGAGCGCCCCGCCGCAGTACTCGCGGTTGGGGCCCTTCCACTGACGCTTCCAGAGGCGGTAGGCGGAGGCGAGACATTCGGCTTGCATGAGCTGCGTGCAGTAGACAAAGTGCTCGAGGGGGTCCGGCGCGTACCGCATGTTTTCGACGAGGTAGAGCGCGATGCGGCGTTCGTGGCCTTCCGCCTTATTGTGGAAGTCGACGGTCGACGACTGCGGGTAGCGGTCCGGGTCGTCGCGGCCGAGCGGCAGGTACTGGTCTATGGTCTTCACCGAGGGGAAAGCCTGCATTCCGAACTCGGACACGAAGCGGCCCACGAGGGTGTCGAAGTTTTGGTACTTTTCTTGCGTGCCGTGCCACACGTTCCACTGATGAATGTCGCCGACCGTTGGATCGCGGGTATCTTTCCCTCCCCAGGGGCTGCCGTAGTGGTAAAACGTTCCCGGGATGTGCTCCCTGCACACGTCGTCGAGCACCTTTTCGTAAATGTACCGAGCGGGGAAGTCCGTCTTGAGCCAGCTCTCGGCGTCCTTGTTGTCGAAGTCGTAGGTGAGGTTCTCGCTCTCCTGGTACTGGTAATCCTCGTTGTTGCCGGCCCAGATGACGATGGACGGGTGATGGCGGAGGGCCTTGACGTTCGCGACGGCCTCGCGTTCGATGGATTTTAGCAGTTCGGGCCAGGCCGGGTAGTTGCCGCAGCCAAACATGAAGTCTTGCCATACTAGGATACCAAACTCGTCACAAGCCTCGTAGAAAGCGGCCTCTTCGTAGATGCCACCTCCCCATACTCGAATCATGAACTGGTTGCCATCGGCGAGGAGGCGGATCCAGTTCCGGTAGGTCTCGCGGGTAATGCGAGGGACGAAGTTGTCGGCGGGGATCCAGTCGCTGCCTCCGCAGAAAACGGGAATGCCGTTGACGCGGAAGAAGAAGGAAGTTCCAGGTTGCTCCTCAAGGGGTTGCTGGACGAGCTCAGCCTTGCGGAAACCCGTTTTCTTGGAGACAGTGTCGACTTCTATCTCATCGGAGCTGGCAAGGAGAGTGGCAGTGATGGTGTAGAGCGTCTGGTCGCCGTAGCGGATAGGATACCAGAGCTTGGCGTTGGTGATGGTGAATTCCGTTTTGGTGTCGGCTCCGGCAGCGGCGTTTATCGTCTGTGAGGAGACGGGGGTGCCATCAAGGGAGATGTCGAAGCGGACCTTGGATGCGGGGCCCTCGGTACGGGCGATGGTGGTGACCTTGACCGTCTTGGTGGTGGGGTCGACGTCCGTTTCGAAGAAGAGATCTTCTATCCTCGAGTCGTAAACCTCGAGGTTGATTGGCCTCCAGGGACCGCAGGTCAAAAGTGTCGGGCCCCAGTCCCATCCCTAGAAGTAGAGACCATGTTGGAATTAAATTTCAAGAGACGGAGACGGGAGGAGGGCAAACCGCGACTTATACGGAAACCGCTTTAAGACTTACCCAGTGGTATTGTGCCTTGCGCACAGCCAACCTAGACACATCGCCGTTCCAGCAACCCCATTTATGCTCAGGGTACTTATCCACAAGCTTGCATCCCCTCAAGTAGGCACTATCAAAGGTAATCTCAAGCTCATTCTCACCATCAGTCTTCAACTTGCCCGTGACGTCAACCCTCTCTGGCAAAAACATATTCTCGGTCTCGAGGATCACCTCGCCGTTCAACTTCACCGTCGCAAAGGTATCCAGACCGTCAAAGGCAATGACAGCCTTAGCACCCTGGGGGGCATCCGCTGGTGAGGCGAAGTGGGTGCGGTAGGACCAGACGGCCTCGCCGACCCATTGGACTTGGAGCTCATTCTTGCCAATGAAGGGGTCCGGGATGAGGTTGTGGTGGATGAGATCGAGGTGGATGTTTGTGGGGAACTGGGCGACTGGGAGGTACTCGGACGAGTCTTTGTCGACTTGTTTGAAATGCCAGCCCTTGTCGAGGGGAGTGATGGATCTCCGGGCCATCGTGATAGTTGGTGGACGATTATATTAGTGAATACAGTAAGTAGTGTGATTGAACGGAATTGAGACAGGCTCAATTGGAAAACCGGAGGTTTCAACGGCTTGCTCGTTTCTCGAGGCTCTTTCTTCCTAGTAACTTTAAATCGAGATATCAGCACAAGTCGTTGTTCCGTTGATTCTGTCTCGGTAACATGACAATCTGGATAACGCAATGATCAAATGGAAGGAAGGTGCTCCCTGGCGGGGTCCAAGACAGCTCAATGGAAGCAAGAGCGATGGAGATGGAGGGGTAGCCCACAGATCTTGCAACCCAAACAGACAGTACAATCGACTGGACAGCGCACTCACAACACGTCTAATCCCGATTTCTCGAGTGAACTCAATTGCGAGCTTTAGATAGAGAAAGCGAAAAAAGAAAAAAAGAAATCGCAACATCGAAGACGGGCCGTCTAGCCTACTTATGAGCTTGGGAAGCCAAAGCTTAGATGTAATCGATTGCCTGTTCCAAGCTCCTCCGCTTCCTTCCCGCCAAGCTGCTCCCTCACTCATCTATGCAAAGCAGAAGCAAACACCCAACATGGGAACAAGAACGTTTCACTCGTCAACGAGATACCTAGTGGGCCGGAGAAAATGCAAATAGAGAACGGGTCGAACAGCTATTAGGGACTTTCAAATTGCTATTCGGCGCGCAGTTTCGGAGTAGAGACCGCAGGTACCACACCACACCCCAAAAATTGTTCCGGCAACGTGAAATACGAATACACCTTGGTCGCGCCCGCCCGTGGCTTCGTGTGCAACCAGTCGCTGGGAGAGCTGTATGACGCAGTTTGGTACATCACAGTAAAGTAAAAAGCCGCCACTGAACCCCACAGCGGCCTGCCACGGACGCCCCAAAAGGGCGGAGGAATTTCCTCCGCCGTTCAATTTAGGCTAGGGATGAACAAGCGCTGCGCTTTGCTTGGACCAGATCCTCTCTCCAGATGCTGCTAAGCTTGGAAGGGGAACAAGCAGGTAACCTGCCTTCCATTGTCGCTAAAGTCCGCAGGACGGGGCGATGTGCTCCCGTCCTATCTTCCGAGCGCAGCCAGAGGGCCTAGCTTGCTCGTATCACAGAGAGGAGTGGTAGGTGATATCAACTTCCCGAGCCCATCTCCTCTTACACTTCGCATGTGCCGATAGTTCTTTTTTCTCGCCCGCTTCTCACAACATGGGATGGAAAACCATCACGCTGCGGAAAAGTCTTGGCATTAAGTCTCTCCCCAGCAAAGGCACTCCGGATCTCCATCCGCCGCGTTGACTCTGGATCGCCTACCCTTATGGAGTAGGTGGTCCCGCGGCTTTTTTGCAGCTCGGCTCCACCTGTCTGACATTTCACATTGTAATGCGTCCGGTCACCGGTATCCAAGGCTGCTAGCACATCTTGTACTCCAGGTCGGGGTATTCGTAACATTAAATCTGAGGGGGAAAGGCATCAATGTCGTAAACGGTTGTTTGATTAGTGTGGCTAACTACATATCTGTAAATGCAAGCTATATAATATGAATGTAGGAAAGTAACCGAAGAAACCAAAAGGAAGGGACGAAAGTAAGTCTAACCCCTCTGCATCAAGAGTATTGCTCTGTTAATCGTATCAAATGTCAAAACGTCGAAAGCCGCGTCAGTTCTTGCCTGGATCGAGTCCTTAGTCTGGAGGCTCATCTCGAGGCAAACCGGGGATCCCAGGGAAATGAAGGGAACGAAGAGAAAAGAGAAAGGAAAAGAAAGAAGTCATCGAACAAAGGAGAAAGCCGCCGGCCTCCCACGCCCCAACTACCTTGAAGATCTTCCAAAAAAGGAAAGAAAAGAGAAGAAGAAAAAAAAAGGATGCCCACGTAACCCTCATAGCGCACTGCACTTTCAACAACAGTTCCCACCCCTCCTCCTATTCCCAATTGTAAACACCTCCTCCCACTCCCTAAGTCCCGCCCAATTCCCCCCTCTATTCCTCCCCATCCTCCCCCCACCGCGCCCTCTCCTCCTTCTGGGTCCCCCGGCCCCAATATCATCAATAGTCCCCGCCGTCATAGAACTCTTGATGCTCGCGCCGTCGCTCGCGCCGGCATTCCACCCGCCGCCGTAGTTATCGCCGTACTGGATGCCGCTCATGGGGTCGTCCGGGTCGATCTCGCCGAGCTCGATCTTGGTGAGGATCATGCGCGCCAGCCGGCCGAAGATCTCGTCAACGTTTTCGCCCGTGAAGGCGCTCGCCTCCATGACGACGGGGACGCCGACGGTGCTAGCCCAGCGCGTGGCTTCGGAGGAGGAGACTTCGCGGCCTTCGGGGGCGACGGTTACGCGCTGGGAGTGCGCGGTGCCAAGGGATGTGGATACCGAGCCTGGCTGTCCGCCTCTTATGGTGCTGGAGCTGTCGGTTGTGGTGATGGTGGAGAGGGACGTCGTGCTGGGTACGGGACGCAAAGTGGCGGTCGTGCTTGTGGATCCTACGCTGCTGGGGGTTAGGGGCGGTATGCTCGTGTCGATGAGGGCGTCGGAGGCGAGGTCGAGCTTGTTTCCTACGAGGAGGACGCTGAGTTTCGGGGAGGCGAGGGCGCGGGCGTCGTTTAGGAAGGGTTGGATGGCGCGGAAGGAGGCGTGGGATGTGATGTCGTAGACGAGGATGGCGCCGGCGGCGCCTCGGTAGTAGGATCGCGAGACGGAGCGGAACCGCTCTGTGCCTGCTGTGTCCCAGAGCTTTCGTTTCTAGTTAGAACCGATGAGGCCGTGAGGGGGCAACGTTGTCAATGCGGTACCTGTAGTTTTATGCGTTTCCTCCTCGCACCAGTGCCAACTTTAATGATCTTGCTGGAGAACTCGACGCCGATGGTCTGGGAGGAGAGAACTCGCCATTCGTTCTTGACGAAGCGGTGCAAAAGACATGACCTGTGGTAGCCAGCCGAAGTTAGCACACGCTGCTCTGGCCCTTGTCCTGCTCTGCGTTCTGTGCCTAATCCGGCAAGAGGCCGCGAGGAATCCGAAGAAGACTCACTTTCCCGATCCGCTGGGTCCTAGGAGGATAACCTTGGCAAGGTAATCGTACATACTCCCGAGCTCCTAGAAGGTCATAAGCGTCCCGTCAGCCAGTCGCATTCCAGCAAATTTCTTCTCCTTCCAAGGGCGGCATTTTAACACCCCGAATGTAATACCCTCGGGGCTTCATCGTGAAAGAAAGTTCTGTCGTACCTGGTCGAGGGGCACGCCGGCGCTCTCCTCGCTCGCCGCCGAAGAGCCGCGTGGTCTCGTCATGGCGGGTTTGGAGAGAAGGAATACGTCACGTCAATGTCGGCTGGCGGGAATCGTAAATATCCGCCCCGGTGTGGAGGGAAAGAAGGCCCACGGGGCCTTGTCGCTCGAGGCAGAGGGGGATATCCGCGAGGAATGGAGGCAGTTATTCGTGGGGATCAAGATGGTGGTTCGGCTTGAGGGGTTCTTCGACAGGGAATGGTACGTGGGTATTCGATACGACGATACGATTGCGGCAAGCTCGGAACTCCTTGACTTCGGAGGGAAAAAAAAGCAGATAATTTAAAAGAAGAAACAAAGTTTCGAACGACCGATCTAGATGTAGGCGCAAATGGAAACAAAGAAAACTACGTCGAGGATTCTAAATGCGGAAAAGAAGAATGGCAGATGAAATACTCAATTTGGGTTTGGTTTCTAAGTTGAATTTCGAGACGGATTTGCGAATAGGGGATTTGCGATAAGAAACACAGAGCACAGAGCTGCAAGGTGGGATCGTCGGTGGGCAACTGTAACAACAATTGATGGTCACAGACTCACAGCACACACCAAGACTTGGTTGACGGGGCACGCGATCCACTGCAGTCTTTAGCTTCTCCGGCAAACGGCAAAGGCAAACGTTTACAAACGGTTGGTCGAACTCAAGGTTCAATCAAGATGTGACTTTTCGCTGACACAGCAACCACTACAAAGTACGAAATATTATCGAAGGCCTCGGAGTGGGAGGCACAAAGCACATGCTTCAGTTTAAACCTTCCTCTTTGATGGATTGACGTTGTGGATCGTCCAGTCCCCACATTAGACGACCACGACCTCGAGATGCTATGGCAGGCCTCTGCCAATCTGTGTCCACAAATTTTCGACGTCTTTTCTTTTTCTTCCCCCAATAGCGGGGATATGCTGCTGGTACGGCTTGATCCAGCGCATTCTGCCATGGACCGCTACCAAGTCCTTGCTGCGTACAGCTCCACCGCAGGTGAACAGAGCCTGGCGATCTACACTTTGTGTTTTGGGAATCTAGCATCCAAAAACCGATTTCTCTTTCTTTCTTTCTTTCTTTTTTTCTCTTTCTTTCTTTTTTTCTCTTTCTTTCTTTTTTTCTCTTTTCAGGAGTCAATTTCCGCCCCCGAGGCGAATGGCCCCAAGAAAATAGGGTCCCGGCCGCTCACATAGATGGCCTCGATGCTCGTCTTTCAAAGGCTTGCGATGATGCGACAGAGGCGTGCTGGAGAAGACTGTGATGATGCTTGACAGAGTAAGCATCGTAGTAACACAGACACACGAGGAATGCGTCAATCCGGCTCCTTCCGGAACATCTCCACAATCAGAATAACAACTATTGACGTCAGAACACCGGATGGAAGGGTTCATTGGGGCTTGGAAATAGTGACGCTTTACCGGAGATTGGAAAATATCTCGAACTGGGCCATAATCTCGCAAGGGTGAGATGGGTCTTCGTATCATTCACTGGTTCTTGCTCGAGCTATAGGTTTGGTTTCTCAGCAACTCGGTCATCTTCCTGCATTCGAACGCTACTTACGACCCAAGATCTCCGCTAACAAAGACGACCAAAACCGCGGCATAGCTGGTTCTCGTTAGCTCGGCGAGCCTATCGATGTAATACGTGTTATTCTCACTCACGCGGCTGTAGCTCCAAATACTTCCGCCCTCCTCGCGTTTGTTAACAACCCGACGCTCGCCGCGAACGCCACCGTAAAGAGACCAACAAGTCCCAGCTTTAGGTCATCCGATTTCACCTTGTACAAGATCAGAATGGCGCCGATCATGAACAAGGCGGCCAGTATGGTGCTAAGGTAGGAGATAAAAGTCGATATTCTCTGCCCTGAGGCGTATCCAACATGCGGGCCGGTTGTGGCACCATGGGTGTCTGTCTCCTAGCGGATGTCGTTGATATAAACTTAGGTCCGGGTTACATGCGCAGAGAGCCCTGTCTACTATAGCGTGGGAATGCTCACCTCAAACAAGAAACCAAAATTGTTCTGGGCAAATACTGTAAGTCTATCGGGTGGCTCCGATGAGTGTAATGCCACAAGATCGTCTACATCATCGTACATGTCAGAAGCATGGCCCCCAAGCATTGGAAAGCTGTCAGGGTCCTCGGGCCGCCCATGGAAGAAGTTGAGTCGAAACGCCTTCCAGGTTTTCCTGTCTGGCGGTGATATCGATGCGAGGGTGCTTTCGAAAAGCATCGCCTCCCCTAGAGGACCACGGGAGTCAGTGAGGAATTAGAAACTGCTCTGTGACTTGTGGGATACTTGCGGTATTCTTTCATCGTTGCTCGTATGTTCCGCAATAGGTCCATCCGTTCTGGTTGTGCTCTGGCTTTATATTCTTCCCAATTTCGCAGGGACTGCAAAGTGTCTCGCGCATTCCCGTCTTCATAATCGAAAGTGTCCAGCTTATCCTGTAATTCTGCCAGCTCACACTGCAGGTAGAGTAAGTTCCTTGCCGCAAGTCGATTAAAGCGTTTGAAGATGGCTGAGGTGCCATCGCGGTCACTCGCAATGAACGCAGCGAGGGCTGGAAACCCATCGATATAACGGCTCCGATCCTTATCGCTTCCTGTTGGGCCCAGAGGCGCCATGATGCCAACAAGGATGAGAAACAGTTAAACCATGATTGATGACTTGGGGAAAAGAGGCGGGCGTGCATGCACAATTCTCTTTCCTTTTCAAGCCACCACACAACCCAATCCGCCCCCATCGTGTGAAGCAATGATTGGGTCTCAGGCTCGCTGAGGCTGTACCACTGCCGCAATGTAGCCTAGACTCTACTTCCTGTCAGCCATAAAATTCGATACGCCCCATCCTCTATCCTCTGACACTATAGCATCAATTGCAGTCTATCTTCCATTTTCCCCTGGTGCGATGGATATAGATGTGTTTTTTAACGATGGAGAAGACGCTGGCGAGCCAGCCTCGCCAGTATTGCAAGCAGTTCGGCCTCAGTTGGCGCTAGACGATGAATGCCAGTCTGACAAGGGATCTGAGTCCGACACGGACTCAGAGGTTGACCTGGTCCGTTTAAACTTCGCCCCATATATTATCCTACCTCTGGAAGTATTGCTCTGACTTTACGCATCGTCTCGACAGTACTCACCGTGGGACCCCTCATTACGAGGTGTATCGAAGCGAAGAAACCCCCGACTTCATGGCGCCCGTGCGACCGTCAATACGAGATCCAGCCCTAGGCTGAGTAGAAAAGACGCCCTTTTGCTGAACATAATGAACCCCGGACTGGGTTGGACAATAGCGCCCGGGGCCGAACGACTTCCCCCAATTGACGACAGCGACCCGCCTCAGTTTGAGTCTCCCACCAATGCCCCTCAGCGCTCAGCGCAGAGAGCTACAAGGCGGCGGAAACGCTACTCTTTGCCTCTTGTCATCGGTAACACTGACACTATCATGGCATGTCCCGACAGTGGGTCCGACGACAACATCATATCTTTAGATGTTGCAACCAAGTTGGGTCTGGTTATCGATTCGCCGCAGCAGGACATGCGCTTCTCCCTTGCCAACGGCAAAGCAGTCCAGGCGGTGGGACAGGTTACCACAGAATGTTCCTTCCCAGACTGCGATATCGGCTGGAGCTGTACATTCTATGTTTTCTCCGACTTGGCCATGCCTGCGATTGTGGGATTGGAGTTTTTGGATACGGCGGAGGTTTTCAGCAAGAACAAAGTTCTTCTTGTTGAGGAGCTTGTTCCAACCCTGCAGGCGCTTCGAGTTCACAGCATAGGACCACCCAAAAAGGGTCTCATCTGCCGCGTAGGAAAGTCAGTTAGTTGCGCCAGGGTTGATTCGGGATCCGACCTTGATCTGGTCAGTCCCGAATTTGTCCGTGCTAGGGAATTTACGGTCCATCCCGTTAGAGAGAAGCTTCAATTTGCAGATGGAAGCATCGGCTTTACCTCTGGAGTAATCGAGGCTACGTTTTCCGTCGGAGACGTGGGCGGTGTGATGGAATTCCTGCCACGCAGCGAAGAGCTCTCTCTACAGCTACACATTTTGGAGAGCCTCACAGTAGATGTTCTGGTTGGCCTGGACACCATTGAGGAACTGGACATATATGGCCAGCACGCGAGCTCCTTTATTCAGAGAATGCCACAGCCTGGGGAGTCTGATCTTTGCGTTATTCGCCACATTGGCTCAGTCGAGCGTTTTGTTAAGAACACATTCAACAGTTTGATAGGTAGATCTCAACGAGAAGAGTCAAGGAAGATCCATGGCAAGTTAGGAAAACTCGGGCCCATTGAAATTAGACTGCCTCTAACGGTTGATGCAGAAGACATATATGTTCAACGCCAGCGGGAGAATGCGCGTCAAGAACGCTCAATGCTCGAGGCCCAGACGGCCAGTATAAAGCACTCCGGATTAAGTGTAACGAGCGGCTCCGCGAGCTCCGAGGTTGGCATGTTCAAATGCACGTTTGAGGGCTGCCAGGCGAAGCCATTCCAAACACAGTATCTGCTCGACTCTCACGCCAACGTGCACTCATCAGCAAGACCGCACCACTGTCCCGTCCAGGGATGTCCGCGAAGTAAGCCTGGGCAGGGCTTCAGGAGAAAGAACGAGATGATTCGCCACGGCTTGGTTCATGAATCGCCGGGGTACCGTTGCCCGTTTTGCCCGGCGACAATAAGGCACGGATATCCCCGGCCCGATAGCCTACAACGGTATGTATCCCCTTCTTCTAGCATATCCAGCCGGGTCGCTCACTATCTCGGTCGTCTTACCGACGGTAGACTCGAGTCTCTCTCTCTCTCTCTCTTTTTTTTTTTTTTTTTTTCGTCCCTGGTTGGTAGCATTAACGCTTGTTTAGGCACATCCGGGCTCACCACCGAGATAAGGAAAAAGACGATCCAAAAATCCTTCAGGCCCTATCCCTGCCCCTGGAAGTCATACGCGGTCGCTGGCGGAGAGGAGCCTAATCGTAGCATTTTCACACCGTTCAGAGACAAGCGCGTAGCCATTCTATTCGCCATGTTGTTGGGACCATGCAGTACGTGAAGCAAACCTTCACCCTAACCAGCAGGTTTCAAGGAGATTGACTGTTCTCAAGAGCTGGGTTTCCCCTGTTACCCGGCAGACTGTTAGGAGTCACTGACCTTGGACCTTTAACCGTCGTCGCTTTACTGTCAGATATTAGCACTCTTGAAGGCATGGCGGTTTAGCTCGTAGAGGCTCAATTGATTGGCTTGTTCGCCAGATGTTTCACAGACAGGAGTGAGGCTGGGAGAAATTCCACTTGAAATCCAAATACGCCTGCTTATGTTCTTCTCTAATTTTCCTTTTACTAGGAACGCGGCTGATGATCTAGCTAAGGCGGATATCATGCTTGAGGCATGTGCACCCTCGACGATCCCGTACCGCTTTCGGGAAGCGCAGCCATGACGGCAGTAGGATCCGTGATGGGGCCGAGGATATGATGCCGGTTGATGTCCTGTCTAGCTATAAACCGTATCCCCGCAAGCAAACGGAACGTAAATAGTCATCTGGGGCTTGGAATTTGAAGTCCAGCGCTGTCAAAAGTATCGAGCAAGGCGCGCTTTCGATGTCATCAAGCGATGTGAGGGACGACCGCCGATCGAAGTTCGATAATGGGGTGTTCGATCGGGTCTTGGTTGTGGTTCTGTCCGTTCAGCCTAGCGCCAGAAACTCTCCAATGTTCAATATGATAGTCATCCTGTACTTACAATGTCAATATCAACCTAGAAGCCGAGTCTCTCAAGTCTCTCGAGTCTTGTTCGAAGGCGGATTATTACAGCACACGAGGGCACGACGCACGCTGGTGCCTCAACCTCGCTGGCAGCATGATGAATGATAACACAGCCACACGCATTGAGGGCAGGGAATGAGGCATGTAAGACTTCGTAGCTGTGTGAATTCGAAGTAGGATTCAAAAATAGTCTTATTAACATCACTGGTCAACACAGATCGTTTCCTCGGACCATCTGAATTTTTAAGCGGTGGTGATCGTGACAAGGGTCCTGGTAACGACACCAGTAAGACTAGTAAGACGGGTTTATTATTTCACCATAGACTTCGGTTTGTCATGAAAATATTTAACGCGAGGGAAGTAATATTTCGTCCGCCGTGTAAGCGTGGTCGCGTGTTCTCCTCTTCCGTTCGATTACACCTCCTTGGACTCACTTATAACCTTTCACGATATCTCCAACTCTCCGGGGTCAAAAAAGATATAACCAAGTTAGCATCAGGCCCTCGCTCGTACCAGACAGACTTCATCTGCCAACGTGCACCCCTCCTGCACAGACATGAGACTCAACATTCTCACCGTCTTCCTCCTCCTCCTCGGCCTCTGCGAAGCCAACATCTACTACTGGTGCGCAAAGAAGGGCCAATGCAACAAACGAAAGGGTGTTGGTCCAACTTACACCTGTGGCAAGGGTCTCAGATGGGACTACTATCATAGCCAGAGCCACCGATGGAAGGAGTTCATGACGTACGAGCCCAATGACCAATTTTGGATGCCGGGAGGTTTCATGGACTGCTGTCACCATGCGGGAAAGACTGCATGCTATGGTCGGAAATGAAGGAAAAGTCTTTAAAGAGGGCGTACTAGAGTATGGACGTGGAGACTAGACCCATCTATTTTATTGTGCTGCAGCCACAAAGAGCAGGTTGGTTCTTGACGTCTTCGGTGAGAAAGCTAGGATGAAAATGGGTAGTTGTGACGAGTATGAAGGCCGAGAGCCAAGGGAAAGATGTTGGAGTATAGGGTTCCTGCCCATTCACAGATTCTTAATATTATCTATTTTCAGGTCGTCGAGTCTCCCGTAGAGACGTTCGCCACCGCTGCGCATCGTGATGACGCACAACTTACACGTTGTGGCCATCTCTTCTCATCGAGTAGCGGCAAATCGAATAGGATTAATATAGATTCAACACATGTCTATAAGTTCATAGCAGCAGAACAGGAATCCGTTTACAGAGCAGATAGAAAAAAAAAAAAAGAAATAGTATATATTATAATAAAAATGAAAGAAAGAAAGAGGAGTATCTTGTCATCAGGCATGCGTTCGATTGGCTATGTTAGGTGGATAGTGCTTCGCTCCGTCTTGATATCGGACTTTCCAGGATCCAACGGAAGGGGGCAGCGGGCCACTTCTTCCACCGGAGATAAAAAAAAAAAAAAAAAGAGCAGTTGAAGCCTTGACGGCTCCAATCCGAAGCGGCATCATTGATGGATACCCATGATTCTGACGATAGTTGACTGACGACAGTGCATTCGAGGAAAACTGCTGTGGAGATGAGACTTTCATCATTAGAAATAAATCTCCTTTTCCTTAATTATATTATCTACTTTATATCACCAGTATGCCATTATTCCTTCTCCTCTTCATTCTTTTCCCTTTCGTCACGGTACTAAAGTAAAGCTGTGTTGGTCCAGGTCAAATTGTTCGGTTTGGAGGGTTGCTGTATTACCCCACAGAAGGTGTTCGGGACCAGATGTACAGGCCAAGCCACTGGAACCGAATTGGATCATGCCGAGGCTCAAGTCTACCAAATGCAACATGAGATCTCCATCAATTGGATGCCCGAGCTAGCTTTCCCCACGCCGGCAGGGTGAAGAAGCCGGGGAATTCTGGGAAATGGACAAAAGGTCTAACATGACCAGGCGGATGGAGTTGGCCGAGCTGATATTTCTCTTCGCCTGCCAATCTAATTCAAATTGATTTCTTTCCGCGGGGAGCTACTCTTACCCGTAATCCCAAGCTGTATCCATTTATAACCCTTCAGCGTCTGGTTCCTGTTCCCCGCAATCTTCCCCTCCAAGTGCGCAGCTCAGCTCCACTAGCTCAGTGCTCAAGATGAAGATTGAAGGTCGCACATTCGTCGTCACCGGAGGGTAAGGCGCTCTTCCTTCCCCCAGCTCCAGAACTCGTCAACCACCATCGCCTATACAACAACCAAACCTCCCGACGAATAACCCAGCTACTAACCATGTGCCCTCAAACAGCGCCTCCGGCCTCGGCAGGGCCACCGTCGAGATGATCGGCCAGAACGGCGGCAACGTCGCCATCCTCGACCTCAACGAAACCCTCGGAAACACCGCCGCTTCCGAATTCAGCTCCTTCGCCCGATTCTTCCAAACCGACGTCACCGACACCGACAGCATCTCCAAGGCCGTCGCCGGCACCATGGCGTGGATTGAGAAGACCGGCAAGCCTCTCGGTGGTATCATTCCCGCTGCTGGCATTGGCAACCCCTCGTTGGTATGATACATTTCCTCCTTTTTGCCTTCATCTTACGTTTCTATAATATGATAAAAAAGAAATATCTACTAACTCTTTCTCCCTCTTTTTTTCCAGATCCTCGACCGCCACGGCTCCCCCTTCAGCCTCGACCACTTCGACTTGGTCATGTCCGTCAACGTCCGCGGCACAATCGACACCGTCCGTCAATTCCTCCAACACCTCGCCAAGACCACCCCCCTCGGCCCGGACAACGAGCGCGGCGTCGTCGTCCTCGTAGCCTCCGTAGCGGCCTTCGAAGCGCAGAGGGGCCAAGTCGCCTACGGAGCTAGCAAGGGAGCCATCGCGGGCATGACGCTGCCGATGACGCGGGACCTCTCGCGCTACGGCATCCGCGTCGTGACGATCGCTCCCGGCATCTTCTCGTCGCCCATGGAGGCCAACATGAGCGAGAAGGTGAGGAATCAGCTGCTGAGGGCTACGGAGTATCCGGCGAGGCAGGGGCAGGCGCCGGAGTTTGCGGCGTTGGTGAAGCATGGGATTGAGAATGTTATGTTGAATGGGACGGTGATTCGGCTGGATGGTGGGATGAGGATGCCGAGCAAGTTTTAGATTGAGGAGGGATGTGCTGTCTGTATATCTAGATGGATTCTACTTGTAGGGTCGAATGTATATTTGCTAGATTAATCATGAACCCGAAAATGCTCATAGAATGCGATAAAACTGCGTGGTAGCTTGAAGTGAAGCTAAACCCGCGTCGCTCGTGAATGTGCTGATTTGGTCTTGAATTGCGTCACCCAGTTTTGCTGATCAATACAACAGTTGGATTCCATTATCAATCAATCAATTTGCAGATTCAAAATTCGTGTTCAACGTCTCAATTGACTCAAATTTGGGACTAACTGCGATGAGGGGCACCCGATATCGCGTCTCCATCTTCGGCACTTAAACACGGAGTCTTTGACCTGCCAACTATAAATCCTCAGTCGTTGCCCCTTCTTGAGACCCGAAGAGGAAAAGAAATAGCACGAGATTGATCACCATACAGAAGAAACTGGCCAAAGTATTCCAAGATGGCCTCGCCTCTCAACGTCGCAGTCCTCGACGACTACCAGGGCTTCTCCAAGAGCTTCTTCGCGACTCTGGACCCCGCATCCTTCAAGGTGACCATATTCGAGGACACCCTCCCGCCCTACAACCACCCAGACACTCGCGATGCCGACCGCGATGCTCTCGTCCAAAGGCTGCAGGACTTTGAGATTATCTGTGAGTTTACACCTACATTCTTACTGAAAGTAATCTACGAAAATTCTCGTGGAAAATTGCCGCTTACACCGTTCCCAAGGCACCATGAGAGAACGCACCCCCTTCCCCGAAACCCTCATCAACCGCCTCCCCAACCTCAAGCTCCTCCTCACAACGAGCCTCCGCAACGCCTCCCTCTCCCTCCCGACCTTCGCCGCCCGCGGCATCCCCGTCGCGGGCACCTTCGAGAAGAACCGCACCCAAACGGCCACGAACCCCACGCCCGACTCGACGACGCAGCACTGCGTGGCCCTCATCCTCGCCCTCGCACGCGATATACCAGATTCCCACAATTCTATCCATGCCGGCGGATGGCAGACGTCCCTAGCCACTTCCTTGCCCTCCAAGACGTTCGCGACGCTGGGACTCGGCCGGTTGGGATTGAACGTTGCGCGTATCATGGCTACGGTGTTCGGCATGCGCGTTATCGCCTGGAGCGAGAACCTCACGCAGGAGAGTGCCGACGATCGCGTACGCTCCGTGGGGCTGCCTGTCGACTCGCCGTATTTCCCCGGCGAGAAGACCGTGAGAGTCACGTCCTCCAAGGAGGAGCTCTTCCGCGAGGCGGACGTGCTCAGCGTGCACCTCGTGCTATCGGATCGTTCACGGGGGATCGTGTCCGGCGAAGACTTACGAAAGATGAAACCTACCGCTTTCCTGGTCAATACGTCGAGGGGGCCGTTGGTTAAAGAGAAGGATCTGTTGGATGTGCTGAAGGAGGGGAAGATTGCGGGTGCGGCGGTAGATGTGTTTGATTTGGAGCCGTTGCCGGCGGATAGCGAATGGAGGACTACGGAGTGGGGGGTGGAGGGGAGGAGTCGGGTGGTTTTGACGCCGCATATGGGGTATGTGACGAGGGAGACGATGTCATCGTGGTATGAGCAGCAGGTGGAGAATATTAAGAGGTGGGTTGCTGGGGAGGAGCTGCAGACGCGGATTGTGTAGGTTTCAGCAGTAAAGAGGATTTCAATGTTGAAGATTTGCTCAAATGGACCAATGATGCGATAAAAGGCACAGACAGACAGAGAAATAAAAAGCAGATATAATAATGATAAGAAAGACATAGACAAAGATGGCAGACAGCGAAAAAGGTAAACCTGCTCTGACAGCAAAAAGAAAATTCATGATAAGAGTGGGATTCGAACCCACGCCCCATTTCTGAGACCAGGAATATCCATTCAGGTGTGCCTGAACCTGGCGCCTTGGACCGCTCGGCCATCTTACCCAATTTGTTGGATTTCCAGAAGGTTACCGACCACTATACAGGTAGGAACCCCTGCTCTGAGTATAGCCAGGCCTGGGCAGTTTACAGTAGCTCTGTAGGCCACATGCAGCAGGGCGATTTTGGCGGGATTAATCGCTGACGAAGCACCGAGGTTTCCCGATGTCATACAAGCACCAAACCACTGGAGGACGATACAATTCGTGCTCTCCCACCGACCCCGCCACCCCGCCACCCACTATTAACAGCACCCAAGCCTAGAAAGCCCACAGCTACAAGCCGCCCTTCCGGTCCAGCCAAATGGCCCCATTCTCGCCTCGGTCAACACTTCCAACGAACTCACAGTGGTGCTCAAGCTCTGCACCGCATCGGGCATCCAACCAATCACACTCACCGAGTACCACGCATCGAGGACATGGGTATAACCCGGTTTAACCAGCAGGTGTACCCTCGTAGAACCGTTGTGCGAAACAGGCGCAAGAACGTCCTCAAGAATGAGAGACCATGAACTGTCAAGCCTAGCATGAGCTGGGAACACTTGCTTCCTTCATCTTTGTAATTCCTAACTAGCCATAGCCTTACGCGGCTTTTTTCCTTCTTCTCTTCACTATGGCGCCTGGGTTAGGACCGGGCGCCGTTAGCGTCCACGGTCCCGGTCTGGATGGGCCCACCGCCTCTTCCGACGACCGTGCCATCCATAGACCGAGGCGTAATTCCGCCTTTTGGAGACTCAGGGGCACGATATCAGAGACCGAATATAAAAATGGCTCGGGCCGTCGATTCCCGCTGTTTCGTGTGTTGTTGGGTGCCATCCGGAAAACTCTCACCGGACCTATCCCTGACGACAGCCCTCCCGGAGACGAGCCCGCCATGGTGAACGCCCAAACCACCACCGATCCCAGACGGGAGCCCGGGGTCCACGTCTCCATGTACGACGAGGCCCCACACCTCTACCCCAACCGCTCCTCAATCGCTTCCACGGCCGACCCCCAACGCCAGAGCCTCTTCTTCAGCCTACTACCCCCCGAGGTCCGGCGCATCATCTACGCCTTCGTATGGAGCACCTGCGGCTACCAGCACGGGATCCACATCGACATGCGTTCCCGCCCCGACCGCTCCAATCCTAAACCCGTGTTCGATCCGCTCAGCTATCCGTGCCTGCAGCCTATCGACGAGGTGTTTTGCGACGAGGCGCTGAACGCGGAGCTGGATGCGCTCTGGGACGAGTATGAGGTGATGGGGAAGTTGCAGCCGATTAGGATCGAGAGGCGGTGGGGGCAGGAGCCGGGGGTCGCTTGGGGGTTGCCTGTTAAGTTTAAGGAGCTGGGTGCGAGGAGGGCGAGGAGCCATTTTGAGTGCTATGTCGAGCATTTGGATAAGAGCAAGGCGGTACGGGAGGTTAAGTATCGGGAGGGACGGGGGCGAGAGGAGGTGAGGCCGACGTGGACGCCCTTTGTTCCTGTCCTGTTGACTTGTAAGAAGATGTATGGGTCCTCTTTCCAATTCTATTTTTTCTCTTTCTCGTTGTTATGCTCCGGTAAACCTTCAGTTCTTTGCAAGTCCTCGACTAATCTCACTAAATAACAGGTACCTAGAAGCCATGCCCAGCATCTTCGGCGACATCCCCTTCATCTTCCAAACCGAAGAAATAGAAACCGCCCACGCCTTCCTAGCCCTAAACCCCCATCCCTGGCTCTCCTCCCTCCACTCCGTCCACTTCACCTCCGAAACCAAAGGCCCCGAGCACGCCCTCGGCGCCGACTGGGACCCCATACCCGGAACGACCCTCCTCCGCGCGCTGAACAAGTGCGTCTGGGAAGCGCTATCTCGACTCCCCGCCCTCCAGACAGTGTACGTTTCCGAGCCGGACCTTGTGGCTAGCTTTGATGTCGATTTGAGGACGATTACGAAAATGGCGGGACCGGACCTCGCTCGGAAAATTACGCTTCGCGTGCCGGAGATTAGGGATGGTATTTGTCGGAAATGTGGGCGCCAGAGACATCGGTTCATCCTGCCTGGTCAGCTCGATGACGAGGCGGGAGAGATGTCGAGGGACATGAGCGGGTTGTCGGATGCGCCTCCGTTTGGGACGGTGAGGACGTATCAGACTTTGAGATATTGGGAGGAGGATGAGGATCAGTGGCCGCCGAGGAAGAATTATATTCGGAAGTTGGACGTGGATGCGTGTTGGTATTGTAGGAATCTACGACGGTAGGGATTGAACGATGGTAGGCGCACGGCTGGCAGGATCTTTGGCTTTTTTTCCTCGCTACTGATGGAACCTTTCTTGAGAGGACATTGGGGTGATATTAAGGTATATAAAAAGCAATGCGGACTTGAATGGTTCTTGGGGAAAAAGAGTCACATGCGGGCCATAGATCTACGACGAAATATCCTTCAAACCTTTGGGCCCCTTGAGCCCGGAATCCTCTCCTTCCAAAACAGACAGCGCACCACCGACAAGATGCAAACTTCCCGTAATAAACACCTGAAGGTCCTCCTCCTTCTCCCTAACATACGCGATAGCCTCCTCTATCGACGGCGCAACGACAACTTCGGTCCGAGGATCGAGCGTCCGCCAGACGTCGGCGAGGGTGTTTTGAAGAGTTAGTTTCTTGACGACGTCTGGGTCGACGTTGGTGTTGATGAGGTCTTTGGGCGCCCGATGTCAGAATTGTAAGTCCTGTTTTAGTTTTGGGGAGGGGGGGGCATACCTGGTTTAGTAGAGCTGTTCTTGTAGGTGATGTTTGTACAGAATATGGCGTACTTGATGGCCGTGTTGGATCTGGAGAGGTGATCGTGTGTGACGTTGAGCATCTTGACTGCGTCTCTGTCGGATTGCTGATTGAATATCAGAGCGGATGGCGTGTCCCTATAGCAAGGGCCTCATCAGTACCTTCCATAGCAAAGAGAAGCAAGGAAATAAATCAAGACTTAAATACCTCTCCTTCGAGACCCTTCCAAACCATCGGCATGCCACGTCGAGACTCTGCTCGTTATGTGCGCCATCGAGATACCACGTCTGCTTATCACCGACGATTGTCTCGCACCTCCCCCTCCAGCTACACTTCTCAATCCCATCAACAACCTCCCTTGGCAGCGTCTCCCCACTCACATCCACCTTCGTCCCAAACCTCTCCATCACAGTCGCGGCCAATCGTATCGCCAACGATGCATTCTTCCTCTGAAACTCCTCGTCCGGGCGTAGTTTCACCTCTCTCAAACCCGGATGGACACCGACCTCGACCAAGTCGACACCTTTCTCCCCCGCCCTCTCCCTCAGCACCTTCATCGCCGCGTCCTCCTGAGGCACCGTAAACGCCGGACACCCGCTCTTCATAATTCCAGCCTTGTGCCACGCAATCTCCCCCAACGTACCCCCCAAAACACCCACATGATCAATCCCTAACGAAACGATCCCCGCAGCAACAACCTTCTCAAAGACATTAGTAGCATCATACTCACCTCCCACCCCAACCTCATACACAGCTGCGTCCACGCCCTCGCTCATAAACACATGGAAAGAAAGCAGCGTTAACAGCCTGAAATACGTAGGTCTATCAACAGGCGGCTCCGCTGAATCCAATCCCAGGGCCTTCCAGACGTGGAAAAAAGCCGCAGCGAAGGCGGGTTCGGAGATGGGCACGTCGTTGAGGCGGATGCGTTCACGGACGGAGGTGAGGTGCGGTGAGGTGTAGAGCCCGATTTTGGTGGGGCTGAGAGTGTGGGTTGGGGAGAGGCGGTATTGGTTGAGGATGGAGGAGGTGAAGGAGGAGGTTGAGCCTTTGCCTTTTGTGCCGGCGATGTGGACGACGTTGAGGCGGTTGAGGTCGTGGGGCTGAGGAGTGAGTGAGTGAGTGTGTGAGGTAGAGGATGTGAGCGAGAGGGGAAAAAGGCGATGAGACCTACCGTGTAACCGAGGAGACGGAGCCATTCTTTCATTTGGGTGATGGATTCTTCGCCCGGCACATGGCCGGAGCGTTTCCTGTTCTCGAGGACGCGGAATCCAGCCTGTGTCGAGTTGAGGAGGTTGATAGCATCCTGCCATGAGGGTCAGCGACTGAATTGTTTCGTGAGGCAGAAATTTTCCGACGTTCATTACTGACGCTGTATGAAGGCTCGACTCTCGTGTAGATTGAGCGATTGAGCGCCGCCCCGAGGCGGGCTGGTTTGCTCATTATGTGGATGGGGATGTGAGGTTGAAGTGTGGATAACGATATCGGACCTGGAAATTTAATTTCCGGGGCTTTAAATTCTAGCGATAGCGTCAACCGCAGAACTTTGGAACTCGAACGAAACGTCCCAGCTCCGAGTTATAAACTCGGATTGAACTTAAGAGATTGTGAGAATTAATATTTCGAGAAGGGAAAAAAAAAGTAAGCTGAAGGATTTGAAGTTATTCAAGGTATCTAATGAGATAAATTAATGCTTTACGTGCTTATTTTCTCCTTGTGCATAGTATCTGGGAGTCTACTGTAAGATGGGGATGCAAGTAGATCATTGATCGGACCTGAACACATCGAAATGCCGCTGCATTTGATCGATATAATTCAAATTTGGCCATCATCGCCGACTACCTTCAGCACGCCGCCGACCAGGTACAGGCTTCCCGTCACCAAGACATCAACACCATCGCCATCGACGTCGCTCCCGTATCGTGCGACCTCTCGCAACGCCTCACCGAGAGACCCAAACACCGCCGTCTTCGTCCCCGGCGATACCGTGTGCATGGTTGCTCCCAGCCCCTGTTGCACGATCATATCCGGCGACGCTCCTCCCTCCGCCGCCTCAGCATCAACTTCATTCCTCGTAAAGACCGCCAGGTCAAACTCTCCCGATCCCCCAGACGCTTCAACGAGCGTTTCCAAGAGCGCTTTCGCGTCGCGATCCTGTTGGTTGAACACCAACACCCTCTTCTTCTTCCTCTCCTCCTCGGCCGTCCCCGTCCTACCCGCAAACCAACTCCCCGCAAGCCGTACACTCTCTTCCGTATGCGCCCCATCAAGGTACCACGTCATCCGCCCCCTCCGAAGAACCTGACCCCGTCCTTTCAGCCTCGCCTCCCTCAACGCACCAGGAATCCAAGCCTCCCTCCTCGCGGCTGCAAGATCGCACTCCCCCTTCAAGTGCCACATGGTCGCCATAACAGCCAAAGCCCGATTATCCCTCTGATACGCCCCCTCCATCCCCGATCCTCCCCCATCATTCCACGGCCCAACCCTCACATCCTCATCCGTAACCTCCACCAACCTCGCCCCCTTCTCTTGCGCCCTTCGCCTCAAAACCTCCATGACACCCTGTCCCTGCGTCCTCGTAAAAGCTACACAGCCCTCCTTGAATATCCCCGCCTTATGCCACGCAATCTCCTCCACCGTCTCCCCTAGCATGGCTACGTGATCGATCCCCAGATGCGTCACAACAGCGGCGCTGAGAGCTTCGGGCGGGATGATGTTCGTGGCATCGTACTCACCGCCAATTCCGCACTCCAGCACCACGTCCCTGACGCCTTCGCTCAAGAAAACGTGAAATGCGAGGATCGTTAGAAACCGGAAGTAGAACGGCCTCACGATTCCTTCCAACCCACCGTCCTTCGCAGCAACTTCACCGAATCTATCCCAGACCTCGAAGAAGCGCCGCGTGAAGACGTCCCGGGATATTTTCTCCCCGTCTATCTCAATGCGCTCGCGCACGCTAACGAGGTGAGGCGACGTATACATACCCACCCTCCGGCGCTCACCAAAGCCGCTGACCATCGGGTGGGAGAAGGCCCTGCGGAGTAGTGCGGCGGTATACGCGCACGTGGAGCCCTTGCCTTTTGTCCCTGAGACGTGCACGCAGCGGAGGCGCTTGAGGTCGGAGGTCGAGTAGCCTGCGCGGGAGAGCCATTCTTTCATTTCGGGGATGGCGAGGGCATTGAGGGAGGATCTGGAGGAGGACTGGGATTTGGTGGATGCATTGAAGAGGCTAGTGACTGAGGTGTTTGCCTGGAGGGTGGTGAGGAGGCGGAGGGCGTCATCATATGTGCGGGAATGGATGGAGAGATGGCGGGTGTAAAGGCGATGTGGTGTATGAGGGCGGGAGCATTGGGGGACGTGAGGGAGAGAGATGAAGGTGAAAGCGGATGACCGCCATCTTAGGGACTGGCGGTTCATGATTCTCAAAATTGGCGGTTCATGAGAAGGGTGGGATTTCTGCAACATTGCACTCTCTGTCTTGTACTTGTACTCTGGTCGAAAAAAATCCCGCGTCCAGCAACACTTAGGGAAATGGTCTCGTAACATGAAGATTGAGGGTCGAAGTGTTCGAAGAGAACAGTGGAGATTGATTGTGCCTGCCGCCCGAACTGAGGTCAATTATCTCTGTAAAAATTAGTGGATAGCGCTCGCTTCAGTGACGGCAGACCTATGTAGACCTCACCAAACGGATTCAAGTGCATGAAATCAAATGATATCAACTGATATCAATCTCTCCCCGAGGTCGACGTCAACGTCGAGGCTTCAAGCTTCTCTCACAACTCATATCAAGTACAGCATCAAAGTCAATTACCATCTAAAGATTTTATTCTGTAATCTTGTGCCTATGTGCGTCTATACCATCCTCCTGTACTGTACATCGCATCACAAAGGAAATTATGAGACCAATAAATTCAGCAACCTTTTTTTGTTTTCTTGGACAAGGGAGAGGGAGACGGACACACCCGCCTCAGGTGCTTCTCTCCCCACCGGGCCCAGGGTCCGAGAACCTTCGCAAACACTTTACTCTGTCCTCAAGCTCTGCAATCTCGCCTCCGTAGCAATGACCTAGAAAGTTGTAATGTTAGCCGCCTCGTCCTAAGAAAGAAGAGAGACATCGATCGATTGATATCAATGATGATCCCAAGAAGACTTACCTCGAGAGCCTGCTGAACCTCCAACACCTTCCTCACCTCTGCCAACCAATCCCTACTCAACGTCTTCGCCCACCCCTCCAACCCATTCATCTCCCTAGCCGCCGAGTCCAAATCCCCCTCCTCGAGATACGTCTGCGTACGCGTCAATATGCTCTCGACATCATCTCCCGCCGCGAGCCCCTCCTTCTTAAACATAACCTTGCTAAGCGCCCAGCTCGTCGCGTGGCTCGCCACACCCGCATCGTCGGGGAGCAGCGAAGCCTTGCGCACCTCGGACGCCACGCGCCTGAACCGATCGATCAGCTGCGCGGGGGTTGAGATGCCCTTCTGGTAAGCGCTGGGGTTGATTGAGGCGATGGCGGCATCGACCACGCCGTCGCCGTTGGCAATCTGCTTGAGCGCCACGAGCTCCTTGATGAAGGGGCGCGGGTGCTGCGTGTCCTGGAGGCTGGCGCGGACGGCCTCTACGGCCACGTGGAGGTGCTGCGTCTGGATGTTGAGATCGACCACGTCGTTCCAGCCCGTAGTGAGGTTCTCAAGCGAGGTGATGGCGTTCGAGAGATCCTGGAGCTTGCCGAGACGACTGTCACGCTCCTTCTCAACCTGCGCCTTGACCTCGGCGATGAACTCCTTCTTGAGGGCGAGAGCTTGCTCGAGGAGCTTGGTGTTGAGCTTCTCCTCGTTGAGCTTCTGCTCGCGCTCGAGGAGGAGCTGCACCTTGTCCTCGTAGCCCTGGCGCACCTTGGTCATCTCCTGCTCGAAGTCCTCGCGCCACTGCTTTTCTTGGGCGACCATGGCGGACTCGACGCGGTCTACCAGCGTGTTGGCGGCAGCGTCGAACTCGTCAATCTTGGCCTTGACCTCGGCGGCCGCCTTCTTCTCAATCTGCTCCTTCATCTCCTGGACCTTGCGTCCGACCTTGGCGAGGTCATTCTTGGCCTTGGAAACAGTCGAGTCGTATCTGGCGTGGGCCTTGTCGGCATTGATGACTGTAATTAGGTCGTTAAGCATGTGAACTAGATCCTGGACGATGGGCTCCTGAGCATCGTTGACCTTGAGGGGATCGATGGGCGCGATGGGAGGGAATCGAGAAGGCTCGTTAACCTCGGGAGGCGTGAACTCAGCCTCGGCGATCTTGGCGATCTCGAGAGTCTCGAGATCAGACTCAAGGGCCGCCGGCGCCGGCTCCTCCGTCTTGAGCTCAACAACCTCGGCGGGTTCAGAGACAGCGGTAACCACGGCATCCTTAGGTTCCTTGACTTCCTCGGCCTCCTTAACGGCTGCTGCCTTTAGGCCCTTCTTCTTGTCCAAAGCGCTCGACCGACGGCCGGCAGGCTCGCCGCCGTCAGCAACCCTCCACGAGGCGCCGCTCAAGGGAGCAACCGTCACATGCTTGTCGTTAAGCTCCGAGCTGGACACCCGGGACGCGCTATCCGGGAACTTCTTTCGGAAGTCGAGTTCCTCCAGATAGAGAACGGCCTGCTCGCCGAAGGGGACGTACTCGGTGAAGAGGTCGTGGAACTTGTCGTTGATGCGCGAGTACCAGACGCCGCCTCCGAAGGAGACGGCGCCGAGCAGGACGAGCGTGACGACGAAATTCCTTAGGCGGCGGAAGAAGCCCTTCTTAGGCTTGGCGGGAGGAGGGGGAGGCGGCGGCGTAGAGGCAGTCTTCTCGGTGGTGGTGGTGGTGGAGGCACTGGGAGTAGGAGCCTTGGGTGTAGTGGAAGGTGGTACAATCGGCTCAGCGGGGGGAGCTGCCGGTTTCGCAACATCGTTTACTGTCGGCGGCTTTTTCTCATCGGCGAAATATCTCTATCACACGAATGCAACGTCAGTAACTTCAATTGGCGCAAAATTTTGCCCGAGAAGAGCTCCAGTCGTGGGCAAAAAGAGACCCAAAAAAAAGGCTAGCAAAAGAACGCACCCTCGTGACGGCTCCAACTACTGATCTCGCGGGCCATTGAGCCCGAGCGACCGCGACCGGCGTGCCGCCCAGCGCCCTCACGGTTCGAAGCGATGTCCGCAGCATGAGGAGCTCGTGGAGGGGAGCGGGGGAGGGTAATTGGTTGAGATCAATGGAGCCTGGGAGAAAGGCGATTTGGGGTTGTTGATGATCGTACTACCAGAACCGGAAGAGTGCCTCACCCGACGAGAGTTTCTCGGCTTGGGGAAAATTGTTGGCGGAGAATCTTCGGCAAAACCGGATTGGCTCAGGTACCGCATTCCATCATATGCCATACCCGAGGCACGGACAGAAGCCTCGACATCATGACGGGTGGAACGAGAATCTGCACTGATTGGCTTTAAGACTTCAAAAGTTATTGCAGGTACGGGAGGGGGAAAAATAAAGGGAAAATAAAGGAATTTTAGATCGCAGTCGTATCGCATATAAACCGTCTGCGGTGTGGAATGAGGCAAAAATACATACTAAAAACATAACAAGAAAGAAAATCACCGAAATCAGCAAAAAGAACATACAGCACCGAGGATTCGCTGGTCGTCACCGACCCAACTACTAGTTCAGCCCTCCCCAGCTTAGTTACCCGAGAGCGGACGGGATCGGACGCTTTCTAGGGGGTATGGCCGTATGTGATGGCTTCTACTTCGTACGTGGTATAAGAAGGCACTGGCGGGCAGGCGAATATCTTCATCTTGACCGAAGAATATTCTCGCTCTGTGTATCTTTGGCTCGCTCGGTCTTCTAGGCAGCAGAATTAGGTGGCCCCACACGAAAGGGCTCAGCAATAGCGCGACTCGGACAGGGAAAACGCAAGACGTCTTCAAATGCGGTCTCTCTCTCTATTGCATACTGTATGTATCTTGTCTCACTGGGAAAAATGGGAAATGACGAGCAATCCGATTCCATGATTCCAAATGTCCCGCAAGTTTCCCTCCCTGTCTCCTCCTCCCGTAGTCCGAGTATTCCGCAGCTTCCCTGAGACAGCTTTCCTAAAACGATGGGGCCGAAAAAAGAGAATAGCATCACGGTTAAAACGATAGTTTAGAATAAGGGAAATATGACGAGGTGATCAAGAAAAATAACTTCCCCATAGCCTGTGCATAAAATGAAAATTTGGACCAGTAACCCGGGTCCGGTATTAGTGTATGGTGTGTTGTCGCTTCATGACCACATCCTCCGAATGGTCCGATATATTCACCCACCCCAATGCCGATGGTTGAATCTCGTATCTCATTTCCTAGCCTCCGCACTCCGTACAATGCTGAGTTACATCGCTAAGAGTCTCTCTCTCCCCCGTGTATAGGTTACTTAAAAAAAACAAAACCTAGGAGAGTTCGGGAGTGCGCTCATGGCTCGATTTCACTGGTGGTATTTGCCGCTCTACCTTTAATACCATCGGCCATTAAACAAAAAGCAAAAAGTCATAGTGCAAGTTCCTTTAGCAGCTGCAGGGCCCGCTGACGTTGGTGTTCTGGTTCTCGGGGGTGAGGTTGACTCCAGCTCGTCCAGGACCAGGTCGGGCGTGCCTAGGACCGGCCTGATCCAGAGGAAGCCTCTTCGCTATCGCGGTGAAGAGCTCGCGCACATTTTCAGCCGTCTTCGCTGAAGTCTCGAAGAAGAGGAGTCCGGCTTCTCGGGCGTAGGCCTCTGCATCAGCCGTCGGAACCGCTCGCTTATCAGGTTGCTCGGTGACCAGGTCCAACTTGTTTCCGGCGAGGGCGATGATGATGTTTTCGTTCGCTTGCCTCTGGAGCTCCCTAACCCAGGACTTGGCCTTATCTAGAGACGCCTAGGACAATGTCAGTACTTTTATTCTCTCGTCGTAACTGGAGTTAGGTTAAAATGGTAGCCTACAGCTTGTGTGATGTCATAAACGACCACGGCGCAGTTGGCATTTCGGTAGTACATAGGAGCAAGCGACTTGTATCGCTCCTGGCCGGCGGTATCCCATATCTCGAACTTCACGGTGGTGTTCTCATCGAGGGAGATGGTCTGAGTGAGGAAAGCGGCACCGATAGTGGATTCCCGAAACGAGTCGAATTGATCCTGGGGCAAAAACATTAGCACCTTTCCTCCCATAACAAGGGGCCATTAAGAACATGGTGTTGCTAACCTTGACGAACCGCAAAACTATTGAGCTCTGTGGGTATATATCGTCAGTATGATGCGAGGATCTCAGCGGGTTGTTGCGTCGAAGCTGAGACGGAGGAGGAATCGTTTACCTTGCCGACTGCAGACTCGCCTGCGTTCTATGTCAGTACGTAAAATAAAATAAAATAAAATACCGGCAATCAGGACAAGCTCTTACCTAGGAGCACCAACTTAAATTGCGCAAAGCGGGTGTTCATGCCTCGCGCGTTGGGGGGTCCCCTGGTAGTCATGATGATGGCGTTCTTGTTGTTGAGTGTTTGCGGAAGGTTCCGGAGGTGAAAAAGACCTGGGATTTAGGCTCCTGGGATTGGAGAGGGTGGAATCGTGGAATCGGACGGACCGGGGACGAGGTAGTGTTGTTGATGATGTTCGGTTCGCTGAAGGCTATACGGCCCTAGATGACGAAGCAGGAGTATGGTGAGGCGTTCTAAGGAGATGGACTGGTGTTGTAGGATGGGCTGGAGATGACGGATCACTTCTCACAGGCTTGATCGTGAATGGCTGGAACCCGCCAACATCTACACGTCACGAGGCTTGGATAAGCCTCCAAGCTTTCCAATATTCTTATAAGAGTATACCGTACATGAACATATTGTACACTGTTTTTTCAGTTTACTCTTTGTTGTGCTGACTAAGGAGCTAATCTGTAACAATCGCAGCACAGGTACAGAACATGTGAATATTCCTGCAACTTAAGGTCCCTCTGGAATTATTAACAGCTGGCAGCTTACGAACTCTCAATATACTTCGTATTGTAACCGCAAGCCTCTGCTTCCGCTCAGCTCTCGACTACCTGAACCTTAGCAGGCATTTAGTTTATAACTATTTGCCCATTAACTGGTCCCATTGGGGGGGCTCTAGTTGGGTTTATACTTTTATTTTCTTCTTTCCCTTTCTCAATATCTTATTTCCCCTGAAAATGGCCGTCATCAAGGGCCCGCTGTTCCCCTATCGCGACATCACTGTCCAAGTCGCCGACAGTGCCTACACCTTCACCTCTCCCTCCTCGCCCGACGCACCGGCACTCGTCATCGACCGGCCCACGGGCGATATCCATTTGGACCATGGCGCCTCCGGTCTTGCTCCCCGGACATACCAGGTCATGAACATCAACGGCATCCTGGGTATTATCCAGCTCAGACTTGGTGGGTAGCTTTCCATGATGGGCCCATGAGGGTAGCGCAGGACTGAGCTAACGACAACGGTCGAGTTGCGTAGACAAGTACATTATCGTCATCAACAAGTCCCAACCCGTCGGTCGTCTCAAGGGTCACATGGTCTACAAGGTTACCTCCACGCAGATCCTCCCAATGCGCCGAAAGCAAATACGAGACCCCGATGAAGATGCCTTCATGGCACTGCTTCAAGCTTCACTCAAGAACGGGCCGATGTACTTTTCCTACTCGATCGACCTCACCAACTCTTTCCAGCGCCAATCTCAGGCCGACACTGCCCAGCCTCTTTGGAAGCGTGCCGACGACAGGTTCTTCTGGAACCGGTTTGTGCAGTCGGACCTGATCGAATACCGGAATAATGGTGCTAGAGGCCAACCTGGTCCTCATCCCGGAATCGATCCATTTATCCTCCCTGTCATTTTCGGCATGTTTGAGATCAAGCCGACCGTTTTCAAGGGCGCTCGGATTACACTTATTCTCATCACTCGTCGATCGCGGTACCGCGGCGGCACTCGGTTCTTTACCAGAGGCTTGGATGAGAAAGGGAATGCCGCTAACTACAATGAAACGGAGCAGATTCTCATTGTTAACGATAAGAGCGCGACCGGAATTAGCGGATTCTCCGGCGGCGCCGGCCCTAGCGAGAAGATGGGCAGATCTTCTGACGGACAAGAGACGCAAGTTTTGTCCTACGTCCAGACCCGAGGCAGCGTTCCATCTCAGTGGGCAGAGATCAACACCCTAAAGTACACCCCCAAGCTCCAGATCCGGGGCATCGAAACGGCGATCCTATCGGCGCAGAAGCACTTTCACGAGCAGATCCGAATCTACGGTGACAACTACCTGATTAACCTTGTGAACAAGAGCGGGCGAGAATCGACCGTCAAGGACTCGTACGAAAAAGTGGTGGAGAAGCTTGTCTCGGATCCCAGAGGCTACATCGAGAGTAATACAATCACGAATGAAAAGTACCATACAGTCGAGCCCGGTAAGGTGCGGACCGAGTTTGACCGGCTACATTACATCTTCTTCGACTTTCACAGCGAGACCAAGGGGGCTCGACTCCACCGAGCATACATGTTGATCGAAAGGCTGGAGAGCTCGATACGAGAGCAAGCATACTTCCGAGGTGTCGACATGCCTGCGAGCAATGATGGCCGCCTCGAAGCCCGCAGCTTACAAAACAGCGTCATGAGGACAAACTGCATGGATTGCCTTGACCGAACCAACGTGGTGCAAAGCATGTTTGCACGCTATACACTCAACCGCCAATTCGTCGACCTCGGCATCATGGCTCCGGGCTCCAACTTTTCCGACGAGGACGAGTCCTTCGAATTCCTCTTCCGCAACCTCTGGGCCGACAACGCCGATGTCGTTTCCAACTCGTACTCTGGTACGGGCGCCATGAAGACCGACATGACTCGAACGGGCAAACGAACAACGGCGGGCAAGCTTCAGGACGGCCGGGTAGGCGTTACGCGGTATTGTCTGAACAACTTCTTCGACGGCCCTAGGCAAGACTCGTACGACCTGTTCCTCGGCGTCTACCAACCTGGCAAGGCGCAGATTGGGTCGGGTCCCGTGTTCGCGGACCGGCGGCCGGTGCTGATCCAGGCGATGCCTTATGTGCTAGCGTTTAGCGTGTTTGTGGTGCTCTTTGCGGCGTTTGTGCCGCGGGACCCTGGGTCGTTTGCGGTGTCGAGGCGGGGCGCTGTGCTTGTGTTCTTGGCGCTTGCTGCGTATTGCTTTAGGTTCATCTTTGCGCACGGCATGCTCTACGTGAGTTATTCCATCTTCGCCGTGCTTTTTTATAGCAACTAACATCGATTTCTTTACAGGTCAATTGGCCTAAGCTCGCCCCTCTGGCATACGCTACAGAAGGCTACAATGAACAGATCATCAAGGCGAGAAAGGACCCAATCATAGGACCTTTCCTTACGAGGCAAGGACAGCACGAACGCGGCTCTAGTATCGCGCAGTATCGGCGGGCCGAGGAGGGCAGCAAAGAGGATTAGAATGCTCGTCCTTCTTTTTGCGCGCGTGCCCTAGCTATCTATACACATGTTTCTCTCGGTGATCTTGCGAGCTTCTCTTTCTTCTTTGTGTACTACTTCTATAGTGTTGTTTTAATGGTTTTTCTTTTTTCTTGGAACGGGTTTAATTGGGATCGCTGCCCGCTGGTTGCGTGGGAATGGGGCGTATAGAGTTGCGTTGGCCCTGAGCGGGCGGCAGAGTACATGTCTTCTTTGTTGTCATACATACATCCATCCTTCTCTCGAGTACTCTTTTCTTTGTGTTTTTCTCTCTTGTCCAAGCCTCCCTCACTTCCATTTGTATCTTTTGCCATTGCTACAGGAAATTCCTTTTGTCTGGCCCAAACTTTGGGCCACACAATTCCTCAATAACACGACGCCAGAAAACAATGTTGAAACACGATGGCACAAACTATCTTTATACCATCCCAAAGCGCCGCAAGAGGTTCTTGGTTGAATAGGGAAAGGATCTGCCCAGTGGGTTTCAAAACCAGCCATGCCGTACAAGTATTTGGTACTGCTCTCCCTTCGTTCTGCTTTATGTTCGTAGTGGTGGTTTTAACCAGACTTTGACTTACTATCACTATCAGTCGATCCTAGACTGGGCAACCCTAATTAACGAAGGCCGATGGCCTGTCGATCGTAACGATTAACATATTTGACGGCCTTCGCATCGGCGGCAAATTCCAGGTCTTGATCAAGGCACGCTCCCTTGGTGGAGGATTGTGATCGGACAGTTCTGTGACAGATCCGAGGTCCACTTCCATGGCAAAGTTGGAGAAGATCGTGATGATCAATGTTTCCCGCTCGCGAATGCACATTCGGAAACATTCAATACATACCTCCGAACAGCAGAACGAACCACGGAGGACCAGAAGTACAAGTATTACTGGGAATAGTGCCTTGGTGCTGGGCTGGAGTGAACCTTCCCCCCATGCACAACAACTGCGACTTACGCAAGCTGCGTGCGTAACCGCATCCACTTTCTAGTAGCATCTATCGAACGTTGTTTCGAAGGAGGGTCCTCGCGAAGCAATATGGCCTGCTCTGGTCCTTGGGACACCGTCTGTCCGATTTACCGGTACAGGCTTTCGCTATCGGGGTACCAAGCATTTTCTAACCGAAAAAAAAAAAAAAAAAAAAAAAAAAAAAAAAAGGATGCGATGCAGGGAGCAGCAAGAAAGCGTCGCCTCGTGTCGCACGCGGAATCCCACGCATCACGGTGTGTCCTTGGCATCGGTCTAATTAAGCTTTTTTCTTTTCTTCTTACAGAGGACAAAGTGAAAGTATAATTGGCGGGCTCTCTCCCTTCGACTTCATGAGAAGCAAAGTCGGGTCCCTGGCCCGAGCAAATCGCCTGGTGGGAAGTATCCTAAAGGCAAAAGGCAACTTCGCTCTCGGGTACCCTTCGTTCCAATATGCCGGACGTTTCACACCTTCACACGACCTTAGCTCCATTTCCCTTCCCGGGTACGCAAGTCGTCGTTGAGGCTCAGCAGAGAACTTGTACCTCCTGAGTAACTCTGCATACAGGCCAACATATTACTTCTCCCTGTAATCTCGTCCCTTGGGGGGTGAAGAACCTCCCGAACTACTTGTAAAGACTGGGTCCCCTTCTTGTCCACATATTAACTGCGTCGCTACGCGCTACGCTAGACTGGTGGTTGCGGGTATCTCGTCATCCGCCGAGCCGTAGGGTGAAGCTTTTCGATCCCCATACCACCAATACGCCCGGGAGGACGGCATCCTATATGAGAGGGAGGGTCGTTTTCGGTCACCATGTCCCTCGAGCCATGCAAGTTCCATGTCGTGTACTCCACCGATAAGTTAGAGGTATTACGTAGATGATGGAATTGGCGCTACTTGCTGATAATACATCAGACCCTAGACGCCTGGGTCTTCGGTCACCAAAAGACGTAAAATGGAGGTAGATTGTACCCTGGACTATACATACCAGTGCCCTTGCTTCTTCCCAAAACCCTTGCATCTCACTCACAGGTCTATGATTTTCTTCCTGTCTTGATCTGCCGTAGGCCCAAAGCTGGTTCCTGGATGAAGCTTCTGGGTACCGTGCTTCAGATCACTGCAATCTTTGCACCATCCTCGAGCCTCCATCCCACATCGTGATGCTGCGAAGGGGCTAAGAATCTAGACGAGACTCCAGGAGCGAGAAACCGCCCTTGGGTTCGCCAGAACGTCACCATGGGGGCCTTAGGCCACTGGCCTTTACAAGTATCAACAAGGACTCGGCAGCCCGGCATCCTCATCCTCATCCTCGCCTTCGCCGCCATTCTCCTGACCATACTCACCGGCCGGCGCATATACTCATCCGATGAAGCCTCGGTTGTCCCTTTCAGCCAATTGAGCGGTCCCACTCTCACGCCCACCGCAGCGCCAACTCTATCTCCTCAGCATCCACATGACGATGATCGGACAGCGGCGATACGAGTAGATAAGACTCTGTCTACCTTGGTTGAAACGATCGAGCATACGGCCATGTACTACGACTTGTACAAGTTAAAAGAACCTTTCGACCAGCACTTTGGTGAGAGAGGCCAGCGCGCCGTCGCCATACGGAAATGGATCGAAATCGCCGACTCGCTCCCCGCGAGCGATGAGAAGGCCCGGATTGAAGAGGCAGTCGAGAAAGCTATAACCGCAACGTTCCCTTACCTCTCGAACCCGCCAAACGGGTCTCGGACCCCCTTCAAGAGTCTCCGGGAGAGCTACATCACCGATGGCAAGAAACGCGGTAGTCGAGGCATCGTCGTCCCCGTCGGGAAGAAAAATCTCCGCATGGCATGCCAGCTCGTGGCCTCAGTCACACGCGTCCACAAATCCTCTCTTCCCATAGAGTTAGCCTACGCCGGAGACGAGGACCTAGGGCCCGAGGAGCGACACCTCGTCAAGGAGTTGTTTCCGAATGAAGACGTGTCCTTTCTCAACGTCCTATCCGTGTTTGATGATTCGACTCTGGCTCTGGGAACGGGCGGGTGGGCCATCAAGCCTTTCGCGCTTCTGGCGAGCCGCTTCGGAGAAGTCATCCTCGCGGACGCAGATACCGTCTTCGTGAAGAAACCCGAGGCCATCTTCCGCCAGAAGGGATACAAACGAAAAGGCGCGCTCATGTTCCACGATCGACTCATCGACAAAGAGCGGTACATGTCGCGGCACACGTGGTGGCGCGAGCAAGTGGTGTCCACCCGAGCGAGGAAGTCGGCAAGTCCCTCTCTTGGACGGAGAATTACGCCGAGGAAGCCGACTCGGGCATCGTCATGGTGAATAAGGGCCGCCTCGACGTTCTGATGGGCATGCTTCACGCGGGATGGCAAAACTCGAGGGATGTGCGGGAGAAAGTGACGTACAAGGTTACGTACGGCGACAAGGAGTCGTACTGGTTTGGTCTCGAGCTAACCGAGGGTCCTTATGAATTCGAGAAGTACTACGGTGGTATCGCGGGGTGGATGGGTACACGCGAGGGTCCGGCGGCGGTGAAGGCTCCGCAGGTTTGCTCGTACGTCATTGCGCATCCTGACGATGACGAGAAGGGCCTGTTGTGGTACAATGGGAGCTTGTTGAAGAACAAGGTCAGCGCGGATAGGGAGTATCTTGTTCCGTCGCATTGGATGATTAACGGGACGTGGGATAAGGGCTTGAGACCTCACTTTAGCTGCATGAAGGGCGGGATGTTGTTTGAGATTTCGGAGAAGGAACGGAGGATTTTGGAGAAGTCTGTGGAGGAGGCGAAGAGATTGGATACGGTATTTGATCGGAATGATTCGAAGGCGAAGGGCTCATAGAGCTTCTGTTTGGGGGAGGATCGAGATGATATTGATCCTTGATATTGCGGCTTCAGGAGTTCGTTATGGGTCGGGAATGGTATACATTCGGGGACATAGTCGGTTGGTGGATCTTTGCTTATATATATCTGTATATTAATACCCTTAAATGCACTCAAGGTTTCGGATTCAGAAGCGAGGATTGAGGGGTTCGAAAAGGGGACGTTATTGTGAGACTTTGAGTTGGATAGATGCCGATAGATGCCTGTGTCACTAGGAGAACTGTGCAGGACGACGAAGGTATTCATTGTATCTCGATAATTTGTGTGTCTCGATAGCTGATGTCTGACCCATTGAGTCGGAAGTTCTTTCCTTATTTTCGACGTGAAGTACTTCCAGGCTCTATTGTCATTCGCAGTCTCATTGGGAAGGAGCGCTCAAAGTCGTGGAAGCCGCGCCTCGATGTGCGATGCGCGACATGCAACCCACGAGCGGAAAGAGCAACTCAGGCGTGGCAACGAGGCGACAATTGGAACAGCTCCAATTGTCAATGACGACACTTCAATGGCAGACAAGGCAACAGCCTGATCTTTTTCTCGAACAATTCCAACGCCCACTGTCAAACCAATATCCAGCCTCGAAACATCATCTGATCTTGAGTCCTTGGCAATTTTCTTTTTTCGATCGGTCCCAGTGCCCGGACTTTTCCGCTCCCTGTCTCCGCCGAGCCCAGACTTCGGTTGACAGCCCATTGTCTCTGTGAACTTCACCGCTTCGGAGGCGGATTATCGCGGCACGAGGCAGGAAAAAGGAAGCAATTGTGGAGCTGAGAAGAAGCAAGATGCTTCTCGCGGGGTCAAAATCCAATCTTCGATCACTCACCGATCAACTCTACGTCCCTGGTATGCAACTCTTACAGCTCGGCATACACTAAATTAGGGATCCGCCTGGCGCGACTCGATATTATCCACTGCGGGAACCGACTGGACCTGTGGGTTTGGGCACTGGAGATGATTTCTGACCGAGTGTGACTTGGTGAGAAGTTTAAAGTTGCGCCTCGATGTGGAGGGCTGGGCTATTGTAATGTGCCCCAGTTTGGATTCGTTTATGCTGTCGCGATCCATCATCGATCCATTTACCTTCTTACTGATGTCGGGTCTTCATAGCGCTAAGACAGAATGCGGCACTCTGATCCTGGACTGACTGGCTCAATGGTGCAGAACGTTGACCTTCTACTTGTCAGCTTCATTGTGTTGTGCCGATGTCCGGGCTTGGGCAGGACAAACAGAATTCACGATTCTTGCGAAGTCCTCTTGAGAACCCATCTCCACGCATCTTCCCCGAACACAGTCACCCACCGCCACAAGCGACAAATGGGCTGCCAGAAATCTGGGTACGGGTCGGGTAAAGTTCTGTGTGATGATCTGCAGGGGGGCAACGCGAGAAAATTGTGGAGCTTTTCTTTCTCTGGTCCAGTTGTAATCTTGGGACCTTGGATCGGGAATTCGGCACAGACCCACTCCCGCCACCGCCCCGCTCGGAGAAGAAAATTTGGGGAAGCATTGGAGCGAGAGTCCGGGTTAAGGACGTGAGGATCCTCGAGGATATGGTCAGAGGAGTGCCCTCGTTGGGGGCGGGACAGGGAGGGAAATTCAACGGCACGAAGATACAAACCATCCATGGAACCCGCGGGCGATGCTGATCGCCAACAATCCAGTCCCACCCAGCCCGGCTCATGAGGATTCTGTTAGTTTGTAATCCAACATCTGCACCCATTGATGAGTCTGGGGGAGGAACCAAACTCGACCAGTGGGGCCGCTCTCCGATGCGAAGACGCTACTTGTACTCCTTTACCCTTGCCGCACCATTGGGGGTAATATCACAGTCATCCTACTCTGCTCGGGTCCGAGGCCCTAAGCCGGATTCGAAGCTTCTAGCCTAGGAAACAGTGGATTCAATGTCGTTGACTCGGCACATGCACTTGTTCAACGCCTTCCTAAGCCGGTCATGCTTCACATAGGCTTTGAAATACATCCATCACCTCACATACTTCGTACTTCATACAGTCTTTGCCATCACACCCTTCCTGCAAGGCAAGCTTCCCTCTCCTCTCTCCTTTGCTATTCTGCACCCTCTTTCTCTTTCTCCCTCGCTCCTTCGCTCTTTGGCCTCTCCATTCGCTGGCTCTGACTCCAACAACTTCCGTGACTGAGTGATCTAACTGTCACTGGTCTACTGTTGAAGCTAGTCACAACCCTTGCTTCGCACTCGCAACTCGACCACCCATTTCGGCAGCCTGTGCCGTTCTAAGTGATTCACGATGCCCTAACATTTCAAGTATAAATATCTAGACTCCTGTCAGATTCTTTCCCACCACACCCGCCCACTGCTGGGTACAGGCAACTACAATTTCAAGATTGGGATCAAGACTTCTTTGCTTCCAGTCTACTCCCTATACACCTTCACTTTGGATCGATTACTTCTAGAACACATCTTCGGGGTCGCGACATTCCATCACGGAGAGCGCCGACTACCGAAATTTTCGCCAACGCTTCTGTCGTAGTATTCATTCGCACCGATATCGCATAGCTGCTACAGTGTCAAGAAAATGACCAATCGAATATCTTCGGAACCACCTGGCGACGACAAGCTGGCTGCCGATAGGCGCAGCTCACCTTCCGGGTCTGATCGTCCATCTCACTCCGAGTCGCTCGTCAGTTCCGACCGCGACGAAATCGAAGCTGTGGAAAATGGCGGTTGGAAGCAGGATGAAGCAGGCGGGCTCTTCTCTGAGAAGCCTGTGATAGACGACTACTCACCACCGTCACTGCTTCCGGAATCGAGCAGCGTGAAGGACAAAGAAGTTGACCAGTCGCAACCCTCACTTCAGCAGGCTGAAGTGCAGGACCTCGAAAAGCAGAACCAGCAAAATGGGGTTCCTGCGGAACAGCAGCAACCGATCGCAAACGGCGATGCCCCCGAAGCGCAACGGACGCGGCTCGAAACTACCATTATCATGTTAGCTTTATGCAGTGCGCTCTTCCTCGCCGCCCTCGATGTTACGATTATCACTACCGCCGTTCCCACCATTGCCGCCGAGTTCAACTCAAATCTAGGCTACACCTGGATTGGCAGTGCCTTTATCCTCGCCAACGGCGCCTTTGTGCCGATATGGGGAAAGGTCTCGGATATATGGGGTCGGAAGCCCATCCTTCTGGTCGCTACCGCCGTCTTTTTCGTCGGCTCTCTACTCTGCGGTGTCAGCGTCAACATGGCCATGCTCATTGCTTCTCGTGCCGTCCAAGGTGTTGGTGGCGGCGGCATTCTCGCCCTTGTCAACATCTCCATCAGCGACTTGTTCTCCATTCGATCGCGAGGCTTCTATTTTAGCATTATCGGCATGGTCTGGGCTGTTTCGTCTGCCATTGGTCCAGTGCTCGGCGGCGTCTTCACAACCAAGTTGACGTGGAGGTGGTGCTTCTACATCAACTTGCCCGTCTCCGGAGTGGCCATGGCGCTTCTCTTCTTCTTCCTTAAGCTACACAACCCGCGCACGCCTATCAACAAGGGTCTCGCGGCTATCGACTGGCTGGGAAGCTTGACCATCGTTGGGGGCACCATCATGTTCTTGCTGGGCCTTGAATTTGGCGGCATCAGCCACCCGTGGACCTCGGCGACCGTTCTCTGTCTTATCATATTTGGTGTAATCACCGTTGGCATCTTTCTTTTCATCGAACACAGAGTGGCTCGCTACCCAATCGTACCATTATCCCTCTTGCGCGGGCGCAACAACGCGGCTTCGCTCTTGGTCGCCTTTACCCAGTCCACTGTATTCCTCTCTGGAAGCTACTTTTTACCACTCTACTTTCAAGGTGTTCTCGGCGTATCGTCTCTCAAGTCAGGCGTCTATCTCCTCCCCTTCGTTATCGCTCTATCCGTAGTGTCTGGCTTCATCGGAATGATCATCAAAGCGACGGGCAATTACAAGATCGGCATCGTTGTTGGCATGGTGATCATGACGCTAGGCTTCGGCCTGTTCATCGACCTCGATGCGCACAGTTCCCTCGCCAAGATGATCCTCTACCAAATCGTCGCCGGCATCGGCGTCGGCCCCAACTTCCAATCTCCGCTCATCTCCTTCCAAGCCGGCGTCGACCCGCGCGACATTGCCTCGGCGACCACGACGTTTGCGTTCATCAGGCAGATCGCGGGATCCATGTCCATCGTGATCGGCGGCGCTATCTTCAACAACGAAATGCAGAAGCAGTACCCAAAGCTCCTCGCCGAGCTGGGACCCGAGCTGGCCAATCGCCTTTCGGGCCAGAACGCGGCGGCGAGCGTTGCCCTCGTGGACGATATGGATCCGGCGCACGCGGCCGTGGCTAGGGACGCGTACGCGAACGCGCTGGAGATGATGTATATCGTCTACGTGGCGTTTGGGGCTGCGGGTGTGGTGGCTTCGTTGTTTGTGAGGCAGAAGAAGTTGAGCAAGCAGCATACGGAGCACCAGACGGGGTTGAAGACGTTGAGGAGTAGGGAGGGGAGGACGAAGAAGAAGAGAAAGAGCGAGCTGTGATGGGTTTGGCTATACTTCCCTCACACATCTTTATAATTTTAGGCTATTTTATAATTTGGTTTCCTTTTTTGTTGATTTATTATCCCTCCATCGCTTTGGGAGAATCTTGATAGCATGAAGCGGCGTTTCGGGGATTAAGAAAAGAATTGCACAGGGCGGCGTCCGGGGCTTTGCTTGGTGCAGATGACCTAGATTCTTGGTGCTTAGGGCCCGAGATATATATGTTAGCACTGCCGTACCGGTCAAAATATATAATAATAAAGTTGATTTTTTGGGGAGCTAATGGTGAATATGAGGTGAAGTCGAGAGTGAAGATCGACAGATCAAGGTGCGCGATGTGTCTCAGACCCCCTGGCTCTGGGCCGAGACTAAAACATTCCATTCAGGTTTCTAGAATCGCCAAACCTTGCGCTACAATATAAATGCGGGCAAGGGTCTGCCTCGGGAGAGCGACTGATGATCCACCTCATCCTTGAATCCGTGGGTATAACGATAACCTTCACCAGAAGCCTCAAGGCACGATCAACGGCCGTCTTGTGTCCCACGAGGACTGATGTGCGCGACAGCAATTTCATCTATTTTTCAACCAAATGGCTCGAGAATATCGAATACTATTGTTCATTTCATCTCATATTCTTCCTAGTCAACTGCCTTCCCACTCTATGCAACAAAAATTTACCCGTATCACTCTCGGGCTCGAATCCTGCGTCAGAAAAGCTTCGAATCAGGTCCGCAAAAGTCATATCAACCAGAGCAGCGCCTTTATCATTCCTCATGCCGTCTTCGACTTTGAGGGTTTCGACGCTGCAGAGCTTGAAGCCTCCCCGGTCGACGTACTCCCCGATCCTCTGGTCTTCGCTTCCGCCCTTTGTTTCTCAATCATGTCCCATGCGTCCTGTTCCGCCTTTTCAATTTTTTCCTTGGTTTTCTTTTTATCTTCTGCGACCACAAAGTTAGCCCCTCATTAATTCATGCTCTTCCATTTTGTGTCAAACCTTTCGACTGCCGTCCTCGCCATGCCCACATGGCCGAGGGAAGCTCCGGCTTAAAATCCTTCACTCCAATAACAAGATCAAACTGATCAGTATCCACGATGAGAAACCTCGTCCGGCGCTCTCTCACATCGTGAGGACGATGCCACCGAAGATAGACCTCTCGCTTGGGCGTAAACGTCCCCTCTACCATCTGTAGCGTCCGCTCAGTCTGTTCACTGACAGGAAGATCGAGAATCTTTTCCTCGTCCATTTTGTGCTCTGTGAGGATATCGCTCCTGATAAAGTTCTCTGAGCTTCCTGTGTCGATCTTGTTTCGCAGCGGGATGTATTCGAACTTATCCGCCCCAAAGAACCCGGCCAATTCGATAATGAGAATCACATCACGGGTGAAGTCAAACTTGGTCAGGGCTAGGACTTCGCGGAAGGCTCTGTGGGCGTCTAGCCGTTGTCGGACGGGAGGGCGCAAGCTATTTTGTGCTTCTGATTCTCGGCTTGGGGTCTTGTCCGTGGGCTGATCATCACTTTCGAGGATGCCCCCGTCATGAGAGTAGGCCGTTTCTTGTTCATGGATCAAGAGATTCATGGCAGAGCTGTGTCCCGAGGCTGTTAGCTATCTGGCCCCCTCGCTGAAGTCGTTGAACTTGGCCCAGTCCCAGCAATTCTCTTGTTGTAGGACCATCTGGGCTTTCCCGGGACCAACACAACCGAACTCATAGAATTCAGTTAGGCTTCTGGTAAACGTACCTCATCTGGAGGATTTGGCTCTCAGTGCGCAAACTGAAAAAGCTGTCAGTTATATCGTATTTTCTTCCAAACCAGGGAGGACTTTTCGCCACTAGTATCCGACTTACTCGGCAGTGAGGTGCCTCAGAAGAAGAACGGAATCTCTGAAAGAAGCAGAGCTGGTATGGACCATTGCTTCTGTTTGCCATACGCGTAGTATATCTTGAAAAAGATCCCGAGGGTCTCGAAACCACCATAGCACTTCCCAGTGCCGGCGAAAAATGTCCTCTAATTCTTCGAGTTGTTCTTTCGTCTCACTCCTCTTCTTGTGGCAGAGACGAAGACAGCTTGTGACGGACTCTGGCATAGATGATTGAGATGCGAGTGTTTTCAAGCATTCCTCGAAAATAACGTCACTCACTTCTCGCTCTAGCCTTACCCGAACGGTGGCTTCCGCAACCGTCAGTATTCTTACCAGATGGATCGTAGACATGAGATTGAAGATGATCAAGGTGCGGGTGGTAGGATCTATACAGATTATACCAATTACCCAAATGCCTGATAATGGATGCCTAGAAAAAAAGCAGTCTTCGGCTGCCCGATACGCAATGTTCACGAGGGCCATGGACAAGCGGCCTGAACTTGGGACATATAGGCTAGCTAAAGGAATGAGTGTTGACAGAAAAACGCAAGCGCACTTCAAGGCTCTTTTGTGAGCCTTGACCCGAGACCACAGGCTTTTAAGCATTGTGCAGGATGGCTTCGGCGAGAAAGGGCGGGGTTTGAAAAGCTACCTGTCCCTCCGCGAAGACAGCGCCGTACGGAGTCCATTTATATCTATGCTTTAACTATGGCATAACGCAAGGCTTCGTGGTTACACAGAAACTTCCCAGTCCCGGTGCCGGTCCGCCTCCTGCTTCTCACGCCTATCTGTCCAATCAACCATACAGTGAGCTGCATACACTTAAACAAGGCGAGGTGCATGAGCCTAGGACGTGTATAAGATGGCGGTGAAGCCCAGCACTCCGGGGTCTGATTAGCCCTTCCCCCTTATATCCAATGTAAAGCTCGTCCGGGATAGATTAACATCATGCCCGCCGAGCCTCATCCCGCCTATAAACGTCCTCTGGGTGCATTAAACCTGCTGGAGAGAGCTCAAAAGATGTCAGATACAACCTCGCAAAGAGGGACAGAAGCGCAAGGCTCTGGGTGCCCAATGGCCAATATACGGCCGTACAAGCCCCGCGACTATGAACGCCTTGTCAAAATTATGTCGAAGGATAGAAACTTGGCCATTTTCCGCAGATTCGAAGAGCTCAATTTCACCCAGCTTGTCTCCCTCCAAGCAGAGTTGATGGAGCTCCGGGCCTACTTGAGAATGCGACGACAGAGCGACCACAGGGAAAACCCAAGCTTTTCTCGGTCTTTCCGAGATATGAGAATCTCTCATCACGATCCCTCAGAATACTCGACCGGTTGCGCGATGAAATGCTGTATATCTGATCTGGATTTGCAAGAACTCTCTCAGCCCGAGTTGCTGTGCATGATCCGGGTGAAGTTGGCCGAATATAGTAAGCGCCTGTCTTGGTAGCATTTTGCTCTCAATATTTTATTTCATTACCTTGAAGTCGCCCCTTTGAGCATTTGAAGCTGATGCACGGCAGATGGACTCCTAATCCAAAGTGAGTTCACACCCCCCGCGTCCCAGTCGTGCTTGACCGAGGCCACTTACATCCACTGCGCCAGTGTCCCAACTTTCCGCAATACCAAAACCTCACAGGTCCCAGCTGAAGACTTTGAAAGACTGGCTCTTCCGACCCGATGGTGGTAATGGATTCCTCGAAGGTTCGGAAAAATTAATGTGGAACGACGATGACTTGAGGCGATACGTGTGTCTCGCCGATCCCGGTATCGAGACAGACCCCTTCACGACCTTCATAAGAGCTGTCATGTCCGGCGTTTTCCACAAACTTCTTGGAAGGCGAAGCAAAAAACGCATTATCGATGAAGAATCGGGAATGGTCTCGTACGACGATGAGGCGATGATGAAAGCGAGCAATGCCATCGTAGTAGTCGTTGCTTCGGCCGTGCCAGTCTTGACCATCTTCGTTCTCAATAGCCTGCAAACCACCGCTCAGCGCATCGGATTCACGGTTCTCTTTACTTCGATATTCGCGGCGCTGTTAAGCATCTTCAGTTCGGCCAAGCGCGCAGAGATCTTTGCTGCGACAGCAACGTGAGTGCCTCACTGGCATCGCGCACTTACATCCGCCGACAGACACTAACCTCGTTTCTCCACGCCTAGATTTGCTGCGGTTGAAGTGGTATTTATAGGATTTGCTCTCCAATCGGGGACCTCGTCTTAAATCCAGTCGTTCACGGCAGTCTCGAAGGAGGCAAATAAATCCCGCCGCACGGCACGGCAGTGAGTTCGATCAATCGCCCGCGTGGCATTTAGGCACATCGCGAAACTCCCTCTTCCTTTTCGTTTCCGCGCCCGCCCATTCGTTCATGTCGAGGCGAAATAGAGTGCCTCCTCCGCGTAATTATCTCCATCAACTGCTAATATGAGCGAATATGGAAAACTTCCGAAGAAGCTCTTTTAACCTCGTACTTCCCGATGGGGGTGGTATTGGGAGAAATTCGCAGCTTCACTTTCCTTGATGTGCCGCCCCGCAGCCTCTCATCGCCTCCGAACTTTCGCTTCTGGCTGGTTTAACTGAGCCGAGGCTGTTCTTGACAAATTGAAAGAAAAAAAGAGTCAGAGTCTCCTAGGAGGGTCAAATGAGAAAAAAAGACATGGCGAGATTGAGGATGACTGGCCTTTGGGCCTTGGCATTACTCGCCTCTTCTCTTTCAGCTACGGCGCAGTCTACGTTCGAGTTCCCTGATTGCGTGAACGGTCCCTTGGCTGATAACCTAGTTTGCGATGTGACGGTCTCCCACGCCGAAAGGGCAGCTGCTCTCGTCGGAGCCATGACGATTGACGAGAAGCTCGCCAATCTCGTCAAGTATGCCCCTCCCCCAGCTCCCATCCTACGGACCTCCCCTTTCTAACTGCACCCCCAAGTGCGAGTCCCGGCGCACCCCGTCTCGGTCTCCCAGCCTACGAATGGTGGAACGAAGCCCTCCACGGAGTAGGCTACTCCCCCGGCGTCAACTTCCAAGACAAGGGCGAATTCGCCTCCGCCACCTCCTTCGCGAACCCCATACTCCTCTCCGCCGCCTTCGACGATTCCCTCGTCCACGAAATCGCAACCGTGATATCTACCGAAACCCGCGCCTTCAGCAACGCCGGCCACGCCGGCCTCGACTACTGGACCCCGAACATCAACCCTTACCGCGACCCGCGCTGGGGCCGCGGCATGGAGACCCCGGGCGAAGACCCGCGCCGAATCAAAGGCTACGTCAAGGCCCTACTCTCGGGTCTCGAAGGCGACGACCCGTCGAAGAAGAAGATCATCGCCACCTGCAAGCATTATGCGGGGAACGACATCGATCGCTGGGAGGACGTCCTGCGCTTCAACTTCTCCGCCGTCATTTCGCTCCAGGACCTCGTCGAGTACTATCTCCCGCCGTTCCAGCAGTGCGCTCGCGACTCACGCGTCGGCTCCATCATGTGCGCTTACAACGCCGTGAACGGCACGCCCGCCTGCGCCAACACGTACCTGATGCAGACGGTTTTGCGCGACCATTGGGGGTGGAATGATGAGAATCAGTATATTACTAGCGATTGTAATGCCGTGGGGAACTTTTACGCCGACCACCACTGGGTTGAGACGGCGGCGGAGGCGGCGGCCAAAGCTTACGCTGCAGGCACCGACACCGTGTGCGAGGTTAATATGGCGACGGATGTCATCGGCGCGTGGAACCAGTCTCTGTTGACCGAGGAGACGATCGATAGAGCGCTCAACAGACTGTACCACGGCCTTGTTAGGGTGGGCTACTTTGACCCTCCGGACTCGTCAGAGTATCGATCCCTCACTTGGGAGGACGTCAACACCGAGCACGCGCAGCAATTAGCTCTCCAGTCCGCGGTCGACGGAATCGTACTTCTCAAGAACGACGACGCCGTATTACCTTTAGAGTATGACGCAAACACCTCGGTCGCGGTCATCGGTCACTGGGCCGAAGCTCCCGTTCAACTACTTGGTGGATACGCTGGCACGGCACCTTATTACATCACCCCCCGATCCGTCGCGGCAGCCATCCACAACTCCACACACTACGCCAACGGGCCGATTGCCCAAGACCTGGACGCAGACGATACTTGGAGCGAAAAGGCCCTCGAGGCGGCAAACAATGCTGATATAGTCTTTTACTTTGGTGGGCTCCGCATGACCATCGAGCGGGAGGATCGTGACCGCACGTCCATTGGCTGGCCGGCCGCTCAACTCTCGCTCATCCAAAAGCTCTGCGCCCTGGGTAAGCCGTGCATCGTCATCCAGATGGGTGACCAGATTGATGATGCCCCACTCCTAGAAAATAAGAACGTCTCGGCAATTTTGTGGGCGGGATATCCCGGACAGGCCGGAGGTGCAGCAGTATTTGATATTCTGTATGGAAAGTCTGCTCCTGCCGGGAGACTCCCTGTGACGCAATACCCTTCGTCGTACACCGAAGAGGTACCCATGACTGATATGACTCTGCGGCCGAGCGAGGTGAGCCCAGGGAGGACGTATAAGTGGTACAGCGACGCAGTTCTCCCGTTTGGCTATGGCCTTCATTACACCATGTTCGAGGTAGCTTTTTCCTTCGAGCCGGCCGTGTCCTATGATATCCAGGGCCTTATCGACGGATGTCAGAAAGACCACTTAGACCTCTGTCCTTTTGATACCATATCTGTGTCTGTCGAGAATACTGGGGATGTACTCTCCGATTTCGTTGCTCTCGTGTTCGTAAATGGCACCTACGGGCCGTCTCCACACCCGCTCAAGGAGCTCGTGGGATACCACCGCTTCCGAGGTGTGGAGGTGGGTGAGTCACGGGAAGCCGAGATAAGTCTGACGCTAGGTGACATTGCCAGAGTTGACGAGAGCGGAAACACAATCCTGTACCGAGGGACGTACACTTTGCAAGTCGATGTTCCTGCCCAGCACACGGTCAGTTTCAAGCTGACGGGTGACGATGCAATGCTTGACGAGTGGCCGCAACCTCCGGAAGACCTCGGCGCAGAGATCGAATAACCGATGACGTTTACATCGAAGGAGCGGGGGCGGAAAGGGAAGAAGGGGGGGGAAAGGGAAAAGAAATCGAGGACATACTGGAAAAAAGGGACCCCACCGCCCAGTCAACGAAAGCCACGAGTGACAAAAGGGAATGGGACGTACTGGGTTGGGAGAGGGAGATGCGTTGACCCGAAGACAAGATCCAATGCCAGGCCGTGAAATTCAAAAAAATCGGTCCTGTCGGTAGATGCCTCTTCCCAGTCCTGTTAAGAAATAGACAACCGGTCACTCTAATTTTAAACCTTTCGCTTACGCTCCAATAACCTCGAGGGAGCTTGAAGTCTGGCAAAACCCCGAGCGGCATGTAGTTGAAGCGCTGAAAGTGGTACGATGACTCCATGAGGAGGGCAGCAAATGTGACTTCCATTGACCTAGCCATGCCGAGAGTAGTGCCGTCCAAGTAAGTATCGTGACACAAGAGATTCTAGAATTCTATCGCATATTAGCTTGTTGTAAGTACCTCGGAATACGTCAGGGAGTGATAGCCAGCCCAACACTGTCAAGGTAGCAACCCCAAGGTTCGACACCAAACCATCTGATCACAAGGTCATCTTTGAGATAAGCCTGAGGGAGTAAAACATGCAAGTGTTATTGGCGCTGTATATGCAAGCGTTTATGCATGAATGAATACCGCCAAGGCAAATTTACAACGGGGTCTGGGGGCTCGAGCACGGTGGAGCGGCTTCACGGCATCGACTCTTGTGGTTGGAGATCGTCCCTAACGAATGTGGAATGGGGTAAGGTTCCAATGCGAACGCTAGCGGGACGCCACATGTCAACGCATTAGTTGTCTGATTCCGATGTCTCACAAACCAACCATGACGAATGCTGAAGACCCCATGAAGATGGAGATCTATCCATAGCCGTGACCGACCATCTGTGGACGTCGATGCAGAATCGACATTAAGCTCATCGGGTCGTCGGGGGTGTACAAAGTGCCGTGACAGCATGTGTACCCCTCATATGACCGTCGGCCTCTTGTCGCCTAAATAGGGGCCAGCGTGGAGGAGATGCGTACCGAAATTCCATAGGGATTGACTTTCGGGAGGGTAATACGGGCCAACAGGTCGGGACTGTGGGTAGTGATGCATGAGAACCTTGTCCAGAACCGTAGGCTATAGTACGTAGTACGTACCAGCAGCCGGGTCAACCAGACCGGGCCTGGACCCCGGAAGATCGCGAGGCTATATTCTGTGTGTTAGTGCTCGATGACGTCCTTGGGCTAACCTCGCCGAGGAAGACATTTTGGGTCGCTGCTTGACCAGAAATGCAACAACAGGGAGAAACCCACCGATCCTGCATGGGTATGGCGCTAAGGGGGAGGCGATAGCTGATAGTCTGGCGGGTCTGGCAGTGGCTTGCAGCTCCCCCGGCCCATGTTCGCGAGCGTCAGGTTTCTTAATTCTTTCGTGGTGGGATGGCCCTTAACCAAGCGAAAGGAGGCACGGGAAGAAGGAGCAAATCTCATTAGTAGGACTGTGCGTTGCATACAGACCCCATCCTCGGCCATCGAACCATCGTCGAGCTGATGGGAGGTCTTGGCAAGATTTCGAGATTTACGCAACATCGTTAAAAGTTCCCTAATAAAGGTCCTGTTAAGTGCCCGTCGTGCTGCCCGCATTTCCGTCGCCCAATGCCACCTCATGTGTAGTTGACGACGTTCCCCCATCCATTGGACGTCATCCTTCAACGTTGCAGCAGAGAAGTTCTGAGATTCGGCGACGCAAGCCGGAGACAAGGAGCTTCTGCTTGAAGTATCCAATTTCGCGACAAGTAACGTGCGTCGGGGTCGATGAGCTTCTAGGAATACCCCAGGAGGGGGATGCGCAATCCAGGCCATCGTGACCTCCTTCGGTTGGTTTCGGGGATATTAAAGCAGTCTCTATTCGAGGAAGCGGTCCATAGCTGTGATGTATCGAGAATCAGGAGTTTCCGCGGGAGTTGACGTGGCCGATCGGTGATATAAACCCCGGTTCTGGCACACACTGGCGCTGGCACCTCAGTCTCTTTCTTTCCTCAAGCTCCTCTTCCAGCAAGAAGCAACACTCAGAGGAGTACTCTCTGAACTGAACGCAACGCGGCCTTCAACGTTTCGCAATTCTACCCAACCCTCCAAGCTATATCTGGCGATGTCTGGGAACATTGTGGATGAAAAGGAGCCCCGACCACGGACTCCGACTCCAGACCCACCCCCACCACCGTAAGCTGGGAATACCAAGTAGTCCCTTGGACCCGCCCGGATGGTACGCTAATAAGGCATCCAGCCCACCTCCCAATCCTGTGATGGACGCCTTTGTTCAGGATAATGATAACTTCTATGATCGGAGTTTTGCAAGAGCACAGGGACCTGCAGGGGCCGATACCTCAGGCAACTCAACTACCTGAACAATGTTGGTGAGACGAGAGAAGGAAGACCTGGAAGCAACGTCAGGTATGCGTGCTACGAATTGCTCTTTGGATGGTACATTGGATTTGAATTTGAATTTGCTGATAAGTAAAAGGCAGGACTTATATAGGTTGTGCTGTGCATCAATGGAGGGTGACGACCAGATCGTCACGGTCATTTCTGATATGGTAGTATTTGGAAGTGGATGACTTGGGCTGGGAAGCGGGCAACAGCCGAAGGGGGAGGCAAAGATTTTCTTAAGAACTTGGAAGTATGGTTTTCATTGTATCTACCGGGAGACAGGGGAGAGAGTAGCGTCATGATTATACCCTTGAAGGAAGTCTGTTGGGGTCTCGACAAGATGGGAGAAGGTTGAGTGATGAGGTTTACGAGGCTGGAGCTCAGAATGAACGACACGGCCCAAACGGCAGATTTACGGCACAAATACTCGTTCGAACATTACGTCATTTTCTTATCTGGTACGAGATCCTGTGACTTCGCATGTTGATTAGATCGAGGAGCTTCGAGGAAGGAACGCCTTAATATGGAAATTGGCACATAGACCAGGCCATGTGGAAGGCGGCATTGCTCTTAGTGATTGATCGCGGGCCGCCTTCAAAACGGTTTTGGGCCAGATTTGATGGTGCGCGAACCGCTTAGTCATCACAGGATTTCGGAGACTTGGCGGCGGTGGCGGTCCGCGAACTCCCAGGACGTTTGCCTAGCCTATATGAAGTATTTCACTGACATCAATCACCCTTTAGACTGAGCCTCGACAGCATTGAAACGCATACCTCTACAGACCACATTTCCGACATCCAAGAATCAACAACTTCCATACCCGTCCTATTCCTCCTTCCACGAGCGTCACCCCCAATGGATCCCGCCCGGCGAGCTCGCCTCCAGGGCAAGGACTATACCCGAGAGCTCACAGGGCCAAAATTCGATCCCTTCACCCGCGTATCCAAACCGAAGAACCCCCCGACACAAGCCCAGTCGAGGTCCAAATACCTCACCCAAGATGAGCAGTCCGAGCAGTACGTCGCAGGCGAGGACAAGTTCGTTCTGAAACCGTCCAAGAAGAAGGCCGACATCCGCGTTCGCGAAAACCGAGCTACGCCCATCGACCTGCTCGCCTTCAATCTCCGCCACATCGACGCCGACCGCGATATCTTCGATGACGACGAAGACGATGTGGAGATCGATGTTCCCACGTCGGAGCAGGTCATCGACGCCCTAGACGCGCAGCAGCTGAAGGACCTCGACTCCGAGATCACACATTATCATACCCTCGAGATAAATCAGCGGAATCTCGAGTATTGGAAAGCCTTGCAGACCATCGCTCGCCACCGCCGCGACCAGCTTCTCAGCAAGGGAAAGGATGACCGTGCCATCGCATCCGTGGCCGACGACATCGATAAGATCTTGAGCCCGAAGACGTTCGCGCAACTCGAGACACTGGAAGGTCAAATCAAAGCGAAGCTCGACTCGGAGGAAGATATCGATACCGATTACTGGGAACAGCTCTTGAAGAGGTTAAAGGTGTGGAAGGCGCGCGCGCAGGTGAAGAAGATCTACCAGGATATTAAGGCGGCGCGGGTGGAGCTGCTCAAGAAGACAAATCCGGAGAAGGCTGCCGCGCTGGAGAAATCCGACGGATCGTTATTACCAACGACGGCGGCGGTGTTGGCGGGGGAAATAAGACGGCAGGGACCCGTGCAAAAGAGGCCAGAGGCGGCCAAACCCTTTTCAAAGCCTCCCTCACAGCTCGCCGCCCAGGGCTCCAGCGCGCCGCCGGGCACCGCCCGGTTCGCGCAGGCTCCGAACGACGACTTTTCGCAGACCACGAAGGCCCTGTTTGAGCGGGAGGTAGCCAGGGGTTTCAGCGAAAACGAAGAAATCTTCACCGCCGAGGAGACGGTACCCGGTGCGTCGGCGCCAAAGTGGGCGGGCAAGTACCGGCCGCGAAAGCCCCGCTACTTCAACCGCGTCCAGATGGGTTACGAGTGGAACAAGTACAACCAGACGCATTATGATCACGACAACCCACCGCCCAAGGTGGTTCAGGGGTACAAATTTAACATCTTCTACCCGGACTTGATCGACAAGACGAAGGCGCCAACTTACAAGATTATAAGAGAGCACGGCCGTAGGAGGGGCGAGTCTTTTACTCCAGCTGGCGAGGCGGACACCTGTCTTATTCGATTTATTGCTGGGCCGCCGTACGAGGACATTGCTTTCCGAATCGTGGATCGGGAATGGGATTATAGTGCAAAGAAGGATAGGGGCTTTCGAAGCACATTTGACAAGGTACGCTCCCCCACTCCCCTCTCCGTCCCCAATTATTTTTTTCCTTTTCCCTTTCTTCATGAGGATCGTTGGACGAATGGACTGCGTTTCGACGAAGCTTTGATTGGATCTTCAAGTGCTAATTTGCTATCTTCATGTAGGGTATTCTGCAGCTACACTTCCAGTTCAAGAAGGTAAGACATCACATTCCAGACCTCTGCCCATACCATTCCCAGCGTACTGACGTGTCTGAAAATAGATTTACTACCGGAAATGAAGATACCACCCATCTCAAAACGAACTCTTTTTGCCTCTGCTCCCGCTCCTACGATACATTATCAGGTCATCGTTCACCAGAGAACGAATGGCCGAGTTGGTATCCATACGCGCCAGCACCATCTTGTCCCCACAGAGGGACTTTCCACGAGATTCCGGCGCTGCCTGACCCAGCGCCTCAGCTATGCTCGCTCTCACTCCTCGATGGTGCCAATAGCATTTGGTCCCGTTAAAGCGCGATGTAGGCTCGTTCGTATTGAGTGTGGGGAGCAGACATTACATCGTCATCTCGTGTGGTCACTGGTTCGGAGCCCTCATGGACGGTTTGGCACATTAGGGATCACGTTCTATTGCGAATGGAATGGGATGAGTTCAGAGTATACGTACAATTTGGCAGGCTGAGAGAATTGTCTCCCACTATATGGCGCAGGTACAACTTAGCACTTTATCGTGTCGAAGGTGGTACTCCTACGAGACTTGTATATAGATTAGACGCAAGCTCACTCAGACCTGAAGGGCTTCCGCTAAGACTTTGATCTACTTTTAATCTACGTCGCTGCTCTGGATCTGCAGATGTTTATTGAATGACACTATTGAGACTATGTCCTCGCATTCTCGGTAGCGCAATCTGCATAGATACAGCCTCTGCCGTGATTGCATGATTATCATCAGCTAATTCAAAGCGATCCGTATGGTCCTATCCCAGCGACACCAGACCCAACTCTCGTCCAGACTTGAATATTGGCACTTGCCCCGCGTCGCAGTCAACAGCCTAACCCGTCGTGCCTGCCGCCGTATAAGCTCACACGGCTACGCCCCCTCCCTACATCCTGTAGATGCATACAGATGCAATAATAGCCCAGATATTGCTGGGTCTTACATTTCCCCATCTCGCTTCCCCATGGCAAGCAGAGGTGTGAGGGAGTAGGGACAGAGACTAAACGGCAGGGACTGCAACGTCACAACGGGGTAGGGGAAAAAAGGAAGCCTACCCTCTTCATGTTACCAGAAATACAGTTCTTGATCTCCGTTAAATAATGTAGGGCTACCATGTCCCTTCTGTATCACCAACGCTTTCTGTTCGCCTTCTTGCCGAAAGGGGATGTTTCTTTCTGAGACCCAGGGCGAATGGAGTAGTGGTATGATTGGCTCGGGGTTGGCGAACTTTGTGAGGATGCAAGTAGCCGTCAGAGAAACTTCTGTCTCCCGTCAAGGGGTCAGTCTCCTAGACACCGCCACGCGGGCAACAGCTGTGTGATATTCAGGAACAACCCATCAATGTGTCAGTGATATTGTACCAGCGACAATCTCTTGACTGAACTCGCCCCTCTTTTAGTATTGGGAATCAGAAACGATGGGCCTTACGGGGATAGATGGCAGTAGGGGTGTGTTGTGAATCATTCACCCTCAACTTGACACATCCTCACTGGGTTGTACAACGTCCCAGTCAGAATTAGGTTCGCTTGAACGCCTAGGATTCGCCATAACCAATCTATCAACTTATCCCTCACGCCTCTTCTCTTGAGCCTCTTCCCCTGGACATGTGGGTGCGATTGCTTTCGTTATGCTCGCTTGTCTGCAACGTTCCCCGGGTCGACCTGAAATGTAGATGCCATGAACCGTTAGCTACGTCCTTCTAGATGTTTTCCTTGGAAGTCTAAGTTGGGGGATGAATGTGCAATTGCGCAAAAGCGCAAAGGAAACGGTGGGAATGCAAGCCTGAGAGGAGCAAACCACGCAGCAGAATTCCAAGGGAAACTAAACTGCCGGCGTGTCCCCGTTAGATCTTGGCGACACGGAAGGATGCGGGCAGAGGGAGAATTGCAGGACGTCAGAAAAAGCAGCTTCGATATCTAGAAAGGCCCGGGATCGAGCATCCCTTCTCGATGACCTGCAGAGACTGACGGCTAGTGGAGAACGAGACGGGCTTCTAGAGACCTTCCATCGGTTTTCTTGTCTAGGAAATTTTGCCGTCTGGGGTACAAAGGAGGATGGGGATCAACTTGGAGAGTGCTAGGTGTGTTGCGTTCCATGTTTGCAAAGCAAGTTGCGTCAGATAGGGGGAAAGGATAGGGCCAAACTGGAAGAAATGAAGACAACCGACATAAGAAAAGGAGAGAAGAAAAAGAGATCAAGAACACAGGACTGAAGGAAGGGCAGGTATCTGGAACCTCTTCCCAATGCGCGTAGGATTAGATCCCTACGCGCAATCTAGAAAGTAATGAGTGTGGGGACGCTCGTAAAGCCCCCAGACTGTCACTCGGCGATGAGGAGATGAGCTTGGCAGCAGACATTCGTTGATGCCACGAGTAAGCAATCTGCTTTGCATAGTGGCACACAGCATACAGTGTAGGCTCAGTGTTGCGTACACATACTCGCGTACTTTCTTGCTGGATGCTGCAAGATGCTACATTCAGATTCGTTTGCCATCAAGCAAGATGGGAGTCCTTTTCCTTTTCTGAACAGAGGTTCTTCTTGCATCAGTGAACCGAGTAAGGTGGAGTACTGCGTGAAGAAGGGATGGATATTGGGGAATCAAATCAGTTCACGAGGGCCGATTGGTGAGGATGTCCCAACATCCCACGCCGGCCACGCTAAGGACACGCCTACAAACGAGAGGACTCCACAGAAGGGGAAGAAGAGAGTGGCCTTGATTGTGTGCTCTTCATTGATGAGTCGGGCCCGAGTGGCGAGCACCCTTGTAGTGGCCAGAAACAGTGATCGAGATCATGCAGTTGGAGCATCCTGAGCCGTGGTAATCTTGATGCGAAGAAATGATTCTACTTAGCATTAATCGGGAGCTGTACTTCGTATGAAGCGGAGAGGAGCGAGGGCCAAGATGGCCAGACTTTCCAGTGGAGGAGGTCACACTAGACAGAGAGAGTCCAATAACCCTTATGGATGTACTTGGTACTAGCCTCGGAGTACGTGAAGGAGCACGAGTACCATGAGGTGGGTGGACGGAGGCGACTTCCCTCCAGGTTCTGCGCCCACCAACAGCCCGAAGAAGAGAGGGAAGTCGCAGCACAGTCTGGAGCGCGTCATACAATCTCATCTCAAATTGTCGGATACGGCACGGATTGCAATGCTAGAGATTCAGTTCATTATTTTGAGTTACTGAATTTGAAATTTCACAATCAGTTGCAGGGTATTACCTGATGATGATCCAGTTTGATGTTAGATACACTTACACTCACACTTGCAACAGGCAGAGCGGCCAACGGCAACACCGCAGTCTGGATGGCATCCGGTCACTGCAGTGTACGCGGGTACTCGCTTCTCTGCCTACACTGCACGCCCCTATGTAGAGGATGTAGGTGGAGTGTTTGGAAGAAAGATCTGGGGCCGATGTGAGTTGAGCTTTGTTTCCATCGTCTGGCCAGCTCTCCACTCTTGTTCGCCCCCAGACTCCCAGCTCACTATGAGGCACGGAGCACGAGCAGCCCAGCCAACATGCAAACTCATCGATGAATGCCAACACCCACTCACATCCATCCGATACTCTCTGAGAAACGGCTGCGTTGGCCTGTAGTGAGTACTGTAGTACTTCAATTTGTCGAGGAGAGGGCAGCGAAGTGTACGAAGTACAATTGTACTCATTGATCAAATTTGTTGTGGAAGTTGAGTTTGGCGTTTCAATTGACGGTACTTACCTTCGTCCTGAAGTAATAACCCTTGTCTTCGCGTGGATCTCCATTCCCACGCCTCACACGCCTCACTCCCCCACCAAGGCCATCTGCCACCCCCCTAGACCCATGTTTTCCTCTTTACACCCCTCTCTTTTAACATTGAGGACTGTATCCGCTTGTATACCAATGTATTACTAGCCGTACCCTCCTCCACCGTATCACCGTATCTACTTCGTCCAGGATGCCATCTAGGATGCCCCCGGGTTGTCTCTGTCCATGTACTATCAACGAGGAAGGTAGGGTCTCAAACTGCTCTGATCGACACGGCTCGCTCACACCCCCCCGCCCTTCTTCCCCTACCCGTACCTCGATGCCACACTAAGTACCTTTCCAGGTTCTATGTCCCGTGGTTTCCTTATTCGATACGGAGGTGACGCTAGATACACCCGTCTCTTCCCTCCACATCAACTTGATGTATTGATCCTCATAGAAAGAAACGCCATACCCATGGCTTAGCCTTCCGCCTTCCATATCAACCTTCTTTAACTTAGCTTCTGTTCAACCCACACGCTGCCTCTCCGGTTTTCCTCAAGACTTCTTCTATCATTAGACGCAGACTTCTTCTTGGAAAAGCCGCCCCTCCAACTCATCCAGGTTTTCTGAAACTTCCCTTAGCCGTCGTACATTCTTATCTTCTTGTCTTGTCCGTCTCGTCTTTCAAACGCCTTAGTCTCACACGCCGGTTTCAGTCGTCTCAAGTCCGGCTAGGCCCAAGTCCTCTCAGGATCGTCTGACTTCTCCTCCGCTGCTTCGCTGCGTCTCTTGATCCAAGGGCGAGAACTAAGACAAGCCACCCCGGGTTTCAGCCCACTCTCCTCCGCTTCTTCTTCTTCAGGAACCGCAGAAGATCTAGTCTGTCGGTCTCATCTGCGAGGCGGAGAATCACCATATGGAACCTCGGTATTCCGACAATCTTCGACCCCCCGTGTATCCCACCCGACAGGTCCTACCAGGAAACATGCCTTATTGTGACGGTATGGAATCAGCATCGGCGCCATTCTATTCCAACCAGGCTTTCCTGGAACAGCAAGTGTCTGATACAACATCGACCCAACGTCATTCTCAGTCATATTCGCATCACCATCGAAGGATCCCATCGCAACCGAGCCACCAGTCTGCCACCCCGTGGTCACCTCCGGAGGTCAACAGAGAACTGGAACATTACTCTTACCAACGGTCCCCAACGAATTGCGAAAATCTCACTCCCAATTATAACCAAGCACCCATATCCCCAGTATCGTGGTCGTCTCCAAGGCAAATGCCCTTCCAAACCCCTGGCGAACATTTTCGACCGCACCAGTCAGCGCCAGCTATGAGGGTCTACACCCCCGCCGAGGACGACGGTTCCGCCGCATTCTCTCACCCCATGGTGAGGAACGACAGCATTCCACACTGCGCCTATCCCACCGTTCGACATGACGGCATTTCCGAAAGACGCTCTCCCTTTGAAATCAAGCCAGAGGTTCACTACTCTTCCCCATCGACGACTCAATCGCTCGAAATGCAGAGCCCCTTTAGCGAACACGGTGCCGATGCTATGAGCCCCCCAAGCCCGGCTTCTGAAATGAATGATCCGCCATCCACCGTGGACGTGAATGCGCACCATGAACCTTACGCCCAGCTCCTTTACAGAGCCTTCATGAGCCATCCAAGGCACGCTATGACGCTTCAAGAAATTTACCAGTGGTTTCGAGAGAACACTGACAAGGCCAAGGATGAAGGGAAGGCCGACAAAAACGGCAAGGGTCAGGACGGCTGGAAGAATAGTATTCGACATAACCTCAGCATGAACAAGGTAAGTGCTTCTCACATGGACACGATACACATTTTCTGTCTGCGCCGGAAAGCATGCCTCGGAGTCAACCAATAAGACAATGAAGCGCCGCAAGCAAAGATATCATGCTAATCTTACCGGGGGTCAATAGGCCTTTATAAAACGAGAGCGGCTCCCCCCAAGTGAGAGGATTGGAGATTCCACTGGAGTTGGAGACTTAAAACGAGCGGGCGAATGGGTGCTTGAAGGGTGGGCTATCGAGAATGGTATCAAAAGTACGACATATTACAGAAACGGCAAAGGGGCTCGGCGGACCGGCGGCGGCAGGCAAATCTCCTACAGGAACCCGCACGTTATTCTCTCTTCTCGGCGTCAACAACCACCTCAGAACCAACGGAGGCTCTCGGGACGAGCAATGTCAGGCCGAAAAGGGGGGTATGCCTCGAGTCAATGTCAGTGGAGGAGACGACTGGAGATGCAGAACCAAGCTCAGCGGCAGTCGTCCGCATTAAGTTCGGGCTATGGGCCAGCTCTTCCTCCGTGGTCTGAGATGAACAGGACGCCGGAGATGATGGAGGGGATGGTGGGGGCAACAGGTTCCGCCCTTCGAACGGAGACGAATGAGCCCTTGACCCCCCCGGAGGGAACACCAATGAATTACGAGATACAGGCGCCTCCGGTTTCTGATCCGAACGCTTCTATAATTGGGAGCGGCAGGGGATACGGGCCATGTCACTCTGGGCCGCTAGATCTTACTGCATTCGACCTTGCCGAGATTTCTGGAGTCTACGCTGGCGGACAAGTCTTTGCCAATTTCGAGATGCGCACTTTCCGTGGGCGCCTCTAAGTGCAGTGTGGCATTCGGCGCACCCCATGTCCAGGGATGAGTGACGGCATTCGACGAATAAGAAAAGGGAGAGAATAAAAAAAAAAGAAAAAAAAAAAAGAGCGCGCGACAAGGCACCGCCAACCTTCACTCAGGATCTCTGGCACAATGGTCTATTCCCCCCCTCATATCTTTCCCCTCCGTTCCGGCAGTACATCCACGGGCTGGGCCCACTCCTCACCGATTGCTCCCTTGACACCATTCCCGTTTCCCAGCCTGGTTCGGTCATATTGGCCAAGCCCGCCAGGCTTTCCGCCCCTACCTTACCGCGTGGGACTGGGACGACGGACCAAGCGCCAGGCCCTAATGCTTACACGAAACACCATTGCTAACTCGTCTACTGGTCGACTCATGGGGTTGGCCAGGCCTAGGCAGGCCGGGCTCGCGGAGAGGCCAACTTTAGCCCCCATTTTGGCGCCGATGCCAGTGAATGGTATGTAGCACATTTGGCGTTGGTTGGTCAGCTGCGCTTGATCAACTCCTCACTGCATTGATGGCACCCCGGGGTCGATGAACGCCGAAACGGCTTGGTACACACTTGTCATCGGCCGTTTTCTCCCACGCCAGGTACCTGGCGTTTGACTCCATTCTTTGACGACTCACTACTTTACCACTCATCTTCATCCTCTTCGTCCATCTCTGTCTTTCCCACCATATTTGTTTTTAATCTCCGGAGACTATTTCCTCTTCACGCAGCTATTTTATTTGGGTTAAAGATGGTCGGCATCGCGCCGACCCGGGCTCGCGCATCTGGGAGGACTTTTGTGTTCTTTCTTCTTGCTTCTTGGGTATGCGACGCGGATCGTTTTTTTTGTTTCTTTTCTTTTTTGTTTTCTTTTTTCCTTTTTCCTTTTTGTTCTCCTGTTCTCTCTTTTTTTTCAGTACTTCTTTTCCTGGCTTTCGAGAAGATGCGTCTTTCGAACCCTTTTCGCTATTTCTCCCTTCTTTCTCCACAAATTGTACAATGTTCAAGGCCGTGTTGGTTTGAATCTCTTCTTCTCTTCTTGTCAGGCTGGCGTCAAGATTCTGGTGTCGACTCGATTAGTCTGACCTGCCAGGAATGCAGCCACCTGCTTGATTGGCCAGTCAAGGAGTTGACTCGGGGGGCGTGGACAGGGGCACCATGCTGATCTAAGCAGGGGTGGAAGGGCTCATTTTTACTTCATACTTTTTCCTCAGGGCGTGCAACAAGCATCATTATTGCCTTTCCTTCTTTCTGCGTGGAGTGGGGTGGGTCTGTTCCTGATTTCTGGTTTTCCTTCTTTCTTTTTCTTTTTCTTTTTCTTTTCTTTTTTTTCTTTCTTCTTTTATTATTGTTTTCTTTTCCTTTTCGCTTTCTCCCTTTTTGTATGTGTGTGGTTGACCTCTCGGGTCTGTGAGGTCGAAGCACGAGCATCATGAGGTTTAGTCGTGGTGTGTGGTGTGTGGTGTGCGGGCGTCGTTTTGTGTGTTTTTACCTGCTTTCTGCCTTTTTTCGAGGGCACTAAGTCTTATTGGGCTTGTCCCCTGGGCTTACCCCAGGTTCTGGTGTTACCCACTGCGATCGCAATAGAGATGGCCATGGATGGCCCGAGAGGATCATCAAAGTGGCATGAGGTAATAACTCAGAAAAATAAATACAATCTCTGTTGGTATTAAAATAAGGCCGAGAGATAGAGATGGCACTCGATGCGATCTTCGAATATTGAGCATGAAGTAGAGTGATGATATGACGATGCAACGTAGTTGGTAAGAGAGAGTCTTCTGATGGCTTAATCCTCATTTCGGACAGATGATCATGTGAGAGAGGCGAACCACCCACTGCGATACTTGAATTACACTTGAATTTCCCTCTTGGCCTGACGCATGCCAGCGCGACACTTCACAATATGAGTCGACTTCGTGACCTGTCCGCCAAGACGGCAAAAGGAGAGAGAGTTGATCTTTCCTGGATTTGTGCTTAAGCTACGAGGCCAGAGACGACGAGATTTGATTGGTACCAGTCTGTCGGGAGCGCTAGGGACGAGGCGGGGTTGATGGCAAGGGGGAAGGACCGTGGCACTATGGGTGGGGCGTGTGATAAAAGCAAGGCCTGGCCTGGCCTTGACTTGGACCAGGATGTTGTTCAGAAGTTTACGAAGTACTTCGTAGTGTGTAGGGAGCAGACGGGTATAATCTATTAGTCTTTGACTAGGGTTCTAGGATTGATTTTTTTCCTTGCCAAGCCTGAGCTGTCAAGCTGTCATGTTGAAGTATCAAGACGTTACGTGCGTATTGATTAATTGAACCTTGGCCTCGGCCATATTTTTTTTTTCTCTTCTTCTTCTTTTTTTTTTTTTTTGTCGAACCGAACTTGTAAATAAAGCCTAGCCTCATGTGTGTGCGGAACCCTTGCCGGGATGGTGTTATTCAGGCAATCATCGTGGTTTCATTGCAGCGAGGCAGCCAAAAAAACGGTAAAAAAAAAAGAGGAAAGATAAAAAGAGTCAATTTTGCAACCCTGGGAAATTGGTTCGTCAATCTCGACCACAGGAATAAACAAGGGGTTTTCTGGTTAGAGTCGTAATGGGTAGGGCAAGGGCCCGCATAAGATCTCTACCCTTTTTCGCCTTCTTCTCTCTCTCTCCTTTTTTTTTTTTTTTTTTTTTCTCGCGAGGGGGGAGCTTGCCGAACTTACTTGACGTGCAAGGGTTATATCGGGCAATATCGCTGGTACATCGATACACCTACGTACACGGAAGGACATTGAGGAGGTGGTGGGGGTTTCGTCTTGGAGCGATCTATTTGATTCCATTTTGGTCTTAATAGTGATGTGATGAGATGAATCATGAGAGATTAACCCTGTATGCATGGACGGTGGGTCGCGCTTATGTAGAGTGCGGTGTACTTCGAAGTACTGCCAGTAACTGGCCTGTCTGCCTTAGCATTGATGGGGGGTGAACTGGGGACGGGGGAAGCAGGGGTGATGGCTGGTGTGTTAGATTATTTGATCCTCTCTCCGCCCGATGTACTTCATACCGAGGTGCACCGAGATCACATCTCATTTACGAAGGTAGATCTCGGAGGAAATAACTACAAAGTAGCATGCTGCTGGTCATGATGATGCGGGCGTGCATGCTTGTTGACAGAACGGGGGACAGATTCCGTGCTGTCAGAAACAGAGTCTAATCTGGTAGCGAGGCAAGGATCGTCCGCGATCCACGTTCTTTGCCTTGTGCCTCTTGGACGGGCCTGGAGTGCGACTTGGCTGGTGGTATGGAAAGTTTTACGGACGAATGCCCAGGACTAACACTTGACTTTGCAGTATGTACATATCCGGAGGCACGTTGGATCTAGACCGGAAACGGGAAAGGTGGGGTATCGTGATATGAGAGCCACGCAAGTGTCAAGCCATATCAGACGGGAGAGATTCATATCGGTTAGGGATGAGGAGAAGGAGGAGGCTTAGAAAAAACGTTCGAGCATCGTCTGGGGGTGTTGATAAATGTTTCAATAGAAAATTATCATAATTCATCCTCTAACCTTCTTTTACCTTTTCCCCTTCTTCTTTGGCGGAAGCATGATCCGCTAAAACGCGGGAACCAAAAATAATTGATCAATCATCGATGCTTTTTCTAAGTCCGTGAAACGATGAGAGCCAGGATTCCGCAGCACCCAGAGGTCACGGTACCTGTCCAGGCCAGGCCAAAACCGGGGCGGTCGTCGTCCCGCTTCCGACCGCAGTGACAGACGGGCACGCCCCGGTCTCGAGGGCTGTGAATTTTGCCATGCCTCTCCTCAGCGTGGGACGTGCGAGAGAGAGGCCCTGGCCGGCCACGCCAAAAGTCGGATGATGTTCCATTAAACGCTCGGTGAGTTGGGTTCACTGTAGATCAGGGATGATCAGCCACCCTCGGTGCCCGGTTAATTTACATACGAAGTAGGACGCTACTGGAGGCGTTTCCGCCCCCAGTCGGTTTGAGGAACAGCTCAGAATGTGCCAGATCCGGGTTCGAAAAATAGAAGGGTCCTTGGGGCTTGAGTTAGCCACCCAGAATTTAGTTCAATTATCCCGTCACAGCACCCGGAAGCGATCAAGGAAAACAAGTGCGCGCTTAACTCGCATTCGGAACAGGATCTTGGGCCTGGCGCTCGCTACTAAGTGAAACCCAGCCCTGGTGCACTGCCCCCGTTCTGTCTTAACCAATCACTTTCGCTTTATTTTCGGGGAATTTTATTTTTTTCCCTTCTCTGTGTGTTGTGACTCTCTTGGATGCGAACAAGTTCATCTCCTGCGATCTCCATGCAATAACAACGGAAGTACTGATATAATCCGGACATGTTGTGTAGCGGTGGCTCAGGAACTTCGAACGCAGGAACTCCACGGGCAACTGGCCGTGCGGAGGAAATATCAAAACCGGAAGGATTAATATCAAAATCCTGATATGTGGCTAAACCATCCTTAGTAGTCTACCTAACTCCAAGTTAGGCATCTGTCGCGTCCGAAAACATCCAAGACGCACACTTCGGAGCAGGTAACATGACGCTGGGGATATGTGAGGAGAGGCAGGGATACGTGGTGGGGACAAGGCGGGGGCGACCAGGGTTGGTCAGGATCGGGATAATGATTGAAGGCCAGACTAGACTCTAATTGCACGAAGTACTTCGTATGCGAAGTAACAATAATTCTCGCCCCAATCACATAAGAGCAGTCGCATAATTCGACGAGTCGGATAGGACCAGAGAGTACGAAACATGTAGGCGAAGCGAGGAGCCTCCTGTGATCAACGGTATAATAGGGTCTGATATCTATGCCTTCATATTGATGCTCCACTTTCCGTCAACCTTTGGCTCGAGCTTGTTGTGCCCGGTGTGATGTGATACCGTCGTTCATGGTTTAGCAAGTGGAAGTCCGCCCAACTTTTACATGAGCGAGAGGATCAGAGTGCCGATTTTCCCCATAATCAACATGTACGCATAATCTAGACTTCTGTACTCCAAGT